TAGGTAGTAGAGTAGACGAGTCCCCCTGGACCCAGTTTCAACACAGATATCAATTCGGGACTTTTTTGATCCATGTTCCATCCCCCCCCCCTTACTCCCCTCCCCTCCCCCTTTCCCCTCCCCCTCCCCCTACCCCTCCCCCTACGATCCCGATGAAGATGCCGACCAGATTCGGGTATCATGTATCACAACCAGAAAGATCCTGGTTTCAGGCTACTTGGAGATGACGTTGTTCGTATCAATCGTTGGTGTCGTATCGATTCCCCCAGTTTACCGCGTAGCCAGATAGCCGGATATCATTTGTTGTGATCCAGAAATGGTACCTCCTAGGTTACAACATGGGTCAGAACAAGAATGTCTATAGGTAGCCCAACATGGGCGACAGAATAAGGCGAAACAAAGGTAGTCCGGGGTTTAATGAGAAGGGAGTATACTTCTTCTGTCGATGACCTACGTATGCTCCAGATACGCATCATCAATGAACGCTTCTGGTCAATTAGAGTGATTTGTATACTGATGCAGCACTAGGAGCATACAGTAGTCCAATTGTTGCACAGACGTCTCTCCTGAAACATCTCTCGACTTACAATATAAAATGATATTCAGAATGACCCCGATCCAACTATACCGCTCCCTTTCCCATGCTTGCTGGCGAGGATAAAATCATTCTAGAATAACTATGCGGTGAGCAGCTTACTCCGCTGCGGACCGTACCGGCGGTGATTTTGGGTAGACGGACGCCGGACGGGCAGCACGCCCCGGATTCCTTATTCCTTGCGTCAGCCCTCCCGTTCGTCAACCTCACGTACCTTTTTTTTGTTTCTTTTTTTCTTTTTCGGGAAATCGAACGAGTCGGTACGTACAAAGGTTGTCGTCTTCACAAACGGACCAACTCGATGCGTGATTGGGGCCAAGTCATCCGACACGCAGAATTCGACTGCAACATCACGGAACTTTGCTATCGTGTTCCTCGAGGGTGGTCGCCAGGGAGTAGATATCCAACCGAAGTTGCCAGACTGCCAGTGTATCCAACGAGAGAACATGCTCGCCAAGCCATCGATCGACCGGCAACAGAGCCCTGCCAACCGCTGCTCGTAGCAACATTTCCGTTAGCCTCAGTTGCGGATGCGATTGGCCGCATTCGAGACCACCTCAACGTCGGCTAGGGGCACTGCATGAGCACTAGTCGTCCTGTTACTACTGTACCATACTATAGGACAATAACACTACTAGGAGGTAGTCTACTACGGTATTGCGCTCTATCGCGGTCTGCTAGTAAGGCCTGTCAACTCTACCGCCCGATAGCAGTCTAGACATTGACAGCACCAACAACAAGCTCCGAGCTAGGCAAATGCACGGCGCCAGAAGCGCTACGTCAATATTGAGCTCCCCGGCCGCCGTTGTAAAAAATTTGTTGTTGTTGTTGTTGTTGTTGTTGTTGTTGTTGTTGTTGTTCTGTAGTAGTAAATTAGTACAGGAGGAGGTACAGAAGTAGGTTAGGTACGGTACGACGGGTACGTACCGCTAGACTTTGAACCAGGCCCGTCGCGAAAGGGTCAATACCGCGAGACCAGATATCTCCTCGGCCCGAAGCGGTAAACTAGTCGCGCAGGTCTGACCTGTCTGTCGCCTTTTGTTTTAGCACGAGCTTTTGCCGCGTCGACGTCACCGACGGACCGTGAGACGGCGTATGGCGGCACGAGCGCCTCCTGGTTGACACTAGCAAGCAATGACCCGCCGCCAGGGACTAGGAGGTAGGAGTGTACACATGTCAAAAAAAAAAAGCCTTTACACCAGTTCGGCGCCTGTAGCCTGTAGGCAGATGGTCGACTGTGGGGTGCTTAACACTGATCTGATATCGATCGTGTAAGCCAGGATGTCCACGCAGATAGCATTTTGGTCTCGTATCCCATCGTCATTATCGTCATTATCATCATTCTTCATGGGAAAGCATTTGAGTTGTCCTTCCTAGAGACAACTCGCCGTGCGCCTCACCCTTTGGGACGCCCTCGTCAGGAAGCAGGAGAGCGCACATGCTCGCCTCGTGGGGCTGCATATGGGGCGTTGTCTTGTGGCCGGGGTAGGTCCTCACTTCGCTCTCACACACGCTCGCTCCCTTTGCTTCTAGACAGCATCGGTGCTAGGGTACGTATGTTACCTGCAATATTAGCTCCATGGAGGGATGCCCAAACCTCGGATCATCTACCAGGTGCGTTTATCAGTCTATCTGGTGAGACGTCAATCAACACTATCATCATTAGTGCCTGCTGAAACATACAATTGCGTCCAAGCGCCAGTGCGCAGGCCAATTGGTGATTACTGATCCATACCACACTACACTTCCTCCCCGCCTCCCCAACCATGATGATGCTCAAGAGGACGCGCCTCTAGGACAGGTGTACAGGTGTACACAGGTGTGTGCCATCTTCGGCAAAGACCCGGTCATGGTGTGCTTCATGCCTACATGTACCTACCAGCAATAAATCAGTAGTGGCCCTAATGCGACCATGTCTGCCCTCTTCGTACGCAGGAGATGCGGTCAGCGGACTGCTAAGAGACTTTTACCCTTTCACCATCTGTCCTAGCCCCCCACTCGCGACGATGACGCATGAAAGCTGAGGCCTCGCGTGCAAGAGGAAAATATGTGTTTCGAAGACAGCTAGGACGGGAGGTATACCAAATGCGGAGCACGTCACAACATAGCTGTTCATCGTAGATCCGAGCGAGCACGGGCGGATCGGAGACAGATTGTCGTGTAGCGATCGCCCCGGACGTACTCATGACTGTGAGCATCACACACTACCCATTTAGTATCCAAGCTACTCGAAGAGCTGACCCGTCACTATACGACCAACGTTCTCGGGGAGTCCCTGGCGCGAGCGTCTTGGGGCCGCGGCCAGCACTCATGTGGTGCTCGCCCTAGGGCTTCGTCAGTATTCAGGTCTCGACGCTCTCAACATAGCCAGCCTCCAGAGCCATTCGTAAGTCTCCCCGTAGCCTGTACATTACCCAAGCAGGGCAATTTAGCGAGCGGAACCTAGCATTCATGCTATTCATGCTATTCTGAGCGCCGTGAAGTATGGCTTCGAGCCTATACACCTTGATCCCGGCAAAACAGAGGCTTTTCCTCCGGATCGTGATATGCGACACTATCGACCACCTGTAGGAGGCCACTGTAGGCACCACCTAGCAGTCCACGTGCCCGAAAATGATGATACGGGCAGTCCACATTCAGGGCGACGGCGTCAGGGTAGAGTCAAGATTGGACTCATGCAGGGCGTTCCTCGTCGAAGGACCTCAGCAACTATGCCCTTGCTCTTACCGCATCAAGTGCCAAACGCTCCGGCATAGTCAGAATCGCGGCAATTTGTAAGTGCGGTACTTGCACGCTGTGTCCGGGCGTAAACAAGTTCTGTGGGTCAGTCATACAAGTACCCGCGGTAGCAAGAGTCCTTATACATCTCTCCAGGCACTGTTTTGTGAAGAAACCCCCAACATACCGTCTTTCCATTTCCCTTTCCCAGCATACACAAAGCACACTCCCGACACCACTTGTTGTACTCATCACCATGGTCGACCATCGCTGGCATTATCCCAAGGACATCGCCAACGATCTGGATGGCGTTGACCTGCCCCCAAAAATCAAGGCAGAGGTCTTAGCTTGCGCATGGGAGTACGCACGATGCGTAATCCCACAGTATACCAACTGGAAGCGCTACGTGGCGTTTATGCGAATCATCATCATTGGCACCATCGCAGAGTTCAAAGGCTCCCTCTTCGATCTCACAGCCGACGACAAGAACATGCTCGGCTTTGATCTCGACCAAGTGCTTGACGACCTTTTCGAAGACACACCAGGGGCGAAGGACATGGCGCGCGAGTACAGGACCTTTTTGACTGTGACCAGCGACAAGACCAGTGAACGAGTACACGACCAATTCTTTTCCCGATATGCCAAAGCGGTGTCATCACATCCCGCAAACTGGTTCCGGCTGCGTGATTGCGACGCACTCTGCCGCTTCACCATCGCGTCAGCCCTGGTCTGTAACGACATGGATGATGTCTGGTTTACCGACCTGCAGTGGGAGGTCTTGACTGAAGTCGGCGACACTCTCTACGATGCCATTGCCTTTTACAAGCACCGAGCCGAAGGAGAGACCAACAACACGTTCGCCTATATGCCACAAGAGATCCGGGTCGATACCTTCCGGAATGCCCGCGAAGTGCTGTGGGCGCTCGATGTCGCATTTGCCAAGAAGCCCGAGTGGCAAGTGGTGATCAACATGGTCCGGTTCTTTGGCGGACCCATTCACATGATGATGCGTCGATATCGATTTGTCGAAGAAGGCCTGGTGATTGGGAAGAGTGAGGATGATAGCGTGCGAGCAGCGGCCAAGAAGCACGAAAAGCTCTGGCATCGATTGGAAGGACGGACCGAGTCGCATGAGCAGGAGGGCCAGATTCGTTACGAGAAGATTCTCAGCAAACAAGACCGTCTGCTGTTTCGTGGCTTTGTCGACATTCTAGAAGAAAGCATCCGCCAAGACAGCCCGCTGGCATGTCCCGTATATACGACCACGCACCATGGGAAGCGGCGGAAAACGTCGGAAGCAGCAGACGACAGCAGCGACAAGGCACGGTTCGGGGGTGCACTGCAGGACGTGTCGGCGCGCGAGCAGTGGAGGTCGTATGCATCGACGTTGAATGAGCGCGTGAAGCTGGCTTTTCCGGAAGTCGAGGTAATACCTCAACTCCCAGCATAGGTGGTCGGCGGGCAGACCGAAGGGGCGTTTGTTGAATATTCATCTTTTTCCGGCGTCCGCGTTATGATCAGGTATCCCGTTTGTGCGGTTTGTGCAGTGCGTGTATGTATCTCAATCTTTTCTTCTGTGCCATGGTCCGCTCTCGAGCCCTGGTGCTCACCTCATCATCACTCATACCTACTGCCAATCGTCTTGAATCTGAAGTGCCTTTGTGTTCATGGTCCAGAGAGAGGAGCCGGTATCCGCCGCGGAGAGTGTGGCAGCTCGGTACATGTACCCGCCTGGATGAGTTCCTCTGAGACAAATGGCCACGACTTGGAGCCTTGGGCGCTCTTGTCGGGGGCGATATCGTGCCCAGAGTAAATGTTGTCGGGAGGAGGAGGAGGAGGGAGAGGAAGATGGGAAAGACAAGATGCCTGAGGTCGGGTGAGGTAAGAAGTAGCTTAAGTCCCAAGCCCGTTTGCCCAGAGAATTCCCGCCAAGCAATAAACTCCTCTGCAAAAGGCAACTACACTAGTGGATACCTACCTGACATACCTACCTACCTTCTAGGTAAGTTCAACTTGTGATCCAGTGTTCAGAGACGCCGACGTTTTGAATGCTCGTCGTGAGGTCTCATGTACCTATCCATCGATGCCACCACGTGATACCATCGCATACTTACCTCACCTTACATGTACACGGACACCGAGCGAGCAGACAACCACACGCACCCGGTCGTGGTTCAACACGTCCTGCAGCAGAAACTACCATGTTGTAACCATACCATACCGTATACCACTTGCAGGTAATCAGGGCGCCCTTTTCTCTTGGGGTCCTCTTCGCGCATATGCTGTCTGTCTGTGCTACGCGATCAACACAAACGAGCCCTCAATCAACTGCAACCCTTCCAACTCCCCAACCCGTTCATTTCCGCTGAAACTAGAAACAAGGAGAGGTGTCTGTCCACCCGTTAAAATGCGCCTGAACGCTATCAAAAAAACGAACGTCACACACATCCACACGGCGACAACGTCCCGTTCCCTATCGACACGATACCTGCTGTACCATCCGACGCATGGTCGAGTCGGCGGTGCTCCTACCGGAACTCAACAGCCCCCAGACAACCCCGATCCTCCACATGTCGCAACTCCAGCTGTTGATACTTTTCACTCTTGGCATGGAAATAGATACCACTGACCTCCCCATTCACCTGATTGAAGCATATGTAATAGAAGCCTTCAAAGCTCGCTCCACTAATCGTCTTGACCCGGTGATCCGGTACGAGAAAGTACTCCTTCCACCTCATAAACATGTATTCCTGATCCGCAGGATTGCTCATCGTGAAGGCAGGATTTTGCCTGGCATCTTTGGCAAGAGGCCGCCAGCGTGGAAACCGGTTCCAGTGTTGGAGGTCGACTTTCTCCGAGGAGCCCCAGGAGGGATGGGATGTGCGGAAGAGGTATTTGGGGCCGATGATTTCGCCTTCGAAAAAGGTGGTGAGAGTGGGGTGATCGTCTGTCAGGCCTGCGAGGTGAAGAGTATATTAGCATTCCGGGGCCACCACACATGATGGTTGTGGCGCTCTCTCACCTTGGATGCGTAGATAGCCACAAAGCGTGGATTCTGCAAGGTCTACGTCCTTGAGCTCCACTTGAACATCGTATACTTGATGGTCTGACTGCTGTGTGCCTCTGAACTTGCTGCCGGGCCGCAAAAACGACGTGGTAGAGTTAGGTGCGATGCATCGGTTGTAATCGAGCTCGGGATAGTGGAGATAGAGTGGCGCAGGTGGTATATCGTCCGGTTCCGCTGACGAAATGGCAGCATTAGACATGGAATGCGCGAGTTGGGCAGCCTTATAGTCGGCATCGGAGGGTGGCGGGAGCAGGCCAATCGTGGGACTGGAGGGCTCGACTGCTGTGCTCGCATCTTCAGCCCGTTCAGCTTTCGGAGAAGACCTTCTTTCCACCTCGCCAGGTGCCTCGCTCACTGGTGTCAGCACTTGCACCGGCTCTGTGATGTCGTGCTCCCCTTCACTTCTCCCGTTCGCACCAGCGGGCGAGTGCGATGCTGCCTCCACGTGCTCTTCGCTTGATATGTTGTGCTGCTCCCGACGATCTTCGGGTGGACATCCGTGCCGCGCACTCTCTGTATCAGCCGCTATCACATTGACGGGCGAACCCAGATGGTCGTCACTGGGAGTGGGCATTCTCGAGGACTCGTGTGATGTGTATGCGGAGGGTACAGTAGGTCAGGTCGGAGGAATGATCATGGTATGCAGGCAAATGGTGGACATGAGACCAGAGAGGAGAAAACGCCGCACGAAGGACACGCTAAGAGTGGAAACGAGGTCTATGAAGGAGTCGTGGTATCGTTAGGGTATGTATTATGCTTGTCTGGTGGTAGAGTGAGCAGTGGGAGAGTGAGAGAGTGATGCGATCCATGGACATGACGTGCGACTCAGGTGGTCGTGGTGAAGAGGTGGGTGGGTGTCTGGAGATGCCGGTGCCGAGACGGAAGTAACCTTATTTTCCGGGCCCACGGACTCTCTTTCCTCTTTCCTCTTCCCCCTCCCTCCCCTGCCTCTGCCTTTGACCACTCGCGCCCAGGAGGGAGTGCGACAATTAGGCAGGCAATACATCTGCCGCCACTGGGAGGGTCCCGCTGCCCGAGTAGAATTACTGAGGTGGCAAGTCTGTAGGTCGTTCGAATCACCACCAGTTCTCTCCATCGTGGCCATCATAGCAGAACGTGTCGGAAGTCGTTGGTCAGACGTCCTCCACTTCTTGAATGCTTATATTGGCTTGATCTGGAATCGGTCAGCATCAAGCAACGCTTGTTCTCTCGGGCGGCCCACCTTGAAGTGTAGTGAGATCAGGGAGAAGACCAGAGCCTTCAGGTCTTGGACGAGATAGTAGAAGACACGCAGGCCTTCGGGGTCCTCAGACTCGTTCACGTCCACCAGAGAGCCAATCTTTGCCGTCTGTTCGAGCGTTAGCATGGGATATCATTCTTGCGCCAATTGCTCCTGACCTCAAACGAAATGTGCTCGCCTCCCATACGGATCTCGAGTTCCTGTCTTCCATCCTTGTTCTTCTGTGGCCACTTGGTGTCATCTTCCCTGTTTGGCATTAGTGCTGCGAGCAAGTGAAGCGCCTCGGATGTCTATCCTACTTCATGATCTCGCTGTCCTTGATGATTCGCTTGATTTCCTGGACCATCAGTGCACTCACGCACACTGTCCCTGTCAGCGAAAAAGTCCGAGTGTGGGGAAGAATGATGTGCTACATACTCTCTTTGCGGATGAGGGAATCATTGCGGTAATTCGAGTTGTTGGCATATCGTGCAATGGCAGACCGTCCATCGCCCACGACACGAAAGTCAAATTCTGGCAGGTGTTCAGCTTCTTCCCCTGTGTCGTCTTGAAATATCGGCCGGCTTACCCAAGAACTCGTGTCCGAAGCGGCCAGAGTGTCCCGAGCTTTTCACGTGTCAGTCCAAACGCGCTCCGTGCTTCAAAGGATAGACATACTAATAGCGAACGTAAAATGGTTCACCTGTGGATTCGGGCATTGTGTGCGAGTGTGGTGTGGCGGGGTAGTAGTGTTGAGAAGGAGACTGCAGCGTAGGAGGTGTTTAGATATGTACGCCTTGGTGTAGGAGGTAGGGCTGTTCTTCAGGCTTGGCTTGGCATGTACCGTGGAACTTGAGGTAGGGTACCTGAGATTTGGCGACGCAACGTAGACACTACTACCACCTTACACCACCACCTCTCAGCTCCATTACGACCTCCACCACGACAACACCTCTCTACCGCCTCATATACCTCCTCTCCTCCTCCCTTCCCTCCTCCTCCGCCGCCGCGCCTCTACCCATTCGACGTCGAATTAGCGACCAAAGCTGCAGCAGTCCGGCAGTGTGCCATCGGAGCAACGAGGGGCTGGCTCCATAAAGTGCTGTCTGTTGCACATACGAGCCGCCCATCATGGCGACCTTTCTCGAAAACTCGTACAGTCTGGTGCACCAGGACAATCTTGCCGATCTGCCGTCACAGCAAGATCTCAAGAACCAGCTGGAAAAGGGCACAGATGACAGTAAGCAAGAGACGATGAAGCGCATATTGACGGTCATGCTCAACGGGGATCCAATGCCTGGCCTGCTCATGCACATTATTCGTTTCGTCATGCCGAGCAAGAGCAAAGCGTTGAAGAAGCTGTTATATATTTACTATGAAATCTGTCCCAAGCTGGACTCCAATGGCAAGCTCAAGCAGGAGATGATTTTGGTGTGGTACGCATCAGCCTCAGCCTCAACAATGGAATTGGGCTAGGTAGTGAACTGACTTCCCGCAGTAACGGCATTCGAATGGACCTGCAACATCCCAACGAGTACATTCGCGGCAACACCCTTCGCTTCCTGTGCAAGCTGCGCGAAGCCGAACTGATCGAGCCTCTTCTTGCCCCCGCACGCGCCTGTCTGGAGCACCGTCACTCATACGTTCGCAAGAACGCCGTCTTTGCTATTGCCTCCATCTTCCAGCACTCGGAACATCTCATGCCCGATGCGCCCGAGCTCATCCAGAACTTCCTCGAGTCCGAGAGCGACAACACCTGTAAGAGAAACGCCTTCGCCGCCCTGCTCAGTATTAGCCACGAAAAGGCGCTGGAGTACTTGAGCGGTGTGTTCGAGGGCATACCCAACGCGAGCGAACTACTCCAATTGGTCGAATTGGAGTTCATTCGGAAAGATGCCGTGCAGAACTCGGGCAACAAGGCGCGATACCTCAGACTCATCTTCGACCTGCTAGAGGCCAAGGAGTCGACGGTGGTGTACGAGGCTGCTTCATCGCTCACAGCACTCACAAATAACCCCGTGGCAGTCAAGGCCGCAGCCGCCAAGTTTATCGAACTGGCCATCAAGGAGTCGGACAACAATGTCAAGCTCATTGTGCTGGAAAAGGTCAACTCGCTGCGAAAGGCCAATGAGGGCGTTCTGGACGACCTAACAATGGAGATCTTACGTGTGCTCTCGAGCCCCGATCTGGACGTACGGAAGAAGGCTCTCGAACTTGCCATGGACATGGTCTCCAGCAAGAATGTGGAAGAGGTCGTGCTACTGCTGAAGAAAGAGTTGGCCAAGACGGTGGACGAGCAGTACGAGAAAAACAACGAGTACCGATCACTTCTGATCCACTCGATACATCAATGTGCCATCAAGTTCTCCGAGATCGCACAAAGCGTCGTGGGTCTGCTCATGGACTTCATCTCCGACTTCAACAATGCCTCAGCTGTGGACGTCATATCTTTCGTCAAGGAGGTGGTCGAACGATTTCCAAAGATGCGCAGCTCCATTGTTGAGAGATTGGTGTCGACTCTGAGCGAGGTGCGCGCAGGCAAAGTATATCGCGGCAGCTTGTGGATTGTGGGAGAGTACTCGCTGGAGGAGAAGGACATTCGGGACGCGTGGAAACGGATTCGTGCCAGCCTAGGCGAGATTCCAATCGTTGCCTCTGAGCAAAGACTCTTGGACGAACAGCCCGATGGCGAGGCAGAATTGAATGGGCACACGAACGGTGATGCCAAGGCTGCGCAACCCACTGGCTCGAGAAAAGTCCTCGCTGATGGCACTTATGCAACTGAGAGTGCCCTCACGAGTAACGCATCTGTAAAGGCCAAACTTGACGCGGTGAAGTCTGCACAGAACCCGCCTTTGCGACAACTCATTCTCGACGGCGACTACTTTTTGGCGACAGTGCTCTCTTCGACTCTGACCAAGCTCGTTATGCGACACTCTGAGATCTCGAATGACGCTGCGCGGACAAACGCCCTTCGTGCAGAGGCGATGCTGATCATGATTTCGATCATCCGCGCTGGACAATCGCAATTTGTCAAGGCTCCCATTGACGAGGACTCGGTCGACCGAATTATGTCCTGTGTGAGGTCACTTGCAGAATTTCAACAAAAGAAGGACCTTGAGGTTGCCTTTTTGGACGACACAAGACAGGCATTCAAGTCCATGGTCCAGGTCGAGGAGAAAAAGCGGGCTGCCAAAGAAGCGCTGCTTCAGGCCAAGAACGCCATCCAAGTCGATGACCTCGTATCCATACGACAACTGAAGCCCAAGAACGCCATTGACAATGCAGACGAAGCGGAGTTGGATCTAGAAAAGGCCACTGGCGGCGACGCCACGACGGAGGATCTGACCTCGAAGCTCAGCCGTGTCGTGCAGCTCACTGGTTTCTCCGATCCAGTGTATGCCGAAGCATATGTGCAAGTCCACCAGTTTGACATCATTCTCGATGTGTTGCTTGTCAACCAGACTCGCGACACGTTGCAGAACCTATCAGTGGAGTTTGCCACACTTGGAGATCTCAAAGTGGTAGAGAGGCCAACGACACAAAATCTTCCCGGCCTCGACTTCCTCAACGTGCAGGCTACCATCAAAGTCTCATCCACGGACACAGGCGTCATCTTTGGAAATGTGGTATATGATGGGCCTGCATCGACCGAGTCGAACGTGGTCATTCTCAACGACGTCCATGTCGACATCATGGACTACATTCAGCCCGCTTCTTGCACCGAGACACAATTCAGGACAATGTGGACCGAGTTCGAGTGGGAGAACAAGGTCAACATCAACACCAAAATGCCTTCTGGATCTGGGTTGCGAGACTTTTTGCAACGCCTCATGAAGGTGACGAATATGAGCTGTCTGACGCCCGAGGCGAGCTTGGAGGGCGAGTGTCAGTTCTTGAGTGCTAATCTCTATGCTCGCAGTGTCTTTGGTAAGTCATCAGCGCGGACTGTGGTTCCTAGAGCGATGATACTAATTTCTGTGTTTAGGCGAGGATGCTCTGGCAAACTTGAGTGTAGAAAAAGAAGGCGAGAACGGGCCCGTTACTGGATTCATGCGGATACGCAGCAGGTCGCAAGGTCTTGCTTTGAGCTTAGGGTCACTCAAGGGTTTGACCAAGATTGGCGAGATGATGCTATAAGGTCTATACGAAATTGTAGGAGAGGGCTGACACCGCGATGCTTCGCTGGAAATACCTGCGCTATTGGTACGAAATTGGCTGGTATGATTGAGGCGAGATACTAGCGGGTATTACAGCGCGAAGTATAGCGTATAGCGTTGAAGCCTGCTGATTGCTCTATCGAAATCGACGAGCGGTACAAAAGTCCAGCGGTAAGAGAGATAGAAAGTAGGGAGCTCTAAACCTATTAAGAGGCCAAATGGGTTTCCATATATCATATATGGCGTGAGGCATTTTAGGGTTAACCCTAAAATGCCCTAAGGCCACACATGCCTCAGACATACCTCCTTGTTGGCTTGTAAAGAATTTCCATACAACGCCAGTACTAATTCCTAGTACATATATGCATATAACCAAAGGTAGTAATAGTGGCAGGTGCAGGGAACGGATTGTCAAAAAAAAAAAAAAAAAAAAAAAAAAAAAAAAAAAAAAAGAAATCGTAAATAATTGGAGGGAGTTAGTAGTGATGATGGTGGTGGTAGTAGCGGAGTTATGTGCCATGCCATATGGCATTCTTATCTACAGCCTTTTTTTTCGCAAAAGGATTTCACATGCGCCCTCAAAGCGCCATGCCTCCTGTGCATGAAATCACATGCAGCCGACATGGTCTGCTCTTTCATTCTTTCTGAAAATGCCCCCGCCGCTCATGCAAGCCCGCCTGTGCTCTTCTGGAAGAACTCCCAATACTCCTACAACGCGACACGACGCCATGCTTCTTCGTTGCATTGCTCGAAAAGATCAAGAAAGGCCTCTACGGCCGGTGCGAGTAGTGCTTTGATGTGTACAAATGGAAAGATGCAACTACTACACCTCACCACCTCTTACTGGCATCCTCTAGCTGTTTGTACAACGCAGGAGCAGGAGGCGCAGGTCCAGCACCGGGTAGAGGGGGAGGTACACTGCCTCCGTCAGAGTCACCGATGCCACCCGTCGGAGGCGTTCCAGGCGCAGGTCCCAGAGGCTTGTTGTCACCGCTTCCAGAGAAATACTTGGAGAACTCTCCCGGATCAGCCCAAGGACGCTTGCCCAGTAGGCGAACCATGTCGTCTCTGTCAATCATCTCTTTCTTCAATAGCTCCTCAGCAACCAGTCCAACTTCACGCTTCTTCTCTTCGAGCAATTGTCGACATTGCTTGTAGGCTTCGTTGACAATTCGCTTCACTTCCGCATCAATGTTCTGTGCAGTTTGCTCGGAGAAGGGCTTTTGCAGTTGTGTTTCTTGTGTTTCGCCGCTGGATGGGTAGTAGATGTATCCCAGGTTGGACATGCCCCATTTGGTGACCATGGCAGTGGCCATACGAGTCACTTTGTTAAAGTCGTCGCTGGCGCCAGAAGTGACTGTATCGAAATGAAGCTCTTCGCTAACTCTGCCGCCAAGGGTCATGGCCATGCGGTCCATGAGTTGCTTCACGTTCATAAGCACTGCGTCGTTACCGCCTCCGGGGAGGTATTGTGCGTATCCCAGAGCGCCGGCACCACGAGGGATGATGCTAACTTTCAGCAGTGGATCAGCCCATTGGAAGTACCATCCGCAGATGGCGTGACCGGCTTCGTGGTATGCCACAGTCTTCTTCTCTTCGGGTGTCAGGACAAGAGACTTCTTCTCCAGGCCGCCAATGACGCGCTCAATGGCTTTCTCAAAGTGCTCCATGGTAACGGATTCTGCGGCAGCACGAGCCGCGACAAGTGCGGCTTCGTTTACACAGTTGGCGATGTCAGCGCCTGCAAAACCTGGAGTAAGAGCCGACAGACGACCCTTCAGGTGCTCCATGTCTTCATTGGTGACGATGCTCTTCAAATGCACACCGAAAATCTGTTTCCTGCCTTCCATAGTCGGTCGGTCGATAGCGATGTGTCTGTCGAAACGTCCCGGTCGCATCAGTGCCTTGTCAAGCACATCTGCTCTATTCGTACCAGCAAGTACCACGACCTGTTCTGACGTGTTGAATCCGTCCATTTCTGTCAGGATCTGGTTGAGTGTGCTTTCACGCTCGTCATTGCCGCCACCAAACGATGACTTCGCACGAGCTTTTCCAATGGCATCGATCTCATCGATGAAGATGATACAGGGCGTGTTCTTGCGAGCATTGGCAAAGAGATCTCGTACACGACTGGGACCAACACCAACAAACATCTCCACAAATTCGGAGCCAGAAACGGAGAAGAAAGGCACACCACTCTCGCCTGCTGTAGCCTTGGCAAGAAGCGTCTTACCAGTCCCGGGAGGTCCTGACAAGATGGCACCACGAGGGATCTTTGCACCGAGCTTTTGAAACCTCGCCGGGTCCTTGAGAAAGCCCACAAACTCCATAATCTCCGTCTTCGCTTCATCCATTCCTGCAACGTCGGAAAACTTGACTTTGATGTCCGTCTCGTGGTTGAACTTCTTCGCTCGACTCTTGCCCATGCCGAAGACTCCGCCGCCAGCACCCCCGCCTGACGCAGCTCGCCTTGACATATAAGTAATGGCGCCGATGAAGAGCAGCGTCGGACCGAAGCCAAGTATGAGGTTGGCCCAGCTGCCCTCCTGGGTGTATGAGACGGGAATCCTTTCGGAGCTGGGAATTCCGAGCTCATTTTGCGCCTCGTCTACTCTTCGCTCAAAAGCCTCCACAGAACCAATGCTGAAGAAGTAGTAGAAGCCTTGCTGTGACGCGGGGGACTCTGGATACATGGCCGCTACGTTCTCACGGTGGAGATAGACACGCACTTGATTGCCGTTGATCACGACAAGCTTCTCCACAAGACCTTTGTCGAAGAAGGTGTTCCGGAACTCTTGCCATGTGATTTCCCTGCTGTTCTCCGTTGGCGAGAATAGTCGGTATAGCATATATGCGACAAATGCAGACACCAGGAAGTTGGACAAGTCAAACTTGACCTCTTTGACAGCACCAAACGGTGACTGGCCTTCCTTCTTCTTGCCGCTGTCTTTATTGCCGCTTGTCCCAGCTGGGCCTGGATTGTCCGACGTCTTTTGTTGTGGCTCTGCATGCTTCTCGTTCACAACGTCTTCGGCTGTCTGTCGTGCAATGTGGGTGGTTAACCGCCACAGTTTAGCGGCCCGAGCGGGAGACATGCCGACTTTGGATACCTCTGCTATCGTTTCGCGCAGCTCCGCAGGCAGGCCCTCCCGCTTGATCTTCTTCAGCGCCATGTCAATATCGGCAGCCATAGAGGCCGGCATTCCCTTCTTGACCAGAGCGAAGGTGTCCTCAAGAGCCTTCTCCTCAGCCGCAGTCAGCTTTGACTTGCCATCATCTGGCTCTTCTGGCTTCTTCCCGGGCTGCTGAGGATCTGACGACAGCGGCGACTGCTGCGAGTAGAGGTTCTCCATGCCCTTCGGCTGCGAGCCCGACTTCTTGTCGACCTGTTTGTCATCATTCTCCTTCTCGGTGGAGTACTGCCGACTCCGAGCGTATGCGTAGAGGGGTCTAGGAAGGGACGCAGGGCGCTGTGCGAGTGTTCGGGAGAGAGAAGCGGCCTCGAGCAGCTGGCGAGAGGAACGGGCAATGCTCTGCGGCCTTCGGAGGAGGCCTGACATGGCTGTGGTGGTATGGGAGGTCGAGAGTGGCGATGACCGATATCTTTCAATGCTCCAAGGTGACCATACACAGCGGACTTCGTGCAAGGGAACCAGGAGCGCAGTGTGTGAGTGAGGGAGGGAGGCGTGGGTGAGTGAGTGAGTGAGGTATGGCGAAGGCGAAGGCGCAAGGCATACCTAGTCAGCACCGTTTCGATGACGGGACCAAACACGGCAACGCCCGCCGAGCCGCATCGCCACCCTCTGCGCCATACCACTCTCCACTACAGAGGACCAACCTGCCGTCAACCTCAGCTGCTTGTACTAGCGAACGGTTTATTCCCAGTACATCTTCACGCCGGATCTCTTCTACCAAGCATGACCCCAGCACGATTCATTATTCATCTCTGCTGCGCCAGGTCGTCAACATAAAGGTAAGGTATAGAGAGAAAGTTTTATAGCCTTGAGCAGTTTTATAGCCTCGAGCAGTATTTTAGCCTCGAGCAGTATTTTAGCCTCGAGCAGTATTCCTCAAAACAAAACCGAGGAATAACAGAAAACAAGAGTAGGGGGGTTTAAGTAGTTGTAAGAGTATTCAACTGGGGTTTTGATATATAGTAGTTAGACAGATTTGTAGAAAAAATGTAAGTGCCAGGAAATAGAAGCACAAGTTACTGTTGTCGTATGTACATTATTCTGCTACCTTAAATTTAACAAGCTGGCGGTTGGTGCTGTTACTACCAGGTAGACACGGATCTTGTCACCACAATCATTACATATACATCTTTCCGCTTGTTTTTCAAATAGTCACATCACTGGGCATATGCTGCGAAATTGGTCAGTCAGTCGGTTCTGCAATCAGATTTTCGAAGTACCTAGGTAGTCCACCAAGTCAACAAGAAGAAAAATAAAGAACTTACCCTTGATCGGCGGCTCCACAATGACCTTTTGCGGATACGTGACGGTAGTCAGCACAGCCGCGACGATAGAATTTTCGGTCAACAAGAAATCCGTCAAACCCAAGCCCGGCGCGAGGAAATTCTCGCACAGTTGCTGCAAATTCGGAATTCTCGACACCTGACCGGGACCGGGGTGCGCGAGAGCATCCTGGAGAAGAGCGAAAGACAAAGGATTATACATGACTCCTTCGTGAGTGTAAAGGCTTCCGGCAGGAGCGCCGGAGCAGACTTGTTGGACTTCGGTATTGGAGACACCCACGTTGCGAGCATCGCGGATGAAGGCGGAGGCTGCGGTACCGGTTTGGGGTTGGACGATTTCGTCGAAGAAGCTGGAGTAGATGGAGGTGGTGGGGACGTAAGCGCTATCTCCACCGTTTGATCGAAGGGTGTTGATGAAGTTGGAGCCGGCTGCTTGTTGGACATAGGCCGGCGGCAAGGGAATTCCGGGCGTAGCGAGGAAGGTGCCGAAAATGCTACCAGCGAAGTCTCCGGAAAAGGTGATGAAGTCTGTGACCAGTCTGCGTGCGGATGGCCAGTATTTCCAGGCCCATTGCCCGTCAAGGCTTCCCTGTGACCATCCCGCCACGGAGACATTTCGGTTGCCACTGATGCCAGAGATGTAGTTGACCGCATATGCCACGTACTCGGCATTTTGCTGAACGTCTCCGAGGAGGTATCCGGGGATGTTCAGCCAGACGGGGTCTGCGATGGAAGAGCCCTGCAAGAGAGGGATCATGTTGCCGATGAAAGTGAGATAGCCTGCCCGATGTTAGAGACGAGAGCAGCAGAGATGATCACGAACAAATATATATATGGATATGAACTCACCTGTCGCGCCAGTCCCCGGCGTCAAGATAATGGGATTAGGTGCTCCGCTCCTGCCATACTGGAAGCTCGATGGAATGTGAATCGCTGCTCGGAGAGACTCTTCTGAAAGCGAGTATGGGGCGTCCTGCGGGTTGGCCTTGGGGTAGATGTTTGTAGCTGGCTGTATGGGATTCACGTTGTTGAAGCTGTTCTCTCCATTCGCCTGTGCACTTGACCCGACACCTTTGACAAAGTTGAGCAAGTCTGGAATGTTGTCCTTAGACAGTCCAGCTGAAACCAAGCTGGCAACGTAGCCGTAAATGTTCGATGGCTTCGCACCTCCAACGAGAATGTTTTGAAGATCGTTAAATGCTGCTGGTAGACTAACTGGGACTGCTGTGCTTGTGACTGCTTTCAGACTGTCCTCGATTCTCCCAAACAGATTGTTCGTCGGTGGGTTCGTCACCGTCTCGTTGAGTAGATTTTCGATATTGGCGACAACCAGACCCAATGGATTATTTTGGCGGGCCTCAAGTTCCACTTCCTTGACAGTGGACGTGGGCACGGCTTGGGTCTGATGGAGTAGAGCACCAAGGAGTCCTAGCACCAGGGAAGTCCGCATGTTGGCCATGAACGCGTGGTAGTGAGGTAGGATCCAGATGTCCAAATTGGTGCCTGTCGAAGCTGTAGAGCCACCGAGGGATGGAGAAACGAGAAGTTAACATTGCTTCGCGAATATCAACACCATTTGTGGTCGGCCAGTCATGTCCACACTGTGGCACATGCCGAATAGGTTTCGGGACGGTGCCAATACGAGACTGAATTGATGAAACTATGTTCAATTCCAATTCGCCCATGCGTGTGTGGCTTGAGTCTGCTTGTGTGATGGTGCAAAGTTGGCCTGCTTACGGACTGTTCATTTGACTCGCAGTGCCACCTACAAAGTACATGCTACCTCACTCTACCTCCTAGGTCCTTCTGTGGAGGGTAAGTGTAGTGATCCAGAACCAGATGCAGCGGCCGAGGTAGCTCCCCTCTCCTACAAATCGGATTACGCTCAAAACACTAACCCTCTTCAGACGCACGTCATCTGGCTCTATCCCCATACACTTCCTCTAGCGCAATGGAACCTTTTCGTGGTTGTCGATCACGTTGTCGATCAAGATATCAGGCTCTTTTCTTCTGGGGATACGGGTTTCGCAGGCCTTGAGCCGGCTGTCCTACTTCCCGTTGTCTTGAGAATACGATCTGTTAGAGCTTGACTACGCTTCATTTACTGCTCCCGTTCGTGACTTGCTAAGGATGTGGTATATCCATTCCATTCCCAAAATTCAGCAAAACTGGCAGCGCCTCTCATCCTGCATCTTGTAGAAGCCTCGGCCTGTCCAGGCAGAGTAGGAGGTACATTAGCTTGTCAGCAAGAGAAGCAAGGAAGTATGGAGGCGTTCGCAGCGGGCCAAATCAGGAAATGATCTTGGTAGGCTAAGAGATACTTCCGTACCTCCGTAGTGAGGCGAGGCCATGCGGTGGCGCCGTTTAAGAGGCGTGATGACTACTGGCATTCCCCAGCCGCGAAAAGACAAGCGAGGCCAGGCTCAGGCTTGCAGTGTCACTGCGAAGTACCTCCTAATTTGGATATGATGCCGCCGGTGGTGTTCTGGGCACTTTTTTAAATCATGTCATGTCGCTGTGATGGATGAAGGTGATGGTCCTGATGGATGATGATACTGACCTTTTATACTGGGGGAGAGAAGGACGGCAGGTTGCAATCCTACGGCGTGCCACAACAGAAGCACAGTCTCAGTGGGAGGTACGGTGAACTATATACATTAATGGGACTAAACTGAAGTGGAGCTATACCACACCAGCCCCCACTCTAACATGACATCACCTCTTTCTCGAAGTTGAATCCATCCACAACTCAGCCATAACACATTTCTCGCGCTCTGAAGTCCCGTGATAATCATCGTCCTCTTGTAAGACGACAGCTATCGACGCGCCAGAAGGCAGAACAGCCGTGATCGATCGTGGTAGCATCGACTACTCGTCTCAAACGACACCATTCCGAGCTGACATCAGCAATTCAGCATCATGTCGACCTACAGAGTTGCAGTGTCGGAGGAGAAGCTGATTACGCTGAAGATCAAGCTCGCTCAGGCCGAGTTTCCTGATGAGGCATGATCTCTGCACAAGATATTGCATACAACATAATCGCTAATCCGCTCGATCAGCTTGACGGAGCAGCATGGGACCATGGTGCACCTCTGGCAGACGTCAAACGTCTGGCGGAGCACTGGAAGACAAAGTTCGATTGGTATGGCATTATTATCTGCTCCGTATAGTGAGATGGAGTCCGCTAAAGCGATCTCTTTCGCCCTACAGGCGACTGCAAGAAGCCAAGCTCAACGAATTGCCAAACTTTCATCGGAGTGTAAAGGTTGAAGGGTTTGGAGACCTTGATATCCACTATCTCCATCAGCCTTCAGAGAGTCCCGATGCGATTCCGCTCCTCTTTGTCCATGGATGGCCGGGAAGTTATATCGAAGTGGCCAAAATGCTCGAGCCCTTGCGCAACAGCAGCAATGGTGTCGCTTTTCACGTCGTAGCGCCATCTCTGCCGAACTTTGGCTGGTCTCAAGGCGTCAGAAAAAGGGGCTTTGGCCTCGCTCAGTACGCCGAAACGTGCGACCAGCTGATGCAGTCTCTTGGCTATAGCCAGTATGTGACTCAGGGAGGCGACTGTACGAGATGACATCCTACCAGAACTTGATCACATCCATACACTGACATCGTGTTTGCAGGGGGCATGATGATCACTCGTACCATTGGTCTACGCTATCCGCAACGCTGCTTGGCTTCGCATATCAACATGATCCGCGCAGGCCCACCCACGTGGACAAAGCATCCCATCTTGTCACTCCAACATGCACTGACTCCGTACAGTCAAGCGGAACGTGATGGTTTCCAGCGATCGCAATGGTTCCTCAAAGAGGGTTCTGGGTATCGCATGATTCAAGCGACAAAACCCCAAACAGCAGGGTATGGCCTTCATGACTCCCCCGTGGGCCTGCTGGCGTGGATTTACGAGAAATTGCACGACTGGACAGACGACTATCCTTGGACTGATGTAAGAAAAAATCTCTCCATTCTGCCATCTTCTTTCTTAGACACTCCACTCTAAGAAAAGAAGGGTGCAAAAAAAAAAGAGGAAAACTTCACTAACATGGGACCCCCCCTTCCCGGGTCGGATTTTATAGGACGAAATCCTAACATGGGTCTCAATCTACTACTTTTCCACCGCAGGACCAACAGCGAGTCTCCGCATCTATTACGAAGCCGTCCACCCCTCCGGTCCAAACTTCATTCACAGAGACCGAACTTCCCAATGGATTCCCAAAGTCCAACTAGGCTTATGCCACTCTCCCCGAGAACTCACCATCATTCCTAGCACGTGGGCAAAGACTCTGGGTCCCGTGGTCTATGAAGACCGAAAGTCGAAAGGAGGCCATTTTGCAGCGCACGAGATTCCTGAGGAAATTGTGCGGGATCTGGTGACCATGTTTGGAAAAGGTGGGAAATGCTATCGGATTATCAAGACGAAAGCGAAGCTGTGAGAGAGAGAGATTTCGATTGGCGTGGTGAGCGTGAGCGGAGGCGAAAAAGAAAAGCATCACGGTCGACAGTACTGGGTGCATTCCGGTGGCTAGGACTTCTTTTTTTTTTTTTTTTTTTTTTTTTTTTCTTACTTTTTTCCCCCAAAAACAAACAAAGCGTGAGCGGTGTGCAATAGTGTGGCCATCAGTGTAGTATGAACAAAGAATAACGATGCTCTCCGACCTTTGAGATACATATATGTCCAGGACACAAAGGGTTCTTCAAATGCCGGATTCGGTTGGGTCTCCATCAGCAAGACAATGGGAGAGAGGTATACGCACACATACACATAACGATACACTCCAACGTGAAGCTTGCGGGCAATACAGTCTACACAATATAATGCCATCCCTCCAGGACCTTGGAGTTGATCGAGAAGTCTCCGAAGCAGTGGCGCTAGTGACCTCTCCAACGACCAATCCCATCATCGTCTCCTACCTACGCCGTCTCTATACACAAGAACTGACAAGCCACCCACTAGTCCACTCACTCTTCTGCTTCCCGCAATGGACAAACATCACACACGAGCAGTATCTCTGCATCCTACCCGCACTAGCGCTCGCCAGCAATCTCCTCAGCGAAGCACCGACCACAAATTACATTTACGCCTTACTCCGCTGTCCGACTAAAATCCGGCTGGATAACAGAAATCGATCCTACGAAGAGTTCACCTGGCTATGCACAGACCGTTCACAACCTCTCGGCCCGGAAGCGCAAAAGACGTACGACGCATGGCTTCTCGCTCTGGTGCCCCATCTCCAGCTGTCGACAGACGCGAGCATCGAAGAAAGCAGTTGCGCACACACGGTTCCAGAAGATTTAATTTATCTTGCCCCCGGGTGTGATGCAGTCGGAGTGGGCAGCACCATGCAAATTTCTCTTCCTTCGATCCGCGCCATGGATCCGAAACGGACGAATGCGAAACTATTGCTGCTGCGATGGAAACATTTGGCGACGACGATTGTGCATGAGCTGTTGCATGCCATCATGTATGCGCATCGGGGGATGTTTATGATTGAAGGGAGTTGGCAGGCGAAGGAGAAGTGGTTTGCGGCGGATGATTATGTAGAGGTGGGGTTTAGTTGGGAACAGGCGGTGATGGGGGGGATTTCGAATTTTGTAAGCAGGAATAGGAGGAGGGAGGAGGAGGAGGAGGAGGAAGAGGAAGAGGAAGAGGAGGAGGAAGAGGAAGAGGAAGGGGAGGAGGAAGGGGAGGGGAAGGGGAAGGGGGGAATGGAAAAGGGAAAGGGAAGGGGGAAGAAAGGAGAGGGGAGAAGAAGTCGGAGAAAGCAAGAATTGCTGTTGCATGATATGGATCAGTCGGGTACGGTGGAGTTGTATCGGAATGGAAAGACGAGTTTTCCGGTGGATGATGTGCGTGAAGGGCAGAAAGGGGGTGTTGTGGGCAAGATTGAGCCGAAAGAAGTGCTCGTAGAGTTGCGAGACTTGATTCATAAGAGTATGCGGAAGGCGCTTACCTAGGTAGAAATACATAACTTCCCAGTGTGGAAAAGTTGGATATTACCTGACCTACCTAGTAAGGTATGATTTGATATTGTACAGGAGGAAGCGAGGCAGCCGCGAACAAGAGTCGAGCACGTGTGTTCGCTCCTTCCGGCGTTCAAGAATCGAGCAAATGATGTCGTCACTCAGACGATCAGCATCAACTCCCTACCCGTAATTCACGTACCTATACCTCAGGTACCTACCTACATACCTTATATAGGTATATTGTCGACCACCCTTGCCACAACTTACTATCAAGGACACTTCATCACTCCCATCAGAAGCTCCATCACACAGCTTGTAGAAAACACCAGCCACCACTTCAGCCAACCGGTCCAACCCAGAAATCTACGCACCCGCACCGCGAAACGCCGCAACAACAACAATAAACAGCAATCATGTTTCTCCTCCGCACCTCCCGTTTCACCATTCCTGCAACACGCGCCCGAGCAGCAGCACCGTTCCGCGTCTCCCAACCCTTCTCCACACTCCCACGCCTCTTCTCCGGCAGCGATTACGGGTCCGGCGAACACAATAAAGAAAAGAATCTTGAAAGCGCGAGCCACGACAAGGAACATCCAGGACCTGCTGCACCATCGACAGGAGGCAAGAGCAGCAGCAGCAGCAAGAAGTCTAACGACAAGAGCGTCGAGAGCGGCTCGGAGAGCAGCAGCAGCAGTGAAGGAGCACAGCCTAAGATCTTGAGCGAATCACCGCCAAAGGAGAATGAGCAGTCGGATGATGTCAAGTCGCACAACAAGGAGGTGAAGGCGCGTGTCGAAGGGACTTACAAGTCCAAGGAGAAGGATACCCATTCGTAGGGAGGCAAGAGGAGTTGGTTTCGGACAGGTTCTTTCAGTTTGTAGCAGTGTTCATCACTGCTAGACGTACAACGACTGCGCCTGAAAGAAGGCGAGACGCCCGCTACGAGGGCGAGGAAAGGATTGTTGTTATTACTGTTGAATCGGACTCTTTGAGGAGGTCGCGCGCAGTAATGAAGAAAAGCAAGCCGGACAAAGCCCGTTTTTGTAAGCCGACATTATCCCCGCCGAGACTTCCCACTGGCACCAGGGGTGTTCAACTAGGTACATGTAATATTGCAAAACCCAATAAATGGTCGTCAAAGACACGAGTAACTTGGCGAAGATTAATTATGTGAAAGTTGTGTGTGTGTGTGTGTGTGTGTGTGTGTGTGTGTGTGAGAGAGAGAGAGAGAGAGAGAGATGAGTGAATGTACCAACCGCTTGTTCCCTAATGAAAGTTGTCTGTAGCATTGTGTGTACCTATATGTACAGGTATGCATCTGTGTTCTCTGGTAGCAAAAACACACAACCATATATGTTCCTCGGCCTCACATTTTCATTCCTTCAAGTCATATCCGTAAGAGGAACCATGCTTGCAGTAGTGGATACAGCCAGTATACATACACCCAGTCCCTCCGCTCCGGTTGCAGCGCCCCGCTGTACAGAGCGGATAAAAGACAGTAGTGGTGATGGTGATACTCGTAGTGGAAAGTAGATGTAGTAATAGTAGTAGTGTTAATAGTAGTAGTAGTAGTTGTAGTAGTAGTAGTAGACTCTTGTGCCGAATTGCCCCCACGCTGCGTCTAGCAATCGTCTCCTGGGTAGTCTGTCTGTCATTGTCGTCATTGTCGCATGCAGAATGTGTTGCCTGCGTTGCTGCTTCTCGTGTCCTGGCCCTCTTCTTTACTTTGCCGCGCACAAACGCTCACAAAAAAGAAGCAAGCCGGCCCGCATCCGCCGCGCCTTTATACATACACCATTCGTCCCAAACCTATCCGCAGAAATGCATCATCATCGTCGTGGTGATTATTGGGGAGAATGATCGGCAGAACTTGTCTGACCCGAGCCATCAACTCCTCCTGCCACATCGCCGCCACGCCGCCGCTTCCAGAACTTCAAACCCCGTAATCGGCTACGACTGCGAGACTCTCGAATCCGCGGCTCCGATGTGTGTGAGTCGAATCGTGATGACAAGGACGATCCCCCACTCGCTACTCGCGAAATGACGGGTGACGAGTCAGACTTTTTGGCGGGGACCACCGTCGCTGAGGTTTCCGGCGCCGGCAAAATAGCAGGCGCCGAGGAATGATGTATTACTGTGCCATCCAGGTTGTTGAGCATCTCTGTTGCTGCTGGAGCTGATGTACAGCTGCAGTGCTGTGTCCCGGGCTGGAACGAGTCATCTAAGGCGAGTGATGACGCTTGTGTAGAGGGTGGCCTCGTCTCTGTCAAAATCGGACCTCCCGATGCTGTGTGTTGTGGCCTCGAAGGAGCTGTTGCGTAAGAAGTGGCAGTCGAATTGTGCTGCGATGTACTGCGCTTGAGGCTTGTGCAATGAATCAATCCAGAGCCCCGAGCTGGTGAAGAGGCTTTACCAAGCCGAGTCTGCGACGACGATGGCGAACTCCTGGTAGCTGGACTACCTTGACTAGTAACCAAGATCGTAGTCAAGCTTTCTTCTTTGCTTCCTCGCCGAGAGCCGGGATAGTTCTGGTGAAGCTGCCAGCCAGCATCCGCTGACCCTCTTCGCGAGCCTGCAGGAGCCAGGTTTTGCTGCGCATAGGCACTCAACTCATGCATATGGTTCAACGCTACATCCTTACTAGAACGTCGGCTGCCACCGGTAGTGGGAACGAGTTGTATAGCGCTAGGCCACAGGACCGGCGTGGACGAGCGCTTCTCCTCGGCCATTGACGGAGGTAGTGAGTGAGGTTGACGCTGCTCGCTAGCCAGGTGCCGTGTAGGGGAGCCAAGATGGCCCGCATCGACAGGGAGCTGGCGCCTTACAGGAGAAGTGGTTGCCTGTAGGACATCAATTGGGACGGCGGCAGGTTCAGACTCCACACGTCTACGCATGCGAGCCTCCTCCACTTGGGAGTCCGTCACCGAGCCGAGAGTTTTCGATGGCCGGCGGTTGTCGCCTCCCGCTTCTCGGCGAGCAGTCTCTTCCACAATCCTCTTCTCCCAGACTTCCTTGTTGTGCTCCAACTCTGACAGCGTGCAGGACACGTTCGGCATCACTTCCGAGATGCCCTTGAAGAGCGGAAAGCCAAACAAATTCATGAACCCTTTTTGGCTTTGAGCGGCCGCGAGCAAATCGTTCTCGTCGGGTGGACCGCCGAACAAACACGTTGGTATTTGCAGTTCAGATTCGAGCTCTCCTTGCCGTGCAAACTCATGCATGAGGATCTTGGCCCACTGTGCAGACACCTCAAAAGGACGCGCAACATTCGAGATGTCTGCTGCCTTGAGCAGCAGCGCCATTGCGAGCTCTTTGGCATGAGATTTGTCCTTCTCGCTCCAGTCTGTCAAGGCAGAGTCACTAGTCTCCATCTTCTGCTTCAGATCGCTGAGGTATCCCATGTATTCAAAGTGCCGTTGCATATCGGTCGCGAGAATAATCGAGATCATGTTGCTACGAAATTGCGGGATTCCATTCAGCTGCGGCCAGTGTCTCCTCAGCAGCTGCGAATATGCGGCGCAGTGGTAGTTCTCGAGAACAGACTTGTCGTTGTACACCTGCGCCAACTGGTGACTGCTAGCCACGAGGAAAGCATTATTCACGCCAGGATGTGCAACATCGTGTCCAATTGCAGACACAATGAGAATAAGGGCCTCTGTTGGAGTCAGCAGTTGTTCTACAGCATTAGCCTCCATATCTTCTTTGCTTTGTGACACCACTTGGGTGGTGCCCGCACACAAATGTATCTGACTCAGAAAGACATATAGCGACTGAGTCACATCAACAGCATGCCGCCAGTTATGGTAGTGCACCTCCCGCTCATGCTTGTATTCGCGCCGGGCTGCCAGCACGAACGTCATCAACTGTGGCCGGGCCAGACGGTAAGGTTCCAACCCCGTGTTTTGTAGAACGTTTTCGAGCATGATCATTGCGGCGTATGCTAGTTCGTCCATATCGAAGTCGTGGGCAGGAAAGTTCCAATGAGCCACAGCGTCCTCTACTGCCTTTCTGCGCTGGGCGGAAAGGTTCTCGTCTGGTCGATGGGATGCCACCTGCGGCCTCGTGTTGTCGGTGATGTGCCGTACTAGGCCTCGGGCCATGTCAGAGGCCAGGGCTTTGGCCGGTGCCCTGGTCGTCTCCTTAATATGACCAGTCAGCTGATGGACAGCTTCTGCGCACAGTGGGCTCCGCATGATGTCGAGCGCTCCCGCTTCTAAATATGTGCTTTCAAACGAGGCGTCCAAGAAACGAGCGGGATCGGCAGAGGCGTGTGTTGCTAGTAGCACAAAAGCCATTACCTGGCGAGCATAACGTTTTGACCGCACACCAGCCGCCAGCTTCTGTAAGAATTGCACTGCATCGGCGGCCGAGTCCTCAGCGTCGGACTCGACAAATTCGGCCAACACAGCAGTAGGGTTGGTGCTGGCAAAGACGTCCATTTGGGACAGACATTGCTCGTAGTCTGAACTCACAAAAACTGTGAGGGTGTGTCAGCAACGTCCAGTGCTTCATCGGTTAGCGTAGCTTGCGCACCTGTTTCAAAATTTCCCACATCTTCGTCAAGAAGCTTGCGCACGTTCTGGTATACGTTGAACAGAGCCGGGCGCGATGCACGATCGCCGGATGTTATGACTGGCGGCTGTGAGGCCTGGAACAACTCGCATATATCGGCGTCGCTCTTTGGGCAATAGTAGACAACCCTACAAGAGTCATCGTCGTTCGCTTCCATCTGTTTTGCGACGACGGCACACGAGCTCGCAATGATCCCGCGAAATCTCGTGTCGGCTGCTTCCTATGCGAAGAAGAGGTCCTCGGACATGCGGTAGTGAAGATGTGGACGGTGACGAGGGCAGCAGCGGCGGCGGCGGCGGCGGCGGAGGCGGAGTGAGCGCTCAGGCCGCGCGCTCTGGTGGAGAAAAGGGCGAGTGCCTGGGAGGAGTGGTTCGCCTGTGCTCGCGCATAGATGTCCGATCAGATGCGCTTCGAGTCGCGGATGGGAAAAGAGCAGTGTGCTATCGGGTGCAGATGGCGCGAAGCAGGAACGACATCTGAGCAGAGCAGCAGCAGCAGCGCCGCACCGGGCAACCACGATCCCGCACGCAATGAAGAGTATCGGGGAGTGATCTGATTCGGTATGTAAGGCTCGGTCGCACCGTCGAGGGAATGCAGGCGGCGCAATTTCAGCGAGGAATGTTTGGTGCCTCTCTCTCTCTCTCTGTCTTTCGCTCTCTTTCGCTCTCTCTCTCTCTCTCTTTCTTGTTCTCTCTCTTTCTTGCGCTCTGTCTCTCTCGCGCGCGCGCTCTCTCTCTCTCACACACACACACACACACACACACACCCTCTCTCTCTCTCTCTCAACTCTCAACTCTCTCCCGCGCGCGCTCTCTCTCTCTCTCTCTCTCTCTCTCTCTCTCTCTCTCTCTCTCTCTCGCTCTCTCTCTCTCTCTCGCTCTCAACTCTTCCTTTCTCGCTCGTTCCCAGCTCGTTCGCTCGCTCGGACACGACAATGTATATCTCTCACGTGCGCGTATCTCGTTTTTGGTCGTGCGTCGTCGGTGGCTCGGTCGGGCAGAGTGCGGTGCAGTCTCGTGTGTGTAGGGGTGGTGTGGTGGAGAGACGGCACAAAGCCACAAACAAGAACCTAAGGTGCGCCGGGGTGGAGGGAGCGGAGCACTGGAGCAGGCAGATCGACCACAAAACCAAAAAACGCAAGTCAAAGCCAGTCCTGAAAGTCTTGCTTCCATTCGTCTTCGAGAAGGCGGATGGCGCCCCGCCGCCCGTGAATCAAGCAAGGGCGGCTGGTCCAGTGAGTCCAGGATGGGCGTTCAGTGGTAAGTTCCCTGTCTTTCCACACTGACCCCAGTCTAGTCTTGGAATCGTCTCATCTCATCCTGCGGTTGTCCACTCCCGTCCCTGTTGGTGACTCTCCGACCTAGTACTACATGCCCAATGTACAATTGTACCTGTACCTGTACCATTCTTCTTCCCACACCCACACCACACCCACACCCACACCCACACCCACCACACCACACCACACCTGCATCTCGGCCCTGCCATGCCATGTCCAGACACGCTGCAGGCGGCCTGATGATTCTAGGAGGTATAGGAGGTAGATCCCACGTCCCCGTCCCCATGCGATGATGCGACCTCCCGTCCTGCTGCACTCGCAATGATGCCATCTCGCTGGCGATTAACGGCAGGGAATTTGCCTCGTGGAGTCGTGGCTATTATCCGGCCACTAGGAGGTACTGTACGGACGGTAGATCTGCCCAGTGCCAGTGCCAGCAAGCCAGTGCCAGCTACGCTCCACTAGGAGCTACCACGGACGGAGGCAGACTCGAATGATCCGGCGACCTCGCTTATGATCCCTCACTGTGAAGCGCAGCGCATACAGACCTCCCCGATGCTACCACTGGAAAACTCAGGTACCTAATAAGGGTATACACCACGCATGCCCCGTGTCGTTCCGAGAAACTCTACCTCCCCTCCTAGCTACACACCCTCGAGCTCGCATGCAAGCAACCTTTCCAAAAGTCTTCTTCTTCTTCTTCTTCACCTGTAGGTATCCATACTTCTACACCTCAGGTAAGGTACATGTACGTATCCGCAAGTCAGCTTACCTTACGGTACCTTGACTACCTGACCTATATACATAATGTACTTCCAAGCCTCTTTGTGATGATGATGATGATGATGCTGATGATGAGTGGCGCGGCTCTCTCGGACACAGCTTCTATCATGTTGTGCACCGTAAGCACCATTCGCGCCATCGAAACACTGATATTATCGCCCGCCGCACACGCCTATCTGTGCATCGGACAGCGATGACCGACCGACCGACCGACCGAGTTGTTACCACATCCAAACTTTGACATGTCCATCGGGGACACATGCCAAAAGAAGACTGTAGCGACACAAGACTGGACGCCCTGCTCTAGCTACTAATCACGACGGTATACGCTGTACAGGTAGATACATGTAGTTAGGTAGGAGATAGGTAGTAAGCACTCTGCCTCCTACATATCAGGTATATACATAAGGTAGGTATATTTTCGCCAACCCCGCCATCTACGGTAGGTACTGTAAGACTGTATCCATCCAAGTACATGTATGTAGGTAGGGACACAGTAGCAACACCCGGTGCCTACCAACGAGACGAACAATCGCTACGACGTGTTTTTTCTGGTAGTAGCCTATCGGACCATTTACCTACCTAGGTATATAGAAGTAACACCTATCTTCTCTAGATAAGATATGCGAAGGTACGGTACGGGTGTAAGGTACGGCACTTACTTACTGTATGAATACCTTAGACCTAACCTGACACTGAACCTGACCTTTAGGCGCACGCAGCTCGCAATCAATCAATTGATACAAGCCCTGCTATATATTGTTAAGGTAAGGTAAGGTACATGTATGTAGGAGGTAGTTGGTAGTTCTTTCCCTCTTTTACTAGGAGGTACATACCTAGGACATACCTAGGTGCCTGGTACCAGATATAGATACATATCGCTAAAACGTACTGCTACGTACATACAATACCTACATACCTTACCTACCGTAGGGTAGGAGGTAGGTTCATCAATACATACTCAGGTAGGTATCAACAGACAGCAAAAGAATTGGGCGCGCTAATAGTATAGACAGAAACTTTTCTCAGATTAGACTTAACACTAGAACTACCTCCTAGACTTACATCCATCATCACTACTCACTACTCATTAGAGAGAACAGGACAAGAGACAAGAGACAAGAAACAAGACAACTAATAAACTAACGAGACTTGACTTTCCCTACCTACCTTAGGGTTCAGGTGCTAGATTCAAACTTTCCCCAAATTTTTTCTTGAATCATTATTGGAAAAAGACCCAACAAGATCAGGAACCAAGACTGAGACTGAGACTAAGAGCAAGAGCAAGACAAGCTATTGGGCTATTTCTCTATCGAGGTATCTAGGTAGGTATATTATACTATACCCTTATCATCCATCCATCCATCCAGTGATATCATCATTATCAATCTTGGGGTTTTCAACAATGGAGGTAGGAGTGTAGGAGGTAGCAACAACGACGACAACGACAACACGCTTAAACGCTTGAGACTTCTCTGGGTGGGGTGGGGGTTTTTTCGAAGACCCCCCGCCCCGAACGAACGACCGCTTCGTCATTCTCTCTGACCTTGGTTTTTCCTTTTTTTTTGTTGGACTTGCCTTGGCTTCCATGTTTTGATTCATTCATCGCTTTCAGACAGGCCGTTGGAGACTCAAGCCTATACTTTTTTTTTCTTTTTTGCTGATGAAACAATTTGAACAGCTGTTCCAGGCCGAGGGCTTTGTAGAAACACCAAGTGGATGAACTGTTGATCCTTGCAGATGGGACGTCAAGAACCAATCACATCCCTTCTCGTAAAGCATTGCTTGCTCTTCAACCGCTCTCTCAGTCGTCCCCTGTAGTCTCGTACTCAGTATCGCTCCGACCGTCCGCATCCCCGTCCGTTTCACTCCCAAAGAGAATATCGTCATCATCGTCGAAAAAGACACGACTCTGCCGGACTAGTTCATCCACAACATTACTCCTCCTTCTCGACTGCTCCCTCGCATGATGAGAAGAAGGGGAAGGAACAGCAAGTTCCCTCGGTGAAGGTCGGACAGTTTCGATGGAACTCCTACTCGTACTGTTATTGTTGCTGTTGTTGGGAGAAGTCTGCATCGCGCCCCACAAATTCGACATCCTCTTCGCCAAAGAAGGAGATTCCTGTCTTTCCACAGAAGAAGTAGATGCGAAATTGAACCGATCGACTTCTCGTCCCGGCGTAAGGAGATTTTCGGGGACTTCTACGACGCCATTGTTGGCTTTTGCTTGTGCGAGGAGGGAAGTGAGATCGTCTTCGCTGAGCACCGATCTGAGGGCTCGAGGAGGCGACAGGGGAGAAGGTTGATCGGGTGAATGAGAAGGTGCGACAACCGGAGGCTCTTCATCTGGAGCGTGATATTGTGTATAAGCATCTCGAATGACCTTTTCGAGTGCCATGCGATTGCTGACGAATTTCAATTTCGGCCATGTCGCCAATTGTCCTGCGGTGATTTGTCTTGCGAGCCGGTCCATTGTAGGATCGGTGAGGATGTTCCAGAAATCGGACATGCACGTTTTGGGCCAGATGGTGATGGTGCCTGAGAAGCGCTGGAGAAAGACTTCGGACCAATCTTGTCCCATAGGACGAGGCAGTAGTTCCAAGTGCCGCAAGACTTTGAGCCATTTGTTCAAGTCTAGTTTGATGAATTGTTCGATAGCTGAACCAAAGAACCCCCCTCGCCAGCCTCTTCCGCGGCGGTGCGTGACGGGTCGACCGACGGTGCCTCGATTGGAAAAGAACCAGAGCGAGACGTGAGGGTTGACTTGTGAGACGATACTGAAATTTACCCCAAAATGTGTGTTGAGACTCTTCAAGGGAATGTCTGTTCGGAGTGACCCATCTTTCCACTTGTGTCCGAAGCTGAAAGGTTCCAGCTTGCCACTTGGAAGTTTCCGCATCAAAACAACAGGGTTGAGGATTCCGGGTACAGCAGCACTTGCGATCACTGCGGACCAGATCACGCAGTCTGGCGCTGTGACGTAGTTGGCCAGAATCGCAGGAGAGTGCGGGTCTGAAGGCACAGTCGACACGTTAAGGATGCGACCCGTGAGTTGGTAAGCCTCCTTGAATGTGAGACTACCTCGACAAAACCAGGCACATCTCTTCGCCCAATCGACTGAATCAAAGCGAGCGCCCGTACGCCAGTAGCGAAACCACCATATTCGGATGGACTCATGGCAGGCTGTGATCCTGGTCGCTAGAGCGGGAATCAGAAGCTTTTTGAGCTCTTCATCCGTCCTCGTACATAGCAAAGCAGCTACCACGGCACCCCCAGAAGTTCCAGTGATGATGGGAGGTAGAATATCGGCATCTAGAAGAGATTTTGCAATGCCAAAATGATAGTAGGCAAAAGTCGCACCACCGCTCAGACACAGAGCTGATCGTCCCAGGTTCGCAGACAGACGATCCGAGAGGGTGCGCTTATCTGCCGGGGTCAGCTGAGAGCTGGAGAAGATGTATTTAAGTGCCATGGACGTTTCGTCGATGTAACTTTGCAACAGGTTCTTGGTGCCATAGTAAGTCTCGGAGTAGAGGCGCGGATTCTCGATGCCAGCGAAATTCGCTTTGACACACGATTCTAGCACTTTGCGCAAGAGATCGATCGGCCTTTCACCACTTTCTCTTCCCCCAGTGCGTCCTCGACTACTCCGCTCATCTTCCTCTGCCTGCTTACGCAGATGTTGCAGCTGCCGCAAGACTTGCTTGATCATCTTCCAATCATAGTATGATCCCTCATCGTCGGCCTTCCACTTGTCGTTGCCCAAATGCCGATCGAGCTCCTCTGCTGCCTTGACCCATCCCTCGTAATGGTCTTGTTTCCGCAAAGCCTTTCTCAGTCGATCACGCTGCCCTCGCCAGGTCACGTATTGCTCGTAGAACCAAATGTAGAGACGTGTAAAGGCATAGCAAGTACCCAGGAAGCCGATCCAGCCAAAGATAAATAAGAGCAGCGGGTATTTGGCGAAGCTGTACGTCCAGCCCTCTCTCGTCTCATCCCGACCGCGCCGGGCCTGCTTCTTATGTCGGCTCTTACTGGACTTTCTGCTCGCTCTGGAACGCGAAGCGCCCGGACGCCGTAGCTGTCGTTGTCGCACCGGTCGCCAATCGTTGAGGGCCGTAATACGTTCTGCCTCTTTGGTCTTCTCCAGTCGACTCAAGTCTTCTTCCGAGGGCGAGGCGGCGAGTGCGTTGCTGGGCGCGTCGAGAGCAGCCGCGAACTGGAGGATATCGTCCTCTTCATAGAAGTCATTGTCCCATTCCGGCAGCGTCTTATAGTCCCAGGCCTCAGGCGAGGTCACCGCAATTCCGTCGGTACGCACATCTGGGTCGGCCATGGCGCGCGATGCATCATCTCATCAGTGTTGGACGTAGGAGGTACATTTAGGGCGTACTGTAAATGCCTGGTCGGAGTCGATGGTGAGAGCGAGACAAGCTGTGTCTTGGTGCTGTCAACCACCCGTTCAACCCACGAAGGTGCACGCGCCAGTGATGTCAATTCGCAAGCACGGCACGCTCGTGCCAACAAACCTTATTCGCGTCCCTGCATCGTCTTTCCCCTTGTGAGTTCGTGTGTGAGTTCTGTTGTACGAGAAGTGCAACTCTTCTTCACACCCGACCCGACCAGCATCACCCTCGGCAATACTCCTTGTACATGCTGCCACTGTCGCTCCACTCCAATCGAGTGGCGTCGACGTTCATCCGCAGCCATGTGATACGGAATCGCATTTGGACGCGCCGTGCCCATCTCAGAACCCTCACGACTCTGGCCATTGAGACTTCCTGTGATGATACTTCGGTAGCCATCCTGTCCTCATCAGAACAAGACGGGACTCAAGTTCATTTCCACGAAAAGATCACAGCGAACAATGACGCCTATAATGGCATACATCCGTTGGTGGCACTTCACTCCCATCGAGCCAATCTGGCGCCACTCATACAAAAAGCCCTGAAGCAGTGCCCTTCCCAGATTGACTTCATTTCCGCCACCAGAGGCCCAGGCATGCGATCAAACCTCGCTGTAGGCCTCGATACTGCCAAAGGCCTGGCTCTGGGACTGAATATCCCATTCCTTGGAGTGCATCACATGCAGGCACATGCTCTCACCCCAAGACTTGTGCTTGCTATGAACGCCCCCCCTTCAAGTGTCGATGATGTAGTACAGCCCGCCTTTCCCTTCCTCACAGTGCTCGTCAGTGGAGGCCATACCATGCTCATTGACTCTGCCGGCTTGACAGACCATTCCATTCTCGCGGAAACATGCGACATTGCGCTGGGGGATTGTCTGGATAAAGCTGCTCGGGCGATCCTACCTCGTGATCTCCTCCAAGCCCCCTATGGCAAAGCGCTGGAAGACTTTGCTTTCCCGCAGGCGCCATTGGACTACGACTATACGGCACCGACACGCCGAAAAGAAGAACTGGAGTACCGACAAACTCGCTGGTATTGGGGTCTCAAGCCGGTGTTCGCTGACAGCAAGGGTGGTATGAAAACATCCCGCCGAATGGCCTACTCTTTCGCTGGTCTTCTATCAGCAGTCGAACGCCTGCTCCATCGCAAGACCGCTCCTGATGGCCATCTGACAGACGAGCAACGTAAGCAGGAAGAAATCTCAGTTGACGAACGGCGTGATCTGGCCAGAGAGATTCAGCGCGTGGCTTTCGAGCATCTGGCTTCAAGGGTGCTGTTACACCTCTCATCTATGTCCAGTGTCGCGTCGATCAACACCATGGTCGTGTCAGGAGGCGTAGCATCTAATCATTATCTTCGGCACATCATGCGTTCCATGCTTGATGCTCGAGGGTATACTCACATCAAGTTGGAGTTTCCTCCCGTCGAATTATGCACTGATAATGCACTAATGATCGCCTGGACGGGATTGGAAATGTGGCGAGCTGGGTACAGGTCGGACTTGGACATTGAACCCATCAGGAAGTGGAGCATGGACCCGAAAGCTGAGGATGGAGGAATACTGGGAGTGGGAGGGTGGAGACATGATGGGCAAAGCTGAATACAGCACAATTTCAAGTTCAACCATGTACTTCTAGAATCCCGCAAGCAGGCAGGCTTTGTGTGACGATGATAATATTTGTTGTGGAAGGCCACATGCCTACCACTTTAGCAGAGCGAAGGCTTGTTGCTTGCTTCTGCTTCCAGATGCCCTTTCAGCTAACATACCAAGGTTCGACTTGCATCATCATAGCGGTTAGTCCAGTGTTGACTGACCGGTCGTGGGGTGGTATACGGTCGCAAAGGAGTTGACATTACGACTGTCGCTAGACATGGCGAAGATGTTGATGTCTCACATGCCAGGAAGATGAGGTGCGACGTGTTGCAAGTGGGAAGAAAGAGAAGAAGAAAGGAAGAGCAGGCCAAGTCTAGTGTCACCAACGTTGGTTCCATGGGCGCACCGTGTACATGTAATGTAACTCTCTCAGTCTTCCGCATCTTTGTTCCCAGCGCAGACCGGTCGGGGAAATGGGATGGTGATGTCCGAGTGGGCTGGTCGCGTGGGAGAGAAGTCGTGGTTGAAGGCAGTCTCGACCCAAGAACAATTCTCTTTCGGGGCAAGAGCAGCAGCAGCAGCTCGAGGCAAGCACGTTCCGAAAATAATCATGTCTAGTCGGCAAGTGGCAAGTACCTACATATAAAGATACGGCTCACCCGCACCTTCTTGTTGCTTCAACAGGTTGTCTTCATCATCCACTTCCTACACCTCAGTACCTCTCAAGGCATACCAAGACCATCTCGCAAGCACCCCCTAGGCACTCCCAGTTCTACCACATAGACAAGATACCTACCTACCACCACGATGCTCTTCCACCTCTCCCTCGCCTGCGTGCTCTCCACAGCAGTCGCAATGGCATATCCTCAAGCATACTCGCCTCCAACCTACCCTCCTTTCGGCAACACTTCCCATCCACAATCACCACTGAGCAATGCCGAGTTTGGTCTGCGCATGAGAGTCCCAAATCCAATAAACCCGTACGCTGGACTGGTGGCCACCAAGAATGGAACGAGCCAACAACTTCTGATGGTTGCTCACACTCTCTCGGGCCCGGACACGGCATATGATACGACTCCAGCATATACTGTTGGCACAGAGTCACTTGGGACTCAAAAACTCTATGGCCCCAACTTTGTGGAGTTGAACCTGGATGTGAATGGCACTCAGTATGGGCTGAGTACTCCTGACATTGTAAGTACTATATCTTGGCATTTTGTTCCGGGTCTCAAGCATACACTTAGATACTGACGTTCATGAAAGGGCGGGATTCACGGCATTGCCTACCCTGTCACCGCATCCGCAGGGTATCATGTCAAAGAATGGCTCGTTGCCAGCACGGGAGAAGTCAATCATAAGCTCACTGCAGCCAGCCAGCAGTTTCTGGGTGAGACTACCTATGTTGCAATTCTGGTAATTTCGTCTTAGATACTAACGCCAACGTGATACAGCCTGCAATGCGACTGTCAACGGCAAGCATGTGATGATTCTCAGCTGGGGAAGCTCTTCTCTGAACGGCACTTATCCATCAGGATGTACGTCCACCTCGGTCTCGGTGACCTGCAACGTACCTGGAAGCCGATGGCCTATGTGTGTGACGAAGGGTTAAGCGGCCCTTTTTTTTCGCTGAAGACCACGAAGAAAAGGAACAGACGAGAAAAGTCATCGAGCTGCACAGACGTTATGAAGGTTGATTTGAAGGAGTTGGGCGTACTTTTGTGATTTGGAGACTGCTAGACCAGACTCTTTTCATTCTTTCCACGACCACCTAGGTGACATGAGCTGGCTAGACAGACTCAGTGATATCAGAAGAAAACGTACTGCTTGAATCGGGGAACTTGGGCATTTAAATGATGATGATGACGATGATGTAGAGAATTCTCCTATTGACATATTGAACTTTGAGCATACATACAATGCCTGATTTTCATTGTCGTGCCCGTTCGTAGCTTTCTTTTCGTCTTGGTATCAAAATCTGCCGTATCGTCACACGATTACTGTTACAAGTCTTGTTCTCTCTGCTGTCATGCACATCCATGCCTGCCATCCATCCATGCCTGCCATCCATCATCCATGCCATACCCCACTCTATTCCATCCTATTCCATCCTATTCCAATTACTAAATTCTTATTTCTTCTCTTCTCTTCTCTTCCACCTACAGGTAGATCTAGTTCAAAACTCCTCGCTAAACAGAAACCCGAAAAACCCCCGCCCAATTCATTCATTCTCCATCCCCACATTTCCTCTTCCCTAAATATTGTCCACTCAACTCAATTTTCACGGTATTCACCCCTTCTTCGACTTTCTAGAACCCATCGATCCAGCTCTCGAAGTTCCCCGACTTCTCGTCGTCGTCATCCCTCCAACAAGACTATTACTTCGACTTCTTTCTTTCCCTTCTTTCGCATCTTTCGCATCTTTCGTCGCAGAATTCTTGAATGATTCTCGAGTATTCACACGATCTAGATCAAAGGGATTACCATTATAGTATGTGGTTCCTCCTGCTGCTGGAATTCTCGTGCGAGAACGTGTAGAAGTGATGGGGGCGAAAGTGGGTTCGTCTCGTTCGTTGTCGTCTTCGGTGGTGGCGGAGGAAGAGGAAATGAGGGATTCGCGACGAGGGAGGGGATCTTCGACTTCTTCGATGGGGCGGGATGATGGAGCGGTTTTTTGTTTTTGTGGTTTTTGTTCCGAAGAAGAAAAGTCGGATTTTTCGAGGTCAGTGGAAGTTTCTGTTGTGTCGTAACCTTCGCCTCCTCCTCCTCCTGCTTCTTTCATTTTTTCGATTTGAGGCATTTGTTTTCCTCCTTCTGCTTCGTCTACTTCAGCTTCATCATCTGAAGAGGCAGAAGAGGAGCCACCGGATTTACTCTGTTGACCAGCCATGTCGCGCATGAATTTATCGGATTGCGCGGCATATTTACAATTAACGCGGACTTTGGCACCGTATTTGTAAAAGAGAAAGGGAAAAGGTACGCATGCGAGGGCGAGAAAGGCCGGGACGGAACTGGCCCAGTGGATTCCAAGGTTGGCGTACATTTGGCGGGTGAAGAGGGGGAAAGCTGCTCCGAAGAGGGATCGAAGGACGGAGTTGGCGGCGAGGACCGAGGCGGCGAAGATGGTGTAGGCGTCGATGAGGTAGTTCATGATTCCGAGGAAAATCAAGACCATGCCGAAGCCAAAGGGAGCTCCGGCCATGATGGAGACGATCCAGTGGATGGAAGGGTAGTTGGTCCATGCGAACCAGAAAAGCCCAATAGGAACTGCAATCGAGCCGACCATACACAAGGGAAGACGAGCTTCGGGAGGCGCAAAGCCTTTGTGCTTGTCCGAGATTCCCACATATCGTTTGTTGTCCCAGATGGCATATCCCACTGCAAGCAACATGCCCACTGCCACGCCCAGGAAGGCCAGTCCGCCAATGCCAGGGGACCAGCCACGACCTTGCTGGTAGACGATGGGGAATGCGCCAAAGCACATGTACAGCGTACCATAGATGATGGCCATGTAGATGGATAGCAGCAACACAATGGGCTCCTTGAAGAGGAGGATCCACGGTCTGGACAGCGAAGTCTTGAAGACCTCGGCAATCGATGTGCTTCCATTCTGTATTTCGCCTTTGCTCTTGTACACTTTCCCCGTCATCTTACTCAGTTTCTGCGCTCTCTTGCGCAGAATCACAGGAGGGTACGTCTCGGGCAGGAGAATGGTACCAGCGATCCAGAGGACGCCGGTGAAGATGGCCATGACGCCTTGCACCCATCGCCAGCCCACGGTCTGGCCCACGAAGCCACCGACAATGGGACCAATGACAGGACCCATGAATGGCGCTGCTGCGAACAAGGACATGGCGAGACCTCGCTCTCGGGATGCGAACATGTCTGCAATCACACCTCCCGCGTTGGTGAGAGGGCTGGATCCGATGGCGCCAGCGAGGAAGCGTTGAATGATGAGAGTCCAGATGTTTTGCGAGCCGGCTGCACCAGCATTGAAAGCAGTCAGGCCTGCGTAAGTGCCGAAGAACAGGTACTGTCTCCCGAACAATTCGGACATGGGTGCCCATCTGTGTATATGTGTGTGTTGTCAGCACTCTCTTTTTTTGGATCCTTTTTTGTCTCCTGACCGGCAGCAACAACAACAACAACAACACCAGATTCTCGATGAATGCCAACTTACAGCAAAGGTCCAATTGCGAATCCCAACACAAACAACGATACACCAAGTGTAGCAACTTCCTGACTACATCCAAACTCGGCGATGATTTCCCTGGTACCGCCCGAATAAGCGCTCGACACAAACGCAACCGCGAGCGTCGCCAACGCGACCAGCATTGTCAAACTCCATTTCTTGATCTCGCCATACAACATGGGATTTCTCGGATCATTGTCTATCCACACGACCACGTATGGATCATCTTCTGTTCCCGAACCATCGTATTGCCATTTCTCAACATCTGGAGTGATGCCACTTTGGTCCAGGACTTGTCGAAAGTGATTGATGGGCGTCGGCTTGCCGGACTCGACGTCCTTGTCGGCCATGGTTTTTTATTTGTTGATAATCCTCGTCCCGAATTGCGAAATCCTCACGTGTTGTGCAAGGTAGATGGCGTCGTGCTGCCCGCTTCCCTGCTTGAGAGGAAAGGTTGTTGAGAGTAAAGTATATCGACGACTTTCTCTTTTTTTTTGTTGTTGTGATTTATTCGTTTCTCATTCGATGGGATACAACAAATGCAGCGGCTGGTTCGCGCGTGTTGACGAGGAGAAGAAGAATCAAGGTCACCGCCGTCGTTTATTCGTAGCGCTCTCTCTCTTTCTCTAGTCGTATTGATGCGTTGGGTCTATCCGTCGTATCGAGGGTGTTCAATCCAGGGATATCCAGCCCAGTTTCCCCTCAAAAAGTGTAATCTGTGGCACCGCAGCTAGTGAAAGAGAACAATAGAATAAATGTGTGTGTGTGTGTGTAACTAGGAGGGAGACAGGAGGACACGGGGCTCATCAGGGTTTTGTTCACACAAGATCAACATCGGCAGGCAAAAAGAAGTGGAAAGGCGGATCATCAACATTCGGCGAAAGGCAGCAAACACGACTATAACTCCGTTCCGCGTGTGACAGTGTGTTCCCACTGTTTTTAAAGAGAAGAAGAAGCAGCAGTTGGCAACAGTCTCAGCCTCAGCCGCCGCCGACGCGAGTAAAATAGAAACAAGCAAGCAACACACAAGCGAATGAATGATGACGAACACGAAAAAGACGACGGACTGTCCGAGTGACGGGCAAACGGGGAGCCAAGGCAAAACTTCCCCTTCTCGTGCATTGTGTATGGTCACTGTACTGTAGTGGATTTGTGTGGCGTTTTTTTTCTCTCCTTCGATGCTACCTCCTAGGCTCCTACAGTGCCGTGCCCGACCAGTGGAATGCAAACAAAGGGACCTCGGGAATGATATGCCGTCCTACTGTGCTACCCAGAAGCCAAGCACGTCCCCCTCTCCCCTTTTAGGTATTTTTTCTCCTTTTTCTTTTTTCTGTTTTACCTCCTAAGAGAAATTGCTCGGCGGTCGGCGGTGGCGGCTCCGTCTCCGTTCTTCTACAGTACCCATACATGCATGTACCTCCTTACCTGCTACCGGTATCGTTGCAGAAATCTGTCTAGTAGGTAAAACAGAACGATTCAAGTCCATCAAGAGCTACGTTTCACCATGAAAAACGTGGCAATGCCAAAATGCGTTCCTGAATATTGTGGAGAGACTCTAGAGGTAGGAGGTAGAGTCTCATACACACCTCCTATATACCTCCTATGTACCTCCTACCTCCTACATAGGTACCTAAGGTAAGGTAGGTAAATTCCCACTCACTCAGCTCAAAGGGGCCCTGCGCAAAAATCTCCACTTTTTCTTTTTTTCCACGCGGCATCGCGGCCTCGCGGCATCAGCGACATCAGCAACATATGATAGGAGGTACTATCCATCCATCCATCAGTCGACCCGGCAAAATCGGCATCGGAGCTTGGCACCCACCCTAACCGAGGAGCCGAGGTAAACAGGTTACCTTACCCTTACCCTTATCTATAATCCACCTAACTACCCGTACCGGTCCCGCACCGTACCGTATCTCCAGTAGAGGACGGAAAACACGTTCGAAAAGAGAGTGTTTGTCCGTCCGTCCGTTCAGCAAGGCAAGGTAAGGCAGGGCTCCACTCGGCGACAAGGAACAGGGAATAAGGAATAAGCAAAGGAAAGGAAAAATGATACGGGGATTATTACAAGGGGAGTTGGGACTACGCGGTCGTTTTGCAGCTTTTGCTTGGGGGAGAAAAGAGAAAAGGGAGAAAATAGAAGGGAAAGGAAGAAAGAAAATAGAAAGATGGTAAAAAATGAGAAAGTGAGAGACTACCTACCTTAGGTACCTAGGTATGAGACTGACTGAATGACTGGTTCTGGTGGTCTGTCTCGTTACCTAAGGTACTTATAATGTTTCTACGATTGTCAATCAGTACCTACCCACACAGATACCTAAGCTTCACGAACGGATTCTTCAGGTCAGGTCAGGTAATGTAGGTGGAGGTTTCTGGTCAGGGAGGAGGGTATGATGCAAAAATGACTACAAAATGTATCCATTATTGGAGGTAGAATGCTTGCACTATGGTTGGAGGTATGCTAAATCATCATCAATAATCATCACCACCGTCGTCGTTCCATCCCAAAGCATCGTAAAGCGACTTTTCTTGGTCTCCCCCTCCTTTTGCCACCATTGCTGAGAAAGAGCTCGAAAGACCAATCGCAGAATCTTCCTGCTGTACACACGACACCACCACCCCTGCAGGTGAGCACTTTATTACGCCTGCCGTATCATCATCACCCAACTTCGATATTGGCGTCTCAGCCGCCAGAGAAGGCATCCTTAGCGCTCTCATCGGTGTGGCACCTATTGCGTCGTGCGCAATACCAGCACGACTGAGCGTGGGTGACTCGTTGAGAAGAGTGCCAGGTTCGCTGGCGAGTCCAGCCGGCATGAACTTTGCAAAGCCGCGAGAAGGCGTCTCGAGAACATTTTTCTGTTGTCTGTGGCGATGTCCGGTTGGGGGAATGGTGAAAGTGCTTCCGGGCACGACATGAGGCTCCGCTGGGAGTCGAGTAGCGGTAGATGGTACAACTGCCGTAGAGCCAGAGCCAAGTTCCCCCAAGCTGTGATCCGGGTTTGCTGCACGACGCCGAGGAGCTGGAGTGGCTTTGATATGTCTTGGAGTGGCAGTGATGGTCTTAGCTTCCCGCGATCCACCGGCAGCATTGCGCTGCGTGCGTGACTTGCTGGGTTTGCCGCGAGCGAGCGCTCTCGCGAAGCTCTCGTCTGCGTTTCTCGCCGTCTCCTCCGTGGCAAGAGCTCGATTGGGCTTTCTGATGCCATTCAAAGCGTCACGCAAGATCTTGTCCTCGACCGACTTGTTCTTGGCCGCCTTTTGCTGCAAGTTCTGCGTCATGGCTGACAGGTCAATCTGCTTATGTCTGGCAGCATACTGATCCAAAGCCGTTGTTCGCTTCCGGGAAATCCGCTTTGTAGCTTCGATGTTCTGGAGAGATAGTGACGGGGTCTCACTGTTCTCCCTCTTGATAAGAGTAGCAAGCGCGTCCAGATCAGTGACGGACGTCTGGAGAACAGGAGGGTTCTTGCCAACCTTGTTGAGCGTGTCTGTAGAAGTGCGACCAAGGGGCTTTCTGGCTTTCTTCTCGGGTGGCTGTCGGGTCGTGGGTTCACCTGGCTTGCGACATGTGGGAACCGCTGTCGAATTTTTATCAATCGGTCGCGGAGCACTCGGCCCGCCCAGTTTCTTGCTGGTAGAGTTGGCAATCTCGTAGATGCGTGAAGCAAAGAAGGGAATGATCACTTCGGTGGCAAAGGTTCTGAGTTCGTCCTTGGTGTCTGGCTTAATACTTCCATTCTCATCCTCCATCGTCTTCACTGGCGAAGACTCCAGAGTGTAGAAGATGTTGAGCCGCTCAATCAAGGTCTCAAGTATGGCAGTCATGTTGCTATCTTTCTTCTTGCGTTGCTTCTTATCCAAATCCGCTGGCCTGTTTTCCTGGGTTTGCGATCCCACATCCTGGACACCGTCCAGCGCGGGTACTGCGGGCAACAGTGGTGTGCTGGCCTCCAGAGCCAGAACCTCCATGATTATAATGATTTGAAGCGAAGTCTCTCGAATGCGTATGGCTTGTCCTCGACGCCGCAGGACTGCCTCGAAAGGCTCATGGGACCCGGAGTCTTTACCGGTTCCTTCCATCTTCTGCCACCACTGCTCGATGTGGTCCCTTTCACCAACGAAAAGTCCCTGCTTATCGCGCTTCGGTTTCCACTTTCGTTTTCTCTTGGGTTTGGTTCCAGGTGTGTCGAGAATTGCAAAGTCCTTGACCAGTTCGAGGAGTACATCGCGGAACTTCTTATCCATCGTGGCCGAAGTTAAGACGGTCCCGCGCAAGAAGCTAATCAGATCAGCGGGATGCGACGAGAATGCAGCTCTCGTGCGAGCAAGAGGGCCTTTGACAAAGTATGCCAATGGCGTTCTCGACAGGTACAAAGCGTCCAGATACTGCCTGGCCAATTCCTGCAGAGTGTCGTCAAGCGACGTAGGCTGGACTAGAAGACTGTCGTCCGGCATAGTGTCTCGTACTTCGACCTGCTCTGCTGTTTCCGAGGGTTCGGGATGCCGCAGGGAAAGTGTTGGCCTTGTGCTAACTCCATCCACAGCAGTCTGCTGAAAATTGACAGCAGCCGCCTTCCACCATGGCTGGCCACTCTCGCGCGACGGTTCCAATGCCCGCCGCTTGGAAAGAGACTCCAGTGGGCGGAAGTCCGATATCGCCCTTCCCAGTATCTCGTCCTTGGTCACGCATTTCGCAAGCCGACATAATGCATATCTGCGCCTCTGTACGCGTTCAATGGCGTATAGCCTCTTGTCCGAGCCATCCTCCACAATCAGAACACTTGGAACCTGTCCATATGTGTGGCAAGCTTCCAGGATGTGCACACTCGCCACGAAGAGTCGACTACCGTCCTGAGCAGTATCCAGATAAGCCAGCGGTAATTGTGAGCGTGGCAGCAGACATTGTGGGATAAAGGTTTGCGGGGCGGCGAATGGATTGGAGGAGTCGGGGCGTATCGCGAAGGGACGACGATCGAGGTCGATTCTCTCGTCGCTGAGGGCGTCCCGTTTGCGTTTGTTCGTGGGGCTGTCTCTTTCCGTGTCGCGTATGTTGTCGTTGTCGTAGTCGTTGTTGATAGACTCGTTATAAATGGACATGTTCCATAGCAGCAGTGAACAGCCGTATCAATATCATGAAGAGCATACAACTGAGAGGAAGAGGAATAGAAGCAGTAGAGTGGTGGTGAAGTGGTGAAGTGGTGGTTGTTTGAACTTGGCAGAGACGCGATGGTGTAGGACGCGACTAGACCGGCCAAATTTTATGCCGATGATACCATATTTACATATAACAGTAAACCTGCTGATTCATCTATAATCCCTGTAGGCTACCTTAACAGTTAACTCACCTAAGGTAGGTATAAATGCGTTGCTGAAGCTGTCTTCGCGGAGATACCTGGTACATGAGACTTTGAGAGAGACACCAGCCTGTAGAATGCTCACGCACATCATAACAGTATCTCAACCTCGAGAAGCTGGCGAATTTCTCGTGAGATTACTTAGTAAGCAAGAGATATCCGGTATTGAACTTCAGTTTTGGGAAATAGAGGTATGCGCGCAGCGCTGCAGGATATCAACGTCACTTTCCTGCCATTGACGCCTTCCAAGTTCCCGCACTCACGATCATCAGGTACATGAGGTGTATATACATCCAGCGTGAAAACAACATCTAGCACTACATACGTACCTATAATGACTTCTCCAACTCCCCCAAATCAGCATCAACCCTGCTGCCACCTCTTCCGCCTCCCCCTCGAGCTCCGCCAACACATCTACAGCTTCCTCATCCCCGCAGAAACCAACTTCACTCCCATTCCCGCCGCAGGCATCAATTCCGTCAACTATCGACCGCCCTCCTTGTCCCTTTTGACCATCCATCCTACCATCACCGCAGAAATTCTCAATGACTTTTACAGTCTTTCCACGTGGAAAATTGTCTGCGGCCACTCGTATAATTACTTCCGCATCGATCCTGAGCTGATGCATTTGGAACGGAGTCGCTGTCTGGCGCGGATGGAGAAGGTTGAAATGATGTTTTTTGTCGATGTACGTTCTTTTCTTTTTCTTTTTTTCTTTTCTTTCCTTTTCCCTTCAAAAGTGGAAAAGATCAAGTATAGGTAGGTAGGTATATATCTACCTTATCTTCGTATCGATGCTCTATTCCAAAAAATCTCCTACTCTCCATATGATACAATACAATGCACCTTGAGAATTCTGTCTCGTATACAAAAACATCAAACATCAAACATCAAAATTACGGATCATCAATATCGACTGAATCCCCAAAAAAACAAAGAAAAAAACAAAACATAAAGATTAACAAACCAACCATCCAGGGCGAATTCATCCTCGACTACCCCAGCTTCGGCATCCCACGTCTCTGCACCGAAATCGCCAAACGAGCACACAGAGCCTGTCAAGTTCTCCTACAAGCTCCCGAATTAAGAATCATAGTAGTAAGTTGGTGGGATACGACGACGACGACGACGACGACAACGTCCGCCGCGAAGGCAGACAGCCGTGGTGGTGGTGGGGAGGAGTGGAGGTCGAATGTTCTCGCTCCTTTGCGAATATTGGTAGATGGAAAGGAGGAGGAGGAAAAGAAGAAGAATTCTTCTTCTTATTCGAAGAGGAGATTGAGATTTGAGGTGGGAAGTGTGAATTCTGCGGAAGAATTTGGTCGGGAGGAATTCGCTGGTGCGTTGAGGGGAGTTATTGGGGAGGGGATGGTGGAGGTGCGGAATTTAGGTAAGTAGGAAGGGATGCTTTGGTTGGGGGTTTGATGATTTAGATGTGATTTTCTTTCTCTCTCTCTCTCCCCCCCCCCTCTCTTGTTGTCGCAAACACCAAGGTGCCAGGAGCAGAGATATATATACTGCAGCATAAACATTTCCATTTTCCTCGAGAAGCCCTAGAAGGATCCTACACCCGATGATTTTGACTTCTACAGTAGCTATACCTAGGTAGGTAGGTATATTCAATTGCCACTGTAGCCAAGTATTAAAAAAAAGGCCTCCTTACTCAAATACTCGCACGCCCTTCTACCCAGCCACCCCTCAATCAGTCTCTATCCTTTCCTCTTCTTCGTCCCCTCCTCTACCAAAACAGCGACATCCTCTGCAGTCTGCCCTCGTTGTCGATTCCCAATGACTTCCTTGCCGAGTTCCGTCCCATGCGCAACCAATTGATAGATTTCGGCAATGGCACGAAAAGGGGATTCCGTTTCTTGATGGAAACCCCCATCGACTTCGAAGGTTTTGGCAATTTCACGCATTTCGTCGACCCATCTAGTGAAACCAAGAAAAGAATTATTGTTATTATTATTGTTATTCGAATACGTACCTGATTTTTGGGAAGAAAACCGCAAAGGAGGGAGAGAGATAGATAGAATGAAAGAAAAGTGAAAATGAGACAACAAGGTACTCACCGGTAAGCTTTCGGTGGCATGCCCACTAACCCTCTCTCCGCCCTTCCCCTCACTCCAGGTGAACGCTCATCAAGCTCGTGCTGCAACTCCTCCAACACTCCGAGACTTTTCGCTGTAGTGTAGGATCCGATGGCCAGAGCGGTGAAGCCCTTGGAGAGAGAAGCATAACACATTTTGAGCCCGGATGCGGAACCGACCTCGTCGGAGATGTGTCGCGTGTTGAGGACTTGTGCGAGCTGAGGTTGTAGGTGATGAGGTCCGGAGAGGGGGATGCTGGGGCGAGTCCATTCGCTATTGTTATTATCCTCTGTGGAGTTGTTGTTGTTGTTGTTCTTGTTGTTGGCGTGGGGCGGTCCACCGATGATACCTCCATCAATCATCTTGACTTGGACATCTTGCGAAGCAGAAGAAGAAGAAGAAGAAGAAGAAGAAGAAGAAGAAGAAGAAGAAGCAAACAGTGCTTCAATCTCGCGTGCTCTCGCGGGACTGATAGCGTTGAGATCCAAAAAGTACAGCGTTTCCTTCCGCTCGTTATGCTTATACTTGGGGCTGGAAGTCGCTTCCGCAATCCTTTGGGCAACCTCAACAGCATCACGAGGCGGTACGATGGATAAGATGACATCGGATGAATTGCAAAGTTCAATGTCGTCGGCGACGATTTGAATGGAGTTTGCTTGGGCGCGGTCATATGTAGCTTTGCTGGTGGCGAAGGATTGAGCTCACTTTGCTAGATAAGAAGTATCTCTGGAATGGAAGATGAGTGGGCTGTTGTATCCCATCTACATGCATACCTTCTTCCTGAGATGTTCGTAATGACTTTGTAGTCGTGGGCGATGAGCAATTTGGCGATGCCTATGCCCATGTCTCCAATGGAGATGATGCCAAGAGTTGCACGAGACATTGCGGCGGTACGGTAGGAGGTAGGAGTGTGGCGTGGCAATGGTGGCGGTACTGGCGGGGAGGTAATGTAGTTGTCTCAATGCAGTAATGGAGTGGTGTGGTGTGGTGTAGGTGAAGAGATGGAGAGATCAGTTCTAGCAGTCAGATCGAGAGCTGTGTTTACTCGACCCCGCATCACAATTTCGATATATGAGATACATTTATTATATATATGTCCATGTCGTCTTCAACTTCGGCTACATTGATCATTTATTGTCTTCTATCTGGTTTACATATCGGATCGATATCAAGGTACTTTGACTATCAAATTGGCGACCTTGCAACCAATATTGCGAGAATGCTGTAAAAAATGTAGTGAAAATTGACTTTCTCCCAGAAAGTCAAGCCGTCATACCGTACCTGAGAACGATCCGTCGACTTGGACCTATCCACATTGCGTCAGTAAATGTCATGATGTGCATATGGCTACAGACGTACATTATATGTAGGAGGGGCACAACTGTATTTACCTTATGGATTCAAATGCTTCCTGCAGTACCTACTATACCCTCTTGAATTAATCAAACCGAGCAACCTTCTCAAGAATCTTCAATTCCGACCATCAAACCATACTTCTACAACAAAATGCCTCGCGCTGTTGCACCACCTCCAAGCGGAGAATTCCAAGTCAAGCTCAGCAAGCCATTTGCCGGTCAGTATACGACTGGTAGGAGGAGGAGGAGGTAGAAGAGGAAGAGGAAGACGGAATTCCATTCGTGTGCTAATCCTTCCTTCCTTCCCATCTGTAGGCGAACCCAAACTCACCATCGAAGTCCTCGGCGAACCGAACCGGTCCGCTGTCATTCGACAAACCCACTACACCGGCAACAACAAGTCCTCCGAGAAGACGGGGGATGTCTCTTCGTGCGTGGTTCCCGCATTCCAGCAAAACACTGCCCTCCTGAACCCCATCCATCCATCCATCTAACACAAATCAATGTTTATTCTTCTAGTGACGATGTGAACGAGCTCATGAAACTCGTCCAAGAACTTCGAGGATTCCCATCGAGCGCATCAAAGGATATCTATGGCGCGGATGTGAAGGTGGATTTCAACACGTTTGATATCCAGTGGTCGAATGACGAGGAGGAGGCCAGCGAGGGCGATGTGGAGAAGGAGCAGAAGGATGATTTCAAGAGAATTGCGGATAGCATTGAGGCCCTCGCTCGACAGTTTGCGACGAATGATTCTGCCATCTGAGAATGAGCAGGGGAGTTACTGTTGTCGTTGTCGTCGTATATGTGCTAGGGATACAGGATACCTTGCGAAAAAGTGTAGTGAGCAGTATCGACGAAATGAGTAGCTTGGTCTGGCCTTGCAAATATCGTGTAGTGTACATGTAGTTTGGTCCAAGTGAAGGTCTTGGAAGTTGTCAGTTTTATGTCACTTGACCTACCTATACGTTACATGGATGTGCCTCAAACTGTCCTCTTTGTTAGCAGCATGTGACAGCTCTGGAGCTGAGAACCATCATGCAGTGTCAACATAGGAGCTACGTCATTCTCGCATGAATGCTCACCTGCGGCTGTCACCAAAACTTGGTACACGACCTCATATAAGGGAGGTACAACTAAGCTGTCCACTGGTGCTGTCAATTCAACTTCATCAACTCCCAACCACCAGAAACAAATTCACTTGCTCACTCACTCCAAACCGCCTCAGAACCTCACTTCATACCAACCATCATCATCATGCCTCTCGTAGTTCCCGGTCTCCAGTCCAACGACGGCGGCAAGACGAGCGAGTGGATGAACAAGCTCGTAGGAAAGAAGATTGGCAACACCTCGGATGAGACTGTACGTTCTCTTCTTTTTTTTTCCTCTTGACCATCGTTCCTCCCGATGGAACATCATCATCACCATCATCATTCATTCATTCGTGACTGACTGACTGACTGACAACCTCGCTCGCCTTCATCAAATCAGACCTTTGCCAAAACCGATCTCCCAGAACAACACCGCGTAGTCAAGCCAGGAGATATGACGACTATGGACCACAACCCCAACAGGTACGTCGGAAAGAGTAAAGAAAAATAAGAGATAAGAAACTTTGTTGGGAAGAAACCAAAAGAAGAAGAAGAAAAGCTGACCCGGTTGTTGTTTGTTTTGTGTTTTTCTTAGATTGAATGTGCATACTTCCGAAGACGGGACTGTCGAGAAGGTTACACACGGTTGAAGAAGGTAGAATGCTCTCATGAGCCTGCCTGCCTGTCTGTCTCGTGTGAAAGAAATTGCATGCGTGGGAGTAGGATGAGGGGGGCACGGCATAGCATGATGAATGAATGAACGACTGGGGGAATGATGAATATGCCAGCCAACGAGCGTAGACTCCCCGATAATGAAAGTAGCCTGGTGGTGGATATTGCAGTTTCCATCAAGTTCGTCCCGGAGTTAGGGGCCTAATTCCAACATTTCTTTCCGTTTTCCGAATCCCAGTCTTGTGGCGTAGAATTAGTGTCTACATATGTTGTGGCGCACCCATTGTGCCGTTATACCGGACTACTTCCTAGGTAGTACCTCCTATATCCCTCTGCAAGCTGTATCAATACAATCTTTTCGGACTTACCATACCTCCTACCTCAACTACGGAGGTAAACCTCAGACCCGAACGAACCTTACACACATGTAGTAGCTGTTTGGTAGGTAAGGTAGGTAGGTAGGTACTAACATGTAGTACATGTAAGCATGTAGGAGAAGAACATGTATGGAATCCACCCCCCCTACATAGCCACGACGTCATACATTTCCGAGTTTGCATTTTTTCTAAAACAATGAAACTTCATTAAAAGCTGGTCTTCTGTTCTCGCCCACCGAAGAAGTCTGGAGATAAGTCAAGCAAGGAAAAAAAAATAACAACATTATCGAATAAGAAAAGCTCCGAGAAAGAAAACCCCCTCAAAACTACCTACAAGAAGAGAAAACACAGAAACGTCGAACAATGTCTTCCTCTTCTGCAAAAGGCTCCTCCTCCTCCAACAAACAAAATGTCAAACTGGCCAACATCCCCATTCATGACACCGGCTACGGTCTCATGGGACTCACCTGGCGTGCCAACCCCGTCTCGCAATCACAAGCTTTTGCCGCCATGAAAGCGGCTCTGAACAGCGGGGCAAATTTCTGGAACGGAGGAGAATTCTACGGTCCACCGACGCGCAATTCGTTGCATTTGCTCAATGAGTACTTCACGGCCAACCCGGAAGATGCGGATAAAGTGGTTATTTCGATTAAAGGAGGCGCGAAACCGGGTACATTGTTGCCAGATGGGAGTGCGGAGAATACGAGGAGGAGTATTGAAGAGTGTTTGAAGGTGTTGGATGGGAAGAAGAAGTTGGATTTGTACGAGACTTCGAGAGTGGATCCCGAGGTGCCGATTGAGATTTGGGTCAGGACTGCAAACGAGTATGTCAAAGCGGGCAAGTTGGGAGGCATTTCATTGTCCGAGTGTAGTGCGAATTCTATTCGAAGAGCTGCTAAAGTGGCTAAAATTGACGCTGTGGAGGTAGAGTTCTCGCTGTGGGCCACTGAGATTTTGGAAAATGGTGTTGCTGCGGCTTGTGCGGAGCTGGATATCCCAATTGTGGCCTACTCGCCTCTGGGTAGAGGCTTCCTGACTGGAGACATCAAGAAGCCGGAAGACATTCCAGAAGACGATATGCGCAGGCATATGCCTCGCTTCCAACCCGAGAACTTCGGTCAGAACCTGAAGCTTCTCACGGAAGTTGAGAAGCTTGCGCAGAGGAAGGGTGTCAAGCCAGGTCAACTTGCTATGGCTTGGGTGAGGGCACAGTCAAGCAAGCCTGGTATGCCAAAGTTCATTCCAATTCCTGGTGCAACCACTCCGGAGAGGGTCAAGGAGAACATGGTCGAGGTGGACCTCAGCGAGGCGGATATCAAGGAGCTTGACAGTCTCATTGCGAGTTGCACAATCGTTGGTAGGAGGTATGGCCAGGGATCACACCTGGAGTTTGGTGATTCGCCTGAGCTCAAGGAGTAGTTTAACTGAGTAGGGTCAAGAGGTAGTTATTCCGTGACTATAATGCATGTCAGTCTCGGAGTCTCCTCTTGGTGCTCAGAAGAATTGCAGAACAGATAAACTACGTCAGATCAAGTGTAGTGTTAAGTTAATCACCATTCGGTTGAAGAGACCATACGCCGAAACGCAAGCCTTCCATCCGTCGGCATTGCAGAACTCAATGTGATCATCATTCGTGTAATGTTGGAAAGGAAGTGTAGGGCTTACCACGATCTCTGCTGTCCTCCCCGGGCATAAGTCCATCATCTCATTGGCCGACACCATGGACCTTCAATAGCAAGTTGCTGCTGAATGCACACTGTATCCGAACCCCCATCTCAGCCGGCGATGTTCGTGATGTTGGGCGCTTCATACGTCTCCAGCTGTCGCGTGCCCTTTCTCAACAGAAACTCAATAGAGCCAAAGTCTTTTCTGTCCATGTGCAAATGCTTCTCAAACTCTCGTCGGGCAAAGCTTTCAAAGTTGGGACGAGTTTCTGTCGGTTTCTTTCGCGCTGCTCGTAAGCAGTTGCGGTAGAGGGCGAGGACATCTCGTTGCAGGCCGGAAAGACGCGCCATGGTGAGATTTTCTGCGATTATGGGACGATGGTGATATGAAGGATGATGGTGGGCGCAGGTGGCGATGAAGACCGCATTGCTAAGTTCTTGTTGATGTCAATAAGATCCTCCCAAAAACGCCGTCAATTTGGATATGCTGTGAAATGCACGTCCCCATCTTGGTCGATCAACTTGAGCTAGTGCACCCGAGGAACTGCCTGATTCATACAGACCGCTGACCGGGTACCCTACTGTGGTATATCGACTCCGAGTACCCTACTTGTAAGTTCTGACTTCTGTTCACAGACTATGGAGCTCTCAGCTTCGGATACCGGACGCGACACATAAATGTAATTTCTGCTGAATATCGAGAAGATGTCTCGCGTCGACAGTCCAGATACTGCGAGCATCATCTCCGCCCACTCCTCGCGCGCACCAACGCTGCAATCGGTTCGCGGCAACCAGGTCTTCACACTCGACACCTTCAGCAGCAAGGACTTCATTGTCAAGGACTTTGTAGAATCGCTGTCCGACTCTGCGACTTCAGCACGACGATCGGCATCCACGGCGGCCACAACCAACAATGCGCAGACCAGTCAGGCGTTCGATCCGAAGCCACTTATCCGGACCTTCGAGCATGCCCTCAACAAGCTGAAGAACCTGAGCGAGGACCTGCAGGAACGGGAGAATGAGCTGAGCGCAAGTGTGCGGAAGGCTGAGGTGCAGCACAACACCAATATCAGATCGCGGGAGCAGGAGTTGGAGCGTGCCATTGGATCTTTCCGCCGCCTGGAGCGGACGCTGGACGGCGATGGTGACGCGGGAGGCAATGCTGCCATGCGCATCGGTGAACGGCTGGACGAGCTGGACAAGCAAAGACAGCGGGCACAGGATGCCAAATTCGTCTTGCAATGCTGGCTCGAAGTCAGCGAGCGAGGCGACTTATCCAGTCTGGATGATGTGCGCAAGATGGGCGGGGGCGAGGGCAAAGTTCGATGTGCGCATATTGCACGCCAGCTGCTGAAGATATCGCAAAGGCTAGATGGTAGCACAGAAGCACCTAAGACGAATGGAACACATTTCACAGATGGGGTCAACGGTATACACGATAACGACTCCACTGATAGCATTCGGAAACCCAACAATGGCGCCAAACCACGAGAGATTATCGAGAAGTTTCTAGAGATGCTGGAAAAGGACCTCTTGAAGTCTTTTGATGATTTCTACCGGAGGCAGAACTTTGAGGGCATGCGCGAATGTGCAGTAGCTTTGCAAGACTTCAGCGATGGCAATTCAGTCATATCGCTGTTCGTCAACCAACATCAGTTCTTCATTGACGGATCGCAGCTGGTCAACGAGGAGCTCGCGGTAGACAACGAGACATGGGATCGTCTTGCGGATCCCGATACTGAACCTCCTGGGGTGGAGCCGAGCTTGCAGTCTCTGATCGACGAAGTGAAGGTTGTTGTCCAGGAGGAGAGCTTCATTATCAAACGCGCTTTCCCGTATTACGAAGATGTATTGGCGCGATTCATCCAGCGAGTCTTCCAGCAGTCAATACAGCAACGCCTGGAAATGGTGCTGGAGAAGGCCGATAGCATATCATCGCTTGCCTTTCTTCGGTCGTTACAAGCATCACGGTCATACATTGCCGCGTTGGTTGAAGAACTGAAAATCCATGGACTCACAGAGCACCCTGAGCCGGCCACTTCCACCACCGCGGCAGTATTGGATCAGCAACTGGATGAGCTTTTTGTGCCCTACTTTACAGGCGCAAGCTACATTGAGCGCGAGAAACGCAATTTAGGAGAGATATTCGAAGGTTTGCTCTTCAAGTTCACGCTCTACCACTCCCGCAGGCGGAAAGTGCACGTGCAGTCTCATACATACCTCGGTGCCATATCCGCACGTGGCAAAGAGTTCATCAGTAGCGCGCGGGACGCCTACATGGAAAGGCTAGACAGCGCTGACTTGCAGCCTGCTCAGAAGAAGATGTTGCTACGAGTGGCAGGATTGCACCACACTAAAGATCACACCGGCGCAAACGATATTGACGTGACGGACGAGGACGGTCAGCTGAGCTTGCCGTCCACGAAACGTATGCTCAAGTGGCTTGCAGAAGGGGTCGGACGGGAGCTTGAATTGGCCAGCGGAGGCAATGAGACGCCCAAAGAAGTGCGCGAGCTTCTTCATCTCCTCATCACGCACATGGGAGAGATCTACCTGGAGACAGCATTGGACGCAGCCAACGACTCTGCAGCTGCGGCAGAAGCCAACACGAAAACCGAACCCGACCTCAACTATATTGCCGATCTGCGAAGCGCTATCAGCGTGTTACATCTCATGTTGACCACGATTCAAATGCTCCTCCTCCCCCTCGCAGCAAGCAACCTCACGATTCGACGTGAGTTGGAAAAGCAGACGAGCAACTTCGTCGATCGCATGGAATTGAAAATCGACACCGTACTTCAGCGCACTCTGGATGCAAGCTTGGCTTGGACGCAGAAAGTATTATCTGGTCAAAAGCGAACCGACTATCGACCCAAAGATGAATTGAACCTGCAACTCGAATTTCAGACCAGCACCTGTCACGCTGTCTTCACGTTCTTGAGTCGTTTACATTCTCGAGCCAAGACTGCTCTTCAGTCTTCAGGAAAAGTGCTCGAGGCTTTTTCCCTCGAACTTGCCATCGGCCTCCGAGGATTGTTATTACAACACTTCAAGTCCTACCAGATCTCGCAAACGGGAGCGTTATTGGCAAGTAAAGACATTACCAAGTATATTGAGCTATTGCGATCGTGGGACTTGCCAGCGAGTTTCGATCCTTCTTTTGAAGTGTTGACGGAGATAGCGAATCTTTTTGTTATTGGACCTGAAGCATTGAGAGATCGATTGCGGAATTTTGGGGTGGGAGTGGCAGGTTTGCAAGGGGTGGAGAAGGGAGATCTGAGGGCGTATATATTAAGGAGGGAGGATAGTGGAAGTGTGGGTGTGCAGACGGTGTTGAATGCGCTATGATGTCCTTCTACCTCCATTGTGCTCGTGATACGGCAGCAGAGAGGGAAGCGGAACACTACTGTAGGCGTGAAGGTGGAGCGTGTGGGACTACCGTATGTCGGCGAAGTCGGATCAGATAACAAACAACAAGCGCTGATGCCAATAGAACTAGCTAATACCGACCAGCAGCAACACATCAACTTAGGTATAGTCTGTCCCAAGCAGGTGGAAGAATGATACCCGCGCATACAAGTAGTCACGAACAATTGTGATAAATATACAGTATAAAGCATGACACTGCGAAGGATTAGATGCCGGCCAAACCTAAGATGGCCTACCTGGACGTGCAGCAACCTTCCTTGCATGCATGAGGCAGGTGCCTTGTGTGAAATTTTTGCCTGACCCTCTTTTGTTGCTTCTCCAACTACCCTAAGTATTATCGATTATTTCTTCTCTTTTCCCCCTCCTCTCCCCTCCTCCTCCCCTCTCCGCGCTCTACCTCTCCCTTCATGTGAGACAGACAGCCACGATGCAGTCCCTCGCCCGCCCGGTCTGCCGTCAGCTCACTCGTCACGCCCGTCAGCGCACCAACACCGCCGCCAATGCCTCTCGCGCACGACCCCTCCTCACGACATCACCACCGCGGCATCTCGCTGTTTCCTCCCAGCGCAGATATGCCTCCCACCGCTCAGACACCGGCCGCGACGCCCGCTCTGCTGTCATCAGTGTGCTGAACAACATCGCCTCTAAGCGCGAAGTCCAGCAATACCTGGCCCAGTTCACGTCCGTGTCTTCACAGCAATTCGCTGTGATCAAAGTTGGCGGAGCCATTCTTACAGACTACATTGATGTCCTCTGCGCTTCCCTTCGCAATCTCAATCAGATGGGCTTGTACCCTGTCATCATCCATGGAGCAGGACCTCAACTCAACAAACTCCTCGAGGAGGCCGGGATCGAACCCAAGTACAACGAGGGCATTCGCATTACCGATGGAAAGACACTCGGTGTGGCCAGAAAGTTGTTCTTGCAGGAGAATTTGAAGTTGGTAGAGGCGCTGGAGTCTTGGGGTGTCAAGGCCCGCCCCATTACCAGTGGAGTTCTCATGGCTGATTACAAGGACAAGGAAACTTACCAATTCGTGGGAGAGGTCAACCAGGTCAATGCAGGGAGCATCAAAGCTGCAATTGCAGATGGCTATATTCCTGTTCTGACGTGTATGGCGGAGAGTGAAGAAGGCCAAGTCCTCAACGTCAATGCGGATAAAGCTGCTGCTGAGCTTGCAAAGGCATTGGTGCCTTTGAAGATTGTGTATCTTTCCGAAAAGGGCGGCATCTATGACAAGGAGACTGGAAAGTTGATTGAGGCAATCAATTTGGACGAGGAGTATGATGAGTATATGAAGAAACCTTGGGTGATTCATGGCACGAGGAGCAAGATACGGGATATTAAGTCTCTGCTTGACAACTTGCCACGCAGCTCCAGCGTTGCCATTATTCATCCCGAAAGCCTGGAACGTGAACTTTTCACCCACTCTGGAGCTGGTACTTTGATCCGCAGAGGGACCAAACTACACACGGCATCGACTTTGAAGGAATTCTCGGAGCCAGCGAAACTGAAACAAGCACTCACTCGCGACCGCGAAGGCCTCGACGCTGCAAATGTCGTCGATCGATACCTCGAGATTCTGGAGTCTAGGCCATTCCAAGCCTATTTCGATGAGAATATGGAGGCTTTGGCGATCGTTCTTCCACCAGACAATACCCCAAATGCCATGGCGCAGCTCGCTACACTTACCATGACAAGAAATGCTTGGTTGTCGAACATCGCCGATAACGTCTTCCAGAACTTGAAGAGAGATTGGCCCAGACTTACTTGGACAGTTAAGCAGGATGACGAGAATCTGACTTGGTTCAGTGAGAAGGCTGATGGGCACCTTGCGCGGGATGGGGAGGTCCTCTTCTGGTACGGTATCGACAGCCCAGATGAGGTTCGCGACTTGATGAGCGAATTCATCAAGCAAGGCCGTAAGATGTTCGGTGACACTAACCTCGAATCCCACATCCACCGCGCAAGCTCCACAGCCGAACGCATCAGAGCCAATGCTGCCAACTTGGCCAAGTCAAGACCTCAGGCGGCACGTGCATTCAGCACCAATGCCAGGCCAATGAGACGCGTCCGAACAGACGGCCTTCAGCAGATCCGGACTTATGCGACGACCAACCCCAACCCCCCGCTTGGTGTCAAGAACCGCGAGAAAGACTATCCTTCCAAGGTGGCTCTCATTGGCGCTCGTGGTTACACTGGAAAGGCTCTCATCGACCTGTTGAACAACCACCCCAACTTTGACCTCTGTCACGTTTCTTCCCGAGAGCTCAAGGGTCAAGAACTCAAAGGTTACGATAGCAAGAAGATCATTTACGAGAGCCTCTCGCCTGATGATGTTCGTAAGATGGCAGAGAGCAAGGCGATTGACTGCTGGGTCATGGCTCTTCCCAATGGTGTTTGCAAGCCATATGTCGATGCTATTGAAGAGTCCGGCCACAAGGAAGCTGTCATTGTTGATTTATCCGCAGATTACAGGTTTGATCCGAACTGGACCTACGGCCTCCCGGAGCTCGTACAACGCAACAAAATCGCCTCTGCCACCCGCATCAGCAACCCAGGATGTTATGCCACCGCTGCCCAGCTTGGCATTGCTCCACTAGTGCCATATCTCCCACCATTCCCAGCACAACCCACAGTCTTTGGCGTCTCAGGATACTCAGGCGCCGGCACGAAACCTTCTCCCAAGAACGATGTCGAAGTGCTCACCAACAACCTCATCGCCTACTCGCTCACAGACCATATTCACGAACGCGAAATCTCCTCCCAGCTCGGCACCGAAGTCGCTTTCATCCCTCACGTTGCAGTCTGGTTCCAGGGTATCCACCACACCATCTCCATTCCTCTGGCAGAGAAGATGGCGTCGAGAGATGTCAGACAGCTCTACCAAGATCGTTTTGACAAGGAGAAACTCATCAAAATCACCGGCGAGTCTCCACAAGTCAAGAACATTTCGGGTCGCCATGGAGTGGAAATTGGAGGCTTTGCAGTGCACTCCTCGGGTAAGAGAGCGGTGGTGAATGTTACGATTGACAACTTGCTCAAGGGCGCTGCTACCCAGTGTTTGCAGAACATGAATCTTGCGCTGGGGTATAGTGAGTATGAGGGCATTCCATTGGATTAAATATGGGGTCGCCAAAGTACGAAGCTGGATAGTGTCAGAGGACGCGGAGGTGAGTGCGGAAAATGAGCGGATGGGCCTAGGAATGTTGAAAATGGGAGGAAATTGTTATCCTTTCGTTGGTTGTTAGATGTCGATATGATGGTACTAATTCGAGCGATCGAATCGTAAGACTTTTACAAATTAGCGTTCAAGCTTGTACCTACCTATCGTGTCTGAAATCATGTACGTTGGTGCCGATTGTTATTGTTTTCTCACTACATGTGTTTTTGTATTCCTCTCGTCGTTGGTGGGAGAATGAAGAGCGAGCGAGGGAGAAGGAAATGTGAAGTGAAGTACAGACGGAATGACGACAGCCTTGGCGCCATTCGTTTGCACATGCCTCACGTAAAGTGAAGCTCCCCCAAGCGAATTGTTGTCCTTCTCATCGACTCGTCTGTCTCGGATATCGTATCAAAGCCCACACATAAGCAACACCCGATCGTGAGAAAGAGGAATAGAAAGAATAATGGCCACACCAACGACGCTCTCACGCTACCTCACGCGCCTCGAATCCTCCCTCGCAGACCCTCACACGCGCTCTTCTCCGTACGAACGCAATCGCATAGCAGCCAATATTGAACATGCCCGCGCTATGCTCCTCACGCTTGAGAAGGAAACATCTACAGTGCGAGTACAGTCTTCCAAACAAGCTACACAAGCCGAACTTCAGAAAAGCAGAGAATGGATCAAGAGGTTGAATGGGAGGTTGTTGGAGATGAATAGTGCTGCACATGACGATGACGACGAGGATGACGATGACAGCGAGAAGGATGGTGTCAATTACAACAGTTACGGTCCAGCGATATCTGGAACAGAAGCGGGTTTGGAAGTGAGAACGGGAACCGGAGGATTAGGCAAAGCGGGCGGAGATGAGGAAGAGATGTTAAGAGATGTTCAACCACAGCAACACCAGCAAGAAATACGAGCACGAAAACAAGCACCATCATCATCATCATCATCATCAAATCTCAAACCAACAGACAACAAATCCGCAGCATCAACGACAGCGCGCGAACAACTCTTCGCAGGCCGTAACGCATCCAAAACCCAACAGTCAAACCCCAGCCTCTCCAATTCCGAATCCCTCCTATCGCACAACCGCGTCGAACAAGAGACTCTCACCTCGGGCTTATTAGCACTCGCGCGCTCCCTCAAAGAGTCGTCGCAACAATTCGGCGCATCGCTCGAATCCGAAAAAGATATCCTGAAGCGCGCCGGGCAAGGTTTGGATAAGAATGCTGCCGGGATGGAGGCTGCGGAGAAGCGGATGGGGGCGTTGAGGAGGATGAGTGAAGGGCAGGGGTGGTGGGGGAGGATCAAGTTGTATGGGATGATTTTTGGGTTGTGGGTGGCGTGTTTTATTCTGGTTTTTTTGGGTCCTAAATTGAGGCTCTAAAACAAGGGGGGTTAGGACAGAAAGATGTTGATATGGCGATATGAAGTGCGCGGTAAGAGGGAAAAGATTTGAGGGATTTTGAGAAAAATGGTTCAAGATGGGTTGATTGTTCAACTCGGATGTGTGTGCCTGGGAAGGGATGACCCAGATATTGTTCCATTATCATAGCATGTTGCATTTCTTTTCCATGATACCCAGACGAGCAATGTCATCGTCTATTTCGTTCGATCACTTCCGAGTGTGCTCGCCCTCTTGTTTCCACACTTTTACTCATTTCGTTCCAATACCATATGCCTTCCCCATCTTCAAGGCTCAAACTTGGGATTGTACTTCGCCATGGCAGCCTCAAACGCACTCCTCTTCTCCTCCAACTCGACCAAAAACTCACACTCCTTATCCAGCCCCTTCAACCTCTCGGTCAACTCCTCCGTCCCCTCCCTCCCCACCCCGACATCCAACACCAACTTATTCACCACAGCAGCAGCATAATTCTTCCCCTCCTCCATCTCCCACGCCTGTCCCAGGGCCACCTCGGCCTCCTCCACCCTCCCCAAATGCAACTCACTCACGCCCTGCTGCACCAAACTCACCACACTCCTCGAACTCGGCCCTTGCGCCATCTCCTCAAAGACATAAAACGCTTTTTGATAATTCGCTTCCCCGCCCATGCGCATCGCAATCCACGCTTCAGCCAAATTCACCAGTAAAGCATCTTGTGCAAATGACCTAGCGGCTTTGGCTTCTTTGATCGCTCGTTCGAGATTATTTTGTTGCAGACAAATTTGAATCGAGAGAGCGACTGCGTCGAGAGAACCCGTGTGCGACGAGAGAAGTTGCAGCGCTGCATCGGGTTTTCCGGCGCGAGAGAGAATCGAACTGATGAGGAGTTGTACAGTTAAATTTTCAGACGCTGTCGAGGCGAGTTCTTCGGCGGGAGTGAGGATGGTGGGGTCTGAAGGGGGTTGGAGGTAGGACGAGGCGTATAAGCGGACGGCGGCCAGGTCGGGGGAATCGGAGGAGGAGCTGCTGTTGTCGGAGGAGAGGGAGGAGAGGACTTCGTTGTATTGGCCGAGAGCGCATTGGGCGCGGTATTGGAGGATGCGGATGGGGAGGGCGTTTTCGGGGGAGAAATCGCTGACGGTGTAGTCGTTGAGGACGGATTGGTATTGGCCTTGGACGAAGGCGGTGTGGATGTTGACCAGCTCGCCTTCGGAGGAGAATGGGTCCATCTTGGGTTGTGTAGTCTTGAGGCGAGGTGGTATGGAAGTGTGGTGGTGGTGGTGTTGTTGTTGTTGTCGTTATTCTTGGGAGGACAGTTGGAGGTCGCATTGACAGCTAGCTACTGCTATTCTAACCAATTCCCAGCCAGGGTCCATAGGTCTGTCTAGTAGTACCTGAATGTAGGTACATGTAGTTTAATTCAAGCACATGAATCACTCTCTTCTCTACAGTCTACACCAACAATCACAATGCCTACTGCAACGCCTCTTCCAGACTCTCAAATCCCGACAAATCCTCCTGATCTCTCCAAGAAACTGCCCAAACTCGTGCCGCGACGGAGCAAGCCATCAGAAGAAGCGGCATCGAATCCTCCCCCACCAACTCCAGCCCTCGCAGCGGCCCCGAACCTCCAAGACCACAAATATCAGAAGCCCGCACGACGAATCCTCTCCCAACGCGATCATGAGCTGTTCCTCGCTTCGCCCACTCATGATCTGATTGTCAGCTTCGTCTTCCATCTCTCCGACTCGGTTCGCAACACCACCATCCGCAATGTACAGTCCTCGGATCAAGCCCAAGACCCTTCCATACTCGCCCTCCTGGCAGTTCTCGATGAGGCAGAAGAGCTCCGTAAGAAGACTCCGGCGTTAGATACCGGCTCTCGCTTCGGCAATCCAGCTTTCCGCGATTTCCTCGATGCAGTAGACACTGCTCTGCCCTCATGGCACACCAAACTCGGCGTCACGTCCAGCTCAGCTCAATCCGAAGTCTCCACCTACCTCGCCAGCGCCTTTGGTAACGGCAGCAGAATAGACTACGGATCCGGCCACGAACTCAACTTCATCCTCTGGCTCCTCTGCCTCCGCCAAATCGGCATTCTTCACCAACATACCTTCCCCGCCCTCACGCTGCTGGTCTTCCCCCGCTACCTCCGCGTCATGCGCGACATTCAATCCACTTACTATCTCGAACCCGCCGGTTCCCATGGCGTGTGGGGTTTAGACGACTATCAATTCCTTCCCTTCCTCTTCGGAGCTTCCCAATTAGTCGGCCACAAACACATCCGACCCTTATCCATCCACAACGAACTCATTCTCGAAGAATGCAGTCCCGACTACCTCTATCTCGACCAAATCCAATGGGTCAACGCCACCAAAACCGTCCAAGGTCTGCGCTGGCACTCGCCCATGCTCGACGACATCTCCTCCGCCAAAAACTGGGCCAAAGTAGAAGCGGGCATGAAAAAAATGTTCTTGGCCGAAGTGTTGGGGAAATTGCCCGTCGCGCAGCATTTTTTGTTCGGGAGTCTCTTGTCTGCTGCTGAGGACATGTCGCGGGATGTGGAGCAGTTGGTGGGAGAGGAGGATGTCGGAGAGGTGGAAGTTACGGTCGAAGGTATGAAACATACACATTCGGCGAATCGGTGGGGGGATTGTTGTGGGATTAAAGTCCCTAGTGCTGTGGGTGCGAGACAGGAGATGAGTAAAATGGGTGGCGGAGGTGGGTTGAGGAGGGTGCCTTTTGATTGATTGGATTGGATTTGGATTGATGGAGATTTGTCGACGTGATGATTATGGGGAGGAGGATATACGGCTATTGGAAGAAGAAGAAGAAGAAGAAGAAGAAGACGGTGAAGGAGAAGAGCTCTGAGAACAGAGACAGAAGAATAGGGAAAGAAAGACATGACAAGAACTAAGAGGTACCCTTACAGTAAGTAGGTAATGACTCCTCAATGAATTAATGATCATTCGGATACAATCCCCTTCCAAGACAAAACAATCAATGATATAATAATAATCGAAAGGTGAACAAGAACAAGAAAAATGAAAATAAAAAAGGTACCAAAGTGAGTGTACTGGCTACTGTTGCTATGGCAAGGTAGTAGAAGTATCTACCTACCACATACACAAGAATTCGCCAGCAATGCCAATGCCGAATATCTATGTAGGTACCTAACCCTAACCCAACCCTAACCTAACCTATCGAGGTCAGGTAGTGAAATCAAGTACCTTCTGCGTGCGTATCGACGTACGTACCCAGCAGCCAGCGAGTACCTTAGTGAACGCACCAGGGAAGGGAAGGGAAGGGAAGGGAAAAGAAAGGGGAAAATTGGGTTTGCCGAGGAGGGAGGGACCTAGGGATGGAGTGGAGTGTGTGTGTGTGGTCTTCTTGCAAATTCATGATCATCGTCCATCGACTTCCTTTCATTCATCCATCCTGTAACACTGGAGACTCAGGGCAGTTCCTCCAACATGCTCTGCCATTCGGGCAGGCGTAGTCTCCAAGCGGTCTATTCCTGGAGAATACCTTTTTCTTCTGGGTTCTCGTCAGTTGCAGCACTGCCACCACCGCCGCCGCCGTCTCCATCGTCGTTCTGTGCTCCCTCCGTAGGCACCGGACGTCTTCGCTTCTTCGAGTTTCCAGGAGAGCCAGAGACTTCGCTCTCCACTGGTGACTTGCCCGTCGCCTCAGACATGGTGGATTCACCATTGTTGAGTTGGGGAGGGGGGATCAGCTGTGTGCCGTCCGAAATCTTCCAACCTGCGATGCGCATCTCCTTCCACTTTTGCGCAACCTTGACACGTACCAGATCTCCAGTCGCAATGGCGTCTTCCTTGGAATCATGGCCACGATCTCCGCCCATCTGGATTTGACGATGCAGGTGGCGTTGCGTGAGCATCTTCAGTCCGAAGCGCAAAGGCAAGCCACGTGGATGCGGGAAGAGAACGACAGTGTCAACGATGGTAGGATGGCACAGACGGACGGTGTTGAGGTCATTGTCGATCGCATGTCCGATTAATGGGGTCTGCGGAGTGAGGAAGCTGCAAAGCAGCTCACGGGCTTTGGCGGGACTGGTGACAATCGGCAGACGAGCGACATCGTTCTCACCCAAGTTCGGAGGTGTGTAGTCTGCCCAGTTCTCGTACGGAATGGCATTGGTGTAGCTCTCTGCGAAGACGCCTGAAAATCTGCTGTTGAGGTCAATGATGGCGCCGATGGGTCGCACGAGCACATCAACGAGCTGCTCGTTTGTGGGCCAGGCCACAGCGGTCAATCGTATGAGCTCAAACCCGCAAGCGGTGTAGCCCATTTCGCAATCAAACGTGACCGCCTCGACGTGGCGACCTTGAGGATCTTTCGCCGGAGATGGGTTCTCGGGCGTGGTGATGAATGGTAGCACGGCTGCTAGTCGTGCCGGACTCTTGGTGTTGAAGACATGTTCTGCCTGCGATGTGCATCCAGGTGTACCCACGTCTTCATCGCAGCAGGGATAGTATGGCCCCCTGGACACCATGTTCTTGTCTTTGTCCGCCTTGGTCTTCTGGGGGAACATCTTGCGCCGAGGATGGTACTTACAAGGCCCGTTACTGGTGAGCATGCCTTCTGCATTACGGTCAGGAAAGACTTGAAAGCGGGCGGTGCATCGATCACACTCCTCCCAGTTGTGACTCGCTTCGACTGCCAACTTGGCTTCTTCTATTTGCTCGGCAGTTGGTGGGCTGATGGTATAGCCATGCGCCGCGAGTGGTGTCTGGTCAGCTACCAGCTGGAGCAGAATCAAGACTTCTTCTCCTGGCGCAAGCCCCGTGTCCATCGGTTTCGCAGGCTCGTGCGCAGGAGGTGGTTCATCTTTGGCAATGGTGATTGCCAGCTCAGCCACCCACGCTTCCATCGACATCTTTTTGTATGCAGCTATTCGCTGCTTGATGACGTTGCCGTACACTGCGCCGCTGTCGCGTATGAGTTGTTCTTCGAGGTCGAGCGCCTTGGAGATGATTTGTTGTGGTGTCAACTTCCACTTATCTTTCGAGTCGAGCGAGGTGGTGTCGGACACTAATTGGTTTAATCTGACCAGCTCGGCATGTAGGTACTTGAGAAAAAGCTGTCGTTTAGCATGGCCGACCGGATCATTGGCAACAAGTCGTGGGTTGAGTGATTCGACCTTTTCTGGCTTGGCTGTCGCTTGTGCAGCGGTACTCTGACCGTTCCGGTTTGCTGAGCCAGCTGCTGTGCCCGTTGCCGTGGCAGCTGTCGACGTGGTCGTGCGATTGGCCGACGAAGGCGTAATCGGCTTGGAAAGGGTTTGCGGCAGTGCAGGATGTTCGATGCGATTTTCTGTCCGAGATATCGGTGTGTCGTTCGGTGACGCAGCCGCAGCAGCAGGTTTCGCTTTCTGGGCAGCGAGCTGAGTACGGATCAGATCTGCTCGACTGGGCGGTTTCTCCTCGAGGCTGTTGTAAGTCACTTTCCGTCGCTTAAGGGGAGGCTCTTGGTCTTCGTCCGCAGAGGTTTTCGGGTTGGCCGTAGCCGTCGCGGTCACGGCATTGGTAGCATCTGTGGACGGGAGCGTGGCAGTTGGCGGGTTGGCCTGCGATCCTTTTGGCTCGTGAGCATAGATGCAGTTGATGAGTCTGCATTCCGCCAGCTTCGGGCACGCTATGCTCTTGAACAGATTACTAGAGGAGAAGACCATTGTGTCGAGGATGCTGGGTTCCCGACTTCCTTGTGCTTTCACGGAGCGAAGATATCGAGTTTGCACTTTGGGACAGTGGGACGTGGTGGCAATGGCCGTGTTTGGGACTTGATATCCCAGAGACTGCGGCAGGAGTGTGAGCACAATGGGCCCCAAGTGAAGTCAAGAGAGACGGGATGAGATGTGCAGACAAGACATATACCAAGCTAGGACTAGCATTGACAAGACAGGACAGGCACGATGTGATTGAATTATGGTATGGACCCACTTACCACGGTTCTGCTTGTCCCGGCAGGCGTACTGTTTGCAGTTCAGACCCAATAAGCACAGCACAGCCACAGCCACGCCCAGCAGTGCTTTGGGAGCTGGGAGAAGGATGGTTTGATGGGGGAGTCAAGTGAAGTCAGCACACTCGTGTATACACTAACCATGTGTGTACTGAGTGGCTGAGAACTGGCTTTGTCTGTGTGTTCATGAACCGGGGCTACCTCCTAGGAGGTAGTAGGAGGTAGGTAGAAGGAGAATGAACGCCACAGAGTGTCAGGGAGGAGGTCGTCAGGGTGTCAGGGTGTCAGGGACTCAGGGACTCAGGGTGACAGGACCTGATTGATAGTACCTTCCTACCAACTACGGTACCTGTAGAATGTAGACAGTAGATAGACGGGTCGGGAGTACCCAAATGTCCGACGCCGAGGCCGAAGACCTGCACGTCATGACTTGTCCATAGAATACAGCGCGTGGCCTGCCATCTTCACTAAAGAACGCCATGGAGAAATCATCCTAGGTACTACCTCCTACTACCTCCTACTGCTAACCCATTCCCATAGGCTGCCAGAAAGTGAGTTCGCCGTCCTCCTCTTCTACACTCCCTCTCATATCTCTCTCTTCCTCTCTCCCCCTTCTCCCTCACTCCCTCACTCACTCACCATGGCCTCCTCCTCTTCCCCCCAAGCCGACCACTTGGCCGTGCTGATCCACGGGCTCTGGGGACAACCCAAGCATCTAGACTTTGTTCGCAACGCGCTGCGCGAGGAGCACGCCGAAGATGACCTGCACATCCTCGTCGCGACATGTATAGGCGACAACAAGACATACGATGGCATCGAGGTGGGCGGAGAAAGAGTGGCCAACGAGATTGAAGAGAAGCTTGCCCAGCTGGAACAGGATGGACACACCATTCGCAAGATCAGTATCGCAGGCTACAGTCTGGGCGGTCTCATCGCGAGATATGCAATCGGCGTGCTCTACAGCAGTGGCCTCTTCGACAGGATACAGCCCGTCAACTTCACCACGTTCGCGACACCGCATCTAGGTGTCAGAACCCCCAAGCGAGGAGCACGCTCATACCTGTTCAACGTCTTAGGCGCAAAGACCTTGAGCACGAGTGGCCAGCAAATGTTCCTCGTCGACACGTTTCGCGATACCAAACGCCCTCTTCTCTCCGTCATGGCAGACCCGAACAGTGCCTTTGTCAAAGGTCTCAGCATGTTCAAGAACAAGTGGATATACGCCAACACGATGAACGACCGAAGCGTGCCCTACTACACCGCAGCCATGTCCCGTATCGACCCTTTTGTCGACCTCGACAAAATCACCGTCCACTACCTCTCCCCTCCTGGAGAAGTCATCCTCGATTATTCCAATCCCGCCACGCCACGAAGAAGTCCCTGGGAAGACATGACAACTTTGGAAAAGATCCGCGCCGCCCCTCGACAAACCATGAAAACACTACCTTTCTATTTGGTCCTGCTCACCCTCATGCCCATTGCTATTCCGGCATTCCTCCTCAACGCAGGCTACCAAACATATCGATCGGCCCAGAGAATCCGACACCATGAATCTGGCTCGGCATTCAATTTGGACAAATATCGTGTCAGACTATTGGAAGAAGCCGAAGCTGCTACCGATCGCGCATACGAAAACCTTGCGAATTCTACGCGAGAGGAATATCTCCCTACACCCGCATCCGAATCGGCGTCGAGTTCCGCCTCGACATCGTCATCATCCTCATCAATATCCAATCTAAAAAACAGCAACACAGAAAGAAGAAAAGGAGAAGAAGAAGGGAAGGAAGAAGCAGATTTACGAAAACTCAGTCGGCGAGAAAGCAAACGAGAAAAATGCCACGATTTTCCCCTTTTGGCCTTGACCACCGAACAATTCGACATGATTGACCATCTCGATCGCTGTGTCGGCTTTGAAAAATTTCCCGTGCACATTCAAAAAGTCAGACATACACACGCGGCGATTGTCGTGAGAATGCAGAAACCTCTCTCTGGAGCAGAGAGTTTCTCCGAAGGTGTCGTTGTGGTTAAGCATTGGGCGAGCAAATTTGAGATTTAAAATTTGAGATTTCTTCATTTTAAATATTTGAACAGAAGAGAGAAGAGAAGAGTAGAGAAGATATAGAGATAGAGATAGAGATGTAGTATGATATGATATGATATGATATGATATGATATGACATAATATAATGACCTGCACTTGTTACATCTCATCTCCGTCCGCTCACGATTCCGTTTCTCACTCACACACTCAGAGCACGACACACTCAGGCAGTGTGCACTTCTTCATATCAATCGGCTCCATTCCCGGCAACAGCTGCAAAGCTTCCGCTTCCGCTTCAGCTTCAGCCTCTCTCTTCTCCTTCTTCAAAGAAGCGCAAAGAAACGGATCATCGCAACCCTCGGGATTGACGGGATTCATACCCGGCAACAGCTCCAAAGCTTCCGCTTCTGCTTCCGCCTCTCTCTTCTCCTTCTTCAGAGAAGCGCAAAGAAGCGGATCATCGCAACCCTCGGGGTTAATCGGTTCCATTCCCGGCAACAGTTGCAAAGCTTCCGCTTCCGCTTCCGCCTCTCTCTTCTCCTTCTTCAGAGAAGCGCAAAGAAACGGATCATCGCAACCTTCGGGATTGACGGGCTTCATACCCGGCAACAGCTCCAAAGCTTCTGCCTCTCTCTTCTTCATCATCTTCCTCTTAGACCCATCGACCTGCTGATTTCCAAAATACGGCGCCCATCCCTGCTTTTTTGGATCATCGTATTGACCCGGAAAGACAGGCTCAGCATCTCGCTTCTCCTTCTTATTGACAATAGGAAGAGTCTCAAATTCTCCCGTTTTGGGAAGTTGGCCGTGGAAAACTCCTGTGGAAATCACTCGACGTTTTTCCTTGTCTTCGTGGCGCGTGGGGAAGATTTGAGGGCCGACGCCGAGAGGGTTGGTGACGTCGACGTGTTGGAGTTGGGAGAGGTCGAGTTGGAGAGGAGCGGCGAGGACTACTGTTGAGCTGGAGAGAAGGAGGGTGGTGGCCACGAGGGTGGAGGTGAGTGAGTCTGTTGTTTGCGTTTTTCCTGGGTCAGTATGGTAGCCTTGATATTTTGTTGGAGAGAGAGATATACTGACATTGCATCTTGATGGTGCTAATGAGTGAGAACTGGCGCTTTAAATATGAAGTTAGGAACCTTGATTTCTGGCAGCTCGTAATCAATGGGACTGTCCTCGACTCTTATGTATCCTAACGAGTTTTGTGAGCACTGTTTCATGGAGCCACTCAATGCCGGAATACGAGGCTTCTCCAAACACTCTTATTTCTCCGCGACAAGAGATGCTTCGCTTCATTGGTTTCATTGTGGTGGTTTTCTACATGTCTCGGCGAATTCGGCATACAACCAGAAATTTGACGCCAACTCCAGGATCAGAACAGCGCCATCATGCCACGTGCAACACTCTAATCAGTTTCGACCGGGGCAACAATGGCTTAACTGATTGCTTGTGCACAACGGAGCATTGAGCTTGTTGCATTGAAATGGGACTAGAAATTTCCCGAAGAACGATACTAGTGTGTCTGCGAACTCGGTGCCCGATAATACGGTGTCATAGGTCCAAAATGAAGACACATAATATCATCTCCAGTCTGCAAGAGGGCTGAACATCTTCGCAGAAATGCTCGACTGTCAAGACCGCGTTTAAGCAAGCTGAGTCGGACTTATTTTCTGGGAAGCCTTGTGGACGTGGAAGCCAGGCTTTGGGTAAGTGGAATGTTAGCATATGGTATCTCTGAGTCTGCCCCAATCACAGAATCAATTATCACACAAGTCGATAACGAAACACTGATAGATTCATACGCTGAGATGTTGACTTGGTGAAGTCCGGCGTGGAGAAGCGCTTGCTTGAGAGGTCGGCCGGAGCCCAGCAGATAGAATCGAGAGTGAGCTGGGTTCGTGCTTAAGAGACGATGTCGATGCAATGCAACTTCCAGCCTCAGTTGTCTAGGTAAGCATTTCTTCTTCGTCGTTGAGAGTCAACATCCCCGTCCGAGCTCCCGCATACTTTGGCTCAGCGTGTGACTTCCCGGCACAGCGTGCTTGCTCATCATTATCGCCTTGAATCGAGTCGGATATCCGTTGCGTAAGCCATAGGGTCGTCCCGAGCAGACATATTCTCTAGTAGAAACCGCGTGGCTTTGCCTGCTTCTGCCTGCTTCTGTCTGCCTGGGGCAGTAGATCGACGACCTTCGCTGGGGAACTCAGTATCGGCGGGGTAGCGGGGAGCCCAGGAAGTGATTGAGCCATGTATTGTTCGGCTTTCCAGTACCATGGCATTTCAGTAAGTTTGAGCAGAACAGAAGGTCCGCGCCATAGCATGAGGGTGAGGATGGGGTGAGATGATGTTGACGCAGGAACCCACGACGCCGTGGACTTGGTGCCTGACCTGAGAATGATTGACACGCCAAGACTCGGTGCGTATCCACGTGATAAGCACAGACGTGTGAGCAGGCACATATTTTCGCACGAGCTTCGGCCGGCTGATCGAATTCGGTCCGACGCCTGCGCGAGACAATGTGTGCAGGTGGGATTGCACTATGTCCAGCTGCAATTCCTCAAACCACTCTCTGGGCTCTTCTTGACTTCCGCCAGGCCCCGACGACATCGTACCAATAGCAACGACATCGTCCAACCATTTGCTAGGGGCGCAAATAATGAATGGTCCTTGTCAAGATGCAACGCGTGCAGAAGGCGCCGAGTGCAGCACCGCCCAGCGCACCGAAGGCTTAGTGTGCATCGATCATCTGAGCCGGCTTCATGCAGACCGCGCGCCCTGCATCATTAGATCTATCACTCGGGTGTGGAGAAACATTTTTGGCGCATTCGTCGCCGCAGAATTTCAGCTGCACAATACCTCCTACAATCTCCTACGTATAAAGGGTCAATAAATCGTCATCTCCAGCGTGCATAGCTGCATACCTAGTAGGAGGTATTGCATCTGTTGTCTAGTGGCCAGCTCGAGGCATAGTCTACACCTTCGGAAGCTGACGTGAACAAGGTTGTTGTCAAGACAGAGAGTTCAGCGACCCCGTGCCCAGAACGTTGATGTCTTTGCAGGTCGATAGAAGTCGTACCTCCTACCTCCTACCCTACCTCCTAGGAGGTAGGTGGTAGCGCCGCACACTTCCCGCTGTCTCTCCCTCCCTCTCTTTCTGTCTCTTTCTCGGTCTGTGGCGGGCCGTTTTATCCAGACCTCGCTGTGCCGCATCGTTCGGAGCCGATACCTCCTAGGGTTGATCACCTGCGAAGTGGTCACATCCGCCTCCCACACTGCTGGAGGTACCGTACCTCGTAGAATAGTATAGTTCGTCGTCTCTCCAGCTGAACGTCGCGCTGCATGTGCATTTCTGCGCCCGAGTCCCTCGCCGTTGAGTCATCGGACTGGGAGCGCTCGGATGACGCCTGACATCCGGTCATATTACTGCCAGTGTTATAAGTCTTTGCGCTGGCGGTGAACCTGCGGGCACTGCACCGGGCGTTGGCATCGAAACCACAAACAACCACACCTACCTGAGTATCGTATATGTTTGCCCGACGCACGCTTCCTGTGCTGATCTGAACAACGCGGAGTGTGTTGGGATCAACCTCGAGCGACACGCACCAGACAAGCACTCGAGCGCGCGGTGGTGTAACAGCTGGAGGCCTCAGCAGCGACGCTAAAAAGCGATAGAACTAGTGGCACTCGCTCCTTCCTCCACTTTGACTCTGGTTCATGTGGAGTACTGCAGGCAGCAAGCACACCGACACGGCGACACCCTTCCTTCCGCTTCTCTTTCCTCCTTCTCAACATCGTGGCGGCGGCGACGCTGCTGTGATCATTCCGGCACAGGTGAACGACCAAACACTTTATCTGTACTCCTGGCTGGCATTGAGAAACGACACCACGCCGCTCCAGCCAAGGAACCCCTCTTTCGTCGCAAGGCGCAAGCATCCTGTTGCGTTGGCGTCACACACCTGCATAGGACTACGGCCAAGCTCCGGCAATGGCCACCACCAGCATCAATACTGCTCCGGCCACGGCTACGACGTATGTATTCCATTCCGGTGATCGCGGGCATGATGGATTCGCAGAACCAGAGAGCCCCGTCGAAGGGCACCGCTCAGGAAGCATAGACTCCTTGGACTCGCTGGCGCTGCCCAAGTTGCGGCCTGAGACTAGTCTGATTGCAACGGAGCCGTCAACGTCGACCCTGCCGCAGGGCTACTTCAACAGTACGAAAAACGTTGCACTACCCGTGACTGTCAGTCGCAATCGCTCCCCATATTCGAGAACCCACCTCCGTTCGCGGTCCAGCGGAGCCACTCTGAGCGCGCCAGTCATGACGAGAGCACATTCCAGTCCCGCCGCGCATTCTGCCAACCGTACCCTCGAACTGCATACTCTGTCTACCGGCGCACTCACATCGAGCAGTCCTATGCGATCGCCGGCACGACAACGTTCACCATTTCGGCCGGCAGAAGAAGCTTCATACAATCCCCCTCCTCCACCTCGATCGCCCGGCTGGTTCGAGTCACCCAGCGCAGGAGGCGCGATTGAGGCCATCCAAGAAGATAGCGAGTTAGACATTACACCGCGACAGACCACTCCCACTTACGCCATGCCGTTCGTGCGGTCTTCGTCTTTGCGTCGACGGCCGGCGAGTCCGCTGCATAATGTTACCAACGCAACACCGTCGACGTCCATGCCAGGCAGCCATCTGGAGAACAGCAGCATATCAGTCGCATCTTCGCGCTCAAGTTCTCCGTCGCTGGGTCCCCTGCGATTTAACGAGACGTACCCTTCCTTACATCATTACGCCAGTACTTCTTCCCTGTTCAGCATACCTTCATCCACTCCTACCTCACAACGCTCCCGATCTCCCTCGATAAGCTCGTTGGATACGATCGAGGACGCGCCAGACATGGAGCAGGAAGCAATTGAGGCAGACAGGATTGAGAAATTGAAGTTGGCAGCCGAGAGGGCTGCAAAAGGGGAAGAGGATGACGATAGCCCTCGACGACGCAGCAGTCTGGATGGGCCCCGAGGATTCGGTTTCAACAGAGGCGGCAACCGTGAACGTAAGCGTTGGTCAGTCTGTGGAGGAGAAAGGCGAGTTGACCTCGACCTGGATACGATATGGGAGGATTGATAAAAGCCCTTGGTTAAGTGCTTGCTTGGGAAGTTGGCATTGAATGGAAACACCTAGGGTACTTTCACCCCTCATGGATGGTGATTGACGTGGCATGTCCTCTGACGTTTGTGTTCTTGGGCTGGAGGGCAGGTGTTTTATGGAGCTGGAAGTTTCTGGGATTGCCCTATTATTGTATATTGAGATACCCACGCCGCTGATATGGCGCGCGCAGTCATGTCATAGAGCGTATGCAAGGGGATGCGAAGTAGTCAAGCTGTATCGAATACCTATAATCTGTTCACTGTCCACGATCCAACACCCTGAACTCTGGTAACACAATTGGTCTTTCACATGCTGTATCGGGTGACTTGCCGCTGCCCCACCCGACTTTAAATTCTACCTACCAGGTACCATACTACCTTGGGTACCTATGGTGAACCATGACATACCTTACTTACTTTCCACTCCTACAACAAGATACAACCACCACCACCACCACCTCTCCACTCTAGTCAACCCTCAACATGACAGAACACATTCATTTCCTCCCTCCACCCTTCACCAACTCTCCCGAAACCTTCCAACTCATCACCCAAGGCGCCGAAGCTCTCGTCTACAAAACCTCCTTCCTCTCCCCCGACTGCCCCGCCGCGCTCAAAATCCGCCCGATCAAAACGTGGAGGCATCCCACTCTCGACAAGCGATTGACGAAACAGAGAATCACCGCTGAAGCGCGCGTGTTGGTCAAGTGTCTGCGAGAAGGGATTCAAGTGCCGAGAGTGCTGGGGGCGGATTGGGAATTTGGCTGGTTGGCGCTGGAGTGGATTGAGGGAAGGACTGTGAAGCAGGTTATACGAGAGAGGAAGGTTGGAGTGGAACAGGATGAGGAGGGGTTGGTGGGGTTGTTGAGGAGGATTGGAGAGGTGGTTGGGGGGTTGCATGCTAAGGGTGTTGTTCATGGGGATTTGACGACTAGTAATATGATGTTGAGACCTGCTACTGCTATTGCGACTTCTTCTCCTCTTCCTCCTCCTCTTCGTGGAAATGGGGAAGAAGAGAGCGGTCAGGGTGGTTTCTCGCTGGAAGGAGATATTGTGCTAATCGACTTTGGTTTGGCAAGTCAGTCTGCGACGCAAGAAGAGGATCGTGCTGTGGATCTTTATGTTCTGGAGAGGGCGTTTGGGAGCACGCATCCTAAAGAGGAAGAGCTATTTAGTGTGGTCCTTACAGCATATGGCTCCGCTTATAAGGGCGCAAAGAGTACGTTGAAGAGGCTGGAGGATGTGCGGATGAGGGGAAGGAAGAAGAGTATGCTGGGATGAAAACTTTGACATCTGAATATTGCTCTGAAGGTGGTACTCATTTCCATGGGACCTTTACGAGCTTCTGATACTGCTTTTCTTGGCTCTCGCAGCAACAGATGGCCAATTGTCTGGAGACTTTTGGCTGCGGAACTCCATCGCAAGGCAGTTCGGCTGGGACCTTGCCTCGCCATCCTTGAAATCGTGCCGCTTCTATCATGAGTATACCACTCGGTCGGTCTCGAGCCATGAGTGGGCGGCGGCTCGGCTTCGCCGGATTCTGGAGTTCTGGCTTGCACAAGATCAATCATTCCCTGCTGAAGAGGGCCAGAACGCGGAGAGAAGACCGGGTCTGCTCGTGATTGAGCTGGCGACGAAAGAGCCATGCACAGGCGAAGAGAACATGCTGCTAGATTGCTATTTCCTCGCTTGGAAACAACGCCGCGTCACCAACCACGGTGCTCTCGTAATTAGAAGACAGAGCCGGGAGTGACCCATCGTCTGTCAACCAGAAAATCTGACCTGCGTCCTAATCACTGGTGTGTGTCTCGTAGCCGAGGTCCCATCGAGAAGAACAGACTTAGATTCGCAGGCGGATTGAGTGCCGCGCTCGTACTCTCTAAAATGGCGTTCAATTGCATACATGGACCAGGTGGGCAGGAAAGAAGAGAAACTTGAAAATTTGTCCAAACGACATCAACCTCCCCACTGACATCATGTTTCACAAGAGCCACGGTTCCTTTCGCAGAAAAATATGTGGTCTGAGTGCCTGTTAAGAGATTTGCACTGACGCCTCCTCTGCTGCTATAGAACAGAAATCCTCAAACAACAGAAATCCTCAAACAAAGTCTGCGACGTGCGGACTCCTGCAACCTTCTAGAACGGCACCTCCAAAAGACAGAGCGCACCGCATAGCTGGGTGGTTGGCGCGACTTAGCGTGGTATAGACATTCAAGACTACCGCAATCGACGAGGTCCGTGCGAAGTTTCAATGCCCAAAAAGAATCTGGTTCGACGCCGTATAGAAACTTGCTTTTTGAAGAGCAGCACTGGAGACCCATACCTCCATCAAATGCCCGCTTACTTTTACGCAATATTCGGTAATGGAGTTCCGACGGCGCCGGGCGATGCGCACATCTTTCGGGGCCCACGACTCGACAACCACATACTACCAGCTGCGATCGCACGGCCCGAGCACTCGTGTGACAGCCAGCCCAACGAAGGACACTGAATCGCGGAGAGGGTCTTGACGCCCTGTGCCCCTGTATCGCCTGTATCGCTCTATGATTCGACGACCTCATCATGCCGTGCCCATCATCACCGCGTGGGTGTCTATCTTGAGCCCGCTGCCCAACACCGGCGGCCCTGCCCTATGCACGGAATGGTGGCAGCACGGCAGGCTAGTAAGTATGATCGCCACCCATCATATGAGGTACTCATCTGGCAGTTATCTTATGCGCCAGATTGCTATAGCCCGCGCTTTGCCTGCCCCCACAGTTCGCGACACCAACTGTGTCGAGTGCCATGGCATCCTAGTCAATCCATAGCAGTGACGGCATTCTCTTCATTTTGGGTTGAGAGGAACACCCTGCAGCTGTGACCATGTTAGACCAGGTCTACCTTCAGCAAGCGAGAGAGACTCACCAGACTTCCTGTCTTCAACACCAGATCGTTGCACCGGCTCCTCCATCGCGGATTGCTCTATCCTTCCATTAACACTATCGTTTCCCCAGACAGGTCCCCCCTCGCCAACTCTTTTTCCTAGCCTCGCATCACGTTTTACTTAACTGCCTGTTGCCTTGCTCTCTATCTCTTTTTCCCTCTCAGGTTGGGCTCCCTCTTGACATGTGCTCGCGCTGAGAAGATTGTGCGAGAGAGAGAGAGAGGTGGTCACTACTCCAAGGACGACGTTGACAGCACATCGATATGCGGACTGCAACCGTGACTCTGCTGCTTACGAGCGCCTCTGCTATACTAGCGGCGACAACTCCACAACAATGCTACTTCCCTGACGGATCAGAATCCACTCACACTCCGTGCAATGCGACAGCCGCTGCCGCCAAGGGAGGCTTTTCAGCGTGTTGCTCGGATACCTCATACTGCATGGACAATGGCCTATGTCTGGAAGCAGGAATCTTGACGAGGATGAGTTGTACGGACAAGACATTTGCAGACACAACTTGCCCCCAATACTGTAACACAGGTGGGTTCCAACACAAAACTATGTTAAACAGCGGCCACTGACGGTCTTGCAGACAACATGGGCGATCCGTACGAACTCACGCCATGTACAGCCACGACATTCACTTGTGGTCTCTCGCCAGCCAACTGCAGCGTCGCCACCACAGTATTTCCCGTCACGGACCTCAAAAACATCGTACTCCAAGCCGATCAACTAGTTACCGCCATGTCAGCCGCAGGCATAGCGACAGCATCCGTAGATCCCACGGTATCCCCGACAGAGACCGTGCCCGTTCTCACAGTGACGGCGACAGGAGATCTCAAACCAGCCAATCCTGCCTTGCAATACACAACAGGCCAATTAGTCGGCGTCGGAGCCGGAGTGGGCATCCCCATGGCATTGGCAATTGGCGTCTTATCATTCTTCCTCCTTCGAGAAAAGAAGAAGCATAAGATTAGCGAAATCAACGAAGGTGGATTCCGACCCGCACCTCCCACCATGGAAACGAGAGACGGGAACAGTTGGTCGGCTTGGTCCGAGACGACCAAAGTGGGAGGGACTTCTGATTATGGACGACGACCGTCGAAATCGAATACGCACCATCTTCAGGATCTTGATGGTGAAGGTCGCGATCGTAATCAGTTCTCTGCGCAGCACTCTAGTAATGCGCCCGACGGAACTTGGAGGAGTAATGATAATATGATATGATATGGTATGACACGATAGGAAAGAAGTAATTTGAAGCAATTTTCGATTCGACGAGGCAGCTCCTAGTACATTTCGGACTTGTTCTTGTCATCATCATCATCATCACCATCACCATCACCATCAATATCATTAATTCCTCGACACCATTCGTCCTGGCCTGCATCTTCCTGCTCCGCCTCGCCCCAGCCTCGACTTCAACGCTTCCATGAATAATAACAATAACGACACGACCAACTACCACCGCCACCGCCCCCGCCACCAAACGACGCACCATGTCATGGAATGGAAAACCTGTTCAGAGAAAATTCCCACCACCACGAAGCAATAGAAAAAGAATCCCCAGAGAATGAAGCTACAGCGAACAGGACCTTCTATCTTCCCCCCATCCCCCTCTTCGAAGAAGAAGAAGAAAAAGACGAAGAAGAAGACGAGGCAAACGACGACAGCAAAGTAATTGCAGATGGTCCCACAGCAGAACAAACAACTTTTACCACCACTCAGTTCCTACTACTACTACTACCACTACCGCCACCGCCACCCATTACCAAAAAATGTTCAACAAGACAGATTCCATTGGTTTATTGCTATGGAGCATTATTCGACAATCATCATCATCTTCAACATTTAATCCAATAATTATTATCATTATTACTATTACTATTCCTATTCAAATCCACTTTAGCAAAAAGGGGACGAAAAGCAATTCACTTTGATCATTATCATCAATTATCAATTATCATTATATTCATTATTAGTATCATTCATCATTATATCCATCAATCGTCAATCCATCATCAGATTTATATGAACTATTATTTCTATTCATTGTCAGAAAGGCATACCTACCTAGGATCGAGTGGGCGAAGTAGCGGTTGGGGGGATTTTTTTTTTCTTTGAAAATCTCGAACATATATGTTTTCGGGTAGGAGTAGCGCTTTGATATTTCTTTTTTCACCTACGAGGGCAAACCAGAGTTGGATTCTAGTTTGTAGATTTTTCTTTTGACGCGATACTGAATGGCTACCCAATAAAATCGGTAGGCGGGCATTCTGTCTGGTGCGGAGGAATATACCAGTCTCATATTGATCCCATGTGGTGCTTGTGATCCTTCGTTATCAAAGTCGACAGGGGAAAGGAAAGAAGAGTGCAGCTCGCTCCTCCTTTGACGGGTAGAACTTACCTGGTATGTGTGGATTAGCCGATGCAGCTGCGCTATTGTCTTTGCTCCAGAATAATGCTATGCTGCAGTCAAGTGCATATACGGGGGGAATTGGTGAATTTCCTTGTTTCATACTATCCCACCTCTAACATAAAACCAGCCATCATAACATCTCTATAGCAGAGCGCAGGATCAAATAGACGCTCTTCTCAATCGTTGGTAGGCTCCCATGACCTCTCCGTCCCACTCGGAACCAGTGTATCGTAGCACGCACCGAGTCTTTTCGTCCCCCAGTTGCCCCTAGAGCATCATGCCATGAGTAGTAGACAGCAGCGAAGCCAGCGCCATGCTCATTCCGTTGCAATGATATTTTGTACAGTATTACATCAACACTTGTTCCTTCCTCTGCGAGCTCATTACGAACCATGCAACGTGCCTCAGTGGGTTCAAGAGTAACGAGAAGAAGCATCTCAAGACCTCCACCGAGTGGAGGCAGTGGCATTGGCATTGGCATTGGCATTGGCGTTGGCATTTGCCTCGCGAGCCGCCATGGCTGCCAAATTCGCAGCAGCAGCAGTTCCGCTTGCCACTCGTTGTTGCTGTGTCGTACCTACAGCAGCTGAAGCAGCACTGTTGACAGGCACCCCTTGACTGGCTCTCTTTGTAGCAGTAGGTCCATGAGCAGTGCTAGTCTTTCGTATGTGATCAGAAGTCTGGACACGTTTCGAAGGAGAACCGAGTGTAGGCTGTGCTACAGAGACACCACTGCGGACTGCGGTCTGAGGTGTCTCTGGCAAAGGTCGAGTTCGCTCCTTGGGCGCCGGGGTTGCGGAAACTTGCTGTTGAGCAAAAGCATTGCCTGTGCCGGAGGGGGTGGCCGCAGTGGTGTGAACTCGTTTGATGGGGCTCGGTACCCCGTTGGTGCCACTGCCAGCAGGGACAGCAGCTGTGGATCGCACTCGTGCCGCTCTCCTCGCCTCTTCCGGGATCCCTGGACGCTGGTTCATGGGCTGGTTCGTGATAAATGGATGATTGATCGCGTCCTGAGGTTTGAGTCGTCGGTCAGGGTCCCAACGCAAGCACCTGGTGATGAAGTCCAGGAAGGCTTCGTCCTCCGACTTGAGTGCCTGTGATAACGTTTTAGAACTAGGCCGCCTTCGTCGGCCCTTGCTGCTGACGGTCACGCGAGGCTTCCCAACGGAATCGAAAAACAACTTCTTCCTTGTACACCGCTCCACGAGATGTCGATCTGGAGGTCCGAAAATTTCCATAATGCATGCAAGTTGTTCCTGCTCATTCTCTCCGGGGAAGAGCGGATACCCGGTCCAGAGTTCAGCCAGAATGCATCCGAGTGACCACATATCAATTCCCAAACCATAGCTGCTGCCCAGGATGACCTCCGGACTGCGATAGAATCGCGATTGAATATACGTATACACTTTTTCTTCTTCTTTGCAACTGCTGCCAAAATCGATGACGCGGCAGTCGGCTTTCCGCGCTTCACACAGGAGGATATTCTCGGGCTTGAGATCACAGTGGATGATCCGCTTGTTCTGGAGCAGAACCAGGCATGCGAGCAGCTGCCGTGAAAATCTTCGGATCAGAGGCAGCGAGAAGCCAGTAAAGTTGTGAGCCCGGATGAGCTCGTATAGGTTGATGCTGAGGCATGGCGTGACGATGCAGAGATGCGATCTGAAATAGAAGGACGATGTTATCGAAAGCGTGGCGTGTGCGCCATCAGGATCCTGTCGGTAGTCAGTAAATGTAGCGTGCCCGTATAGTGACCAATGTACGTACCCATTCCCTCAGACGGCTAAGAATGCTGACCTCCACCAGAGCTTGCTGATGGAATCTCTTCTTATTCCTAATGATCTTAATGGCGACAATACCGCCTTCCTTGTGATCAACGCAGCGGACGACTTGTCCGAAGCTACCCTTACCAAGTACGTCGACGACTTCGTATCGGTAGGCGAGGTGATCCCCAGTCACAATGTTGTAATCGCCGCGCTCGTCGTCATAGCCATAATTACCAGACTTATCTTTATCCCCTGAAGCTGGCGACAGGCTGCCAACGATTTTGCGTGCAGACTTGCTGCCCGTGAAGTAAATGCCCTCTTTCTCGAAGTCTACAATCTCGCCACGCTCGAAGATGTTCAGTGTACAGTTCCGATCGTGCAGCACGCGCTCTGGCGACATTGGCGAGCGTGCAAGAGCTCGCTTCTTGAGTTCTTCGCTCTCGCGAGCAGCTGTGTCCACATCGCGTCGCTTCTGTGAAAGTCGGCGCATTTCCTCATCAGCTGCAAGATCATCTTTGTCCTTGACAATCGCAGACAGAGTCGGCACCACTGAAGACGTCTTTCGAGTTGTGGCAGTAGGCACTGTTTTGGAAGCAGCCGCTCTGGTAGAGGAATTGGTGATACTCCAACTTGTAGACCTATGAGTAGGGGCCACTGGTTGTGGCTGTTCGCTATGCTGGCTCTTCGTCTTGGGCATCGCAGGAATGTCGTGGAGGTTGGCAGAATTCGCGTTTGCGATGGCTTGGGTCGATACCGCTCCTGACTTCCGGCGTATGGAGTCCGTGCTGGGCCGCGATGTGCTCGCAGGAATGGAAGGAATCTCACCTGTCCATGTGGCACTGGCTGGCAGTCTCGGTGGCGGCATCTCGCTTTGGCGCTTCTGCAGCTTGCTTTTCTCCTTCTCCGATACAGGCCCGTCTTGCGAACTTGGCTTGGCGTCCAGCTGATTATTGCCCTTGCTGCTACTCCTGTGCCAGCCGAGGGATAGCTTTCGTCGCAAGCCGCCGCTAGAGCTGTCCTTCTTCGAGTCCGCCGATCCAGTTTCTGCTGTTGGACTGTCAAAAGACGAGGGCGTCTCCACGGTTTTGTAAGAGGTATCAGTCCCACTCCGGCTCGGCCGAGGACCTGAAGGCTTGTGCTGTGCCGGATCTTGCACCTGATAGTTTTGGAATTTGCCCAAGGTAAAGTCGCCACTTGTAAAGTCACCACTAGGTCTTGGTCGGTGGGCTCTTGCGAATTCGGTCGACCTTTTGGGAAGCGAACCAGAGGAGAACGGGGTGATGGCATTGCGCTGGGCAGACGCAGGGATGGGCACACCGCTACCAGTGAATTCGGCGTCGCTATCTTCGAAGAATTTTGTCGTATGATCATCAAGCTGCATGAGGTCACGAAGAGCGAAGTGAGACGTTGAGCTTCGAACCGCCTTTTGTTTGGCGGCTTCATCTTCCTGTCGTCGGAAAAACGTTGCCTTACTCGCAGTCATGGGCGTCGAGGGGGTCTTAGCAATGCGTTTGGGCTCTGGTGTTTGAGATAAATTGAAGCTGTCCTCGAATGTCAGGTCTTGACTTTGACTGGCATAGCTCGCATTCCGGTCCCTGGTGGATGCATTCATGGGCATGAGATTGAGTGGTGGCAGGCGTAGTGGCTGCAAGTTGGCATTCTTGCGTCCGTTGTGGTCTTGCTGCTGCCTGGACATTCGTTGAGCAGTGGCAATGGCACTTCTCTCAATGTCGTCCATAGTGTTCATACGTTGATGCGCTCGGGCACTCTCTCCTGATTGCTTCCTTCGAGCCTCGATGTCCTGTCTCTGCGATTTCGTAGCCTGGTTGTTGTCAGACTCCGAAGTCATCAATTCGCCCTTACCGAGTAAGCCGGATTGCGAAGACCTCGACGGATTCATAAAGTACTCCTGGTGGGCCGTCTCCTTCGGGCTTTCGTAGGCCTTTGGTATCGCTGGCACCGGAGGCACCATGTCTTCATCTTCCCCATATTGCGCAGTGCTCGTGTGAGCCCCCGGGCCTTTGGAAGTTGGAAGGCGAGAAATAGAGTTGGCGGACGAGTTGGATAACGATGCATAGCTCGATTTGGTGCTGAGACTGACGCCACCATGCTGACCATATTTGCTTTCAGGTGACGCTCGTGCTGAAGTGGGGGTAGCAACGCTCGTTTTGCGTGGAATCAGACTAGGACTTTGCTGTGCAAGACGCGGCAGCTCAGGCTTCGACATTCGAAACTCTTCGGCGGGTGGAGGGGGTAGCGGAAGCTCCTTGGACGAGGATTGATTGGGAAGAGGCGGCGCTTGCATCATCGAGAGTCGCTTGAGGCGCCTTGCGTCTGTTGGGCTGATTGTGCGTGCACCGAGCCCGGAAGCCCTGCCTGATGCTGTGGACTGGCGTTTGCCAGATGAGGATGGCGTGTGAGACCGATTGGGGTTACCTTTAGATACTGGACGCATAGGGGATGTGTCTGGATATGGGTCCTGCTCTCGATACTGCCGAGGCGGCGGCTGGAGACTTTTGACCTTGTTCGCTCGCGATTGTGTGGTAGCAGTGAGAGCGCGAGGTAGCTCGGCGCCGCTCGATGCTGGAGGTTGCATTGTTGTCCTCCGTGCATTTTTGCTGAGACTGCTTGTTCTGGTCAGATTCGATCTCAGATTGGGGTCGGTAGTCGACGTTGTTAGAGGTTGGCTGAGCTTCCTGCCTTCCATCATGGACGCTATCACACCTGGTCCCAGCGATTTCCTCGGCGGTCTCGACGCAGCTCCCGCAGGCGGGGGCGCTGGTCCTGATGGAGGAGGCCCTTGCGGAGCAGCGCTTTGCCTCCTGGATCGCAGCGAGAGTTCACTAGGTGGTAGTGTGCCGGCCGCAGGTTCCTTCGGCGTGGATGTTGTCTTTGTGGGCTTACCGCCTACTACTGCACTCAGCCTCCGGCGAAAGCTTCCTTCTCTTCTCAGTCCGAGCTCTTCGCGCGCCTGCATTTTCTTGGTGCCTATAGCTGTGCCCCCTTGCGGTCCCGACGTCGTCGTGTTCTTCGACAAATTGCTGCTACTAGCTTTTGTCACCAGGGTTCTTCCAGAGTCGCTAGCTGGAAAATCGCTCAAGAGCGAAGAGCGCGACGAGTTGCCATCGTAGTTAGCAATAGAGGTTTGTACATCGTCAAAGTTGAGAGTGGGCATGAAGTCGGTCCCTGATCGCGCTTCCGACATCGCAGTCGATTCGTATGAACGGTTCGAGGAGGGTCTGTCGAAGCTGAAGCGAGGCGCATCGGCGTTCTTGCTGAAGTATGGCTCAGATGTTGCTTGCGGCAGGTACGTGCGGGAGCTGTTGGCAGAGTTAGAGATGGAAGTGACGCTTCCGTTGCTCCCACTGAAGATCCTATGCAAGCATTAGCGCTTTCTCTACCGCAATTGCACCGACCCTGAGCATGATAGCGTACCTCTTGCCCGGGCTCCCAGGATACTCTCGCGGACCACTGGGCACTCGCACATTCTCGCGCAGCGTGCTGCGCCGTCGGTGGCTCAGGCCTGATGGCTGTTCTGTCTGCGGTCGGGAAGCAGATGCCGGGATGGTTGGCTTACGAAAGGCTGAAGCGTCCTTGTGGGAATCGTCGCCGCTGGGTGTCCTTTGAAACTTCGGGTTGCGGCGTGCGAGGGGGTCAACTAGCTCATGTTCAGTACGCGCCGTTGCTGGTGCATCTGCCACGCGGTGGTGGTGGTGGTAGTAGTTCTCACCCTCGGTGCTTGTATCTTCGGAAAGCCCAGCTCCTGGCTGATCAAGATATGAAGTGCCTCGCGGCCGGGGTTGGAAGCGCGTTGCGATGTCCATGCTGGACCCGGCACGTGCGCAGCGGTCGTAAAGGGTCGTCTCAGTGTGCGTCTCGATTGGGCCGTTTGTGGGCTCACGCGGGCTGAGGAGGGCCTTCGCTCGTTCGTGGTCGTCGTCGTGGTCGTGTCGTCGTGGTACGGATGTGCTGATGGTAGACGATGCGATGCGATATGATGTACAATGAATTACCTCCTCTCTCTCTCTCGCTCTCTCTCTCTCTTTCTTTTTCTCCTCGGTGCTCCGGTTCAATGCTGCTGCTGCTGCTGCTGCTGCTACCGCGGGTCACCAGAAATCAGCTGCATCGTGGTGCCCGCACTCAATGCATCACAACAAGTAGTCAGGTTTGGAAGGTCGGTGTCGAGAGTTTGGAGTGGTGGTTGCCCAGTGGGACTAGAGTTCGATGAAACCCTGTCAGTTAGCCTCCGACACTGTTCCGCAAACACGACAGTGTCCGGGGCAGCTTCACGATCAGGATCGACAGTGCAGTCTCAGAGTGATTCGTGAGGATGGTATGGTGTGGTATGGTGTGGTATGGTATGGTATGGTGAGCGACAGCACCGCTCGCACCTTTCAGCGCAGGCGTAAGAGGGCTTAGGAGGACCAGGCGGGCAGTCTCCCGGCAGGGTTGGGCAACGAAGCTTCGATGTTCGCGTTGCCCCTGCAGCACCCTGTCGGTAAGGTAGATCAGGTCAAGTAGGTGGTTTTGGGTGTTATGATTTTAGATGCCCGCGAGTAAACACACTGTCTCATCACTGCCAGACCGACACGGACCCCCACGAAGAGAGGAAAAGCAGTCGCGGCGGCGGCGAATACTCAAAACATCGTGTAAGGTAGTTCTCATATGTTATACGCCACTGTCCGCTGGTATGTGTCCGTTCCTAGGTACCACACATAGACTACATATGCGAAGTAAAGTAAGGTACAGACAAACTCCAGTGGCGGCACAAGCGAAGTAGATCGCTCACGGAAAAGGTCATTGGGCACTCTTCTGCATCCATGTTCCACTGCGTCACAACATTGAATCGTTCTCGCACCCACCATCACCACCACCGCCGCCGCCGCCGCCGCGTGCTCCCAGGACCATGCCTCGAGATCCCCTCATCGGCCTCGTGGGCAAACCGTCCAGCGGGAAAAGCACCACGCTGAACAGCCTGACTGACACCAAAACCGCGAAAGTGGGTGCGCCTCGACTTTCCACTTGACCATCAATTAGGTGATCTGCATGTTGATCGGCGTCTGCTATTGTGCTAGGCAACTTCCCCTTTACCACCATCGACCCCAACAGGGCCATAGGCTACCTACAGATCCCATGCGCCTGCTCACGCACCTCCATTCCCGGGAATGCTCCTCCGACTCCCAACGCCCCTCCGCCGCTCTCACTGCGATGCAAACCCAACTATGGCGCATGCCAGCAAGGCACGCGAAGTGTCCCCATTGAACTGCTGGATGTCGCGGGTCTCGTGCCCGGTGCGCACGAAGGGAAAGGTCTAGGCAACAAATTCCTCGATGACCTGAGACACGCCGATGCACTGATTCATGTGGTGGACGTCAGTGGGACCACTGATGCAGAAGGCAAGGCGACGAGAGGCTATGACCCATACCAGGACATTGCATGGCTACGTTCAGAGATTGTGAACTGGGTGCTGGGCAACTTAATGTCGAGATGGGGTTCGATCAAGAGGCGACATCTGGCGGTGAAAGCGACAGCTGTGGAGACCTTACAGAACCAATTCTCGGGTTATGGGTCTACAGCCGCTGTGGTAGCAAGGACGCTGGATAAAATGGGTCTGAAAATTCCGTTGCAAGACTGGGATGATGAGACGGTGAAGAGCGTGGTCGAAGGCTTCATTGATGAGAAATTCCCGACTGTTCTGGCACTGAACAAGATCGATCACGCCGATGCTGATAAGAATGTGGCCAAAATCGCGAAGAACGTGGAAGCAGAGCGCATAGTTCTCTGTAGCGCCATCTCAGAGGTCTTTCTCCGCCGACTGGTTCAGCAAGGCTTCGTTCGCTACATACCCGGTTCCGAGTTCGTGGATACGCGAGAGGATCTGTTAGAGGCTGGCGAGGAGGACGGAGGTGGCTTGAAGGAGATGGACGATAAGCTGAAGCAGCGCATCGAGAACATGAAGGATATGGTACTGTATCGATTCGGCTCGACGGGCGTGAACCAGGTCTTGACGCGCGCCTCAGAACTTCTGGGACTGACGCCTGTCTTTCCTGTCAAGAACATCAGTACCTTTGGCACTGGCGAGGCTGGAACAGCAGGTGGTGACCGAGCTGCCGTCTTTCGCGATTGCGTGTTGGTGAAGAAGAACACCACTGTAGGTGACGTGTACAGGAAAGTGATGGGGGACGCTCCCATGGCCTATGTCGAGACGGTCGGAGGGGTGCGGATCAGCGAGAACGACATTATCGCCCCTGGGCAGAACGATGTAAGTGACGAAGAAACGTTCGGAAGTGGTTCCAAAAGCTGACTCGCATCTAGATCATATCGTTTAAAGTCGGCCGTGCATAGCAATGCCTTCCGCTGGTGAAGTGACACACTCTACTACAGCAGCTCAGTGTTAGATGCCATCAGCACTGCGAAACTATGCCGAGTGCTATATTGGCTTGCATTTCATTGCACATACCGCGCATCTCACTCGAAGCCTACCTAGGTGTGCATAGATGAGGCTAGATACGAACTGATGACATGTGAAACGCTGTCTAGGCTGAACTGACTGGATGTTTTGGGCATTGCGCCTGCATTGGTGGGACTTCAGACAAGCTGCGAAATGCAAGACTCTTAGCCATCGCTGCCGCTCCCTGCCTCGAAACTATACATAAGCCAACTGCCCCCCATCCCTTCTGTGTCTGATCACAAAACTTTTAATACTCTCACAGGAAGCAGGTCTTCCCTTGCATTCTCCTTCACACATCACCAGCAGACATACAGACCGACCGACGGACAGACACACATTCATTCAGCGAACCATGTCCACCCCATCAGCACGACCAATCGACCCATTCCGCAGGCCGGGATTCACCATCACTACGCGCAAGCTGTCGACACTCGAGCCCCATCCATATCACCTTCCTGGTTTTCCAAACATGCAACCCGACATTCACATTCCCATGTCCCCTCCGCCACGAACGAGCACGCAACCACAACCACCACCATTACGCGCTCTCATTCTACCTTCGCCACCAATAACTCCTTGGTTCCTACCGCCTCGGCCATCTCATCTCGATTCCTTTTCAGGTCCCATCTCCGGGTCAGAAATCCAGCATACTCGTCAAATGGACAATATGCCTGTGCTTCGGGTTTCGGACTTTAAGGATGTGCACCGAAGTGCTATCGCGCAATGTCATGATATTTTCGACAAGGCAGAAATGTCGAATGTTACAATGTATTCTATCTCTGCTGTGCTTCATGAGGATGAAGATGAGGCTGTTATGCCAACAATGGAAAGCGATGTTGGGAGTGAAGTGGGCTACATGGATATGGTACCTCTCACCCCCGCGACATCAGAACCAAGATCGCCACCACCTCCTCCCATCACCATTATTGATGCCACTCCGCACAGACACAACAACGAATCCACACGAAGTCACAGCCATGATGATCTGGGAGACTCTACTCCTGCACTCATGCCACCATCAACACCATCGTTGTCACCACTCCAAGCCACCACACCCAAGACCCCAAAATGCGCAACTCCCCTTACGATAGTCGACAGTCCCACAATAGAGCAAAGAATGAAGACGAATACGAAAAACAACAAGATGTTGAAAATCCAGACACCATCGAATGAAGCCCATCATTATTATCATCACCAATCCCTCTCCTCCATAACTATCTCTATCCCCACCCATCTCAGCCCATCCGCTCAACCCTCTAGTCGCCGCCTCACCCACGAAACTCGCAATCTTTCTGTAGTAGGAAGAACAGAAGACAGCGACAGTGGAAGTGGAGGAAGTGGAAGTGAAAGTGCAAATGAAAATGCAAGCACGAAGATATCCCCACGGACTATGGCAACAACAACAATTACAAGTACAAGGGAGGCACATTTTCCTCCCCCTCCTCCTCCTCACAGGGACATTATGGGTAGTATTGAGGAGGGGGAGGGGGAGGATGAGGAGAAGGATGATTACGACATGGCAAAGAGACAGGGACAGAGACAGAAGTGTATTCGCTCCTCTTGGAGAAATGATAATATTAATATCGATAACAACGACAGCAACAAGATTACAGGCTGGTGGACTGCTGTAGATGATAGGGATTTGGAAAGTGGGGGAACAAAAAATGATGAAGATAAAGGGGAAGAAGATGATGAAGATGGAAATGAGGGAAGAGGGGGGAGGGGCCTGGAATTGAGAAAGAGGCAGAGGGAGAGTAAGTTCAAAGAGGAGTTAGAATAGTCCGCGCTTGAGGCTCTTCTTTTTACTTTCTTATCTGAAAAATTCAAAGGGAGGAGGGGAGCGGGGGAAAGTCATGAGGGCGTATGAGGACAGATGGATGGGTAATGAAGAGGGAAAGGTTGGATTTGGATCTCGATGAAAAAAATGTAAATTTGTATGTTTGCACACACATTTACATATTCATAAGTGTACCTAATAAAGCATGTTCAGAAAGAAGTACCTACAGGTACAGGTATGGCAGTATAGGTACCTTTCTAGTGATGGTAATATTATATGGTTGATTTTTCTTTCTCATCATCTGACACCCATCTACTGTAGCGTAAGCCATTTCAAATTCAATTCTTTCTTCAGCTACCTACATGTACCTACCTTACCTAGTGAAACCTACAGGTACATGTACCTACTCTTCCACCCCTCCTCCTCTCTCAAGATCTCCGATCTTACTCACTCTACTCACTCATCCGAATTTCAACCTGTATCAACCTGCATTATTCCCGCCCCCCTTCCTAAGCTATCACATACATACATACATACATACATACATACATACATACATACATATATACATGTAGCTATTACCCTCCCCAAAAAGAAGAAAAAGAGGAAAACCAAGAAAAAGAAAAAGGCATAGCTAAACTTTGCGATATCTAATACGTAAACCTCCTACTCCTAGGAGGTAGGAACTCCTACCTACCTGACCAAGGTAGACATGTAAGCGGTGTAGGTAGTATATACAAGAAAGCTAGGAGGTAGAGTACCTATAGAAGAAGAACAGGAATATAATATATCAAAAGTTCAAGATAAATCAAAACAACAAAACAAAAAAATCAATAAACAGTAAGTCTACCTCCTTGGGTATCTAGCTATTCTACCTCCTACAATAAAACAACCAAACAAACAGAATAAACAACCCGAGTAAGTATAAACATATAAATATACCTATACGCATTATAAATAAATCCAAATATACAAAACCTCGTATATTCCGAAACGCTTACAAGTCAAGACTCCAAAAGTTATATTAATATCTTAACAAAAAAGTAATTAAATACCTAGTATAAAAATTCCAAAACCCCCCTCTCCCTCTATATAGCATTGTAGTACCGTTTTGTTTAAACAAGATATATTACCTACCTGAGGTATATACCTGAGGTATACATATACATATAGGTAGTCAGACTACCTGTAATCGGGTAATTCGCGCTCAAATTCGGTCAATCGGGTCGGAGTCGGTCTGTCGGTCTGTTAATCGGTCTGTCAATCGGTCGGGGAGAGCGGTGAAAATGTACATCTCTGGCTGCGATAAGGTAGTGTAGTATATAGAGCTTGAACCTAAGTACATGTAGGAGAGAGATGGTGGGTGGTTGGTAGAATGTACCTCATGGAGGCTCGGGCTTGGAAAGTCTATACTATCACATGCCAATTCCATCTACCAATAACATCACTGCAACCCGTGCGGCTCTGGTGTGTGGGGCGCTAGAGTTCATGTGGTTCTTAGCGGAAACCTATGTCCCCGCCCACCATCGCGAATGCACTCTCCCGTGCCCCGCCTTGGTGTAGAAGTAAGAAAAATCAGGTGTCATGGGGGAGACGACAAATCCATTCAATCATCAACTTTCTTGATTCCTCAAAGATATATATCGGCCAGCCAGTGGCTACACGGTACTCTATCCAAACCTTGAGAATCTATCGCCTCGATTCGGCGAACATGCGGTGGTATCATAAATAATTGTAGTTTCTTCGTCAAAAAAAGACCATCCCGTAGCGCCAGTGGAATGCGGTGCGCCCCAGTACCAATTGCAGTATCAAACAGCGTATAATCCCAATTCCTCTATGCAGCGATAGTCTCGACCATCCGGAAGTCGTGATCCTGAGATTCGTCGACGGCGGATCCATTGAGCTTCAGATCGGAAATGTTAAGTGCATCTTTCATGAGTACTTTCTGCTGTCGCTTGTTCTCACGGTCAATGCCATGGTTCACAGCATCCAGCACAGTCTTGACCGTGGCTCGAGGCACGTATCGAGGCTTGGTGCCCGCCTCGTATACGCCAGTTTCTACGAGAATGGAATACCACTCCTGCTTGGAGTTCTCATTGTACTCGTTCGTGCCACGAATGTCGGATTCAGGCGTGTCGCCCACAAAGTAGACAGTCTCGGGCGCCGCATCGATACCATGCGTGTCTCGGCGCCACTGCTGCAGGAGACGAGTGGCAAACTCAAAGGTACCGCCTTGTGGCTTGCCAAATGCTGTGGTCTTGAGATCCTTTCCAGTCACAGCCTTGAACATGGCCTCGAGCGAGAGACGCAACGCGCCCATGCCGAGACGAGTGAGATCGTGCGAGGCGGACCAGATGACATCGTTGTGAGAGAAGAAGACGGGCGGACCTTCATCGAACGTTTCGGACCGCGTGCCCAGGACACCCTTCTTGGACATGAGCAAGTCGAGAATGATCTGCTGATCGCCAGCCCAATCACGGGAGTCAGCGAATACGAAAATGGCCTCGATCTCGACATCAGCAAAGTTGCGAGTGCGGGAGTTGTTGTATTCCTCTTCCGTGAGCTTGCGGAAAGGAGTGGTATCGGGATTGTCCTTAATGATGTCTCCCGGTGTCACGACGTCCTTGAAGCCATACCCCTCGGCCACTTGTCTGCACTTCTCGCCTTCTCCGCCCACCACGAGAACCGTCTTGTACTTCTCGGCCATCTCACGCATGGGTGTATGTCCGCAGATGAATTGTCCGGGTGATACCTCCAACTCGAGCTGCTGGCTGAGTTGAATGCAACGTTCTTGCTCCGTCTTTCCGCCACCGTTGGTGACGAAGATATATGGGATCTTGACTCCATATTCGTTCTTGCCGTTCAGCACTTGCATTGCCTCGACAGCCTCGGGGATGGGCCTGCCACCACGGATCAGGACTCCGTCGATATCGAAGGCGAAGGCGAACTTGTCGGTGACCGTGGTCTCTGGCGGTGTAGCGGGGGCCGAGAAGGGGGTTGTGGCGTCTTCAATCTCGTGCCTCGCCAGCTCGAAAGCCATGGCGGTTTCTTGGGCATTGCTGGGTGCCATCAGATGCTTCGGGGGTACGACGACGGTCGGCGAGCGGAGGCTCAAGGCATTGAGGGTGACATCGGAGGAGCTCACACGGCGGAAAGTCCGCGTCGGCCTCTTGGGCAGTACGGGGCCAGACATGATGGCTGTTGTGCTGTTGTGCTGGTGAATCTGAGTAAGTGGTGAGTGCTGAGCGGGAAGGAGGTCGTGAGTGAGGTGTAAGAGAACAGGAAAGGGCCGAAATAAGACCTGGAGCGGACACGGTCTTTATATGGAGACTGGGGATAGTGCGTGGAGTCTGAGAGGAGCAGACGCGTTAGGGGCGAGGCCTGGTCGACAGCTAGTACATATCCCCGGGCCATGCCACAGTAGGATGTCGGTGGTAGGCTTTGGCTTTGTCCATCGAGTCAACGCGGCCAGCTTCGCTAAAGTCGAGACTGCGGTGGACCCACTGTGAATAATAATTTTCTCAGACATCGTATCAAATACTGAGCTAGCCCACCAGTCGGCAGCGGCCATTGGGGGCACCTGAGAGGTCAATATTGAATAAGCGGTCATCAGGCACACAGGCTCACAGGCTGAAGCAGACGGCTCGGTCCAAACGTGGTCCCTGTCCGCTAGGTTGGGTTAGCAGAGCGCGCGTGTGCAGGCAACATTTACTGGTGCCAATAACGCGCTGGGTGTTGCAGACGTCGTGCTATTGTTATTCGCCTTAATCGCCCGTTGCCCTCCGAGCAGTGAGCAGCTCATGCAGCAACCTGGCAATCTGCTCCGTCGGCACGAACTGAGCCCCGCGCTTGCCTCGCGTTGGAATTGCCGCTCGGCGCAACGACGTCATCGCTGCCAAGCCCACCTGATGGTTGAGGTTTCGAGATTGTGCTGAGATCTTCAGGTCCCTTCCAGGCCCCAGGGACCGTGGCCGCGTCCAACCACGCCTACCACTCTCCCTCGACCTCGATCTCATTCTGATGGTGCGCGCCCGTGCTGGTGCGTCGTGCCGTGTTGCTTCGTCGGCTACTCGCGCGTTGGTGTCGGATACAGTCCCGAGAGTCGAACACAGCCTGAAAGGTCACCACAAGGTATTCAGGCGTGCTGTCTCGGCGCACACACACTTTCTCTCTCACACACATACACAGCCTTCTGCCTTTGGCGCTACCACAGCTCCTCTGCGCGTGCGGATGCAGTGGTGGGTTCTGGTTACATCAACCCTGTGAGGAGGAGAACCGCGGCAACTGCAAGCCATCAAGCATGGCTCCTGCTAGTGTGTCAAATTGTGTTGCGCGTTTTGCCGTTGCAAGTAAAGCGCTATCCTGTCGGCCATGCCGCCATTCTCTCGAGTTACTTGATCCAGCCGTCAGCGCGTGGTCGCCTACGCTGCTGCTGTCACATGCAGCAGTACCTGGAGCACACTGGAGCACACTGGGCGCAAGGTAAGCTTTTGCCTCTGACTGGCAGCTGTGCTTGCTATTGGAAGCATAGAACCACGATGCGCACTCCAGCACGGCTAGCTGTCATTCCACATTCAATACTTGCAGCTGACCTCATTGTGGGTCTGTGGTAGGCAGTCGCCATATGTCGTCAAGGAGGATGGTAAGCTGTCATCGTGGACTGGGGAGGAGAGAGCTCCATGCCTCCAAGCGTGCTGATGCTGGATCGTCAGCTGCAAATGCACTGCGCGAGTCGTAATCGACCAGACCAGACTCTCGCATAGCAAGCAGCCATGATGATGACAGGATGAAGACCCGTTTGTGATATCCCGCCTCTCATGGCATGTGCTGTCCCAAGCTGAAGTCGTGCTGCTGCGTTCAGTACGTCGCCTCGTTTGAAGCCACATCCGTTATCACCAGGTTGTTTCTGTGCCGTGCAGAAAGGATCTGCACCATCCTGGCACCACGCTCGACAGGCTCGGTGCTGATACGGTGTACATGTAGAGCCGACGCGCTCTTGTGATGCCCACGCTTCTCGTGATAGAGCCGGACCTGGTGGGACCTCTGGGATGTAGAGTTTCCAAACGTTCAAGCATATTGCGCTGGAAGCGACCCATTGCTAGGAGACATTGGGATCGTAAAAGGGCTATTCCGACCAGACTCGTCACTGTAACCCGTACGACCAGCCTGATCGGGGTACTCTTTGGCTTGATGCGGGATGGGAGGAATCGCGCGCATGGCATGGCTATTTCGGTGCTGCAACGAATATCGACGTGGGCGGCCGAGATGCCCACGGACGGGAATGTCTTGGTCCAGTAACATGTCGGAGAGCTCGCAATATAGAGGGTTGAGGTTTTTGAAGGTCTGGGTGTGACGTGGAGTACATGTAGTGCTGAGGTGATGCCAACTCCTGGTCCTTCTCCGCTCGAACCTGCTTGTGCTTGCCAAACCTGGTCTTGTGCACTGGTATTCGGCTAGTCAGCAATTATTCTAGCGTGCCTTTTTCGTGCTTCCCGACTTCACGTCCATTCACGTGAGGCGTCCACGTTTCCATCAACACATTGGTCTGGACCACTTTCATATCATCTGCGACCAAATCATTGACTGCACCAGCAAATCACTTTGCACTACTCCCAGATTGATACGTATGCCATTTGTACAGTCTTTTTCGTCGGGCTCCCCGCCCCATTCAATAGCTCAGTGCATGCCAAAGATCTCCAACCGCTCCTCTGCATCTCCTGCTCGGATCAGACCCTTTCTTCCATGCGGTATTTCTCATAGCTGAGCCTGGTGGGTTGTGCGAGTAGGTATACAAGCGGAAAAGTGGCTGTGTGATCTAGGCGAGAGACATCTAGGATGACAGTGGTGGAGAGGCTGGTGGAACTTCAGAATGGAAACGATGGTTTTCACTTGATTAGAGAGATTTTTGAATCGACATGGCTTCATGTATGAATACCTACCATTGGAGGAGCTGTTTGGAATGGATACTTCCAGTATATCAGCAATTGCTGCAGAGACCAAGCAATACCAGTCATACTGCTATAACAAGATTGGTTAGGAGTGTACAGAAAATTGTTAGATAGTCAATACTGTACAGTAGACTCTGATATTCGAGCTCGCAGCTACCACATGATCATTCATCCAGTGCGGAAGCGGTGCAACTGAAGCTGCATGGCTCTGTGTGCAATTGTCCACAGGAGGTACATGGTCCATAGCTTTTTGGCTTACTAAGCATGGGCCAGCTCGTGTTCTTTTGGTGCCCATGTTCGAACGCACTTCTGCCGCAACCAACACTTTGAAACTGCCTCAATCATCCTATACCCGCGATAGTCATGGACTGGACCGGCGGAACACGTCGCCGCTACGCGCAGGCCGGTAAGAATATCGTCGTGCAAAAGCAAAAAGCACACTTCGCGAAAGTCCGCAGCGCTGGCCATCCCCATCCACCGCGCTCCATGCCAGACTTCATGCGCGAGGCTGTCGAGTCCAAGAGCTATCGACAGGCCAAGGCATCCCAGCAGCATCGAGGAAGTACTACTCTTCGCTCGGAAGGCGGCTCACGCAGCTCAAGATCTTCTGAGGCTCGTTGTCGACGTCGAGCTGCAGACGTGCGGGATCAAGCAGTCCCAGCTGACATGACGGACGAAGAACGCAAGATACAAAGCGCCCGTCGCAGCTTGCTGGCACGTAGCGATTGGCTCGGTCTCAATGCCTCGAGGCCTGTGAAGGTCCAATTTCCGGCAGAGCGAGACGTCGAGAGAATCGGAAAGCGGCGCAAGGTATTGAAGACTTCACGGAATGGTCCACGCGAGTTTCAACAACGACGTGTGACGCCTCCTTTCCAGCATCGAGAGCGCCTCATGCAACCAATTTTAAGCGATGATGGTAGGGGCGAGAGCATTGACATCAAAATCGGCACCGGGGCTCTCGCCGGTACTCAGACTGAGCTTTCTCGTCCACCTCATGTTGTGGCAAACACCAGCATGCGCCAGCCATCTACGGAGTTCGGGCCGCTCTCCGAAGAATCGATGCTCATGGGCGAGGAATTTGACGACGTAGGTACTACAGCTGAGCGACTTTTCTGCACTGATAACAACCGTACGTCACAGTGCAGTGCACTTGATGAGCATCAGGACTGGAAATCTTGCACCGGATATGCCGCTGTAAATCCCTTGGAACGATGGCCAGTTATGCAGCAGACCAACGGCTTCGATCAAGATACACCGCATGTGCCTTCCGAGCCCATCATACTACCGCATGATGCTCCATTTCGTGATGAGGAATTTTCGGACAGCGTAGCACTCGGTTTGGGCGCGCAAGATGTGACTCGGCAGCATACACAGAATGCCCTTATAGATAGTCCATCGTACAGGTACAGTCCACAACCAACCGCGATCCCATGTGCCACGTGGGACATGGCCGGAGCGACGGTACTCGACGACGAAGGGCTATGGCGCAGGACGCTGCGCATCAGGACAGATGCACCTAGTGAGGCTTCCATCGCGGCCTTGAAGTCTTCTAGCTTGCACCGCACGCAGTCTGCATTCAGTATTGCGCCCCAGCGGCCAGTTGAGTCGATTGGCGCACTGAGACAGATGCAGTATACGCCTACACCGCGAGTTGACCCTCCTGCGAGGAGATTCGGGCCTCTGTCGAAAGGTTTGGATGAAACACCGGCACTCATATCGAAACTCATGCCGGCTCGCTCATCGCATGCGACGAATGACGATGAGGGACAGATCGAGCCTTCAGCCGTAGATGGTGCAGAGGAGGAAGATGTCTTATGGAGAACCTTCATCCTTGGCAGTCAAAGCTCCGACAGCAACTCTTTGGCGTTTAACAATAAAACTCCTGACGAAGAAGGCGTCTCTGACCCTGCACCACGGCTATTGTGCGATGCTACAAGTGATCAGCCACGGTCTGATCGGGTTACCGCAGGCGGCTCGATCTATGATTTGGCGTTAACGACATACTCTGCACCGGCATCGTCGACACAACATGGCATCGAAAACACTTCACTGATGGGTCATGCAGCCACAGCGCATCAAGAAGTGGACGACATTGAGGATGAGGACGTGCCTCAGCCTGTCAAGCCCCAAAGACTGAGAAACAACATCCCTGCGTCAGCCAAGGTGCTCGACTCCAAGCGATTCATCAGGCGAAAGAAGCACAGCCGCCCAGGTGCTCTTCCGAAGCCGTCCAGATTCCAGCCATCTACAAGATTTCGCGCTACACCTGTGGATAAGTCTGTGTATGACATCCCGAGCACAAGCGACTAGAGGTCTCATAGTTTGGTCGCCAGCACTTCCACGATAATGATGCGGCTGAATTGCTTGTTTGGCACAAGAGCGACACGGACTGATCTTTCGCGTTCACTCCAGCTAGATCAAAACTTGACAAAGCTGGAAAAAGGGAAGCATATATCATGTTTTCACATTCCCAGACATTTTGTCTAAGTGCTATATGCATCCTTGGTCCGTTCCTCGGCTTTACTCAAGCATGTGGCCAGCTCTTCCGGATTTCTAGGGATGAACTTTACCTTGAAATCTCGTGGAATCGCTACCAAAGCTGACTTCAGCAGGTTGTAATCCACGTAGTCAGTGTTTGGAGGTTCTTCCTTTGACGCCACAATCTTGAAGCTTGCGATAATGCGCAGAAGCGCAGTATACAGCAACCTGCCAGATCAGCTTTCAGATGTTGAAAGAGTGATAGGGTCAACTTACCTGTTGGCGATGAACTGTCCAGAGCATGCACGTGAACCGGCCCCAAATGACAAGTGTTGCAGACCTACTGAAGGACGCTCTCGTGGAGGAGACACATTCTCCAACCATCTTTCTGGATTGAATTCGCCCGCGTCTGGCCCAAAATGCTCAATTTCGTGATTGGCAGCTTGAGCGTTGATCAGTATCATCGTGCCCTTTGGGATGATGGCTCTATCCCACTCGATGTCTGCTGCTGCTTTTCGTGGCAAGCTCATGGACGACACGGTGTAGTATCGCCCTGCTTCCTTGACGATTGCCTGCCGTCCATTAGTCATACTCGGTTTGTAGCAATACCGCACAAATGCTCACATTGAGGTAGGGAACATCTTCTGCTTCGAGCGACTGCAACCATGCGTCTTCCGTGCTCAGATAGTGCCGCTTGATGTCTTCGTATGCCTTTTCCTGAAAGACTTGACCTTCCGGTGTTGAAAGTGATCCAATACAGCTCGTGAGAGTACCAGGGATAGTCTCAAACCCTCCAGACACCAAAGACAGACAGATGGACGAGACCTCGACTCCTGACAGTTTGGTCTCTTCGTCCTTGAGAATCGCTGCCGAAACGCAAGGCCTGTCTTTCCCCTGCTGGATCATTTCTCGCACTTTATTCTATCCCAGGGTCAGCGCCATCCCCCCAACAGCGTGACAGAGTTCACACCATACCAGAAGCTCATCCAGATACTTATCTCGACGACCACGCAAAGCCTTACTCCGCTGCGTCTTTTCATTATTCGGCAAATATCTCAAGGCCGGAATATAATCCTGATAATTCTCCGAAGCACTCCTGAGCAAGCTAATCGCGCTCCCGACTTCCAAAATCTCTCTCAGCATCTCATCCCACACACTATCCATTCGAATACCATAACACAGCGTCAACGTCGTATTCAACGCATACCGCTGCAAATACGGCCTCACATTCAACCACTTATCGCCGCCCCCTCCACAATCCCGCAGCACATCTCGCACAATACTCGTCGTTTCCAGATCAAACATGGGCAAATATGTCTTCATGGCCACTCTCCCCAACGTCTGGCCCGCGGCTTTGCGCTTTTTCGAACAACTCTCGTCCCACGGCGACGAGCCGATGGTGAAACCCTGCGTGGAGGAAATTACTCCGTGGAAAGTGTAGAGTGTTGGACGATCGATGACGGCGGATTGATGGCCGATGAGCATTCGTTTGCAGTCGGCGAAACTGTTGATGACGACTGCTCGTGTGTTTCCTAGACGGATTTGGAAGGTGGATGTTTGGTGTTTTTGGGACCATTTCTGGATTAGACGGAGAGAGAGAGAGAGAGAGAGAAGATGTCAGAGTTTGGGTTTTATAGTGAAGAGTTTGTGGTGGTATCGATGATAATAATCATTACCCCCGAAAAAACAAGAACAAGAACGAAACAGAAAAGAAAGAAAAATTCTAACATACCTCACAAACCGTAGCATGATCATCCCCCAATTCAAGTAAATGACCTGCTATAGGCAATGCGCCAGGAATTTCGAATATTCCTATTACATCCCTATTAGCGTCATTACTACTACCTCTCATCTCCAGAACAATTCCCAAATAAACAAAACAAAACACACACATCATCATCATCCCATCTCAAGCTTTGACTAGACTGGACTGAACGGAGAACGAACAAACGGATCGAGGAGGTATAAGTTACATACCTTGAATTTTCGGTATATCCGTCTTGGTGCAAACCTATTCAAAAATAAATGAATGGTAAGATGTATAGCCAGTTATGTATATCAAAAAAAGGGAAAAGAGAAAAAGAGAGAAAAAAATGAAAAGAAAAGAAGAAAAAAACAGTAAGGTACGTTAGGTTTTGATCTTTTTCCTTTTTTTCTTTCTTTCTTTCTTTTCTCACTTGGTGGCAGTTGTGGTGCTTTTAGTACTTAGGTCAGGTACTTCCAGGTACGTAGGCATGATGTATTATCAACCAAACCAACAACATCTTTCCCAAATACCCACATACTTGTCTGATACCCACCTGATACCTAGTTCTTTCTCTTTCTCCCATAGACCGAAGGAAATAGAAGGAAACGGAATTCAAATAGAAAATATCAATTTACCTGAAATATAATCCACCAGAAGAACAAAGAAACAAAAATACTCAAAATCGAAAAAGTCAGGAAGAGAGAAGAAATGGCGGTAGGGTTGTTGTTGGTTTTCGTCGTTGTTGTTGTTGTTGTTATGAATGAGAAGAGGGAGGAGAAGGAGAAGGAGGAGAAGGAGGGAGGTTCGTAGTAGGTTGTAAAAGGGAATAATTCCATGGTTGATGTCGTGGAGGTATGCTGCTGTATAAGGTACGGATGGATGGATGGATAGATGGATATAAGAGAGAAAAGTAAGTGAATGATGTTGTTGGAGATTTAGTGTACAAGACAAGGCAGAGGAGGTAGGATTTTCGGCCTATCTCTCTATCTGTCCTGCAGGATATTGGAGATACAGGTACAAAGATAAAGTACCTTGTATAGCTATATTAGCTAAGGTACCTAAGTTAGGTACATGTAGCTCTCCAAGCTCATCGTAAAATTTGGAAAGATTCATAAAGCAACACAATAGGCAATTCGAGAGAATATCTCATTCATTTTCATATACCCAAGGTAGTCATTCATCATCCTTCACTTCCCCTCATCTCACACAACCCCCTTTGGCAATTCCGTCGTCTGCCTCTTCGCATCAGAATCAGATTCTTCTTCACCATATGCCAAATTACGTCTACGTCTACCTCTTCTCTCATCTCTCACATCACTAACATCATCATCGACGTCGTCTTCGTCGTACTCGACATCGTTATCGACTTCTCGCCAAATGTCGCTGCATGCGGGAATAGGTTTGATTTTGCATAGAATCCAATAAATTGCTGCGGCGACGATGAAGCCGCCGAAGAAGTTGAGGTTGTATAAGTAGGTTGCGCCTAGTGTCGGGATGAGTGAGTTACAGGTAGTTCTCGCCTTGCAATGAGGAGAGCATGTATTGCCATTGTATCTTCAGAAAGACAGCGGAAAAAGGGATGTTTTTCTTTTGAAAAAAGAAAAAAAAAACTTACCTTTAGGCACCTCAACACCCACAGCCCCAACAAACCCAACAACATTGGGTAAAATCCCCGCAAGATACGCCGCATATCCTCTCCAACTCACACCTCCATGAAAAAAATACGGCCCCTTTCGATCCGCACTATACAAATCTTTCGTCTGCAAATATCCCTTTCTCACCAAATAATAATCCGCACACATAACGCCCGCAATCGACGACAAAAACACCGAATACGCAGACAAATATGTCGTGAAATTATTGCTCGAGGATAACAAATGCCACGGACACATGGCCAAGCCGACAATGGCGCACAGATAACTTCCGCGTCGAATGCTAATCCATCGCGGGAGTAGGGCGGTCAAGTCGGTTCCGGCGGAAATGCTGTTGGCGGCGATGTTGGTGCCGAGTTGGGCGAGGGCGAAGGATGCGGCGATGATGAAGACGCCGAAGCGCGTGGCTCCTGTTACGTTGGGTTCTTCGAGGAACATGGTGAGGAGGGTGAGGGGGGACCAGATGGGTTCGTCGAGGTTGAAGATGACCTGGGGTTTTGTTTTAGTACCTATGTTTTGATGTTTTTTTAAAAGAAAAAGAAAAAGGATAGGAAAAAAAAGATCGCTGATTGGCGTGACTCACCGTCGAAGACGAAGATACGATAATTCCAACAAAGGAGGTGAGGGCAAATCCAATAGGGATAGTGAGAAGCTGCGACCAAAACGCGTCTCTGGGTGTTCGCGCAAAACGGCTGAAATCAGGATCATTCACGATCAATGTGGCAAAATTCGCGATTGCGCTCATGATGCCTTTGATCACAGCCCACGCCAAAGCACTCCCTTGCAACGCTCCACGCTGCTTGACAATGGGCCCCAACCCGTCGGCTCGCACGACTGCCCAGATGAAGAATGCCATACCAGCAACAGGCACGACAGCAGCCTTCACCGTGAACAAGTGTCTAATTTTGTGCACAGCCGGCCACAAAAAAGGCAAACTGCCAGCCCAGAACAAGAAAAAGCTCACAAAATCGCGCGTGTTAGTTCCCGAGGATGCAGGCATGGAATTTTTACTCCCTTCGGGACCATATGCATCCCACGAAGGCCAAATCGATCGAATCATCAGGTAGACGCACGTCCCGCCGATCCAGCCTTGCACACCATACCAAATGCATGCCATGGCGGCGCGATTGAGGACGGGCCAGAGACCTCCCCAGATGCCAAAGGATGCTCGAGCGATGACGGGAAAGCTGAGGTGGTATTTCGCTCCGATGCGACCGGTGAGCACGACGAAGCCGGCGGTGATTCCGTAGCCGATCCAGACGCAGAGCCAGGACTGCCACCAGGATAAGCCGTCGACGATGTTGGAAGAGGAAATCATCCATGTGTCTGTTGTTGGGGGGAAAGTGAAATTTGTCAGCTTTTGTCATCGCCGTGGCTGTCTTTTTGTTTTGGAGATTCAGATATTGACAGCAGCAACAACAATAACGACATACTGATGTTGAAGGAATCACTGATCCAGAAAAATACAAAGTTCTTGGATGTCCACACGCGACGTTCCGCTTCCACAGGCTTGAGATCCTCATTCTGGAGCATGAGTTGAGCATTGGTGAGACCCGGTTCGGACGGGACAGCGAATCGATTGAACTTCTCCATAATGGCCGAGGGAAAGTCGTAGCGATATGCTGATGATGATGGTGGTGGTGGTGATAACCCTGCTGGCCGACCTCCAAGCAGAGGTGTAGACTCCGAGTCGCGAAAACAATGATCACCCTGTCGTAATAGTTGTGGAGTCGGAGTAGTCGTAGGAGAAGGAGAAGAAGAAGGAATAGAAGGAGTAGAAGAAGATAAAGAAGAAGGAATAGAAGGAGGTGAAACCTCGGTGGCATGGCGGCGATCCATCAGTAGTATTTGAGCGATCCATGTGGACTTTGACTCTCTCGCTCTCTCAGTGTCTCTCTGTTATCAAGTCGCGCAGATCCCAAGAAAAACGACCAAGAAAAACCAAGAGAACAGGTCCCCGTCCGAGAAAGCAATGTCCCAAGACTGCTGCTTGCTATGTCTATTCCCGTGGAGGAGAATCGAAAGAGGAGGTAGTAGGTAGACCGTCGATAGATAGACTTGTGATATTTTTTCTTTCACTTACGGAGAAACGAAAAAAACCCCAAGTGAAGCTATAATATCCATTCTTGGTATCTATACAACCTTGGGAGGTACACCCCAGATCTTTTTATCTTTCGAGAAGAGAACTAGCAGCCTTGGCATTTGAGATAGCAAGATCCGGATATACGGCGTCCTGTCATGTTTTGTAGGTAGGTAGGTAGTATTCAAGGGAAGTTCCCTGGATGTGTGAGGTGTACAAAAGATTAAAAGAGAGATAGATACCTGGAGATAAATGGATTATGTGACTCGATGGCATCGAATAATAATAATCATAATTCAGGTAAGAATTCCCCCCCACGAGAACTCCCCACTTTCGGTGTTATTAATACGAGTTTCGGGGGGGTTTATACTGTGGGTGCGCTCCGGCCAGTAGTGTGTCGAATCATCTGCAGGTAGGTAAGGTATAGTACGTGTCGGCGGGTAAGAAAGATACCTACTCAGTAATGTAGAATATCTCATCAATCACACACCCAAGCAACGCCCAAAGTTGTCGGCGAGTCTTTCGTTTCTCCCGTCGCAAGTCTTATAATTTATAAGGTAGCGGGCGGGGACAAGCGCTAGGGCAATTCCTTGGCGTTGCTGGGGGCCGGTACGTAGGTGAGGTACCTAAGGGAACAACCGTTCACCATCTTCCCCCATCTCACGCGTCGAACAAGCCAGTAGTAGAACGCGTTACCTACCTACCTGCCTACTGTACTGTACCTACATGGTAATCTGCGCCAACCACAAATGCCCTCATCAGACTACACCTCCGCAGTAGGCGGCGGTCTCAAACTCAAAGGCTCGAGCGGAGGAGGTATTGACAAAAAGAAGAAGAAGAAGAAGAAACCACAATCCTCATCCGACGACAAGCCTTCTTCGACCATCTCGGACGCGACAACGACAACGATAGCACCAACGAAAAACTTACATGAGAAGAGCGCCCTACAGCAACAAAGTTCCGCCCTCGCAGATGGAGAAGAGCAAGAGCACGAGCGAGAAGGAGAGGATGGAGAAGGTGCAGAAGAAGAAGAGCAGAATATCACCACCAAAGAAATAACCACGCTGAAGAAGAAAACAACAACAACAACAACAACTCCGCCAGCAGCAGAAGAAGAAGTGAAAACTTATGGAAAAACTGAAGCGCAAAGAAGACATGAAGAGAGAAGAAAGAAACGGGTACGTCTCTCTCTCTCTCTTTCTCTCTCTCTCTTTTCCGCATCCCCTCACCCTCACCTTCTCTCCTCTCCTCCATGCCCACTCTCCTCTCCCGTCTCCCTAATGCTAACCAAAAAACCCATCAAAAAAAACAACAGCTCGAAGAACGTCTCCAACGCGAAGGAGTCAAAACCCACAAAGAACGTGTGCAAGAACTCAACAAATACTTGTCCACCTTGTCCGAGCATAATGATATGCCTCGCATTGGACCTGGTTAAAAAAATATTTTCAGGTATACAAGACAGGCGCGCAAGTCAAGATGGGCACATCCTAGGCTGCCCACCAGAGGATACATGTAATGACGGCAACGACAAGGGGCGCGTGGGGGTGAGTCTTGGAATATCAAATATCATGTGCTGGTGATTTCAAGTTGCTCTGCGCGCTCCATTAAGCAGAATTACGTACGTCGTCTTCTTCTCTGTTCTTCTTCTTCTTATCTCTTCTCACCACCAGCAACCACAGCTTCGAGACCTGGATCAATGTCTACCTGTGATACATTGTGGTTTCAGATCCATACTGTACGAACAAAAGGAAAATCGCTGATGATGATGAAGCAGTCTCTGGGTAGCTATCGTGCCACGCACAGAGTACCACAGCCTGGTGGAAGCGGTCAGGAGGCGTGTCTGAGCTCCGCGGATGCGATGCTCGCGTCGTCCCTCTTTGCTGCTGTCCCCTGACCGTGCCGCGGATCAGATTCCTAGTCTGAACGCACGCTATAGGTTCGGTCGACGTGAATGTGTCCTGGCACCTTTTGCATCTCGAGATCGATGCTCTTTCGATCATCGTGCGTCTCTTTTCGGGGAGAGTCCTCGCCAATCAACGTATCGTCACCGACGAGCTCTTTCTCACTCTGCGGCCGACCGCTACCACCCGTATTGCCTGGCGTTCTCGGTCCCAAGGCCAGTTCGCGGTTGCGTTGGACCTGATGTGGCGCAGCGATGTTGTTGCTGTTGGTGTTGGTCGCGGCCCACATGCTCGAGAGGGGAAGAAAGGTGGCTACGACGCACGGCATCAAAGAGTTGACTTGTGCTGCGCCGTACACAAAGTACGTCAGAATGCCGAAAATAGCTGCCACACAGGTCAGCACCACTCAAGACGAACACGTGTACTAGATGCACTTGCCTGGAATGAACATTGTCTGACAACCCATGACAAAGATTATCTGCATCGGTCCGAACTGCTTCATGCCCATGGAACGGCGCTGGTAGATGGCGTATCCCAGCTTGGTGTTGAAGATGGCACTGAAGAAGAAGATGCTGGCCATGACGCAGATGTTCGAAGCGGAAGCCAACGAGGTGATCAGCGCCCACTGCTCGTCGGTCTTAGCGGCGACGTTGACGATGCCCAGGTCTGCGTTGACGACCATGGTGACGAAGCGAATCGAGCAGACGGCCATTGCCATGACGGTCGTGACTGCCGTGACCAGAAGTCGCCATCGTGTTCTCAAGGTCACACACACGATGCGAACTTGAAAGAACAGCGAAAACTCCAGACCAGCGATGACCAGGAAGTTGATAACTTCTGCGGCCACGGACAGTCGAATGGACTGATCGATGTCGTAATAGTAGCTGTTCACCCAGTTGTAGAAGTTGTAGAAGGGACCATGGAGCGCCACACACATGATGACGGCGCGGACGAGCAGCAAGACCAAGGAAGCGAGGTTGAGGAAGAAAATGATGCTGCGTCGCTTTTCGGGTCGGGTCATGAGGGCAAGAATGAGCATCAGGACGACGGAGATGCCCAGCTGGACGCCATAGATGATGCCGGTGTTGACCGAAGTTGCCTGAAGCTTGAAGATGTTTGAAATGTCCACGGTGCTCTTTGTGATGCCATCCGGCATGGTGATGATCAGCATCTGGTGGTAGGGGTCGTAGCTGGCATTGTATGTGAGGCCTTCGAGCGGCAGGCCCATGGTGAGAGTTTGCTGGGGCTTTGTTCAGTGCTGACGGAGATGCACAGAGAACATGCAGTTTGCTGGCTGCAAAGGACTTGGTGGCAGCGAAAGGACCAGATAAAGAAGTCGTACTCGCCGGTCGGGGGAAGGGGAAGGGTGTGGTTGTGATGGAAGTGGTGGTGTTCTGTTGTTGGTGAGCAGCTTAGACCAGGCGTTCAGTGCACATGAAAGAGCGAGAAACAAGAAGGCCAGTCGGCTGGAACAGAGGTGATCTTGTACCTTCTCGAACAATTGGAGCTGAGACAATGCCTTGGTGTCCCGCGCGAACTGCTGCCCCGGCCGATTGTTCGATGATGAGCGATATCAATTCACACGGGGACGCGAAGGCCGCACAATACGAGATGGCCCGCTCGAATGCAGAGTGGTATTGGTATTGTTGAGGGCGAACTGAAGAGGTGAGGTGGAAGGTGGGCCATTGGGGGAGGTATGAAAGCGCCTTCCCGAACGACCAAATCACTTTCGACGATACAGACACAGGCACAGGCACGCACGCACTTGCACTCGCTGCAATATACGTCTGGGCCCTGAGCCGGCGCAAGCATCGATATGGTGGATATGGCCATGTTTGACTTGGGTCTTCATTTCGAGGTGTGCAGGAGCGACATGCCGCACGTGTCTCAGGGAAAGAACAATATGAAGCTGTTGAGCTGCCGTCACGTGGCTGACATCGATGCTGCATATCTCGTCTCACACATTCAATGGTTGCAATGCCTATCGAGACAGTCTACCTACCTACACAGTCCAGACCACGCAACACGCTGCCATCGTCCATCATGTGGAAGGTACTTATCACTTGGCGGGCTGCTCTTGCCCGACCTGGACGCTTGAAGCACGCACATGTTCCGCGCCTGGGTCGCGCCTTCCTTCCAGGTTGCCAACGTGAGTCCGGCCTGTACAATGATGGCGCACCGACGTACACTCACACCGCGGTGTACCTTATGTACATGTACCTACGGTTCAATTGCTGAGACCTTCATCGCCAACACATCCATCGAGGCGCCACCGAGATATTCCAATTGGGCTTACCACCAGCACAGGCGGCTCGCCCAGCGCTGCGAACATCCGTACCAATCCTCAATTACCTCCGAAAAGTCTACTGACGAGTGGGGGCCACAGTGTCTACACAGACAGCGCGCGATTCCTCAGCACTGGTAGTTCGCCGCGAAATGCCAGCACCCGAGGCCATTGCTGACACCTCACCATCCGCAATTCCCCGCGACAGAGCTGAATTCAGGAGACAGCAAGAAGGAAGGTACCGATCACGACCCAGTCTCGGCAAGAACATACAAATCGAAAACATCGCCATCGCTCAAACGCAACCTTGAAGTCTACAGTTCGACCAGACCAATATCACTTGCCGTCTGATGACGGCTCCACTTAATCTTCCATGCTGCACAGACTCGAGAGGCGATCCCAAGCCGGCAAAGTTAGCGATGAAGATGAGGATGAGATTGCTGTAGCACCCGTACCTGGTTACGAAGCGCAGAGGATGATGATGATGATGATGATGATGGAGACGATGGAATCATGGTTGTGTCACCGACTCAGACGCCAAGGAAGGCTTTGCGTAGTGGAGGTATGTTCACACACTTACACTGTGACTGAATGGCCGGGCTAGCCGTAGTCGCTTAGTGACACAGACACCTGTCAAGAAGATGGCTGGCCGCCCGGCTACGCCAGCTTCCAGCGTATTGGCAGATAGGACACCGAAAGCTTTACTCAGCTGCAGCCTCACGCCAGCCGATCAAAGCTGATGACCAAGTACAAGATTACGGTTGTCAAAGCTGCATCGGGCAAGCGGACCAACTATGTGTATATGTGGTCAGAGACGAGTTGATGCCATCCACGATCAAGGTTGTCAAAGCCCTGTTAGCAGGAGAGCCTGTCATCGGACACTCGTGGATCTCACGTTCTCGAAAATAAGACAAACTGCAGGATCCAGAAGACTAACATTCATCAGGCTGAGACTCGCACAAAGACGGAACCCCCGGCGATTACTGCTGGCCGGAAAGATAATCTTCTTCAGCGCCGATGCCAGAGTAACCTGGAATATGGATTGGGCTCCAGTCGCAGGAGCTTGCGACCGATGCTGGCGCCGCGGGGTAAGCAAGTGGAAGTGCGGCCGCGGGAGCACCATGTCATCTTCACGTTGTGCAGCTTCGATGACAAAGCAGATCACGATGTGAAAACACTCATGGAGGAACATGGATGCATGGGTTGACCACAGGACGATGTTACCCGTTCGATTATCCAGGCCGACGTCGACCTGCAGGATAATGACTTCCAATTCAGCCTGCCTCTGAGTGGCGCCAACAGGAAGGAGTCGAAGTCGAATTCGAAGACGTGGTACTACAAGTGGCCCTGTCGGCGAGTCATGTTCAGCAGAGGATATGTGACTGTTGAGAATGTTTCGAAAACTGCCCAGGTGTAAGCTCAGGTAGGTACATTTCATGTTCATGGATTTGAAGGCATACGATATTGCTAGGAGTCAGTTTCTGTTCGTCTCTGAGAAGGGATTGATTGTTCATGTTGTATAGGCAGGTTCTTTTCTGGCTGACGATTGTAGTGACTGGAGGTTCTGGCCGACAACGTTGTAGATGTACCCCTACGTACTCAGATGCACTCACTCTGCTGCAGCCAACATGGAATCGAGCAACCACACTGGTCTATCGTGGAGCTGTTCAAAGGTCGGGATATATACCGCTTCGAGAGAAGCTACTATAAATGTCTGTTAAAGGTAACCAACCTCAAACGTCGAAAAGAACCGTTGGCGTTGCCGTTGCCGTTGAAATCCCCGTAACATTGGCGTCCTTCGCGACGGGACGAATACGACCAGACGAGACATGACTCCTTTCTTCCCTCCTTCTAGTAGTGTTGTAAGGTAGTAGTAGGTAAGGTAGTAATAGGCAGTAGGCACTCTCAAGTGAGATTTGATTCGTGTTTCAAGACAAACGTGTTCGGTGGTGCCACGCGAGTAGGTAAGGTCACACAGTCAGGTAGGCATCGTAAAGTGAGTCACTTTCTACCTGACTCAGCCGTGTGGCCTCATCCAATACCTTACCTTACCTGTATACCTTACCTACCTCCAAACATTCCAATGTATGGAACTTGTTTTGGCGTACCTAGGTAGGCGTACCTACCTCCTACGGTAGGCTGGCATAATCAATCTGAGTGAGACGGGCACTACATATGAGACCTAAACGTGTTTCAGGCAAGCAAGGCAACAAAACACAGCTCTTTTTTTTTCCTTTCTTTCTTTCTGTTCAAGGTACAGGTATCAACAGGTAGGCGAACGGTTAAACTTTTTTTCTGCAAGGTGTTTTGAAGACAAGAAAAAAGGACAAGACAAGACAAGATTTAGATTTTTTAGATTCTAGATTGCTCTAGAAGAAGTCAGGTAGTTTTGAAGGGGTTGGTTTTATTTATAAGGTATCTTATCGATTTGATTGATTGATTGAATTGATTTCGTTGGTAAGGAAAACCTGGAAGGTAGGTCGATACCTAATAGATCGATGCTAGGTAGATGGATACTAGAGGTAGGTAGTTGGGTAAAGGGAGATGTAGAGCTCTCTCTCTCTCTCTCTCTCTCCCTCCCTCCCTCCCCTACTTTCTTCCTTTCTTCCTTCTCTTTCTCGAAGCGAAAGATGACTATTTGAGCTAGGTACCTATCTACCTACCTACCTAGGTACATGTCGCCTTGTTTTTTCTTTTCGAGCGAGGTACATCGTACCTACATGTACATGTATGTTTGAAATGGGGTTCATCGTTCGATTAATTGTCAAGCTAACGACATGTAACTAAGCGGAAACGGAAGTTTATAAGCTAGCTGTCTTTCCTCCTCTCGTAGGAATGTAACTCTCTCTAGAATCGACGATCAGCATCTGTAGGTAGGTAGTTGGATCGTTCGTTCTATTCTTACTCTTATTTCGTATTACTATCTACCTGTAGGTAGGTACCTTAAGGCACATGACCTCCACTTCGCACGTATGCTCGTTACTTATCTTACCTAGCGGGATGCACTCGTTCCGATACGTAAGGTATCTACTAGGTACATGTAGGTAGGTAAGGAATATTCCTTCCGGTAAGAAGATGATTGCCTTCTTTTTCTTTCCTGTCTTCTTCTTCTTCCTTCAATGTGTCTCGTGATCAATCAATCGGAGCGACTAATGCATACCTTGCCTGACAGGAAAGAAAGAAAGAAAGAAAGAAAAAAGAAGGCAACCTTGTAGCACGTCAGCTCATTCACACGTACATGTAGGTACATACTGTACCTGAGGTATATGGGTTCATGGAAGCTGACCGGAACCACCTCATACCCTTCCCTCCGGTCTGTCTGTCTGTCTGTCTATCTGCTACAAGAATACAGTCAGGTAGGTAGCTGCATGTCGTCTACCTAGGTAGGGAGATGGAAGAGAATGACCCTTGCGCTACGGAAATACCTTGCCAACCTGACCTGACCTGACCTGACCTTACTACCACGCTCCACGTGGCTCATGGATCTTTGATGAACACGCGCCGCACTAAACAGTAATCTGCAAGTACGAGCACACACCAGATCTAGCGAAACGACAGACCTGTACCCGACATTAGGCATGTACACACACATGTACTCACTCCTCCTGTTGCTCTGTTCTGTTGGACGCTGGGCTGCCGCCAACAATTGCCAAGAGTGGTCATGCTGCACGTTTGTGCAACAAACAGGTTGTACACCTACCTACCTAAGGCTACCTACCTTATCTCCTCGTCTAGTCCCGTCTGGTACAGTGCAGTACACACAATCTTGCAGTTCCAGCAACAGAACCCGTCGTCGCTGTTTCCCATCTTGTGCTTGGTCCCCCCACCCCCCGGTGAGAAAACCTTACTCATCGCAGAAGCTTCCATGCATGAAACGATGTCCTTCACCCCCCTCCCTCCCTCCCCGCGGATGTAACTTGTGACTCTACCTACATACCTAGCTGAGGTACTGCTACTATGCCGCGGGCAGCAGCGCCCATGCTGTCGGTGTAGGATCAGACCAGAAGCAGAGAGAACGAGAGAGAGTCAGAGAGAGAGCAAGAAAAACGAGACCCGAGTCCTGCCCCCCCCCCCCCCCCCCCCCCGGCTCGGGCTGTTTCGCATCTCTAATCAGCAGGATTTATTGGTTCTCATGTCCACGGGCTGCTCCCAACTGTAACCTCGCACGGGCATGATTCTACTACACTACCTTACCCGACTTTTTTATCTTTTACCTATTTTGTCTCGAGCAAAGATGGCAAAAAAAGGCCGTCTCGCATTGAGTCGTCGCCTCTCTCTCCCGTCTCTCTTGCAAGTGCCGAAAGGTTGGAATCTTCCTCGACTCACCTACCTATAGGTTCTTATCATGTTGAGGCGCTGCTGCTATTGGAGGAACCTGCCTGGGAAGGCTCTCGGGTGGTGATACTCGCCAGCGTAAGGTAATGTATTCACTCACCTACTCACTTACCCATCATTATGTCAGGTACATGTAGGTACCTAATAATACTGGGTATGTACCTATGTAAGGAAGACGGCCGAGGAAACTGCGCCTGCGCCGCCGCATGTGCCGCAGCAACAGCAGTAGTCAGGTCAGGTCAGGCCAGGTCAGGTCAGGTACATTGTAGGTATAATCGGCTTTGTTGATGTTGTGCTGCCTACCTACCTACCTACCTAGGCTTGCACTACTCGCTCCCATGTGTGTACATGTTGTACCTTTTAAATGTGAATACGGTCTGCCGTACCTAAGTACAGTACCTGTAGATACCTCCTACCTGACCTTTACCCGTCCTTGGGTACATACCTGTACCCACAGAGTTGGAAGGTTGTCATTTAAATACCGAGATGAGTCAGCCACCCAGACAGAGAGAGCAGAACAGTCACGGTAGTCAGTCTCAGTCTCAGTTCAAGGATTATAACCAAAACCTGCTTGTAAGGTACAGCCCAGCCTACATGTGCCCGTGCTTTTTCTCTCTCTCTCAAAAAAAGGCCAACCCAACCCAGCAGCCAGGACGCTTCGGATTAAGGTAGGGCTGTATGGGCATCCATCCCAAAACTTTAAAATTAATACCTACCTGACCCCAAGACATGAAATGCCTAAGGTACGGTACTGTAGCTTACTGGGTATATTCTGTAAAGTTACTAGGTACATGATGTGTTTTTTTTTATTGTTGTCCTGACTCCTTTGTCGGTCAGTTTGGTAAACGCAAGCACTTACCTCTTACCTACCTACAGGCTACAGCTAGGTACATTGCCTCGCCTGTAGCCTACAGGTCTATAGGTATGCGTCGATAACTCGGGATATCTGGCAAGCTACTTTCGATTCATTATTTCATAGTTTGGCTGAGCTCGGGCCAGATACCACCGGATCCGTTGCCGTACCTATGCATACCTAATTTACCTATATACAGTACAACACTATGTATACGGCAGAGTTACTAGTGTATGCCCACATGTGTACACGCACATGGTGCTTCTCGGTGTAGACGGTGTACACCTATCCCACTGGTAGGCCTGTTTTTGTGATGAACCTCATCACGGATCCACATTTTATTTTCGACGACGTGGGATGTAGGTTGTCGTCCTCGGGTGACTTGTCAGACAACCTATCTGTGGATCCTCCTATCGCGATCTTCCAAAATAAAACCTTTTGCCGTCCCAAATGATTGGGCTGATGAGGTCCAAACGTGGTCGGTGTGTAAGAGAGAGAGAGAGAGAGAGAGCCATGCTCACACAGCTCCGCGGCAGTTTTTTTTTTCTTCTTTAATTTTCCCAGCTTTTCGCTGGAGAGTACCCATGCACAGACGGGGGGTTGGGACCTTCGATTATGTTTCCATTCTCTGCGTGTGTCATCATGTTTATGATTTCCATGCGCGGCATACCAGGCTTACCAACAGCGGACCTGCTGTCGCACCGCCCTGTGCTCTGCCGGGGTCTGGCAATCTTGGAATCAGTAAAATTGGAGAATACCAGTCATTCGACCGATGACTGCGATGACTTCCCTGCTTGGTCTGTTGGTTTTGCTTGGTAGCGGATGACCTCAACTATTACAGACAGCATTTCCCGTCCCCAGCAGTCCCGCTCGCGTGGTAATCGAGCGCCAGAACAGAAGATTTGAGGTGGGCCCGCCGTCGCCGCCGCAGCAGCAGCCAAAGCGATCACGGACACTAGTACGGAAAGCCTTTTTTTTCTCTCTCTCCCTCTCTCGCTCTCTCCATCTCTGCCGTCTCCACCTGCTACACCTCCCCCGTCTCTTCTCCCCTTCACCGACTCGGCAGTGGTCCGATGCTGCTATAGTAGTCCCGCGAGAGCGAGACTGCCAGGTACTCGTGAGCCACTAACACCCTGCTACTAGTCGCGAGCACACCGGCGACCAGCGAGCACTGCCAGATTTTGTTCGTATTGAGATGTGATGGATATCTTTTGGCGGTGGACAGCGCAAAATGGCTGAGTTTTAGCTCCTGTCCGCGTAGCCGGGTCGCGGCACCATGCATGCCGTGACAGCAGATGTCGCATGCCGCGTGATGCGGACAGACCGTGTCACTGCTGGCGAGCCCTTGCCAGCGCAGCAGGCAGAGGCTAAGCGCGGCACAGTAAGGCGGGCAGGGCAGGGCAAGGCAAGGCAAGGCAGGGCAGGCAGACGCAGACGTGACTGACATGGTATAGAGGAAGCACCACCGGTGTGGTCGAGCAGACGGGGAGGGAAGGGGAGGGAGTGGAGCAGACAGACTCAGAGTAGTAGGCAACCGAGTGGCCGCCTCGAGTAGAGCAGCCCGCCAGCCAGCGCGCGCATTACCTTACCTTAGTCCCCGTCCCACCGCAGCGCCCGTACGCTGAGACACGAGCGAAACCAAGTGCAAGCGCAGCGCCGCCGGTAATTCCTCCTATAAATGGGGCTATCCCTGCCGATGACGCAGCGTACCTGAGGCGAGCGACTAAGAAAAAACGACGACTAAGGTAAGTAGTACCTACTATTGTGTGTTGTTGCTGGTCCGCGGTATCTGAAGCTTGGGTGCTGCACGAGGGCTGCAAGTGATATTCCGCCTGGTTCCTCGGAGTCATCGCTCGAGCGTGCTGCCTGCTTACCTTAGCTACTCTGCTCGTAACGACTGCGAGGCGGCGCCGGCTGCTATTTTGACTCTTGTGTGTGTGTGTTGTCTCTGGGTGTATGTGTGTGTGTGTCTGGGTGTCTGTGTGTCGGTGTATATGTGGTGACTACATGTGCTACAGACTGTGGTGTCGCAGCGACGACTCAACGGTGCCAGCAAAATTGAGCAAGGTTTCAGCCTTCCAGGCGATCATTTTTGGCTCGTCGCTCTCCTGGATGACCCTGGCTCTGGCAGTAGATCCATTAGACTTTCTGAGATCCTGCTCGCATCCGAACACACCTCACATACTTTACTCATGAGTGCCATCAACCGCTCTTCGACGCTTCCCACCTCAGTCACTCCTTCTGCCACCCACTGCCCGCGTCTGCTGCAGCATTGATTGTTCAGCACCCGCCCGCCTGCCTGCCTGCACGCACGCACGCACGCACGCAGGCAATCAACCAACGCACGCTCACACACACCGTACGCACGCACGCCCGCACGCCCGCCCACCCTCTCGCAGCGCAGCGCAGCGCACCAGAACGAACAGCCAGCGTTGTGCTCCACGGATCGCCCATTCACCGGAAAAGGAACCCTCTCCGTGCGCGACCGCAACGTCAAGTCGGACAAACCGGACAAGTCGGAGGAATCGTGGTCTCTGACACCGGCACGCGCGTGCTGCTGGCTGCGAGCGCATTCCTTGTGCGCGAGCCTGCACAAGGGGAGAGAGACGAAGCGGCTAAGGCACCCCACGCGACTTCACTCAGCCTTGCACGCACGCTGTGCCCCTTCCAGTCAGCCCTGCAGCAGTGCGGAGACCTCTCTTCTGCCTGGTGCAGCAAGGGAACGCAACACAGGCCCAGTTAAACATCCTGCTGCCCGGCGCACCTCTGCTCCATCCTTCGTCAGGCAACCTGCCAAAAAATCAAAAAGCACGATTAAACTCGTTCTCGGGGCCGGTCCTTTTGCGCGCTGTGCGCCTTCCACACTCCTCATCATCATCATCATCGACTTGCCTCCAGTTGGCCTTAGTAACGAACGAACCTTCCCACACAGCAACTGGGCTTCTTCTTTTCTCTTCCTTCCATACCTGGTTGTAAACGTACCCGACTCGGCCCACGCGAGTGTACCCGAGCTTTGCCTTTCCCGTCAACTCGACAGCACCCTCCCTGGACCCAACCTCTCCACGCCGGCTGTGTCGATCTGGTCGTGACAGGTCTTCATTTGACGTCGCTCTCTACTGCTGGTCACCATGTGCAGCCATTGTCGAATCGAATAGCCTTCACCCACCCCACCCCACCACCACCACCACTACGACCACCAACCACCAACCACCACCTCCTGGTCGTAACCATGAACCTATTCTCCGACAATCATCGCCTCGACAGCTATTCGCCACGCAGCGTGTCTGCCGCTAGTTCCACGTCTCACGCGCAGCAGCTGCCCTCTGCTGCTGTCCCTTCGCCGGCGAAGATCAATTCAGGTATAGCTATGAGCGTGAATCCTGCCTCGACCGGAATGAGCGCCACGTCTCTTCCCCCTCGTAGCAGCTCGTTGCACCAGATCTATCCCGTCAATTCCTACCCTTCAGTGTCTCAAGACTCCTTGGCGGATATCAGAATGTCTCCCCGCAACTATCAGTCGTCGTCGCCCATCCCGCGCCGGACTTTGTCAGATCGCACATTTTCGGAGCGCTCTCCGTCCCCACATTCTCGTGCTGGCCACTCGGGGGCGATGGCAGAAGCAATCTCCAACAATGGTCGAGCTCCCAGTCTGCTTCGAAAGCTGTCTCGTGGAGCTTCCAACAGACTGCGTCGCCGCGCTTCTACCGCCCACTCGATGCGTCTACGAGACCAGAGCGCAGGACCTCTTCTCGTTCGTCGGCGTAGTGATAGCAATGGCGCGTCAGACTTCCAAGACGTCTCGGACCTGGACCTGGACAGCAATACCGAAGATCACGATGACTATCCGCCCTACATTAAGGATCGCAATAACGCCCTCGGTATTAATGTCGGTCGACCCACTGTTGCCCCCACCAGCACCGCGAGCACGTTCGTCGGCGGTATCGCCCCATCTTCCTCTGCCCTTCTCGAGAAGGGAACGTGGGTGTGGAAACTTACTCGACGCAATCGGAAACGCATCCAGTTACGTTTGGATTCCAGCTCGGCGAGAGTGTGCTGGCATGGTAAGAAACCTGATAAGTCTTTCTTCATCGATGACGTCCGTGAGATGCGTATTGGAGCACAATCGAGGAATGCGCGAGACGACATTCAAGTTGGTCTCGACCAGGAAGATTTGCTCGTCAGTATTGTCTACTGTACTCCAGAGCGTTTCAAAGGACGCATCATTAAGACTATGAACATCTTGATGCCTGATAACTACATATTGAAGCTGTGGACGTCAGCGCTCAATATCGTCACTCGAGAGCGCATAGAATTTATGAATGCACTCTCATCAAATCCCGAAAAGGCGGAAAAGGGCATGGCCATCGCCTGGAAACAGCATATGGCTCTCAAAGACTCCGCGGATGAAGAGCGTCTTGATCTGAAGGATGCCATGTCGATGTGCCGCAAGCTGGAGATCAATTGCACCGAGTCTGCTGTCAAGACGCACTTCAAGGCCATCAGTCGCGATGAGCACATGTCTCTGGATTACAACCAGTACAAGGATTTCATCCAGTCATTCCGGGAACGAAAAGACATCACTCATATCTTCAAGAATTGGCAGCTTGGCACTGATCACGACATGGACCTGGAAACTTTCTTCGACTTTATGCGCCAAGAGCAAAAAGTCGACGTCGACAAAGACCGGGCGTACTGGCAAAGTGTCTTTGACAAGTTCGCACGTCCTGCACAAAACCGCCCCAGTTTACCAGACGCTGTTCCAAGTTCCCTCCAGAAAGTGTGGACAATTCAAAGCTTCCAGAGCTTCTTGACCTCATCGTACACCTCGCCGATCGCGCCTTTGGTAGGCGAGCCTATACTGGACAGACCCTTGAATGAGTATTTCATCTCGAGCTCTCACAACACATACCTGCTCGGGCGACAAGTGGCCGGCACGTCGAGCGTCGAAGGTTACATTGCCGCATTGGTGAAGGGGTGCCGTTGCGTCGAGATTGATTGCTGGGATGGCGATGATGGTCGCCCAATTGTGACACACGGAAGGACGATGACGAGTAAGATTCCTTTCGAGGATTGCGTCTCTGTTGTTGCCAAGTATGCCTTCCACAGCTCGCCATACCCATTGATCGTCTCTTTGGAAGTCCATTGCAACTCTGAGCAACAGCTCATTATGGTAGACATATTGCGCAGAACTCTCGGTACCATGATGATCACGGAGCCCATTTCAAGCAACACTGTCAGCTTGCCTTCGCCAGAGGAGCTCCGTAATAAGATTCTGATCAAGGTCAAGGCCTCTGCCGAGATTGAACAGTCCCAATGGCTGAACGAAAATATCACAGGGCGCAGCAGAGCTCGCAGTTTGACGTCCAGCTTCGGTCGAACTCCTTCGACAGAGAACACGAGCGCCATGTCGTCTCCTGCAGTGTCCAGCTCGGTTGCGACAAGTCCGTCCGAGACCAATGCAGTCTTCACTCCTCGCGGATCTGGCGCCGTGACCCCCAGCAGCTCTGCAGACGATAGTGACGAGTTACGGCATCCCACGGACAAGCCGAAGCGCCGTGTCAACAAGACTCGCATCGTCCACGAACTAGGCAAGCTTGGCGTGTATGCACAAGGCATTAAGTTCGGCGCTGGCTTCCTGACACCAGGCAGCAAGGCCTACAATCACATCTACTCCTTCAACGAGAACACCTTCGATGACCTGTGTACAAAGAAGACTGACAACAAAGCCATCATGGAGAAGCACAATGTCAAACACCTCATGCGCGTCTACCCCGCAGCGAAGCGGGTCGATTCATCGAATTTCAACCCCATGACCGTCTGGCGCCGTGGAGGACAGATGGCCGCTCTCAACTGGCAGACCTACGATGTTCCGCAGCAGATCAACGAGGCCATGTTTGCCGCGGGAACGGATCGTCTAGGCTATGTCTTGAAGCCGGAAGAGTTACGACACGCCAAGCACCAAAATGTACTGGAAGGCACCGAACTAGCACAAAAACATGACGAAAAGGGAGGCAAGAAAAGCGTGAGGTTTAGCGTCGACATCATCTCCGCTCAACGCCTGCCACGACCACGCAACCAAACCTCCGGTGCTGGCATGAATCCGTACATTGAGTTTGAGATGTTCTATGCTGAAGACAAGGAACGTGTCAGCACGAAGCCTCAGAACAGTATGGACGGGTCAGGACAGGATCTTCCGTTCGAGAAGGTGCTACCGAGCCGCAGCCGGACGAGGATTGTTGAAGGCAATGGTTTCGACCCTCAGTACCACCAGAATATCACCAGTTCTGTCGAGACCAAGTTTCCCAGCCTGGTCTTTGTGCGCTGGACGGTGTGGAACGCCCCCCAGGGCAAGAAGTCAGGCTCCAATGGTGTGCTACTCGCAGCGTATACCGCCAAGCTCAGTAGTCTGCAGCAAGGTTACCGGCACCTCCCGCTATTCAACCCACAGGGCGAACAGTATCGCGATGCGAAGCTATTCGTCAAGATTAAGACCGGCACACCTGTCGCGCTGCCGGCACCGAGGGACGAGAATTGGTTCTACGACCCGACCGTCTCGCCCAGGGATACAGGCCGACCGGAGCGTACGTGGCCACAGCGCCTCTTCAGCCGCGCTCCCAGCCAGAGGCGCAGGGAATACAGTGACATTTCCGCACCCTTGAGTCGCACCTCGAGCATGGACCGTGAGTCCTTACGATGACCAACATTTTTTATTTATGATACCCGCGCACTTACTTGGAGTTTCTGTCTTGGGATTATCGGCAGACAGCGGGCGTGCTGTACCGGATGGCATTCTTGATAACATACAGTCTTATACCCCATTGCGCGAGTCTTGTTGGGCATATCATACGTCGGAGCGAAGCACCTGACCAGAGATGGATTGCGTGATGACAAACGCAGAATTTCATTTGTTATTACATTGTACAATAGTTGTTGAGCTCTCGGATGCTCCAGGGTTCCATTTTGCACATCTGTCCTACTGGTTTAGGGAGATGATGTGCCTGTATGACGAGCCCTTTGCAGTTGCAATGCAAAGAGGCAACGATATTAGAATATGAATGGTGAACGCAGTCGCCGCCTCAGCTTTGTGCATTTTTTCTTCCACCTTGTTCGCCTCATCTCGATTACCGACCTTGTCCAGAAGCTCTCGATGGGCGATTGCGAGAAGCGTCGTTCGTAGCTCTTGCCTCAGGCAGCACTCGCACGGTTGTCACTTCCGCCCGCTTCGTCGAAAGCTCTTCTTTCTGCAACGAAAATCCATCACCCTCCTCCTCCTTCTTCCCCTCCTTCTCTATAATACACCACAACCTCACCACTCCGGACGACAGGCCACAGTCGTCGCATTCATTCGCCAAAGTGTCGCTCCCTGTAGCTTCACGACTCATCCTCTTCTCTTCTCACATCGCAGCAGGTTCTGCATTCTTCGCGCACACGAGCTCTCTTCGGGCAGCGCCTAGAGTCACTGCACTCCACATCAGTGATCAGATCCGAACATACGCGAGCAAAAAGAAGAAAATGCCACCAAAGAAGGAAGTGAAGCAGGAGAAGGTCCTACTGGGACGACCGGGCAACAGTCTCAAGAGTGGGATCGTATGTACGGCGACATTGTGCGTGCTCTGCGCGTGCGACCTGGATATTCCACTGACATGACATCCAGGTTGGCCTTGCAAACGTAGGCAAGTCGACATTCTTCCAGGCAATCACCAAGTGCCCTCTCGGTAACCCTGCCAACTTCCCGTATGCCACCATTGACCCAGAAGAGGCGCGAGTCATCGTGCCTGACGAGCGCTACGACTGGCTTTGCGATCACTACAAACCCAAGTCGCGAGTCCCTGCCGACTTAACTGTATACGATATTGCCGGACTTACTCGTGGAGCGTCTACCGGTGCTGGTCTCGGCAACGCCTTCTTGTCGCACATTCGAGCCGTCGATGCCTGCTTTCAAGTGGTGCGATGCTTCGATGATGCCGAGATTATTCACGTTGAGGGCGATGTCGACCCGATCCGTGACCTCGAGATCATTGCTGAGGAACTCCGAATTAAAGATATCGAGTTCGTCGAAAAGTCGTACGAGAACATTCAAAAGCAGACGCGCCGCGGTGGTCAATCACTCGAGATGAAGAAACTCAAGGAAGAGCAAGCGTGTATCGAGAAGGTGCTGGAGCATCTGAAGGCAGGCAAAGACGTCCGCAAGGGCGACTGGTCACCAAAAGAGGTAAGTCTGTATCCTCCCCGATCACTACCATTATATGATGAACCAGAGACTTGTCTCTATAATCCCAGCTCTTAGAAGTCTCACAACGCGAGGCATCATGTTAAGAAATCCGATCTGATCAAAGCAACCCCATTGTCAAACTGTGTTGATACCAATGGTTGCATGTCGGCTGATCACTTCATCGTGCAGGTCGAGTTCATCAATCCGCTGTTTCTGTTGACGGCGAAGCCCGTGGTGTTCCTGGTCAACCTCAGCGAGAAGGACTACATTCGCCAGAAGAACAAGCACCTGCCTAAGATTGCGGAGTGGGTCAAGGAGCACGCCACTGGGGATCCGATCATCCCGATCTCGGTGTCGTTTGAGGAGCGCTTGTCCAGATTCGAGACCCAAGCAGAGTCAGACGAGGAGGCAAAGAAGCTAGGTACCAGATCGGCTCTGCCCAAGATCATCACAACGATGCGGAAGGCCCTCGATCTGGGCTCCTTCTTCACCACTGGCACAGACGAAGTCCGACAATGGACGATACGGAATGGCACCAAGGCACCCAGAGCGGCAGGTGTGATTCACGGCGACTTTGAGAAGACCTTCATTCAAGCGGTTGTGTACAACTTCAACACGCTCAAGGAGCTCAAAGACGAAGCAACGGTCAAGGCACAGGGTAAGGTGATGACCAAAGGCAAGGATTACGTCGTGGAGGATGGAGATATCCTCTTAATTAAGGCAGGAGCTGCCAAAGCGTAGTTAATGTCTGGACTCCAGCTATCTCTCGACTGGTCACCGGGCGCGGTAGAGAGCGACGGGCCCTTTAAGTGCCGTGTCCATAGCCGCGACCCTCTGAGAGTGTTGATGAAGAAGGATTGCGGTCCATATATGAAAGCGATTGAACTCGTGCCAACTCATACCATCACCATGTGCTCGTTCCTGAGGATGTGTCGTGCTATGCGTACATCGCATGCAGACGTGGTGCTATCACGTAGAACTCGTGTCGTGTGATGGGATGCGATCGACATATTGTCACATGAATGCGACCTGCCGAGAATAGCTCAGGCGGCCGTTGATGTTTCCATCCACTCAGGTTCACCACCACGCACTCAACCTCTACATGTAACAAATACATACACCTACGTGTGCCTTTCCACTACATCCCACCCTCGCCAGATGATGCGCGCACTCTCATGCACCCGCTCAACCCATACGTGCGTGCCTTCTTCAGAAGCGCGCTGCCCGCGCAATGTCAGCCCATCGGCCACCACGTCTTGCTCGTGCCTACCACCGAAGTCCTGCTCCGAGCCAAGGACCGCGATTCGAATACGTCCTACGCTGATTTGGCCGGTACTGAGGAGTTCCTTGCCAGTCATGTGCTACGTGTGCCTGGAGGAGGACCCCCACTGAGTTCAGGCGGCAGCGGCGGCGGCGGCGGCAATGCGCGCGAGAACAAGAACAAGGCCAAACAGTATACCACGATTAACGGCCGTACGGTCGTGATCAAGGACAGCTTCGTGTATAGCAACAAGGGGTTCAAGACGCTGAACCAGGCGCAATTGCTGTCCGATTTCATCTACTATCCAGATACTGCGGATGGCCAACAATGGCTAGTGTACTACATCTCGCGGCCCTTGATAGGAACATATCAGGCCACACCCATCATTCCCGCCGTCATCAGTGATGCGCCGAGCCAGGAGCGCAAAAGGGTGCTGGCAGAGGTATCAGGGGATGCAGGCGCATCGGGTCCAGCGACAGGACCGCTATTACCAAAGAAGAAGGAGATTAAGGGGTTTGGAGATCTGCTGGTTCAGTTCCCCATGATTTCGCGACAGATTCACAGCGGGCTGGAGCAGGTGATTCGTGATTTCTTAGCAGCCAACGACAAACCGCTGCCCAAGCCCAAGTCGCGAAGCTCCTCTTTCAGCTCCCAAGCTTCACGACCATCAGTCAGTGACTCCGTGTCTTCGCACAAGTCGTCATTGTCCGGAACTAGCTCCATACACGCCACGTCCCTGAAGTTGGAGCCTGAGGAGGAGACACTGCGGACTGCGCTGGAAACAGCCATCATTGCTGCGATCGATTTGTTCCAGAACGTGGATAAACAGCAGTTGTCGATTCTAGGAGCAAACACGGACCTCACCGGACCAGTGGTCGAACGCATGATTGAGCGTTATGTTACGGAGCAAGTCCACGACCAGAACCTATTCCCTAGAGTATGCGCCATCCGCCGGCCGGACGACTCAGACCTAGACTCGAAAATCCGCAAAATGTCGGATATTGACATCGCTCAGGTCGGCATACCCGCTGACGGTGGAATGAAGTCAAAGCGTGCGCTGGCAGTACGACTGAACAAAGGAATTGAGATATTCAAGAGGATGGGTGTTGCCAGCAGCCCCGAGGAGATGCTGGAAATTCTGGTCAAAACCCAAAGAGTGATTACAGAACCCGATGACACTGACGACGAAGTCACTGCAGATGGTACCCTGTCCGCCGGTGGCACAACCTCTTTGACGATCAACGCTGATATTCTTGTGTCCATGCTGCTCATCGTGGTCTTGCGCAGCGGGGTGAGGCATCTTCATTCGCGACTGCTGTATATGCGTTACTTTATCTTCATTGATGAGGTTGAGAGTGGTGAGCAGGGATATGCTTTGGCGACGTTTGAAGCAGTGTTGTCGCACTTGTCTAGCCGCTCAACCACACTGCGTAAAGCTAGCAAGAAAAATAGGCTGTTATGGCAAGCAGTCAGGACTGGAGACGTCAAGGCTTTGACCACAATCTTCCAGGTTGCAAATGTCTCCGAAGACACTATTTATATGCCCGCTTCACCACTCGCAACGTCTCCGGACTCTTCCGAAGACGAAGAAGATACTGTGGACTCTTTGCTCGACGGCGAAGCGACTGGAGATCCCGATTTTGCAACAGTCAATGGCTCACTGCAACATGTGTTCCCCTTTCAAAAGCCACCAACACCGCCTCCTGAGCTTCCTCCGCGCAAGGTGAAGAAACATGTTTCCATGGCATCTCTACCCCGAAGTCAATCTGCTTCGTCGGCATACTCATCCCGGTCTCATTCGCGGCGAAAAAGTATGGATTCGGATGATGACTACAACGGCGGAGGAGATCTGTCTGTGGACAAGCTCGCGCAGACGCAAGATGGAGATGGGAACTCTGTGCTGATGATGGCAGTCGAGGCTGGCAAACACGAAGCGCTGAAGTTCCTATTGAGCTTGCCTGCACATTTTCGTACCAGCTTCATACTCGAGGACGTGAACAACGATGGCGCAACGCTATTGACAGCCGCGGTCCAGTCCGGAAATCGGACAACGACCGACGAGCTCATTCATTACCTCGATAACAATGCCTCGGAAGACGAGCTACGACACTACCTTGCGATACAGGACAATAAGGGTCGTTGTTTTGCACACTACCTCTTCCACCAACCCCACCTCATTCAGCGATTTGGGAAGAAGCTTCCCTGGCGACTAAAAGACAAAAATGGACAAACGCCACTGTTCGCATTGTGTAGATCCTACGATCACGAGCAGTACCATGGTATGGTCGAAGAGGCTCTGAAGATTGCGACGCAAGCACAAGGTGATGGCGAGCCTTTGCATCTGGACGACCATGTTGACGCAAAGGGCAACACTCTTCTGCACATCATGAATGACATGCGTCTCACCACGCGGCTGTTACGCCATTGCGACTCGGATGTGAATGCTGCCAACGACAAGCGCTTCACTCCTTTGATGGTGGCGAGCAAGTATGGCCGGGTAGATCTGGTTCGAGCACTCTTTGGAGATCCACGGGTGGACATGACTTTAAAGGACCTTCGTGGGCTCACAGCTGTTGAACTGGCCAAAGATGATGATGTGAGGAATCGTATCGATGATCTGACTCTGCTTTCAACGCCGCCCGATGCCGACGGCCGCACCACCACCGTAGTCCGGTCTTTCTTTGTGGAAGATGCTACCGTGCGGCTTGTCCTCAAATCTGGTGCCCCAAACTCCGCCGGCCTCATTACCGTAACTACAAGTCGACGATCGGTCGCTGATTTCGAGAACTTGTCGAGATGGCTTGCCATTGAATGTCCAGCCAGCTGGATACCGACCAATTTCAAGCTCTCATCACCATTCTTAGTGCCATCCAAGCCGTCGCGCGCACTTCTCAGGGATATTCAGCTTCGAATGGATGCGTTCTTTCACCACTTGCTCTCCCACGGCACTTTCTCAACGCACGAACTGGTGTGGGAGTTTTTCCTGGTGCCAGAGTTGGACTCAGATATGCTCCTCGAACGCAGCAGACGCAAAGCAGAAGCACGCGTCGACAACGTCAAAGACGACTTTGAGCCCATCTCGGACACGTACGAAGTTGAGAATTTCGTCGAGCACGCCCGAGAACAAATCAAAGGCGTCACATCGGCGACCAAAAAAGTCATTCGCGAGATCAATAAACATCGCATGCTCAACAATGATATCTCGGATGCTCAAAATCTTGCATCATCCGCTTTCGAAACCATCAATTTTCTCCCTTCCCAATACGGCACTGCGATCGCACGCTACACCAAACTTCTCGCTCCGACTGAGTCCTCACCCTTCACCGCCATGTACTACAGTCTCCACTCCTCACTGTGTTCCTCCTCGGCCCTCCAGACCTCGACCAACCGACCCGCATACCTCATCGGTTCGATGCAGCAAGCCCAACGCACCATTGACCGCAGCAAAAATAGCATTGCGCGGAGCAACCGGTGGACACCCAATCTGGGCATTTCCTTCTTCGAGGATGCGAAGAAGTCGGTCAAAATGGATGCGTGGGAAAAGGCGTCCAAGGCGCGAATGGAGTACGAGGCGTTGGGGAGTGAGTTGCGCTATACGCAACAGACGATTGCCGGGGAGTTGGCGGTCTGGCAGGACGAACACGTGAGAGCAGGGAGGGAGATGTTGAGACGTTTGGCGAGGGAGATGGTGGTCAAGGAGAAGGCGAGGTTGGAAGGGATGAAGAGGGCTTTGCGGGCTGCTCGAGGTGGTGGTGGAGGGGTGGGGAAGTAATGTCCATGACGGAAGAGGAGGAGGTGGAGGATGGTGATTGACAGAGGCAATATCATCATGTATATTATACTAACTAGCAGACCACGCGTTCTAGTAGTAATGGGTAATGTTAGTCAATTTCGCCATTTCGTCAAGTCATACGAGATATCTTGGTACAAACAAAACTTGAATACATTTTTTTTTGCCTTGCGCCTTCGCTGAATCCCATCAAAATACAGCAGCATTGCGTAATACACATCATGCCAGTGTTGCTTCGTCTTTAGTAGTACAACCACTCAATCACTCAATCACTCCGTCAGTCATTGTTGCTGTTGCCGTTCCCGCTGCCGTTGCCGTAACCGTAGTTGATGTCCACCATGACCACACATGGCAATAACAGTCTTCAACATGGCCACAATCTTCTCCCGATTGTGATGATGATTGCTCCTGCTGCTGCTGCAACAGCCGCCATCATACTGATTCTCACCGTCCTCATATCCACTCTGCAAGGCCTCCTCCGCCAACCGCAGAGGCGTCAAACCCATTTCATTCCTCAAAAAAGGATCTGCTCCGCCTCGCAAAAACACCTTCACCATGCTCGCGCTCCCCGTCAACACTGCACAATGCAAACTCGTGTTTCCGTCGGGCATTGCTTGGTTGGGATCCGCGCCCGCTTGTAATAATAGTTCGGCGACGTGGATTTTACCGGGAAAGATGGCCCAGCTCAAAGCCGTGGAACCGATAAAGTTGGTTTTGTGTAAGTCGGGAGAATATGCGAGGAGTAATTCAACGATTTCGACGCTGGAGTATTTGCAGGCGTACATGATGGGGGTGACTTTGTATGCGTTTTCTTGGTTGACGTCGGCGCCGTGTTGGAGGAGATGGCGGACGATGGGGAGGTTGTTGCTGCGACAAGCTTGATGGAGAGGACTGCTTGCGGAGCGGGAGTTGGACGGGGAAATGTCTGCGCCGTTGGCGAGGAGGTATTTGACGACTTGGAATTGGCCGTGAGAGGCTGCGCCAGCCAATGGGGAGAGATGGCCGGATTTGGGAGGGGCGAAGGCCTCGAAGATTCCGGGGACGAGGACCGAGGAGTTGATTATTGAGGGACCTCCTTCCAAGAGAGCGGATTGCATGGAATGGAAGTCACCGGCACAGGCTGCCATGAAGAGGGCGTTGGCGATATTTTGACTCGTTGATTTGAGAGGTGAGGCTGGAGGTTGAGCTGGGAGTGGAGTTTGGGCCATGGGGGAGAGTGAGGTGGGCGAGGGGGGCGGCGACCAATGTGAAAGTGTGAGCTGAAAGGCGGGTATGCAAGTGATTTCGGGCGATAATGAGTCTAGGTTGCGTGGCCGTGTCATGGTCGATGTTCTGGTTGTCGTCAGTGTTTGCGTGAGGTGAAGGGGAAAATATTGTTAAACACGTTGGACGTACTGATCTTGACCTTGATACTGCGGTTGGGGTTGCTGTCTGAGACTGTTGCTCAGCACGCAGGAGTCTCGTCGCTTGCGGCTGTCTGAGTGTTCAAGTGCGGGTGGTGAGTGCAGGTGTTGGCGGAACAGCTGGTAAGACTTCATTGTATCGAAACCCATATTGGAGACACACACAAGGTGAGGTGAGTGAGGGAAGACAGTGTGGGCAGAAAGTGAAGGAAGAGAGAAGCAGAAGTATAGCCGACAGAAGCGATGTCATACTATTATTCTCCAGGCCATGTGAGTAAGGTATCTTAGGCAGAGGAGAGGTAGTAGGGGTGTTCTGGTCCGTGTATGGCTACCACGTAGGAGGTAGTCCTAGTCTGACTACAGGAAGAGAGCTAGTTGGGGGGGGGGGGGCGCCCGGTGATGTCGGGCTGGTCGGGCGCGTCGGGCGCGTCAGATGCAATTTCCAACGAAGACGGACGACGACCGTGTGACGCCAAGGTGCAGATGTTAGATTGGTATGGAGACATTGTCGTCGTCGCTCGTGCACTGCAGCGGTGGGCAGCGAAAAGGGCGGAGCGTGATGCCGCGAGTTTCGGTGAAGAAGGATGCGGATTCATGCAGGCGGGGACAGCTCAGCCCTGTCGAGGAATGTTTCCTGCAGGAAGTACAGATTCCCGGAGAGAACACAGAACATGCACCGAGAGCGCCATTGTATTCATGTGCCGCCGTACTGGCACCGTTGATTGCTGATGGTCGCACGTGATGATGATGTTGATGATGATGATGATGATGATGATTTCCCCGGTGACGATGATAGCGATGAATGAGACAGCGGAGAAGGAGGATGAGGAGGAGGAGAGAGCGGTGGGGGTGGCGGTGGTGGTGGTGGAGGTGTTGGTGGTGGAGGAGAAGGAAGAGGAGGAAAGCTGAGCTGAGCCAGTGTGAATTGCTATCGATAAGCAAGATGACACGGGACGGACCCAGCGCGGCGGCACCAGGCGCCTTCCTCCCGCGCTTGTGATACCCTTGCATCCTTGCGCCATTCATGATTCACCCACAGCCGCAGCTGCACTACTTTGTGCACTCTACCCTTTGGTACGACAGTGACACTACCGACATAGCCACGCTCATGCTCATGCTCATGCTTACACCTCAACCTCCTGATCGCATACCACACATCACCGGTGTGCAGTGGGCAGAGTGGGTCTCGTCGACACTGCCACCCTCCCACTCTCCCGCGCAGACACGATGCTCAAACTGAAGATTGGCGCCGGTACCAAGGGCGCACAGAACAACAACAACAACGCCTCCGCTGATGGGCAGAGGACCCCACAGACTCCTGCAGCGAGCGCTCCCACTCCGGGCGGTGGCTTCAAGCTGAAGTTGAGTGTCTCCCAGCCGCCAACGCCTAGCCAGCCCGGCCCTTCGTCGACCTTTCCGCAACCTACCGCGACGACTGCCGAGAAGAAGAAGCGCACCTACACGAAAAAGAACCCCGACGCCATTCCCAAGAGTAAGAAGCGCGCTCTCGAAGATGATGGCGCTGCACCGAACCCCAAGCGCAAGATCTCTCTCAAGCTAGGCACTGCCTCTGGTGCTCCCGCGAGCGACGCATCCAAAACTGGGCCCAAGCTATCACTGAGCAAAAAGCAATCGCGACCTCAGCCCAAGCTGCTCGACATCCGGGCGCGCGGTAAAGTGCCGCCGCGGCCGAAAGGTGTTGGATATGATTCCGAAGACTCGGATACGGAGAAGGATCCGGCGATACAACAAGCACTCATACTGCGCATGGAGGCGGGACCCGATGCCGACTACTTGCGAAGTGCCATTACCGAGGGCAGGATTGGACCACATCCCAGTCAGGGAGACGCAGAGGTGTCGTTCAAATTCATTGAGCGGAATTACAGACGCGCCATGATCAAAATACAGGGCAGGTGCTATGCTGCAGCGCTGGTAGACTTGCCTTGCGTGGTGGAGTCCATGAAGAGCTTTGATAAGAAGGGGTGGTGGAAAGTAGCCGATATTGCACAGATGTTACTTGTGCTGGGACGATGCGAGACGGAGGAGCAGGCAAAGATGATGCCTCTCCCGAGAGAGGTGAACAAGGATACCTATCAATACGCACATGGACTGACGCCGCCGATGCATTGGGTACGAAAGCGACGATTCCGAAAAAGATTGAATTATAACGAGGTTCTAAATGTGGAGGAGGAGGTGAACCGATTATTACAGGCAGATAAAGAGTGGGAAGAGCGCGGAGGAAAAGTCACGAGCGCGCGAGCGGGCGATGCACAACAGCATGAGCAGGGAATGCAAGACTTGCCGGAGGAAGATGACGAAGCAGATGGTGATGAGCAGGGGGCCGATGGAAATGGATACCACTTCAATCTCGGAGACGAAGACGCCGAAGGAGAATTGGACGATGCGGTGGAAACGGTCGAACACGACGAGGAAATGGAAGAAGGAGATCCCGACCTCGAAGCAGGGCTCCAAGCCATGTTTGACGAAAACGAAGACGAAGGCGCAGGAGACATGTCACAACTCGTCTCCGACTCTCCCGCTCCCATTGTGGACCAAGCAGCTTCGATGACTGGTGTGGAGCACGCACTGCAGCCGCAGCAGCATCCACAACTACAACAACACCATCCATCCGACATGGACGCCACCCCAGTCGGAACGCCGGCGGGAGAGATGACGGAAGAGCACTCTGACGACGAAGGTGAAGAAGAAGAAGATGATGATGAAGAAGACGAGGAAGACGAGTCCGATGACGACGACGACGACGATGCAGATTCTCCCGATGTGGTGGATGAAGATGCGGCAGCCAAAGCAGCAGAACGTGCGCAGCAGTTGGAGGAAGTGGCCGACTTGCAACGAGAGGTGGAGAAGGCTCGCAGCAAGGTGGCAAGTATGACGAATCAGCTGTTGGCGCAGCGGGAGAAGAAGAAGTTGTTGGCGTTGGAGGAAGAGCTGAATATGAAGAAGCAAGTCTTTGGATTGGATTTGGAGGATTGATTCCTCTCAGGCACCTGAGATGCTTTACAACTTGGGGAACAGTACAGTAGAGTGAAGCAAACAACAAACCATGATTGGGTTGCAAGGAATGGCCTTTTCTACCTCATCAGGATAAGGCACCCTATCTTTACCCAGGGTAGTATACCTGGATATGCTAGTATCGGTATATACGCCTCAAATGTAGTTTGCCAAAACAGATCAAGGAAAAGATAAGAAAAGAAAAAGAGAAAAGTGTCTTGCGACATGCAACAACAGTCAAGTCAAGTCAAATCATCGTTATCATTCATTAATCTCCTACTACCTTAGGTATTTATCTTCCTAGGTAGGTAGGTAGGTACGTGTAGGTAGGTAGGTGTGTAGGATATATCTCCCACTGGGATTTTCTTTCCCCATTCATTCTTTCTTTCAGTCCGCCCGCCCGCCCGTAGAATTGGAGCTCTTCTCCTCTTCTTCTTCTTCTCTTCTTCATCATCCTCTCCCAAGTCCATAGCATTTCAAAAAGAAAGCAAGCTCTCTTCTAAGTACTTTTTTTTATCATCATCTCAATTGTAATTTGTACTGGCTTTTTTTTTCAAGTTCTGGTGTCGTGATGTTGATGTTGATGTTGATGGGAGGTGTCGAATTTCTACCCTTGGTGAGTAGGTACTAAGTCGTCGTCGTAGAAGAAGAAGTTCCATTCGTAGAAGAAGTAGAAACGACTTTTTCCAAAGCTTGTAAAATGTCTGCGACGAGATCTTCAGAGTCCTGTGTGGAAGAAAGAAAGAATGTCAGTATATCTTGTATATAATGAGAAAAGAGGAAAGGAAGGAAAGAAGGCAAAAAAAAGAAAAATCTCACCTCAACCCCACAAGAAATCCTCACCAAATCATCAAACACCCCCGCAGCCTCTCTCTGCTCCTTAGGAATTCCCATATGCGTCATACTCGCAGGAACCTCAATCAAACTCTCCACACCACCCAAACTCTCCGCCAACGTAAAGATCCTCGTCGCCTCACAAAAGCGATTTGCAGCAGAATTTCCTCCTTGAATCCGAAACGACAACATGCCCCCTCCCATACCATCGCGATGTTGACGGAGTGCAATCGCGCGTTGCGGATGATTCTCGAGACCGGGATAGTTGACTGCGAGAACGTGTGGGGAAGCGTGGAGAGCGGAAGCGACAGCGGTGGCATTGCGAGTAGCTTCTCGGGCGCGCAAATGGAGAGTTTTGAGGCCGCGGTGAGCGAGCCAGCAGTCAAAGGGGCTAGGCACGGCTCCGATGGCGTTTTGGAGGAATTTGAGACGGTCGTGGAGAGAGTCGGAATTGTAGGCTGCGACGCCCATGAGGACGTCGGAGTGGCCGTTGATGTATTTGGTGACGGAGTGGACGACAATGTCGGCGCCGTGGGAGAGGGGGTTTTGGATATATGGGGACATGAAAGTGTTGTCGACGACGACGAGGATGCCGTGTTGGTGGGCGATGTGGGCGACGGCGCGGATGTCGACGAGGGAGAGGGTCGGGTTGGAAGGGGATTCGATCCAGATGAGTTTGGTCCGGTCGGGTTGGATCATGCTGGCGACGTCGAGTTCGATGGAGGGAGAAAAGGTGACTTGGACGCCGTGGGCAGAGGCGACTTTGGTGAAGTAGCGATGAGTGCCGCCGTAGACGTCGGAGACGGAAATGACATGGCTTCCTGCAGCGAGACTCTGGAGGATAATAGCAGTGGTGGCGGAGCCAGAGGAAAAGGCGAGAGCGTATTTGGCCTGTTCGAGGGCGGCAATGGAAGTCTCAAAGTTCCATCGGTTGGGGTTGGAGGAGCGCGTGTATTCGTGCTCGCCGACGGGTTTGCCGACAGAGGTTTGCGCGTAGGTGGTGCTGAGGGAGATGGACTCGATGACTGCGCCCGTAACAGGATCGTGGGGCGAGCCTGCGTGGACGGCGAGAGTGCCAAACTTGTGGACGGGCGATGGGGCTCGTGGAGGCGTCTCGATGGGCGCATGGCCATTGATGATCTTGTTAAGGCCTGGGACCGTCATTTTCGTCGTCTTGTGTGTTTGTGTGTGTGTGTGTACGTGTGTGTGTCGCGGAAGGTGGTAGTCTGGTAGAGGATCTTCTCTTTGTTTTTGTCCTCTTTTTTTTTCCTCTTTTTCTTTCTTTTTTTTTGTCGTTGTTTTTCGCGTCGGTTCACGTCGGTTTTATGGAGTAATCAATATTTTAGCTGGGCGGGTGCAACAAGGATTGATGACCTCCACTAGTATCGTTGGTGACATGGACCAATGCCCGATGATGATTAATGACCACGAGACGTTGTACTATATGTAGTGACTAGTATAGTACAAATCCACCCAGTGCGGCGTGCCTGTAGGTCGCCGGTCGGTACAACGCTGGGGGGATATACAGGTCAGGTACTTTTATATATACCTACTTGGGCGACAATGGCGTGCTGAAGTTTAAATAATACACGTACTGTACCTCTCAGCTCTCAGCTCTCAGCCTTGTATTTCACTTGAGCAGCTGACTGTTCAGTCTCGTGAATGCCTTGATCAGCCACATTTCTCACTACTATACACACGTGATTGTCATGAGCATTTATTGATTATTAACTGGACACATGTCCAACAGTCCAGGTCATTTATTCAAATTGTCCCTGAAATCTCCTATCTCCTGATAAGGTACCTACCTACTTGTACTACCTCCTGAGTCCTACTGTCCTAGGAGATATTTGAAAGTTAAAAGTTCAAAGTTAGAAGGATAAATTATAAATGTTGGTTTCGGACTCCAGCTCCTTTTTCCCGTCTACGAATCGTAAATGCCAAGCACATTCCTAGTCGCCTCTTGATCAGTCTTTCTGCACCTAATCGTAGTTGGGGAGTTAGGGCTAATTAGGAGGTAAGGTACCTGGTAAGGTAGTTTGAAGATCTAGTTCAATAATCAGTTCCCGTAGTAATCATGAAATCACCCCCCGTCGGACATGGCCGTGCCCCTTTCCGTTCGTGACCTTGTTTGTTCTGTCTTGATTGGGATCTTTGCGACACCTTACACTGCCCAGCTTACAGCCCTTACTTGTTACCGTACACGTGGACACGAATTATCATCACCTCCCTTACACGACCTGACCTCTACAGTGTACCTTACATGCACTGCTCTCAGTGTCCGACCCTTTCTTTTCTTGTGTGAGGCAGCGGCAGACACACACATTCTTTATTGTTGAATTAATATCGTCTCGCCAGAGGGGAAGTGGAAGTGGAAGTGGAAGAAGAAGAACAAGAAGAAGAAGAAGAAGAAGAAAAAGAAGAAAAAGAAGAAAAAGGAACATGCCTCCTCCTCCTCCCTCGGCCAGGATGGTGCAGCTGCTTGTCGCCACCGCCCTCGTATTCCTCTTCACCGGCGCCTACTACTTGCTTACTCCGACTTCACTGGGCACCGACCCTCTCACCACCACCACCGCCACCACCGCCACCACTGTCCGCTGGCACCACACCGCCCCGCTGCCACCCGCCCCCAACATCACCCTGGACATTGACATTCTCAAGCAGCTCCACGTCCCCAACAACTTCACCTACCAGAGACACTGTATCCATGCCCGAGAGAAGACGGGCTTGCACCGCGAGTCCATTGTGGATATCCCACATCCGCTGTTCCATCATGACCAATTCCAGGAAATCGCTCTCGACGAGCGCTTCGAGCCCGACTCCAGCTATCCAGCCATCTTACCGCCATGCCACGCTGCCATTGAGATCGAGGTGCCCGACTTCCGCTCCCATGCCCACACCAGCACACGCGCTCTGATGCTGGGAGTCGCCACCACCATGAAACGCATCGAAGATTCTCTGCCCACCTTTTCCCGATGGCTTTCCAACACCGGATCACCTCTCGTCGTCCTGTTAGTCGACCAGACCGACCTGAAAAATGTCGAAGAGGACATCCTCCGCACGCAAGCCCAGGCCGAGGCACTTGCCATCGAGCTCATCTTCGAGCCCTATCACCACACATTCGAGCACGACAGCGAGGGACTCAAGAATTTCGGTCTCGCCACTGTTCTCGACAAGAATCGACGCGAGGAGACCAGGTGGTTTGGCATCATCGATGACGACACCTTCTTCCTCTCGCTGCAGCGCATGCTCGAGAACCTCGCTCCCTACTCCCCGGAATCGCCCTGGTATATTGGAGCTCTCACCGAAGGCCACACCAGAGTCGCCAAGGAAGGATTCAAAGCATGGGGTGGCGCCGGCTTCTTCATCTCTCCGCCCCTGATGCGCACTCTGGCCGAGCATGCCATTGAGTGCACGCGCTTGGATCAGTTCTTTGGCGATCTCCTCTGGCGTGACTGCATTCAAGACGTCACCTCGCCCACCGTGCACTTGACCGAGATGCGTGGTCTGAATCAAATCGACATGTGGCACGACATCTCGGGATGGTATGAGGCCGGCTTCAATCCCATCCTCACCGTGCATCACTGGAAGAGCTGGCACTTCTACCCCGTCGCCGTGGGTCACATCGTGGCCGATGTCGCTGGTCCAGATTCTTTTCTCCAACGCTACCAGTTTGGTAACCAAACCGTCTTTACCAATGGTTTCAGCATCGCCGAATATCCCCATGGCATGCCAGACTTGAATCTGGTCGAATTGACCATGACAGAGGACGTCAACGTCGTCCGTGCACCACCGCAGCTGGAATTTCATCACAGCATGGGCCATACTCGACCTGCTCTGGAACTGGGACAGGACAAGATTCAGTGGAGATTTGAGTATGCAGTCCAGACTTCGGACGGTATCGTGAGGCAGTTTTACACGAAACGAATGAATGATGATCGAGATGTCAGCATTATCGAGATTGACTGGCGGCATACGTGATTTGCTGCCATTCCGCCACGGAAGAGAAAAGACGAAGGAATTAAAACTCGCCACGCGGCACTATGAATTGTACTCTGTGTCTCCACCAGAGACGACTACGACAACAGAAGAGGCTGCTTTCGGAGCCAAAAAACACTCTCTCTTGGGCTCTCGAACCGCGATGCCAGTCTCACCCACACACGTCATTCACGACAATGTCAGAGCTATAGGCGATAAAGAATACGGAGACGGAAGTGTATTTCTGGGCTGGTTCCGAGAATTCATAAATCTGCCTCCATGAATGCCAAATCAGTCAGCTCTATAGGATGAAGGAAGAGCAGAAAGGGAATGTGAGAGAGGCGAGAATTTAAAGTCTACGGCAAGATGATGTTGATTTGAGAATTGCCAAGTCGAGAGGGATGTGCGAATGTGCGCATGTGTGAGTGTCTGTTGTGGGCTTGTATGTTTACGTGGAAGAGAGAGAGAGAGAGAGAGAGAGAGAGATGACATGATACCCTTTGTTCAATTTTGGGCAGCAAACAAGCATATTTTATTCACCTACCGGCGCAGCAGCCACGGCGTACACGTTAGTCTTAATGAGGTACTGAGGTAGTAATACACGACGAGTGACAAACTTCAATTGAAGAAGAAGGGGAAGGAAGAGAGTGTGTTATTACCTCCGTAGGTACCTAGGTAGGTATCTTGTACTAGGTACCTAGGTTATGTTATGTACCTAACACAACATCGATCGATAAATTAAACAAACCAATATAAGTAATCCAAGCAAAGCAAAGCAAAGCAATCCAAGCAATTACATTACAGTACCTATACTTTATCTAAAACAACCAATCAATCAATCGATCGATATTGATATCGGTATCGATATCGATACATTCCAAACTTACATAACTAGGAGTCTACCTAGTAAACTAACATGTACGTATACAATAGATAAACAAACAAAGGAAGAAAGGAATCAAGTTCTAAGGAGTACGGTAGGGGAAAATAGGAAGAATGCTTAGGAGAGAGAAGAAGAAAAGAAACCAAGTTGAGATCCTCCTATTCTTCTTTACTACCTGAGGTACTTTACCTTAGTCTAAAAATACCTACTACCTAGGTACCCTATTTGGTACTGATATGTAGGGACTTTAGTTACTGGGACTTAGACTTGGGACTTTACTTAATCAGTCCAGTAAGTCAGTCAGTCAGTCAGTCAGTTTTATGCTCCTCTCTCTCTGAAAAGAACGAGAAAGAAGGAAACACCACAAGCCAAATATGCATTTCCGGAAAAAGTGCACTCTCTGTAACTTCCAACTCCACCATGCAAAGCGTTCCCCCTTGCCTCCCTGCTGCTGCTTGGAGATGAATCATCATCATCCATCATCTTGATGAGATCACCTCAAGTACGGTCTTGTCTTCTTCTCAAATTCCTCGTCCTCCGCATCAGCTTCTTATACTTGTGCTTCTTCATCTTCAACTTGCGTTGCCTCTTGACTGAAATGAGTAGCATCCGGTTGAGCCGGGCCGCGCTAGGAGCATTTCGGATGAATGCAGGCCTGGAGGACGACGCTCTCCGCTCGTGTTGCTGTTGACGCCGCTGCAGGAATGCTCGCTGGTTGCGGTACATGCGCTCCCGGAACCCACTACGACCCTGCTGCTGCTGCTGTGCGAGTGGGTATCCCTCAATGGCTGGTGTCACACTTTCCTGGCCTTCGGGGATGCGGACGAAAGGCGAAGTCGATGCCGTGTACGTGGTTTGGCCACTTTCGCTCGTGGATTCTGTGATCAACATGGTGGTCGCGTAACGCGTCTGTTTTGGTTTTGATGTGCGTTGCTTCTTCTCTGTTGCAGCAGCAGTCTTGAGCTGATGTTCAGGGAATGGCTCAGGTGGTGGAGGAGCCTCAAATGGCCTGAATTGTGCGACCATCTCTTCCAGAGTCTTGAGGCGTGGTGATCCGTCAAGATGTTTCACTCCGTTTGCTTCTGACATTGACGCGGAGCTGTCCTGGATCACCTCCCATCGTACGCCGTCTTCTTCTGCCTGCTGTCCTGACGATCGGGTGTTCATGTCCTCAAAGAGGTGGCGCAGTGCGTAGACTACATCCTCGGGTCTTCGCTCGGCCGAGTTGCCATTCTCCCACGGATCTCGTTGCTTTTGAGACACAAATATGCTGTCAAAGGTCGCGGGAGTGGAAGGAGGCGGTATCGTCGTGGTCAACGACAGCGGTCGATGGAGGGAGAAGAAAGATGACATGCCGAATTCTGTTTGAGAGTGGCACACATGAGTATGTGATCGGTTGATAGGGTCGAGGTGGACTTACCAGAACTTGACATTTGCATGCCCGGTACCGCAGGAAGTCCAGCAAACTGGTCTTCCTGCTTGTCGGGGACTCCAGCAGGTCGTGAGCGCTTGGAACGCGTGACTCTCTTTGTGCCTCGCTGCGGCTGCTGCTGCTGCTGTTCCTGCGCTGTCGAATCTGCAATGGCCGCCTTCTCCTCCGCCACCGGCTTGCCATCACTCGCGGGGTCCCCTGGCGGACATGACGATGACGCCTTGCTGCTCGAGTGTCGGCGCTGATGGGGCTGTCGGCGCGCAGCAAGGCACTGGGTGGTGCGTTGGACTGCGCTGGTCGTGCATGTGCTCGATCCGGCCGCAGCGGCGCATGTGCGATTCGCAGCTCGGGCGAGCGATTTGGAGAACATGGCTCTCACTAGCCACAGTGTGAGAGTGGTATGAGGCCCTGGCAGGACTGTAATAAGGTCGGAGGTCCAGGTCCACGGAGGGGTTGCGGTGTGACGATTGGTGAGAAATGGCGCGTGATGGGTGAGGTTGTAGGCTTAGTGTAGGCGGTCTGCTTGCTTTCCCGCTGTTCGCCGTCGCCGACCCAGCCCCCAGCTGTCAAAGAACTGCCTTTTGCAAGCCCTTATCTGATCTTAGGTAGGTACATACTTAGATATCGCAGCAAGATCGTGAACCAGACCTATCTGCAGGCCTGTCAGAACAAAGAAGCACACCCACATATCGTTCTATACCTGCTGGTGGTGGTCACCCACTTCGGGACTGGGCTATCGATCAAGCGCTCTCGGAAGCCCCTTGTTCCGAAAATATAAGTAAAAACATACCAAATACATGTGCCCCAGACACCATCGTCTCTCAAAGTCTATGCTACTCTACTACGGAAGACCCCTATAATTTTATTTCATCTGTCTCGCCAGAAGAACAAGAACAAGCCATGGGCGCATCCACTGCCGAGGATGATCGTAGACGCGAGCTGCCGACAGAAGCAGCGCTGAGCGAAGCTGGCGAGATCATGATCAAAGACAAAGATGGCAAAGAAATTCCTCTCAAATCACTATATACTGGAAAGCCTGCAGATGAACGACAACTACTCATTTTCATCAGGCACTTCTTCTGTGGCGTAAGTGCTTACCTTCCTCGGGGTCTGGAGTGGCAATATCACTGCGATACTACATGTATGCTATGTGAACAGTAAACTTTTCGGAACCATTCATCTCACTCACCGCACTCTGCATGGACTTTGAACATGAGTATGGGTAGGGAAAACCGATCATGCAACTAACAGCACTGCCTTCACCAGTCTTGCGAACAATACATCCACGCCCTCACCCAAGACCTTCACCCGTCAGTTCTCTCCCCAGCCAAAATCAACCTCACGATCATCGGCGACGGCGAGCACATTCTCATAACCGACTACGCCAAACGCACCTCCTGTCCCTTTGAAATCTACACGGATCCTTCTGTTCAAATCTACAAAACACTGGGGATGATCAGTTCCCTCAAACCTGCACCAATTACACCAACGTATCACCAGAAGACCTTTCTGAGAAATGCTCTGGATTCCACGTGGACGGCACTCACGTCGGGACATCCGTTGTCTGCGGGGCCAAGTGCGCAGAATGGAGGGGAATTTCTGTTTCAAAATGGGGAATTGAAGTGGTGTTCAAGAATGGTGAGTTGTTGTCCTTTTTTTTGCTTCTTCTTCCTTTGTGTGTGTGAGAGCGATGGATGATGCAATTTGCTTTAGGAGTGATATACTGACATGAAGACTACCTACCAAAATTCTAGCGAAACACAACCGATCATACGGAGACGGCAGAGTTGAAGGAGATTTTAGGTCTTCAGGCATAAATGAATGAATGAATGAATGATTTCGCTACCCCTAGAGTGATCTCCTTTGTATCTCCTAAGTAGCCGAAGATTCACCACATCTCCTTGAAAACTTCTCAACACCTTACCCTACGAACTGCCCTTTAGTTCAACAGTAAGGTGTCTAGTGGCTAATATATACCTGGCGGCTACTCCCGCTCGATAAAAGCTGTTGTGGCCGAGTGGTCTAAGGCGGTAGATTTAAGTCAGTCTTTGGGACTCCCATTCGTGGGAATCCCCCAAGATATTTGCGTAAACTCTACTGGAGAGATCCGCGCGAGTTCGAACCTCGTCGACAGCAAAGAAGAACGGAATGTTGATACAGTCTTTATTTTTCGATTTTTTTTGTTTGGTAGAGATATATATAGGTGTGAATTGTTCGAACGCTAGCTAGTAGTTAGTAGTGGGGTAATTAATGAATGAGGTAGTGAAGTAGTTTTGCAATATCTTACATATATATGTATGTAGAAGAACGAGTACGTCTAGCGATCCCTATTTGGCCTGCATTGATAGAGGTCTACGACGACGCCGCTACTAGAAGCTATCAATCTCAAGTGTAGTAGCATCGTACGAAGGTTGTGTCTTATACTGCAGAACCGTGATAAGACATGTCTTCTCCAGTGTAACACCAAGTGAAGTCTGATATGTGAGGCCGCCAAATGAATATCTGCACATAGCCTCTTTGTGCCACTGAACTTCGCCTCAATATAGCGCGCCTCAGTCTACTGCGCAATTCGCTTTCCGTAACAGGCTTGCAGATTGCATATGATATACGTCGCGCGCCATTCAATGTTTTTGTGCCTTGCATTGTCGCCCGCGTCTCTGATCTTCTTGATATCTATCTAATGAGCTCAATCAGCTCAGTCAGCTTCATTCTCCAGTATGACCAATAGTCGGCAGCATACTCTGACCTGCCCTTGATTGGCTTTCGAATTGTTACAGAGCAAGTAAACGTCGCCTCAAGTAGCGCATCCGCAAGAACGCAACTCCTTTAAGATCTGCTGGCTGCCTGGCATTACTATCGCGTGCTAGAGCTCGGCTCGGTTGCGATACATCAGCAGCAATACCAGCTTTTCAGAGGCCTCTCTACCTCTACTAAACGTCTTCACCGGCTCTTGGATACGAAGTCCCGCCGCAGCGGCTTCTTCAGTTGGCCCTTAGTGATTGTAAACCAAGGTTATTCTAGATTGTGCTTATACTCGACTTCGGTCTTACATTCGACTTCGGTCTTACACTCGACTTAGGCCTTATACTCGTGGCAGCAGCCTACACTACCGCAGCCAGAACGGTTTTTTCGCTTCGTCGCTACCCTTGACCACGACAATCCACGTGAAGCAGTATAACTGGACTAAACGGACTTGCATCGCAGTAACGCGGGAGCCGAGTGCTGACAATCGGCATCGACCAGTCCAGCTCTAGCGAGAGCCATTCCATGTGTGAGTCTTCATCAACCTCAGTGCAGCATCGCGTGCGCACGGCATGTGACGAGAGCGAGAGCGAGAGAAGGTGGAAGGACTGGAGAGTTGAGCGTTCGAATATAGTGAAGCCTAAAACGAGGCCCACCACACAGCCATGGCAGCGCGTGGGCCGTCCACCAATCATCAGCGACGGGACCGGCCGCTCAGCCACGGGAGGACGAATTCGACCCAGCCAGACTTGCCAGAGCACCACCTTCATCAACACCTCCAGGCCACAACAGTAACACCGTCGCATACCTCCAAGGTCCATAATAAGCATATCACTCCCGCTCCCACTCTCACTCCCAATCCCAATCCCCATCCCCGCCGTGAGTCATGATCTCATTGTGATTGCGCTGCCTGTGCCGCCCAGCCCAGCACTAATCAGATAGTGCCAGCAGTGTCACGCGTCATCTGGCCAACAAATACCCGTCCCGCAAGTCTTGGGCTGATTCAGACTAGTGCTCCGCCTCACACGGACCTGACGGAAGCAAGTAGCGGAGGTACGGATAGCGGGAATTTGCCTGAGGACGGCAGCTGCCTCCACCAGACGACCACCACGAGTACTACTACTACTACTACTGCTACTGCCTCGCCCTGGAGTCCACAACAACCACCCTCGCAGCGACTACTACAACAACAGCAGCACCAACAGCAACAGCAACAGCAGCACCTCGCGTCTGTGCGCGCTCGCACTTTCTCTGAAATTCGGTGGTTGTCGCCACCGCGGAACGACGCGCGGAGTCACCAGGATCCTCCGTCTCTCGCTTTTTCACAGCCTCAGGCCGCGTCGACGTCGCCACTGCTAGGCCACCCTCACGTCCACACATACTACCACTTCGCGACCATTTCAACACCTCTGAGTCTGCACATGTCTCCCTACATGGCCGATCAGATGGCCGATAGCATGGAAACCATGCAGACGCCAGTGTCTCCCGTTAGCGCGCAAAGTTCGCCTCACGACACGACCATGGGCGATCAACAGCAGCAGATTACCAGGAAGCGATCGCATTCAGTCATGTCGCAACAGCATGCCACTACAGAACCTCATCCAGCACACAGCCGAGCGCCTTCAATACACTCTCAGACCGGCGTTGCAGAAGACTTCTCGCCCCGAGGCTCTCGCGCCTACAAGCGTGGCGATCCTCCCACGAACGACCAGGGCAAGTATATCTGCGATTATGGCGACGAGTGCTTTGGTCAGATCTTTGATCGAAAATGCGAATGGAGGTCAGTTCCCACGCACGCACGCTTTCGTCTTTTATTTTCCTGTTCAAAGCTGACCGGAATTCACAGCAAGCACATGGACAAGCACGATCGGCCCTACCGCTGTCCGCACCCCTCTTGCGCGAAGCTCCAAGGCTTTACGTATAGCGGAGGTCTCTTACGTCACGAGCGGGAAGTGCACGGCAAGCATGGAGGGCCCAAGTCGCAGTTGATGTGCCCATTCACAGATTGCAAACGCCATTCTGGAAAGGGTTTCACACGAAAGGAGAATCTCAACGAGCATCTTCGGCGCGTACATCAAGGCAAGGAAACCGTCTCACAACAAGATCCTTTACTCGAGCGAAACAGCGCTGAGGTTGCGCCTGGTGCTGATGGTGACGAGACCCAAATGAGCCATCTGTCCACCGGCGTAAAGCATGAGATGTCACAGCTTGCAACCGGTGTGAAGAGAAAACGCTCGATGCCACCTCAATCTCAAGACGAGTATGGTGCATCACATCTGGTCGAGACTTCGGAACAAGAACTCGCACGACTTCGTGCAGATAATGCGCTCCAAGCCGATCGTATCCGACAATTGGAAGCAACAGTAGCGATGAATGCCGAGGAGATGCAGCGCCTCAAAGAAACTATGAATCTTTGGGCACAGCAGACGGGCGGTCAAAATCATCACGTTCAGCACGAGCAGCAACAACAGCAACAACAACATCAACAACATCAACAACACCAAGAGCTTGATCACCAGCAACATGAAGAGCACCATCAACAACAAACAGAAGAACATCATCATCATGATCATCATCATCCATTTGCTCAGCACCAGCAAATTGTCGAACAACTGCTCGAATACGCACAGCCGCAAGATGCAGAACAGCAGCAGCATGAGGATCAAAAGTTTGCAGAACAGCTCGCCCAGCAGGCAGAACCGGTGGTTCAGCAGGAGAACACCTTGGCAGCTGAAGTCAAAGCGGCTTTCGCTGCACAAGAGGCCTAGTATGCGTCGAGTGCAGCGGGTCTGTCGTTGGGATGATGAGGGCTCTTGGGAGGTCTTGACGGCTCAAGACAAGCGTGCCATCCATCTCCCATATACGATGAAGGCTTTTCTCTGGCAGAGCGTGCGAATGGGCGTCGTCCCGTGTCCCACCCTACCCACCTACCTGAGTTTTTGGAAAAAAAAATATTGGTTGGAGGAAGCTCGATTCTTGCTGCCTGCCAGTGAGGCGCAGCAGTAGCAGCTAGCTGCTTGGTCTTCTTGTTCTTGGTTGTCTTCGCGTTTGGCGGCTTTTTGTTTTTACTTACCTAAGGTACTTTAGGTACCCACTCGCCGACCTCACAATATACCCCCCTTTTTTGAACTCCCCCAAATCAACGAATTGTTGGTTGGTTGATTAATTGATTGATAGTAAACCCAGTACCTTGGTACTCGTATTCCATTCTCTGTTGTTTTTTTTTTCTTCTTTCTTTCACGTGCAAATATCGTTCATGTACCTGGTAGGATCCCTGTATATATTTTTGTTGTTAAAAATACTTGAAAAGGGGGCGCATGCTGCTGCTTCCTCGGAAGGAGGAGGAGAGATAGGGAGGTAGGTATGGGAAGGAACTGATCAAACTTCCTTGCACTGTGGGACTGTGGGGTTTTCAACGTCTTAGGTAGGTAGGTAAGGTAGGTAGGTAGGTAGGTAGGTAGGTACATGTAGGTACCAAGCCCGAGCCCGAGCCCCAGAGGTGACGACGACGATGATGATGATGACGATGACGATGATGATGATAAGACAGGAGTTTTGGTCGCGAGAAAGATGCCTAATGTACTATAAGATAAGGGAAGGGATGAGAAGGAAAGGGGAGGAAAGGCAAGGTAAAGCAAGGTAGTTAGGTAATTAGGAAGATCTGAATGAGGTGAGTGAGTGAGTGAGTGAGTGAATGAGAGAAGAGAGGTCCATACATGCACGCAACTCGGCAGTAAAGAGCTAAAACGGTCGATACGTGTAGCTCTCCTGCTGTGCGGGCTTTTCCCAATGATGATAATCATCATCAGCGTCACAGATCTCGCCCACCATATCAGTCAAGCCTTCCAATCCATCTCGAATTTCCTGCTTACGCGCCTCTTCTGCTAGTCGCTCTTGCTCCTGCTCTTGTGCGAGCAACACCATCTCTCGATCAATGACTTTGTACATTTTTTCTGCCATGGCTCTGTTCTTGACTTTTTCGTCGTCGAGCCTTTTGCTGACTATTCGCAGCTCGGATGCAATCTCGCGTGTCCAACGAGGCTCGGGGGGCGTAAAAAAATTATTATTATTCCCTGCTTTGGCTACTGCGGCTGGAGCGTGTTCAGCACTTCCGCCTTCGATGCCACTTTGTTTGTACATGATATCGTCCCATTGATCTTCGAGACTCGCGACCTGTAGCTCGGCTTCTAAACGGTGTCGGAGATTGTGGCGTTTCTGTCGTTGCTCGATGCGCGAGTTGAGATAGCCTGTCAAGGCTGGTGATTGAGGCTTCTTGAAACGGAGCACGGGAATGACATTGGCGCTGAAGATCTTGGGAATTTGTCGTTTTCCCGTCCCCCCGAGCTGGTCATGGGGAATGGCACGTTCGAAGATCGAGGTGCGGCTGGGAGAGGTATCGCGTGGGGCGATTTCTGGTTGACAAAGCAGTGGATCACTCGGAGCAGTGCCTTCAGCGGCGACTGGCGGAGGAAAAGGCTCGTTGTAGTCGTCACTGACGGAGTTTCTGCTCTTGATTCTGCCCGCCGCGCTGTGGGGCGCCCGACAAACCAAGTCCAATATATACTGCTTGCTCTTCTTGTCACCCGCAACGGCAGCGTCCAGACGGTCCACGGCCTCGTAGCCGGCTTCGAACAATAGCTTGAGCTCGCGGTGGGAGGTGGTGTGTCGAAAGGAATCGAAGCGATGCCTGACCAGATGGAGCAGTTGGCGGCCGCGCTCGGCGGGAATGTCTAGCTGCGTACATTGCGAAACGAGGGCGCGGTATAGGGCGATGGCAGCCAGTCGGTGGGCGCCCGATCGGTGGGCAACAAGGAACTTGGGCATTCAATCATCTCGTGGTGCATACCTTGTCGATGTATAACACTTCTAGAGCTGGACAACCCTGCATCAGATATGGAGAAGTTCGTCCTTGATGACTAAGCGATGCTTTCGACGGGCTCCGACTAACATCTACAGTACCTACTAGATACAGCATGAATCCAGTATGTACCTACCCCTGAAACAACAGACTTCACTTACCATCGACATGCTGCGCTAGCGGCACCAGCGGCTTGTGGCAGACAGCATGGAAGCATACCCACCCGACTATGTCCAGCACAATTTGCCACTTGTCTTGGTGTCAGGCTTCGGGGAATTAGACAACGATGGCTCGCCTCCTGGCCGACAAGAATATGGTGCTCGTATATCAACGCAGTCCCCAGAATGCCTTTCCGACCAGGCAAAGCGTCTCCTTCAGGGTCTGAGGGCTTTAGACGGCACTGGATGTGCTTGGAACTCTACAGCCTTGCCAGGATCCACCGGGAGTGTCCGTTACCAGATCAAGACCGTTGGCAGGTCGTATACTCTACCTGCACGGAAGGCTGCTCCATTACCAAAGGTACCTGGATCAGAGTCTCCTCCTGTCGCTCGGAATGCTGAGCTTCATTCTCCATTGTCTCCGCTGTCGCCAGGCTCTCCCGTGTTTCCAGACGGCGTCTTTACACCGCTATGGCTACATAAACATCAGCACCAAGTCCCGTGCCTCTTTGTGGCTGTCTTTCAGATTCGAGCAAACGAGGCCTCGCAGGACGAGCGCCTGAGAGGAGATATCAACGCCATCAAACATGCCCTGACACGGTCAATGTTCAAGACACGTCTCGCTGTAATTCTCATCAGTGATCGTAGTATCCTTGATGCGCCTGATCTCGAAGATCGGATAGCAGTGATACGCAGAGCGGCGGGTCTCGATTCTAAAACAGGTCTTTTCTTTATGCCGCCAATGTCTGCAGAAGCGGAAATCACAATATTCGTGCAAGATATGATGCGATTGCTACAGCCATCTTGTATAGAGTACTACAGAGATCTGACGAAGCGTGCTCGACGGAAGAAGGCGAGGGGCGGGCCTCCTCCTCTTTCTGGTACTCCAGTTGGAGGTGCATCCCAAGCTACAACCCAGTCGGGATGGAATGTGCGCTATGAGGTCAAACAAGGCGTCTTTGCCGAGTTCAGACAGGAAATGGATGTGGCAGAGCGACATTTCTCTGCGGCTCTGGAGGAGCTCTTCACCACTGAAGGTGGTGTATTCGAGACGACTTCGAATTGGTCTCCACGATGGGACGAAGTGAGATTGCTGTCGGATGCAACTGCTCTACGTATATTGCGTTGTCAGCTTTGGAATGGCCAAACTACAAGGGCCGTGCAGTCGTGGGTAAACTACAAGAGCCGCGTGCGGGATCTGCTCGACAGACGTGGAAAGGGATCCGCAACCTATTGCTGGAACGCATGGGAGAGTCAATGGGCGAATATCATGTCGCAGCTCGTCCAGCTCGCAGACATAACTCCGCTGCGCAAGTCACATGACACCGGGAGCGATCAACCAGGGGTTCAAGTGTACGCGCAACCAGAAAAGGGAGCAGCAATAGGGGAACGACTGCCTGCATGGTATTCTCTCCATCATTCCGGTTATTGGCTTCGACTTTTCGCCAAAGGCATACGTGCTCGCTGGGAGAAGGCGTTGGCCATTCCAGAAGAAGATCGTGTGCCTCCAGGTCAGTCACCAGCGTCTTCGGTAGCTAATCGGTGGCAAACATACGACTCGTACCTCGTCCCAGATCCACATCAGGAAGCACCATTGTCAGGAGAAGGTGCCTACGATCATGTCACTGAGCTCGGAAGAGCTTGTATTCGAGCTGCGGAAGAGTTTGAAGCGCGCCAACAAGCTCGAATGAGTGAGCAAATCAAGCTGGAGCTGGCGGAGGACCTCATCGATGCTGGGAGTCGATCAGATGCTCTGCAACTGCTCACAGTGCTGTGGGAAGAATCCACGTGGCGAGCCGACGACTGGCACATACCGTTCAGGCGCTTGCTGCTCATGCTTTTAGGATGCGCACGGCACGACCAATCACCCCAGCTCTCATCCACGATACCTGCTGTGGTCTGGGAACTGCTTGCGATTGCGCATATCGATGCCCCAGATACGACTCTTGACCTGACCAACTGTTTGCATGATCGACAAGGGGAAGAGCCCATCTCCTTGACATTCACTGATAAAACCAGGCTCTGCCCATTCACCACTCATTTCGCATTTGGCACTCTGAGCAGCTATGTCGGCGAAGCACAAGAATGTCAGTTGACGTTGAAGCTCAATGCTCCGCCAACTACTAAGCCGCTCCAGATTTCATCTGTTGCAGTGAAGCTCGGCAACAAGCAGGTGATCATCCGCCACGACGGAGCAGAATCGGATGTTGCAATTGCAACGCCACTGCAGTCACTACAGTCAATGCGAGAGCTCGACGATGGCAGTTTGGAGTCATCAGCAGATCTACGATTCCGCCCACAGACTGCCAAAACGCTAGAGTTTGCCGTCATGCTACGAGAAGCTCGTGTATGTGATGTCGATGATGTTGTGATCCATGTCGAAACATCAAAGTTTGCCCTGCGACATAGATTGTCACAGGAAAGCATCTTGCCCACGAACCGATGGCGTATCGCAAAGGACGGCGTCATGGACACTTTCTTGCTTCCACATATGGACTCACGTTTCATGGCCATCCATCCTAAACCACCAAAAGTACAAATCGCGCTTCAAGACCCGCGAATACAGTACTTCACGGATGAGCATATCCGCCTCAGCATCAAACTATACAATGGAGAAGCCGAAGCTGTGACAGGCGCCATCACACCCCGGATCGAGAGCACCGATGATGATCAGGCGCTCGACCTCAAGTGGGCAGGTGACGAGCCACCATTTGACATCACAAAAACCGTCTCTAACCTCGCCGCCTCTGCGATTGTGATGGTAGAACTTTTCGTCTACGCGCCACCTGAGGCAACTACAGTAACATTGGCCTTGGATATGCAATACACGCTGGCATCAGATCCTGGTACTACATTAACGAAAACAACATCGATTGATCTAAAGATTGTGCCTGCTTTCGAAGCTAAGTTCACGTTCGCGCCTCGATTACATCTGGATCCTTGGCCGAGCTACTTCTCGGCGCCCTCTACCACAGAAGACGTTCTAGATGGCGTGAAACAATTGTGGCACCTTGGAGCTCAGTTATCTTCTCGTACAGATCAAGAAATCCTGGTGCGAAAAGTGGAACTCGCGGTTCATGAAGTGCAGGGAGGCGCGTTGTGTACCATCGGAAATGCGATTCAGGAGAAGGAAGAAGAAGAAACACTTTCTCTCGGTCCAGGAGAGAAAAAGGTGTCCGACTTCCAGCTGACAACACAGAAGTTCTCCCTCGACGACAGACGACCTACCCATCTCGACCTATCATTGATTGTGACGTGGTCGACGACCACAGGCTCCGCAGCCGAGGAGGCAGCAGAAACCATCATCGCAGCACCTCGTTTGACGATTCCAACGACCGAGCCCAGAGTATTGTGTACCATCTCGCAGAGGGAGAAGACGAAGAATGAAGAGTACCACATATTACAATACCATCTCGAAAACCCTTCGACCCACTTCCTCACTTTCGCTGTGACGATGGAGGCTAGTAATGAGTTTGGATTCAGTGGACATAAATACCGAACGATGAGTTTGGCTCCTCTGAGTCGACATCATGTCGAGTACCGATTGCTGCTACACGAGGAAGTCGAGGAGGGGCGTTGGATCAAGCCGAACTTGCAGGTTGTGGATTCTTATTACAATAAGAACTTGAGAGTGAATCCGGGAGGGCAAGGGGTTCAGTTGGGTAAGGAAGGGGAGATTATGGTGTGGGCAGGAGGAGTACCTAGTGGGGAAGAGGGACGGACGTAAGAGATGAGGGTGAGAGTGAACTGAAGGGCGACCGGCCAATGATGCAAAGGCAGCAGAGTGAAGCTGAACAAGGTGGAATATTTCCGCCAGTGGGCGGAATATCAATCCTCAAGTGAAGCAGTAAGGTCAGGTATATAACCAACGTGATAGTGGAGGTTATAGTAATTGATACCTGTATGCACATGCACATGCATATGCTATACCCACACGCTGCCGCTGCCCTGCTCCCCGAACCATGTTACCTCCTACCACTGGAAGCTACCTCGTAGTCTTGTGATAATCACATGTTCTGCAGATCCCCTCCCCTGTTTCCGCCGGTAGATGCCGCACGGCAAGCGCCGATCGAAATGGCGTCAGCGTCTGCGAGCGAATGGATGCAACGCGTGCTCCAGATTTTCAATACAAATCTCTACTGTAGTACCCAGCCAAAAAACGCGATGAACGAAGAACAGGCATCCAAATTTGCGCTACATGCGGCATGTCGCGAGGGTCAGAGTAAGCAAGCAGTCAGAAGAAGAGACTCAAGAAGGAGGTAAGGAAGGATGAAAGCGGGGCTATCTTTCTGACGACAATATGTCCATTTCTTTCTTTTAGCACGACAGGTGGAATTTCTCCTCGACAACGACCAGAAACTTGCCGCGAAACGCGACGATGATGACCGACTCCCTCTACACTGGGCTGCCTCTTACAACCGTCTTCCCATTGTAGAGATCCTGCTCGGTGTGAAGGGCTCCGACGTCGACGCACAGGATGGTATTGGATGGACAGCGTTGATGATGGCCGCCAGTCTGCGAGATGGCGAAGACATGGTGGAACTTTTGCTCAACAAAGGTGCGGATGCCGATATGAAGAACCACAACAACCAAACCGCGCTCTTCTTCGCAGCCTCCAAGAATAACTTGGACGTGGTCAAGAAACTCATCGCCCATAAAGCGAGTGCGCGAGTGAAAGATAAACGTGGACAAGTACCTCTCCACAGAGCTGCTGCCATCGGCAGTATCCCCATTGTGAAGCTGTTACTGCAACATCGCAGCCCGGTCGATGCTACGGATGTGGATGGCGCAACAGCCCTGCATCACGCCATTGCAGAGGGACATGGGCAAACGGCGGTGGAATTGTTAAAAGCAGGCGCCGACTCGTCCAAGAGGGATAGCACTGGTCAGTTGGCTCTGCAGCTTGCGCCGGATCAATCTATCCGGAATTTCGTACTGCGAATGGCGGAAGAGGAAGGTATCGAGCTTACGAAGTCGTGATGAGAGCACTGCTGTGCCCTGCCCTACCTTGAAGATCGCGGTGTGAGACTCGGCAGGGAAAAAAATGTGATGCAAATGCATGTAGGGAACCTGCATCAAAGGTTACTACCTCCCTACCTGACCTTACCTACTCATGATTCCTGGGTGTACAAGCGGGTCTACCAATTTTGGAGATTCCGCGCGGAACCATGCTTTACTTTTTCTGATGTTCATCCAGTAACTTCGTACCTCTATGCGGGAGAAAGAGTAAGATAGCTCCCATTTTCTTAATGCCTCACATCGGCACATAGGTGTACATAGGTACATATATGCCTCAAAACTACATGTACCTACCTACCTTACCTACCTTACTCGCTGATCGTCCCTCTTTGCAGCTCAAGAGAAACTACAATGTACCCCTACCTTAGGTAACTTCGGATCTAGCTAGGTTTCTAGGGTGCCATTTGGTGAGGAGGCTGTCCGGTCATTCTTCCGCGATTGAACCCAACCCCAGCTTTTGGGTATCCCCCCAGTATGAGAGGTATTGATGAACCATGTAGCCAGCCAGCTACCTCCTAGCTTATTAGTGGTGCTGCAAGTCATGTGAGACAGTCAGTCCATTGACAGGTTCCGAGCAGGAAAATATGCCGCTCGCTACCCGTGTCGTGCGTTCGGCATGCGATGGGTGATGCACCAGACAGAAAGAAAGAGGAAGAAAAAAATCTTTTATTGATTGTTGTGGGGTGGGTGGCAAGAAAGTACATATGCCATGCCCGTAAATGCAGGTTCTACTCTTGGCTTGCCCGGGAACGGTCGGTCCATCCTCATCCAAGCCTTTGGTATATGAGCCAAGCTTGCCGCAATTGCCTAGAATTGACTACCTCCTACCTCCTAAGGGTATGACAGGTATGGTAGAAATCTAGAGCTCGAGCAGTTGTACCTTTTTTAGGGACTTATTCCTATATGCAGTCAGTACCTCCACCTCCTAGTAAATGCAACTTATGCATCCTGAAAGAATTTTTTTTCAGTGCTGAGTGGGCCCAATGCTGTAGTTCCTCTGTACTGTGCCACATGCAGCATTATTGTTATCAATACCTGAATCCTGATCATCATCATCCATCATCATCATCGTCATGTTGTCTACCTGTACAGACAGGCCTTTGCAGCCTCATGTCTCTTCACGTGCGAGAAAGTTCCCTATACCACTGGCTTCTCGGCTGTCTTGCCGTCGGTCGCTGCTCAGGTTCTAGGTTGTAGAACTAAGGTTTCTACCAGGTCCTCTCTTCGGTAGCAAAAAGGCTATTCCCTAGTTCGGTTCCAGCTTGCAACTATACATGTTACAACTCCTCCTCGTGCTTGCGTGCTCCTTGCACCGCGTCAAACCTGCATACTAATAACAACATCATAATCAGCATCACCTTGTCAATACCTGATTCTGGCCAGTCGGAAGTCGGGACAGGCACACTCCTCACTCATCTCACCAATGTGCTAGACCTGGAGCTAGAGCTCGAGCGAGACGCGTCGCCGCAAAAATTCGCTACCTCCCACCCGACTGCCTGTCACTGCCGACTGGACTGGCGGGTGAGATTCTTTCTTCACTTCCACTTCTTGCCTGTTGTGGCACACAGAGACCCAGGTGCCTACCTTACCTTCCCCGGCTAGAAGTACCTACTCGACTCTCACTGGCAGGGCAGGCACGACCGTCTCACTCTGCCGTCATGTCCTCTCTTCACCTGCTCAAGAAGCGGAGAATGTCTTCACAACAACAACAACAACAACAACAACACCTCCACCACCACCTCCACCACCAAGAAGACGCCACGCGCAATGCCAATGGAGACGCCGACGACTCCTCTGCCCTCGACAACACTTCCTCTGCTCCCGCTACCAAGTCTCGGCCCCGCACTTTCTCGACCACATCGTCCATACATGGTAACAGCTTGCCGAGTAGATCACATATCCTGACCCAAAATCATGGCCCTCATCAAGGTACGCCAATCTTTTCGCTTTCCTTGGCTTCGGATCGAGCTCACGATAAGCAGATGTGCACTATTCGTCTGCCGGCGTCCGCGAACAGACTGCAGAACTCTCGTCGTCCTTTCTGAGCGATTCTGACATGGCAAAGCATTTTCACGGCCGTGAACACGAGAACAGCATACAAGACCAATCACGCCGTTCGTCCGTGCATGATCGCGTTCACGGACCTATCCATGAGCAGTCCGAGCCCGTAACACCAGAGGAGACTTCTAAGCATCGGGCCTCAGACTTCCGAGGATTAGCCAACGGTGACGCCTTCCTGATATATAACGAGGATGGATCACTATCGTCTCCCGGCACTAAGCCTCATCGGCGACCGAGCCGCATCCCAGAAGTTGTGATAAACGATGAGGACGAGGATGACATGCGCGTTGGGGAGCGCGCGCCACTTCTCCCACGCGAAAGGCTGCCCTCAAGCCGGAAGCAGCAGTATGGATCTGCTGGAGAGCTCGAGGGCCAGCCGACCGATCAGAAGAGCAGCAGCAGTATAGCCATGTGGGATCGACTGGGCCATCACTGTCCATCCTTCCATGCTGCTGCCACGCGTGGGGCGAGGATAATGTCAAATCCGAAATCCTGGAACCCTCGAATGATATATCAGACTGTGCTCGTCCGACCTGCCAGAACTCTACCAGCTGTTTTCTTGGGACTGTTGCTGAACCTGCTTGATGCGTTGTCATATGGGATCATCCTTTTCCCGCTTGGCGAGGAGACCTTCTCCCAGATGGGCGCTGACGGTGTGTCCATGTTCTACGTCAGCTGCATTGTATCACAGCTGGTATACTCTACCGGGAGTATCTTTCGAGGCGGTGTTGGCTCCGAAATGATTGAAGTTGTTCCATTCTTCCACAAGATGACGTATATGATCATAGCGCAGATGGGAACGGAGAACCCAGATGCCCTCCGAGCGACTGTCATCACTTCATATGCCATGAGCTCAATCCTCACTGGTATGGTCTTTTTTGGGCTGGGTGCGGCAAGACTTGGAAGCTTGGTTTCGTTCTTCCCGCACTCCATTCTGGTCGGCTGCATCGGAGGCGTGGGCATTTTTTTGATCCTGACCGGGCTCGAAGTCTCCGTTCGACTGGATTCCAATCTGGCATTCACAAAGGAAGTCTTCTTCAAGCTCATCGCGCCGATGAGTATTGCCCAGTGGCTACCGCCTCTCGCATTAGCGGTGCTCTTGCTGGTCATCAAGCGATACTACGACAGGCCGTTCTTGGTGCCAGCCTACTACATCGCCATCACTGTCCTCTTCTATATTATTACGATCGCCGTTCCTTCGCTCAATATGGAGATCCTTCGTGAGGCGGGATGGGTCTTTGCAAGCCCGGCTGCGGACAAGACTTTTTACAACTTCTACAGCTACTACCGATTCGGCATCGTAGATTGGAAAGCTGTCGCCATGACGATCCCTTCGCAGTTTGCATTAACGTTCTTTGGCATTCTGCATGTGCCCATCAATATTCCCAACTTGGCCATGAAGATGCAAGAAGACAATGTGAGTATCAGCCACGAACTGATCATGCATGGTATTTCGAATACTCTCTCGGGATGCGTCGGCAGCATTCAGAACTATCTGGTGTACGTCAACAGCGTGCTCTTCGTGGATACTGGAGGCGACTCACGACTTGCTGGATATATGCTCGCAGCAGCAACTGCAGTCCTCTGGGTCATCGGTCCCGCTGTGATTGGCTACGTACCTGTCCTGGTAGTCGGGACTCTCATCTATTACCTGGGTATCGACCTGGCCAAGGAGGCTCTCTGGGACACCCGCGGACGTCTGGGTTTGTTGGAATACCTCACCATCTTCGTCATTGCCTTCGTGATGGGTCTATACGACTTTGTTGTCGGAGTTGCGATCGGAATTGGCCTGGCATGTCTAGTTTACGTGGTGCAGACTTCTCGCAAGTCAGTCATTCGTGCCGAGTTCTCGGGAGAGATTGCAGAGTCCACCGTCCGCCGTCATCCAAGACAACGAGCATACCTGCATCGCGTTGGCCCGCAGATCCGTATCGTCAAAATCGCGGGCTACCTCTTCTTCGGCAGTATAGTAAACGTCGAGAAACGGGTACGTGCCACCATTGAGGCAGAGACGTTTGCTCAGACACCGATCCGCTACCTGATCCTGGATTTCTCGCATGTCACCGGCATCGACTTCTCGGCAGCCGAAGCATTTGGCCGAATGCATCGTATCCTCAGACGCAGAGATGTTGAGATGGTCATTGCAGGTGTCAATCTCGAAGATGATGTAGGCCGCAGTCTACAAATGGACGGGCTCTTCGAAGAGAGCGACGAAACGCCACCACCAAAAGTATTTGAAACCCTCAACGGCGCTCTCGAATCATGCGAAAATGCTCTCCTCATCACGTTGACAGAGAAGCAATCTCAAGGACTGACAGCCGGCGGGGAGTCCCCACCAATGCGAATTCAGAATATCCCTTCCAAGGACAACAACAACAACTGCAGCAGCAGCGCCGACAACGATAACTCCAAGCCAGACAACACCTCCCACAATCTCTCGAAACTAGACTCGCTCATCGGCTCTCCGCGCCTCTCCGCGCGCCACGAAGCTGCAGCGGCAACCATGTCCGAAAACAACCACACGGTTCAACAACACGCCAAATGGTCCAACCTCAAACAACCCCTACCCCTCATCCTGCAAGCCTTCCAAGATCTCACCACTCGCACCGAAGACTTCTGGTTCCGCGCGCTCCCCTTCTTCACGCCCATGCACTTCTCCCAAGGTCAGCTCCTCTACTCCAAGGGCGACCCCCCGGACGGCTTCTACATCCTCCAATCTGGACTCCTTCGAGCAGAATACACCCTCGAACAAGGCCACTACCACGAATCCATTGTCGCAGGGACGACATGCGGGGAACTTCCCTTTTTCAGTGAAACCAAGAGGACATGCTCGGTGTACGCGGAAAGGGAAAGTGTGGCGTGGTTGTTGACACCAGAGAAATGGGAAGAATTACAAAAGAGAGATGATTTGAAGGATCTGGCACGGGAGTTCTTGAAGGTGGGGTTGAAGTTGAGTGCCGAGAGGATGAATGCTATTACCAGTTATGTGTTGATTACGGCTTCATGAGGGAGGGGATGGGATGGCAATCAGGATGAAGATGAACATGAAGATGAGGATGAGGATGAGGCCAATGAAGAAAGAATGGAAGGACAGACTGGTCCAAAAGAGTTCCTTCGATCTTCTGCTTGGACAGGTATAGGGCATTTCAGAGCCAGGCAGGGCAGGGCAGTCGGAAGGAAAAGTCCTGTATAAGTGTGACTGTTGTCGCTTACTCCGCTGCTGCCGATGCTGCCGCTGTTGTCGTGGCTGCTATTTTCGTCATCATTGTCATGGGTACTGTCAGTAAAAACAGCGAGGCGTTGTAGGCAGCATAGCATGCTTTTGTATTTTGTATTTTGTTTTTCTTCCTTTGTTTTCAGACTGATAAGAGTAGTTGTAGTACTATTAGTAGTAGTAGCAGTAGTATAGTATCATTGTAGCATTTTGCTATAATATATATACACCGTCAAAAAAGACTACCGCCATCATCCAGCAAGGTAATTATACAAGTTCTACGTCTATAGGAGGTAGGTAGGTACATATCCATTGATACCTGGTAGGTAGTCTACCCATCCCTCATTTTCTTCTGCACAGGCCCCAATAACCTCTCGTCCTGCTGCTGCTGCTGCTGCTGCTGCTGCTGTTGTTGTTGTGCCTGCTGTGCCTGCTGTTGAATGGCCGCACTCCTCTTCGAGCCCGTCACAGCACTGTTATGATTCGTCGTCGCCGCCGTCGTCGTCGTGCCAATCTCATTATGCGCTTCGGTACTGACTTTTCTCGGAGGATATTTATTCTCCAACCCTTCAAAACAATTCGAATACAAAGCTTGAATTTTTGCTGTTGCTCCTGCCGCTGCCGTCGCCGCCGCAGAAGAAGAGGAAGTGGTCGCGGTCGTGGTGGTAGAAGGAGAAAAGGAAGAGTATCCTCCTCCCCCTCCTCCAGTACCAATACCAGCCGTGAAATACGGATGTTGAAGCGCTTGTTCGGCTGTCATACGTTTCAACGGATCGTATCTGAGTAGGCTTTTGAGCAGATCCAATGCACTATCATCGGGAGCATTTCTTCCATAGTGGTTATTCTGTAGCGTGTTGCGATACCATTTTTCCAGACCCATGGGTCGGTTGACTGCGGGATTGTGCATACTGACGCTGGAGAGATTGGGGTACTCGGGCATGGAGGCGAGTAAAGGCCATTCATTCTTCCTAGGAAGACCAAGAATCTCGCCAATCTTGCCCATTTGGTTGCGTTGGAAGGGTACGGCTTTCTTCGAGTCTTGCTTGGCTTCCTCTCCCTTAAAGATTGGCCTGAGACTGAGAAGTTCGGCAAAGATGCAACCTACGGCCCAGAGGTCGATGGCTGGCGTGTAGTGCCTACTGCCGAGTAGGAGTTCGGGTGCACGATACCAGATGGTCACGACGACCTTATCGCCCGAGAAGAGTGCGTGCAGCGGCTTCCAGAAGAGTCGAGCCAAGCCGAGATCTCCAATCTTGATCGCTCCACCCGATGTGACCATGATGTTGGCGGGCTTCAGGTCTCGGTGGATGACCCAGTTTTGGTGGAGATATAGGAGACCGGAGAAGATCTGGTACATACACGAGCGAAGGGTCGATGCAGGTATGGGCGTTCGAGGCAACAGGCTATGGTGGTGAATAATTTGCAGAAGATCGTGTTCGGCATACTCGAAGACCATGAAGATACATTTTGCTTCGAGAATGATCTCGACCAGATGGATGAGTGCCGGGTGGCTCAATTCCGTACACAGAGCCATTTCTCGAATGGCCGACTGTGAGATGCCCGTGTACTGCAGCTCGCCCTCCTTGTCGGGCTTGAACTTCTTGATGGCAAAGGCTTCGATGGGCCTGCCATCGGGATGCTTCGCGGGATTTGCCTGGTGAACGCCACGCTTATTGACCGCTTTATATACGCGTCCATATGTTCCGCTGCTGATGAAACCAACAATGTCATAGTTGTCGTTGATATGCCTTTGCGGCGCATAGGGCGTGGCATTCATCCTCACGAGCGATGGAGCGTCGGCCTCTGGGAGAGTAGAATGATGTTAGTTCTCGCCTCATGGCCTGGCCGGGGAGGCGATACAGCCGGTCCCCACGAGGCTTCCATAATACCTTAAGGCATGACACTTCGACATAAGCGACACAGGTACGATGGACGGATGGGAAAGATGCCTGCCACCTCACTTACCATCCACGGCGGCCGGTGCGCCTCTTTTGAGCGAGTGCGTTGGTGGTATTGGCCCTACACTCGGAGGGGCGGACGGCAGCAGCGGAGCGGGAGCCGCTGGGCCTGGCGGAGGGACAGAAGGCGGGTTATTGTTGGTGGAAGTCATGCTGTACTGGCTGGCTGGCGGGCGGGGGCGGGGCGGGGCGGTGGAAGCGGGCGGAGGTGATGATAGTCCTGTTAGCTCTATATTGGGTTATTGCCCTTCACCAACGCGTCGCGTCTGACCGGCCAGCGGGTTAGTTCCACTCCTACTGGTGCTGAGGTATGGAGGTACTTTGTCCAATACAAGGATGAGCTGTCACGACCTGGACAGTACATGTACCTACCTGACCTGACCTGACACCTCCTACGGTAGGTAGAGCATACTGTAGTTCTATTCTCGTCCTCTCCCGATTCCACAACCACCACCACCACAGCATGACGACCCCCAACTTGCTCCAGCTCCTCAGCACCGCCATTCTCGGCCCTCTGCTCTTCGGCTACCACCTCGCCGAGCTCAATGCCCCCCAACAAGTCATCACTTGCGCCCAGCAGCATGCCGGACCCTCCTCCCTCGATCGCATTAAGCACCTCGTCTTCCACGACACTTCCGCGCCCTCGACCGCCTCCTCTCTGCCACAATGCATCCCTATGAACCCCACGCAATTTGGCCTGGTCTCCTCCTCCTTCACTCTGGGCGGTCTGCTTGGAGCTCTATCAGCAGGTCCGGTGGCGGCTAGATATGGAAGACTCAGAGCCATGATCTACCTCAGTGCATTCGCTGTCGTGGGCCCCTTATTCGAGGCGGCTGCGCCCAATGTAGGCGTTATGGCCTTGGGCCGTCTCATAGCTGGAATCGGCGCAGGAGGAGCAACAGTGGTGGTTCCCATCTACATTAGCGAGATTTCACCACCCAGCAAGAGAGGCTTCTTTGGCGCCTTCACCCAGATTGCCACCAATTGCGGTATCCTGATTACACAAGCGCTAGGTCTCTTTTTGAGCGAGGGACAACTATGGAGAATCATTCTGGCTGTGGGTGGGGCGATCGCGCTTCTCCAGATGCTGGGACTGGTCCTAGCTGGTCAAGAGAGTCCGAAATATCTGGCGGATATGGGCGAGATATCGCGAGCGAAGAGCGTATTGAGAAAGCTACGAGGTCTGCATGCAGATATCGACGACGAGATCTCCGCCCTCGGCACTTCTGTGGAGCAGTATTCAGACGACGAAGAAGCGAACCTGCTATCTAACCATGAAACGACAAGGTACAGCTCCAACAACAACAAGAAGAACAACAACAAGAAAGATGCACTAGGCTTCTTCGAAGTCACCACCCACCCAGACACAAAAGCGGCCGTCATATCCGTCATAGCAATCATGGTCGTAAGTTGTCCATCTCTGTCTTGAGCTCACACTTCGCAGCCAAAACTCACAAGACTAACCCATTGCCAGGCCCAACAATTTACCGGCATCAACAGCATAGTCATGTACGGCGTATCACTCCTCTCCTCCCTCCTAGCCGCCAACTCGGCAATCCTCAACGTCGCAGTCGCAGCAGTCAACATCATCATCACAACATCCTGCGCTCCCCTCGCAGACAAACTCGGCCGTATCCGCTGCCTCTTGCTCTCCATCACCGGAATGGGCCTCAGCTCCCTCCTGCTCGCCATCGGAATGATGCATTCCATCAAAGTCCTCAGCGCAGTAGCTGTCATCCTGTTCGTAGCCTCCTTCGGCCTTGGTCTGGGCCCCATCCCCTTCATCCTCGCGTCGGAGCTCGTAGGCTCAGAAGCCGTGGGTGCGGTGCAAAGTTGGGCTTTGGCCGCCAACTGGATAGCGACTTTTATTGTGGCACAGTTTTTCCCGCTGTTGAATGCCCGAATGGCCCCAGGGCAAGTGTATTTCATCTTTGCCGCCTTTGCTGTGCTATTTGGAGTCTTTGTTGGTTGGTATGTGCCGGAGACGAAGGGGAAGAAGGATGCTGATGAAGTCTGGGGGAGGAGGAAGAGTGTGGGATTAGAGGATTGATGAAAAACAATTCAGGAAAAAGAATGCTAATTGTCTCGACGATGACGAAGATGCCGATGATGATGTTAATGGGCTTCATACTTGTACAAGGTAGATGTATATGTATACACATGCAGTGTATTATATCCTCACAAACTTCCATCGTTCTTGTCATCGGTTTTTCGACCTTTCTTTCCGTCGTTCTTGTCATCGTCCTTTCCACCTCTCTCCCTGCCTATCTCTCCACACTTTCTCTCCATATTTCTTTCCATCCATCTTTCCTCTTTCCTCATCTTTCTGTCCATCTTTTACATCTTGATTCTTTCCCATCTCTCTCTCTCTTATTCCCCCCCCCCCCTCTCTCTTGAAAATCGAAACATCAAAAAAATCAAAAAAAATCAAAGAAATCAATCGAAAGAAATCTATGGTAAAAGTCTATGGTAAAACAGGTAAAACAACCAACTATATATTAACTCTCAACTCTTGTCTCCCAGAATCAAAAATCAAGAGGAAAAGGAAAAAAGAAAAGAAAGGAAAGACAAAATCCTAGCGAGGACGACTTCTTTTCTTTTCTTTCGTTCTTTCTTTCCAGTTTAGTTCTTCCCAGGTTCGTTCTTTCCTTTGAAATTTCCCTGCCTTGCCTTTTCCCTGCCTTGCCTTGCCTTGCCTTGCCTTGCCTTTCCTGCCTTGCCTTGCCTTTCCCTTTCCTTCCCTTTCAGTACCTGTACCTTTTCAATTCCACTTTCCAGTTCCATATATTTATTCTACTCTTTCCATCCATCGATCGTAACATCGTTCATAACTACATACCTATGTAGTGCCAAAAAGAAGAGAAAGAAGAATAGCAGCATCGAACGATACATAAATAAATAGTACAGCCGCTATACAACGCTTCGCTTCGCTTCACGATGCTAAGATGCTCAATTTACCAAATGAATCAATCCATTTGACACATGAACACACAAATACGCACAAATGCGCACAAGAAAAAAAAAGGGCTCAATTCGCTCGCTCGCTGACATGCTCATTTTTCAATTATTGCGGTGGTGGTGGTCCCATGGAACTGCTATGCGGAGTTTGTTGATCAGGCGCGAAACCGCCCCCGCCGGCACCACCGATAGGATCAAATGCCATTGGACCGGGTGTGAAAGCGCCCAGTCCAAGCCCTTCTGCCCAGTCCCTACAAAAACCAATATTGTCAGTACATGACCTCCTGAATTGTGACATGGCACACGGGACAGGAATACAAGAGATGTTCAGACTCACCATTCTAGCGTCATGGGCATCTGCCACAAATCCTGAGGGACAAAAGGTTGTTGAAAAGCACCACCAGGCCCGGGACCACCGGGGACTCCATTGTTGGGATCGAAAGCTATACCGAAATCAGCACCGGAAGTCTGTTGAGGTGAGAAACCTGTATGGTGATGGTGTTGTTGACCGAATCCACCATCCATGGGCGAGGGTCCAGAGGTGAATGGTTGATGTGGTGAGCCGTTAGCGCCAGAAAAGTCCATAGGGCTCATGTTTTGAGGGAACTGGAGAGCATTGAAAGGTCCACTGGCGGAATGCGGCTGTTGGGACGGCATATAATTGCTTTGGTGTTGATGGTTCGCATTCAGATTGGCGTTCTGCATACGTGGCGTGGGATTGCTGAACGAGCGTTGTCCGAGTTGGTGCATAGGTTGGTTTTCAGGGCCTGAGCCTCCGGGCGGACTGCCTCCCCAGCTTCGGGGACTATTGGTAGGATTACTACCGGCTTGACTCCCAGACACAGAGGCGCGTAGAGTGGGCGTCTGTACTGGTCTTCGATAAGAGGCTTGTGTTTCGACTTGTATTTGTTCCAAACTTTTGCCTTCCTCGATGCCTTGCACGATCTCGCCGTTGACTCTTTCCTTTAGCGCCTTCTCTCGTTCGCGTTCGGCCTGCTTCCGTTTGCCGCGCCCGCGCATCTCGCGTTCGGCTTTATCAAGAGCCACGCGTGCTATGCGTTCGAATTCGGCGCATACCGATAGCATGCGGCGGACATTGCCGGTTGCCTCTGCGACATCGCGTTCGAGCATGGTCAAGAAAGCCACCACACTACTCATGAGCTTGAGATCGGTCCTCGCTCGGGCATCTTGAGGGTTTTGCAGGATGTTGGCGAACAGTGTAACGAGGGACGACACCGGGTAGTAGAGGATCAGCCTAAATGTCGACATCAGTTAGATCGGTCTCACGACGGGATCCCACATGCCACTCACCAAACACATGCATAATCGCCCTGCGGAATATATCTGATCAACCCTATGCTTGTCCTTGCTGCGTTCACGCACAGTGCTGCGCTCATGAATACTCGAGGATTCAACGGACGTGCATTCAACCCTTGCACAGCATAATCACTCAGCCGACTCGTCCAGTATCCGTGGTGTACACTCATCCTGTGTATCGTCGTCAGACAATTGTAGTACGCGAAATGCAGCACCACAACATGTAGAATCAGCGGTGTATGAGCAGCCTTAATCTCGTGCTCCGGCCGGAAGTCAATAGGTATGCTGTCTTTCCACTCTTCTAGCGATGCATCGAGCTCTCCGATCGTGTTCAAAAGTTCGCCATCACTTTGACGCCCGGCCTTCACCGAGTACAGCTGCTTATATACTCGAGACTGTATCTGCGCGAACTGGCACATCAGTCTGAATAAGTTCATGGTACCACCTTGCGCGAGAGGCACATTGCCCACGTTGTCAACGGGATTCTCCGAAGGGAGTTCCACGTTCATATCATCGTCGTCTTGCACCGGTGGCCGTCCCGAACGCAAGCAGATGTCTTTATCCAGGAGATACGCGATCCAGAACACGCGCTTGCGCTGCTCACTCTCGACGTCGTTGAGGTTGAAGCCCGAGCCACGCTTGTGAAGTCCAATCGAGTGTGCCAGCCGAATTGCAGCTGCCACCAGGAAGAAGGTGGGCTGCGGATTGGGAGTCCCTTGCAAGAAGAGCGCCATACCCAGTAGTGCTTGGACTGAGAGGAGATCGGTGTTGCGCATCGTCAGCTCGGACATCACTGCCATGGCATTCTTGAGGTATGCCCAGGCCACCTCATCTTCTTCTCGTGGTACCACATTGCTCATCACGCGCAGCCGGTGTCCAATCGCCAGTGCCACATTTAAGCTGGCCCACCAGCCTGACCCGTCGTATGGCTCGAGTGAGTAGTGCTTGTCCACCAAGTGCATGAATGTGGGCTCATGAAACAGAGGGAACATGCAATTGAAGTTCTCAAAATAGTCCTTGAGCAGCGCATAGCACTCCTGTCGGCCAGGGAGGGGCCTGAAGATTCGTCTCTGGAAGAGATCATTGAACACCTCTGGCTTCCAATGGTCCCAGCCTTGTTTGTCCTCGGATGAAGCGTGTGCAATCATCGATTGAAAGCTGGTATCCCCGGTTTTCTCATTCACCCATTGTATGCCTTTGGGACTGAATATGCTGAAACCGGAAGAGGAGCCAATGTAGCGTGTTTCACCGCAATTGTTCGTAATGAGGCTGCACATTTGATCGGCCAGCACGTCCACCTCCCCCGACTCTTTCTTGGAGCCATCCGTGGACGGTTTGGTGAGGTCCGGTAACGAGGATTTATCATTATCGTTGAGTGCCGCGGGGCTGGCAGCTTGTGGCAGGGTCGTGCTTTCTAATGCATCATTTTGCGCTGGTGTATTACTCTCCTTGCTATTACCACCACTACCTTGCCGCATGGAGGAGTGTTGCGACTGTGGGCTGGTAGCATTGCTTTTGGCGGTTCGTGTCTGCTCCGCCAATCTCTTCTCCAGCGTCCCTAAATCTGTTCGTCCTCCGTCGTCCTCTGCTAGCAGGCCTGACAGCCGCAACAGATTCTCCATCCTGCCCAGCCGATTCTCCAGTCCCTCGATGTATTTGGCGCCTTTAGGTGGTGCGCGCTTCTTCTCGACATGTGTAAATATGCATTCCGTCTTATAATTCTCGCAGTGGCTACACTTGGGCATCTTGCCATCGCATTTGATCTTCTTCTTTCGACACATGTCACATGCTCTTGCAATTCTCCTCCGCTTGGGATCTCTCTGATCGCCGCCATCATTGTCCGGATCGTTATCGACATCTGCGTTGCCATCTTCGCCATTCACGTCCTGGTCGTAATCCCCATAGTCAATGTCTCTCTGGAACCACTGCGCACCATTCGAGCCACCCGGCATGGCCATACTGGATGCTCCGTCGAAAGCGCCTGCGCTGTAAAGCGGCAGACTAGAGGCGGTGAGGCTATCGGTGCGGGCAGCGTCGCTGGAATGCGTGGGATTCATGGTGGACTGCGGCGCACAGTCCGGAGGGACAGCGCTCGAGCGTGTGCAGCGCGCAGCAGTCTATAAGGAAGGCGTGTACCGAATTCCTCGCCTCCAGAGGATGGCAACGTCGCCCGCCCGCGGGGATCGTGGACGAAGCGTCGAAGAGAAGGATCAAGGGCAGTGAGCTTGAGCGGATGCTATTCCCAGCTCGTGCCCTAAACGCCTTAAGGTGTGCTCAAGCGCAATCGATAACCTTTGGTGTCCCGCCTTCCTGCCTACCCGCCTGCCTGTCTGCCTGTCTGCCTGTCTGTCCGCCTGCCTGCCTGCCTGCCCGCCTGTCTGTCTGCCTGTCTGCCTGCCTGCACGCTGGTTGGTCTCCAAGGAGGATACTTTCCGGGAGGCTTCATCTGACAACAGGAGCGATATCAAAGCCTCCAGGTGAGTTGATGAGAGTCAGGTAGGTAAGGTAGGTAGTTTCTGGTGAAGGGTAATAATGATGCGTCATCGCAGTCGACAGAAAGAAGTCAGCTTGCATACATCATATCGCTTCGCTGCCGGCGCCGAGAGTTGGTTGGGTAGTGCTGGGTTAGAGAATCATCCACGACCGAGTTTGCGAGAAGAATCAGCGAGAGGCGTGGCACCAGGTGTCGAAGGCAGGGATGGCAGGCATTCTCGTACTGTACACTTGTCGTACCGCAGCGCTCGCCTGGCAGTGGCAGGATGGGCAATAATAAACTTCTGCGCAGCCCAGTCGAAGCTTCTTCTGCACCCCCGTTCAAGATTTTGTTTGGCAGGAGACGCAGGGCAGGGCAGCGCCAGGTCTAAGGGCAGGGCAGGGCAGGGCAGGGCAGGGCCGGGTGCACACCTGAGGTACATGATACCGCATACCGCATAGGTGCAAGAGGAAGTCTTAGGGACGGGGTGTCGCGCCATGTCTGCTCCGACTGCTCTCTTACTCATCATCATCATCGTTGCCAATATGGCCATCATCATCGCTGCACTAAACTTACAACACTTGTCATAGGGCTGGGCGCTCAGCATACGGCTGCTATGATCTGCCGCTGCTCCATGTCATCATCGTCCAGAGTACATCGTCTTGGCCGCCACGAATCCATCTAAGTTAGCATCCTTGGCCCTCGCCGGGGCCCGGTAGGCACGCAACCAAGGTCCCTGGGCAGCTCCTCAATTCGTTAGCACCCCCGGGCCCTGGAGGAAAAAGGACACTGTCGTCGGAGAGTCGGACTGAAGTCTGACGGCGACTTGCCCTGCAGAGTCCAGACTCCCTCGCTCGTAGGTGCTACAGACAAGTACATATACTTCTACACTGGAGAGCATTCGATTGGCCCGTCAGAGGCACCCGCTTCAGCACCTAGGGCGAATTGGAACATGGTCGCCGGTCTAATGGATTAGATAGCATACAACAACGACAACAACAAGTCACGGACTTGACTACTCAAGGTATGGAACGTCCTACTTCAGTACTTGGCATAGGAGTTACCTCCTAGGTGATGCGCGATCCAGCGAATCGCGATTATGCCGAGCCTCCCTCCTTAGGCCTCATGTACCAGCGAGACAAAGGCGAGCCAGCAAGCGGATGTGTGCAAAGCAACACGGATACGGCGAAGACGCTATCGCAGTAGTGTATGTTAGTAATACACTCTAAATGACACACTGGGGTACAGCTGGGTCGGGCTCGGACCCTACCTACAGTATAAGCATAGGTGATGATAGGACCCCATGATGAGTGCAATCTACGAGATCTCCCCACCCCTCCAAAGTCTGCACACACGCGAGCCGCAGAGGATACTAACTTTTCTCACAGACAGGCTCTTTGGGCCAATAGCAAGATGTGGAGAGGTGGTGGTCAGGTTATCACACACTCTTGCTTGCGGCTGCATAAGTTCTGCACAGGAAGCGAGGGTTTAAATGCTCCTTCAGAAAAATGCTTGATTGAACCTCACGGACGCCCAGGTAGAAGGAATTGGAAGTTTGGCAGCGAGGGGAACAGTAGGAGGTATAATACTGGCCCGAAGCATACCTGTATTGCGATAGCCCCATTGTCAGTCACGTCGCCGAGGTCGTCAAAGCTAGAGGTCGGCGACTGGGCAAAGGTACAAGATGTCACGATTCTTCTTCGCAGCCTGAGCATACATTGGCGGCCCTCGCTGAAACGTCTTTGCATGTCATGGGAGAGTCTATTGTCGAAACTTTGATGGAGATGGGAAGTGCGAGGTGAGCGGAAGTCAAGGCGACGATTGGAGCCAACCTTGGCAAGAGAGCTGCTTCCCACGCAAGTCGCTCTTTTCTCCTCGAATGCTCTTGTCCACACAGCTTCCGTCTGCATTTCGGGACGAATTCATAGGGTACCTTGCTGTAGAATGTGCCATGCTGGAATATCATCGAGTGCCTCAAGAGGCATGGAAGTAGGTAGGTCCGCATGCAATACTCATATTAGCCCTGATTAGCGCACAAATGTCCATCCCCATCTATACACCCTCTTCATCATCTCCAATGAGCTTCGCATAGTCCTCCGCACTCGCAAACACCGGCAGGTTCTTCAGCTTCTTCTTCTCTGCTCTCTTCTTCTTGTTCCTCGCGGCATTCGTCTCTGCCTCGGCCTCCTCTTCCTCTCCATCGAAGCCGTCAAAGGGAACCTCGTCTTCATCGCCCAGCATTGCATCCTCGTCATCATCATCGAGGTCAGGCACATCGTCGCTATCCAGAGCCGCTTCATCCTCGCTCTCGCCACCAAATCCATCCATGCTGGCGAAGGCGGACAGATCGGCAGCGCCATCGCCGTCCTCGCCACCGAGATCAATGCCACCCTCTGAGCCGGACTCGTCGTCGTCACTACCGCCCGAGAGACTCTCCAGATCACCCATCGACAAGTCATCGTCGGAATCGGGTCCTTCGACTTCGGGCCGAGAGTTGGCGATAGCCTCCCAGATCTGGTCTTCCATTGCATCCTCATCCTCGCTATCCACTGCACCGCGCTGCTTCTGCTCCTTGGCAGGCTTCCTTTTGGAGTTTCCAGCAGCGTTGAAGTAATTGTGAAAGAACACCTCGTCCGCTGCCACATTCTCAACCTTCTTGGCCCAGAATGCTTCACTGTTGAGTGGAGCTCTGCGAGTGGGATCTCCAGGCTTGACGAGAATATCTGCAGCCTTACTGGCGCCGGCGAGAGGTTGCATGATGGAACTTCCGTGTGTCTTTTCTTGCTTAGTCTTGGGGTTACGGTAGACGAAGCGGTCGAGAAAGTGCATGAGGGTGTGTTGAGTGGGGTCAGGCTTGGGTGGCATCTCTTTCGTTCCTGCGATCGCTTCTGCGAAGAGTGCGACGGACGGATGAAAGTGTCTGAGGGAAGGGATCAGGTCCCAAAGACAGGTTCGTTCGGCTTGGGCATGTTCCGGATCTCGTTTTCGAGGATCATAGAGGACTTTGTGGCTGGGCGCAGTATAGACGAGAGCATTGGGGTTCATCGAACCGTCCTCCGGTACATCAACAAAGTGCTCTTCTTCATCCTCATCTGCGACTTCGGGTTCGGTCATCATTTTCTGTATGCTGGGGAACGTGCCTGACAGCTCATGAATCAGGTAAAGAACTCCGCAGGCGAAGGCAGGTTCGTGCAATGTGATGACCTGCAACATGCGCTTGACAAAGGCTTGCACACGTTTGGCGTTCAAGTCTGCCTTCAAGCTCTTGTAGAGTAGGTTGAGATACAGAACCTGTTTGCTGCTGTTGAAGAGACGTGGATCGAGCAGACTCTCGTACAGTGTCCGGTAGTATCTGTCGGCACCAAAGTGCTTTCTCGACGATATTTGCTGGAGCAGCATGAGTGCTTGAATGCTGGTATTGAAGTTGGCGGAGTGCGCGACTCTGAAAATGGTGTCCAGCTGTTTTTCAAAGTTGGGATCACTCATGTCTGCGAATGCAAAGGCACGATTGACACCAGCAAGGACTTGCGATATCATTTTGTCGTGAAATTGCACTGCTGACTCCTCGTTCTTTTCTTCGGCCTTTCGCTTCTTCGCCGCCATCTTGCCAGCCTTGCCTCCTCCGCCTTGAGCTGGAGTGGCATTGACAGAGTTCTTTTCTGGTGCAAATTTCTTCGCTTCTGCTGGCTTGAGCAACTGCACAAACAAGCCAAAGTATATCTCCAGCAGCCTATTCGCGAGCGCTTCGTCCTTGCGACTCAAAATGGTCTGGTTGAGTGTGATGATGGCATAGTATTTGGCATGGTCGCTCTGTCCTGGTCGGTACAGACAGTCCGCCTCCACGCTGTTGGTGATGATTTGCTTCATCGCAGGATGTGTGTTTTCCAGCTGAAGCAGCAGGTACGAAGCTCTTGACGCTACCTTTCGTTCGGTATCTCCAAGCTTGTTCACTAGTAGCCGCAATAGATTCTCCTCTTGCTCCGGCTTATCCTTGAGAAGTTCCCATACATATGTCAATGCTCGTTGTCGGGAGTACTCGATCTCGTCATTGCACCACGTCTCCAGAATTGCCAGCAGCTCAAAGTACTTCTTTTTCAGCCAATCCTCAAATGCCCACATCACCAAATGCTCTTTAGTGAGAGCTCCTGGCAGAGCCTCGCCAGCATTCCACCTGGCATCTTTCCCCTGCAATACACCAAGCAATTGTGGCTGCTTGCCAAAAGCGCGCAATTTCCTGTCTCCTGGCAGTACGTTTCCCTGTCCCAGCATATCCTTCAAGGCGGCTACAGCCATAAGCGCTTGGTTCCTGCTCTTCTTCTTGGACAAGCTCAGCAGATTCTCAAATGCCTTCATGGTGTGTAGCGGCGACTCTTGCACTAGCAGCGTCAAGGCTGACACCTTGTCTTCCAGCGTACCGCTCGCCATGATTGTGGACAAAAACTTGTGTGATGAAGAACCCGCGAGATGGCCATCATTGTACGCCTTGTTCTCCGCCTCGAGCAGTGTTGTCGCATACTGCAGGAGATTTTCAATTGTCCGTTGAGAAGGCAGATCTTTTGCCTCGTGCGTTTCGAGAGCGGGAAGTTCAGCCTCATACCAGTCGGGGCGAGCATGGAAGAGCAGTGTAGGCTTGTCCTCCTTCTTCACCCGCTCGGATCGTGGTTTCTTTTGCGGTCGACCATCGTCCTTGGCTCGAGGATCGTGGTCAAACGACTTCCGTTTGGCGCTCATTGTGCTGCTGCTGTTGAAATTGAAGAAAATTGTGGTGGCACGCTTGACAGTCGAGAGCTCGAGACTTTTTCGATATGGCTCGGCAGATTTGCTTCCGATGTACGAAACCGAAAAGTTAAATACTCTCTCCGATACCTATGTGCACACTCCCGGATACACCGACATCAACCACCAATGAACACTACAACCATTCCAGATGTCTGTATGCTCTCTCCGCAGACCGCTATGGTATTCTGGTAGCATTCATATATTTCGATCGGGCCCTGGTCCACGTCGCGCCCTTCACGTACGTCCATTTTCGAGGCTGGATCCAACAACTGGCTAAGGGCAACCCTAGGTTGATGGTCGCAACCGACTGAGTAATTTCTGGACGCCCACTCAAGCCCCTAAAAAGGGAATCAAAGAACCTGTCGGCGACGATGGCCACGATTTGCTCATCCGAGCGGGCTTTGTCCGCCAAGCACAATCGGGCATCTTTCACCTCCTACCCCTGGGTTTGCGAGTACTAGACAAAGTTGAACGCCTCATCGATAAGCACATGCAAAGCGTTGGCGCGTCAAAGGTGTCTCTTTCATCTCTCTCTTCCACCGAGCTTTGGGAGAAGTCAGGTCGACTCGATGGCCGAAACAAGGAACTCTTCCAGCTGGAAGATAGGAAAGAAGCCAAGTTTTTGTTGGCTCCCACTCACGAAGAGGAAATCACGACAATAGTCAAGAATGCTGTGCACTCGTACAAGGATCTGCCTCTTCGACTGTACCAAGTAACGAGAAAGTATCGGGATGAAGTCAGGCCGCGACAAGGACTTCTTCGTGGGCGAGAATTTGTGATGAAAGATCTATATACCTTTGATTTGACTTCAAAACAAGCCATGGAGACATATAGCGCTGTCTCTGGAGCATACAAAGCATGTCTGGATGAACTCAAGTTGCCGTACCTTGTAGCTACAGCAGACTCCGGAAACATGGGTGGGACGCACAGCCACGAGTATCATTTCGCATCAGCTAAAGGGGAAGATACGATCGTTACGTGTGAGAGCTGCGATCTGTCCATGAATGAGGAAGTATGCTTTGGGAAGTATCGGCCACACGAACTCGATGGGAGCTCTTACACGTTATGGAGCGGACGAACGACGGAAGTACGAGATGGCCGGACTCGGACAGCCAGCCTTGTAAACATCTATCTACCGCACGGAGACCACGAGGTCAACATCCACGCGCTGAGAAAGTCCGTGCCAAGCCTCGACCCGGCTCCCTACAGTTTGCACGATTGGTATGACGAATGCAAAGAGCTCCTCAATACAGAAGGACTCCACGTTCCGTCCGTAATCAGCATACGAGATCCTCGCGTTCAATCAGAAGATTCCACAGTCAGGAGTTCGAGAGTCCAGACAGCACCATTCCTTCTCACCAAAATACGACAAGGCGATCCATGTCCCAGCTGCGACACAGGATCCGTACATCTCCAACAAGCAGTCGAGGTTGGACATACTTTCCACCTCGGAACACGATATAGCAGGGCCCTCGAAGCCGCAGTGCAAGCGGAGGACAATTCACAAGTTGACATTGAAATGGGCTGTCATGGCATCGGAGTCTCGCGTCTGATCGGAGCTGTGGCATCACTCCTCGCAGACCAAAATGGTCTTAACTGGCCTCTTGCGATCGCGCCTTACAGTATACTACTTGTTGGAGCTGGTCGATCCTCTGCAGAAGACGTCCAAGGCTTATACGATACGCTAATGACCAGTCTCCTACAGCAATTCCTTTCTGGTCCCAGGACGAGAAGTATCGCGCCAGATGCGATCATCGATGATCGAGACCGGTCATTCGGGTGGAAGCTCAATGATGCAGATCTCATCGGTTACCCTTTCGTGGTGGTGTTGGGAAAGGCATGGAATCAAACAGAAAAGGCAGTGGAGTTGCAGTGTCGACGGCTCGGTGTGAAAGAGACGGTACCTGTCACAGAATTGGCCCAGAGAATTACTCAGTATAGCGCAAAACTATGAGGAGGGTAGGTAGGTAGGTAGGTGGATACCTTATGAGCGCGTGTTGGGAATGTCGCCCTGTAGAATACTTGCAACCAAGAATACCAGCCGGAACAACTCGCATAAAAGAGCCTCTTCGCCACTCTCGATAGATACAGCTCTCTATATATGAGACACCACCTTAGCCTCACGGTACGCGATATCTTAAGGTAGGTAGTCTCCAGTCTGCCAAACCACGAAGAATGCCTTCTCTAGTCGAGACAAGAAAAACTTCCTTTTGCGACCTTCTACACCCCCTACGATTCAGACCAACCACAAGTCCGTAGTATCTAGGTATAAAGTAGTTCTGTCGCGACTATCTATATGTACTCCCCTGTGTTTTTGAGAACCGCGCTGTGCACTCGCGAGTACAAAGGATGTGTTTCGATTACGTGGATGTAGAACACTTAGCTACCTTACTACCTATATGCAGTGTTCTCTTTTGAAAGGATGATTAGTAGGTGCCTAGTTGTCACGAGAGGCGAGGTCGTGCGAATAAGTTAAGATAAGGTAGGCTTTTTATATACACAAAGATCAATAATGAGCCTGCAAATGTACACAGTCGTTGTTGTTGTTATACATACATACATGGGTACATTGTCTGTACACACAAGCATGAAAACTCAATTCAATCTATCTCCATACCTTATGCTTGCTTACACTCTCGCCGCCTTATCCATCTTTCCACCCGTAAGAGACTCTGCAATTCTTCGAATCCTCTCCTTGCTGATATCATCCGAACCTCCCGCATTATCCATCGCCCTACTACCGGGAACACCATTCGCTCGGTTCAGCATATCCTGCACACGGTCCGGTCTCCCCACGGCCCAGATACTCTTCGACTGGGGATAACTTTCCGACGAACCCATACTGCTGCTACCAAAGCGGATAGGATTCTCCGGGGTGCCAAACGCTTGATCGACAGCCTTGTCCAGCTGCTCCGGCGTGACGATGAATTCTCTCGCATTCATGTATAGCGTGTGCAACGCATCCAGACGCTGTTCTTGCTTCCGCAGAGCCGCGGCTTCGACATTCAATTTCTTCCGCTCTAGTCTCTCTTCGCGCGTAGGGTCGGGAATGGGTTGATTAAATAGTGCATCGAGATTGAGGTTGTTGCTCGGCGCCGTCAAGCGTTCGTCTTCGCGCTCGGGCCTATTCAGTCGTTCCATCCTCTCGGCTTGCGTGGCTTGAGATCGTTTCGACACCCGCTGCAGTTCACTCTGTTGACGCGCTTTCAAGCTCTTGAGACCTTCTCGCAAATTCTGACGCCGCAATTCGCTCATCTTGACCTGCCATTCTTGTCGGCTGCGGGGGGCGACTTTTCTCCCAGGCGCCGGCTCTTTGGTTGAAAGAGCAATCTGCGCGTCAGAGGAGAGATCTTTGGCGGTGCCGGCAAAGACATTGCGAGGGATGGGCAAGACTCCCTTGACAGGTGGGTTGTAGGGGACCGTCTGTTGTGGTGGTTCGGGAATCTCAATGTATCGTGGATGTTCCGGGCCGACTGCCATTTGGCGTGTTGTCGTTGAGAGGGATCGCGTGCATTGTGGGCATTTCCATGCAGAAAGGGGTGTTCTCGTTAGAGCCTTCATCGTTCGGACAGGCTGATGAGTGAACGACTCGAGAGAGAGAGAGAGAGCGCGTGGATGGATACCGTATTGGAATGGCAAAGTTGGAGCGGAGTCGGGAGGTCTTGGTGGGAACAGCCGCCGAGCCGCACGGGAAGCACTATTTTCCACCAAAAAATATTTTCCTAGGAGGTACGGATCAGTGTTACCAACAGGGCACCACGTTTAAGCATATTCGAGGCAAGAGAGAGATTATCAGAATAGACTAGGATTGAATAAAAAGATCGACAGATCTTCGATTGAAAACTGTTAATACAGAAAGAGGCATCTGATCCATTAGCACGCCCATAATGCCAATGCCCACAACCTTTTTTTGCGTCACCCAAGACACAGAAACGCCTTGCCTGATCTTGTATCTAGCCATTATGCTCAAATCGCGCGTGAATCCGTGGACACATTACTTGAAATCGACTGTGCTTCACTGTGCAGTGCATCTAGTCGACTTCCTCCATAGCGCTCTCAGTGGCGCCCTCTGCAGGTGCGGGTGCAGCTGCCTCTGCTTCCGTCTCGACATCCTCATCCACGTTGAGACCGAGCGACACCAGCTTGTGAATGCGCTCAGCAAAGTCTGCTGGCTCATCGATAGTGAAGCCAGATACAAGCAGGGAAGTCTCGAACAGGAGGGTGGTGATGCTCTTGACAGTGCGGTCGTTCTCACCATCTGCCTCAACCTTCTTCTTGAGCTCCTTGATGATGGCGTTGTTAGGTGAGATCTCAAACGTCTTCTTGCTGCTCATGTAGCTGGACATCGAGGTATCACGGAGAGCCTGGGCCTTCATGATACGCTCCATGTTGGCAGACCAGCCGAATTGGCCAGTGCGGATGGCGCAAGGAGCGCCAACGAGCTTGTGGCTGACAACCACCTTCTCGACCTTGTCGCCTAGGACGTTCTTCAGTGACTTGGCGAGCGACTCGTACTCCTTCTCTTCGGCCTCACGCTTCGTCTTCTCCTCCTCGGTCTCCTCAAGCTCGAAATCCTTGGTGATATCAACAAGCTTCTTGCCCTCGTACTCCTTGAGCTGGGTGAAGGCATACTCGTCGATAGGGTCAACAAGGAACAGAACCTCAAAGTTCTTGGCCTTGAGCGCGTCAAGGAATGGAGACTTCTCGACGGCCTTGATGGACTCGCCGGTGATGTAGTACATCTGCTTCTGGTGCTCTGGCATACGCGTGATGTAGTCCTGGAGGGATGTGGCCTCCTCGCCGGACTTGGTGGAGTTGTAACGGAGGAGCTTGGCGAGTGCGTTGCGGTTCTGGCTGTCCTCGTGGATACCAAGCTTGATGTTCTTGCTGAAAGCAGTGTAGAACTTGTCAAAGTTCTCCTTGTCCTCGGCGATCTCTTGGAACAGCTCAAGGGTCTTCTTGATGATGTTCTTCTTGATCACCTTCATGATCTTGTTCTGCTGGAGCGTCTCACGCGACAGGTTGAGTGGGAGATCCTCAGAGTCGACAACACCCTTGATGAAGGACAGCCACTCTGGGATGAGGTCGGTAGCGTCATCGGTGATGAACACACGGCGAACGTAGAGCTTGATGTTGTTCTTGGTCTTCTTGGTCTCGAAGAGGTCGAATGGTGCACGCTTTGGCACGTACAGGATGGCGCGGAATTCAAGCTGACCCTCGACAGAGAAGTGCTTGACAGCAAGATGGTCTTCCCAGTCGTTGCTCAGCGACTTGTAGAACGCACCGTACTCCTCTTGCGAGATGTCTGCTGGGTTGCGTGTCCAGATTGGTTTCGTCTTGTTGAGCTCCTCTTCTTCAATCTTGCTCTCCTTGACCTTCTTCGTCTTCTTCTCCTTCTTTTCTTCCTCCTCATCGTCAACCTCCTCGACCTTGGGCTTGTTGTCGTCCTCGCCCTCCTTGGTCGTCTCAGCATCCTCATCTGGGACCTCGGTCTCGGTCTCCTTCAGCACGTGAAGGTAGATTGGGTATGAGATGAACTCGGAGTGCTTCTTGACAACCTCCTTGATCTTGCTCTCGCCAAGGTAGTCAGTCTGCTCGTCCTTGAGGTGAAGGACGATCTTGGTACCGCGGCCGAGAGGCTCGCCGTCAGTGTCCTGAGAAATGGTGAAAGTGCCACCAGCACTAGACTCCCAGATATACTGCTCGTCGTCGTTGTGCTTCGACACCACTGTCACGCGGTCGGCAACGAGGTACGCCGAGTAGAAACCGACACCGAACTGGCCAATCATGGACACATCGGCACCTGCTGTAAGGGCCTCCATGAACTGCTTTGTACCAGAGCGAGCGATCGTTCCAAGGTTGTTGACGAGGTCGGCTTTCGTCATACCGATACCAGTATCACGGATGGTGAGCGTCTTGCCCTCCTTGTCTGGAATGATGTCGATGCGGAGGTCTTTCGCTGAGTCGAGCTTTGATGGATCTGAAAGAGCCTCATAACGGATCTTGTCGAGAGCATCGGAGCAGTTGGAGATGAGTTCTCGCAGGAAGATCTCCTTATTGCTGTAGACAGTGTTGATGATGAGGGAGAGGAGCTGCGAGATCTCCGCCTGGAACTCGAACGTCTCGCCCGACATGATTGCGGTGGTGGAGGTGATGTGATGGATGGGATGTGGTCTGAATACTGAAGCCTTGGTCAGTTGCAATTGATGGTTGGCGGCAGTGTTTCCAGAGAATCAGAGATTGCCTGGCAATGGTGGCGGGTTGTTGTCGATGTTTGTGGGAAGACTCACGAGTGTCCTGGTGATTGAAGGAGCAGTGTGATGTGCGCGTGTGTACTTGACCGTGTGGAAGTGTGGTCGGGTATCAAAAGGATCAGATCAAAGTGAAAATTGGAGGATTGTTTGTAACTGAGGCTGAGAATTTAACGTCTGGCTGGAGAGCTCTTCTTTGCTCTTCGTTTCGATTCTGGTGTCTTCCAAACAGGTCCAAGCTTCCAGCCTGCTTGCTTTCTGGGTCTTCCCGGCGCTATTCCCACTTCGCGCACACAAGTTACATAAGCTAACTTCACTAAGGTATGGTACGCCAGGTACGGAAGCTGGCGAGATACCTCCTCCCGGGCAGGTCGCCGTCGCCTACCACCAACTTCCCTGTGTACTCCAATATATGGCGTACTCGCTCACGCGAACAAAATGATTAGAGAAGGCCTGGCCTGGCAAGGCGAGCTGATGCAATGCGAGCAGTATAACACTAAGTGTTGTCTTCGGCAATGGTTCAACTGTCAGACATACGGCCATTTAGGAACCCAATGCAAGGCAACAACACTATGTGGCTAGGCATGGAGGAGGAATTGGCTCGGACAAAGGCAGCTCATGCCTTCCGCCCTCAGCATCACCCGATAGCAGTCGCCTAAGGCCCAGCGATTAGCAAGGAAGTGCGACTAGGCGGCTATTTGGGAAGCGCTCGACGCAAGACCTGGGCCGACAGCTGGACATAGGAACCGAAAGAGACGTCTCTCGGGCCAGGAGAAAGGGCAAGAGGAGTAACACGTGTCCATGGAACTATGGCAGACCAAGAGAACGAGATTCCAATATGAGCAAGCCCTCGGAGAATACAGCGAGCAGCAAGTCTATCCGTAAGGGCGCCCGAGGCGCTTGAGAGCAACAGGTTTGCTCTTATAAATGGCCAGCAGATAGAGCTTGATGGAAACTGAGACTCATGAATGAGATATGCACAGTGAACTTACTACAGCACCATATGAGAAAAGTCTAGAGACTTCTTGGTCAACAAGAGATTGATCCAGGCCAAGTAGCAGTTTGAAGCCCACACTAGTAACGCATGCTCGTTATTAATCGCGCTTAGCACCACCAGCGCCACCGATACGAAAGTCGCTATCCACAACGTATAAGACTCACCCGTGGGTACATCAATTCCAACGACCAAGTTCAGTCGATAGTAGTTGGGTTCGTAACAAGCTCTACTCTGGTGTATACACTAGCCAACACAACACAAGACTGCGCAGGCCAACCGCTCGGGGTACCCGTCGACAGATACATACAGCCGCGAGTAAGCCAAGGAGAGTGAGTGCGGTATCGAGTGCTATTGCCACTGCGGGTGTAGATGCTGCAGGAGTGAGAAGACGCCACTTCCAAGCGATATAGCTGCACTTCTGGCCCACCTATCCGTTCGCGATTACTGCCCGCGCCACACGCTTGTTGATTTGGAACATGAGCGAGGCGAGGACGCTACCCAACTTCAAGCTGCATATCACAGGACATTTCCGAGCTGGCAAGAAGGCCTTGAGCTGAATTTACAGCATTCTCAGTGCACACACGTTCATGAGCTCTGTTGGTGCGAGAAAACAGTTGCAGAGCCTGGTTGAGCTCCTTTTGTCGTTGGAGGCGCACACTCAGCTGTTTCAATCTATTGACTCTACTTCTCATCTTGAGGCTTACTCTGTGCTGTATTCGAGAGGGAAATCTCAATCAGAAACAGTTGCCGTAGCCCACCTCGATAGCGTCGTCAGCTGTGGTGCAAAAGACGAGATCACAGGTCATTAGGCATTTGGAAGATTCCGGCCGGCATCTTTACCAAAGCCTATCGCTCGCAGGACTGCTGACATGCGCTCAGATCTACGTTCTAGTATTGTTGCGATGAATGCGCAATCTATACCGCCGGACCTTGCTTGCTTAATCCGACAATAGCCCGCGAACCCACGCAGCGTTGAACACAACTGCTCCAGCAGCTCCAAACAGACGACATTTCTATGCTCTTACGGTCGCCTGTGATACTCAGGACCGACGTCTGCAGCTGCTGATACCTGCTCGGAGCGTGGTCACCCCAATACTCCCACTCTGGCTATCGCGAGCCCGCCCATCACGTTCATCGTTCCTAGCGCACTCAGGATTTGCAGGTATCGTGCATCCTCCTATCGATAACAGTCTGCTTAAAAGCTCATCAATCTGAACACAAAGCTGAAGCCGCTAGAATCGTCCAACGAGAGCTCAAAATTCACTTGTGCTTACTAATAATTTGCGAGAGCAGCCTAGCGTTCCTGAAATCATTTCGTTGCTGTTGTTCCATCAAGAGATCCCAAGTGCTTCAGAGATATGTACTAGCCAAGCACGACGTAAAATTAATCAATCTAGACATCAGCTCGGGGGTTGGAGAATCCGTCTACAATACTTCTCACGTTGCCGCAGAGTAGTCGGCAATCGGCTCTGTTGATTCAATAATACCAGCGGGTGCCAGCAGTACCTGCCGCAAGATACAAGACTTTGCAGTCGACAAACAAACGTCAATAAACTTACAATATAGCCCGTAAGGGTTTTTGGTATGTAACAGGACTACCTAGGCATGCATGCATTGTGTCCTAAAAAGCTTCTCACAAGCGTCTCTGCTCTTGGTTCGCGATGGTTATCATTTGTAGCTAAGATAGTCTTCTCGTGGAGCTATGGCATATATGACCACAACACGCAACATTGGCGGAAGGAATCATGGAGACGCAGAACCGGCATTCGCAGCTGATTTTTTGTCTTTTAACAAGGGTATTTGGGGAGTGCTGCTGCTTTCCTTCGCTCGGCAATGCGAGATCAACCAACTATATGAATGCAATTACCCGTGTGCGGTGACCCTCGCGTACTCGGGAGCGTTCTGTTCAGTCCAGGTGAAGACAGCGTCGAAGTCTTTGCATACATGTCTGAGGCAAAAAATGAGTTAGCGAGTTCGTTTCGTGTGTTTTTTTTTCTGTAGAAGACACAAAAAAAATCTACCGGCTTCAATTGGCGCCGCAAAGACGTACGTGGATCCCCAACCCGTAGTGGCAAACTTATTCGGATGAGTTACATCAAACCCTTCGAGCGTGGTATCGCTAGTACATTGAACAACCTGGCGGAGGTATTCGATGCAATGACTATAGCATTTATCAGCTTTTTTTTTGTTGTTTCTCAAGGCGCCTCCGGGCCATCAGGAGTCTTCGAATCAAATCTTACTAAGTATGTTTCAAGTCCTGGCTCAAGGGCCGACCGTGAGTGAGCTCGGTGATGGCTTGCCCTAGCTCTTTCTGTTGTTGTTGTTATTATCATTATCAGCTTCCGTTGTCTCTTTTGCAATTTCGAATGTTTCTCAAAGGGAAGAATTTACCAAGCAGTGGAGTTGGTGGAATACGGCGATGCCGTGTATACTGCGGTTGTGCAGGACCAATGGCGGTGGCAGGTTCATGGCTGCTGTGTTGTTGTTGTGAAGTTCTACAAAGCCTCTGCCATCTGGAAGGGATAATTGTCAGACTTGGGGCCATGCAAGAGATCAGATCTGCTCCTCACTGGGAATAAGCGATGCCCATTGTTCGATCAAGGCTTCACTCTGTTGATCGGTTGGATGCTCGAGAAACTCCCATCGCTCGTCGTTCATGAAGAAAACGGATTTCTCGGAGACTAGTTAATTGAAAACTCCTGTCAGTCGTACATTCCTTCTCTCTTCATACATGCTCTGTCGGTCATAATGCCTTACGTACCCATAGGGACAAACCCATTCATATCTTCTTGCAGTCTACGATGTTTGTAGAGTTCCTCGTATCGTTGCCAGTGCCACAATATGGTGCCCCAAATACTTAACGCTGAAGTCAGGAGTAGCAGAACGACCACCGTTACTACGACGTTTCCATTCACATGCCTCCGATAGCGAACAGCATACTGAGATTGCCCTCCCGGTATGGCGGTGTACTTGATGGTCTTTGTCGGCCACATTCGCCAGACTGGACGAATTTGCATCTCAGTATCCGACTCTTCTTCTGGTCGTTCCAATTCTTTGTCCATAGTATATTGCAGTGTGCAAAGAACGAGCCCACATGCAAGATCGCAGTAGAGTCAACAGAATGCTTTTTCCTGAACGTTGCGTGCCTGTTGAAAGCTCTGCCCCGATGATAGATCCAGAGCAGGCAGCTGAACAGTGCCCGGACTCTTTCTTGATAAGGAGGAAGTTTTGAGGTGGCTGCGGCTAGGGAGCTCAAGGGTATAAAGTAGCGTAGATAGCTGACCATCCGAATGCAGTTGACCGACTGTTCTAATCATCTTTGGTGAAGGGGTAGACTCGAGATGGATGTGACATTGCTAGGGAGTGTAGGCCCGCGAAGACTAGGAAAAACTTTATGCATTGGGGGAAAAAGAAAACAGGGGTTAGGGGGTGCAATAGTGCGTAGGGAGAGTGTTGCATGGTATATTTACTGGAACTTTTCTAGAGTTTCCATGTTAAGCGATGTAACGAATGTACAAGGGAAGAGGGCTAGGCGATGTTACCTCCTACTGCGTCTTAGTGCTTACATACATGTACTCCGCTTGGGGTACTCCATTCCCCCACGAAAGCCCCACGAAAGCTTCTGAGAACATGAACAAGCATTGATGAAGCATTTTCAACTATTAGCCATAGTGGTCTCGCCATCCTTGTAGTGCACGTCTAAGCTATCTTTTCTTTAGCCATTGCTGCTGAGCTATCGAAGACCGCCCCGGATCTTTTGGCTTATGCAAGTGTGACAACCATTGACATATCTCTCTCTTTCAGTATTCTTCCTATTCCGCAGCAAGAACAGCCCATTCATAAAAACATCATGTCACGACTTCCACTGGCCCACGCAGACTTCTCAGATCGATCGTCCGAGCAAGATGGCAGTGAAGAGGGTCTTCTGCTGCGCACAAGGAGGCAAAAAAGTGGTCGGTGGCCGTTTCCAGGGATATACATCTTAGCCGGAGCACAAACCGTCATAATTTGTTTCTTGCTGCTCGCAATCTTTATGCTTCGAAGAAACGATCAATGTCAAAGTTATTTCCCGACCGATCTCAGTATGTCCACCTCAGGTATGGAGCGTCCAAAGCGTACGTTAATGTGCGGCAGCACACTTCGAAAACATCGTGGGGTTCAAAGAACTGTCCTTTGTCAATCCTCTCCAGCCAAAGAAGGACCTTTCGACGTGGGAGGTCTGGCTGGATGAGCCTCAATGGGTCGGACCACCAAGAGCAGAAATCGACCAGGCCTGGAAGGACTTGTTGTCCGGTAAGAGCTATGATGGCGATGACAAAAGAAAAGAAAAAGTCTCTAGGACTGACTGTTGGAAAAGTTACTACGTTCAATCGGTCTAGTGCCGCGTCCAAGTATGCAGATGGAAATGCATACCAATACTCGGATGGCAAGTACATCATGGGCTTTGAGGTATACCATGGTCTCCATTGCGTAGACACTCTACGAAAATTCCTCTGGCCCGACCACTACAAACAGACGGATCCTGAGGATCAACTAGAGTTGCACAAGCGTAAGTATCGGCCGAGGAAAAAACAAAAGGGAAAAAAAAGGAAACCACATGCTACAATGCAATCCATCATACTGACATTCTGGCCCCTAGAGCATTGCGTCGACTACCTGCGACAGTAAGATCCGTTGAACTTCCCTACAAACTTTTCCTCTTCTTCGTGTCCATCTGAGACCTCTTTGCTGACATTTTGCACTGCTCTCTGTTAGATATGTGCAATGCAACGCAGACTTGTCCCCCATGTGGGCACATTGGAACGATGTGTATGGGCTTGTCGTTACGCCTTACACGCCACATACGTGCCGCGATTTCGATGCATTGCATCGTTGGATTGTGGACGGAGATGAATGAGGAGATCAAAGACCTTTTTTCTTCGTCAATAGTAATACATTATGTAACGAATATTGACAAGAACCTACACCAAGTTTTCCAGCTTCGTCTTGAATTCATGCTAGGGTTAGGTAGAGGCATCGAGGGAGATGTATCACAGTCTCCTACCAAACTCGAATTGCAGAAACGCAATACTTTCTCCGCCCCAAATTTCTCCAAACCGCACAAGGTAGCACAAGCCAGGCCTCGCCAGAAACCACAGGCGTAACATCACGTACTGTAGCATCACAGGTCCTTCCGCCTGGGGGGGTTGTTCTTTCTTCTTTTTTTTTTTTTTTTTTTTCCTTCGCTTGCTTGCTCACCACAGGCCCCTAGACTTCTCTTCTCTCACCGCTACTAACACGAGATGCTACCTACTCCAAAGCCAATCGAACGCAGTGTTGCTAGCCGACATAGCCCTAGTTTGTACGCAGTATGTATGGTATGATCGCCGTCACGCTGCCACGCTGCCACCTATGCTTGCTTGCTCTAGTACCCATTCTAGCGCGTAGTCGGTATACCTAGGTCGGTAGGCAGCGTTACGGGGGTCCTTGTAGGAAACAAACTTTTCTATCTGCAACTTTGCAGATTCGTAGAAAGTTCAAAGAAGAAAACGTCGTTCAAGTACCTACTCTCCTTTGATGGACACTGCTACCGAACGGGGGAGGAGTTATCTCAGTTGGGACTCAGACGCTTACACTACTCGAAATGCCGACTTACCTCTTCCTAGATATCTCTCTTCTTCCTAGGTATCTCCTCGTCGTCGTCGTCGTCGTCCTCCTCCTCCTTGTCCTCCTCCTTGTCCTCCCTATGATCTCCTCCTCCTCCTCCTCCTCCTCCTCCTCCTCCTTCTCCTTGTCCTCCTTCTCCTTGTCCTTGTCCTTGTCCTTATCCTTGTGCTTCTCTTCTTTTCTCTTCTCTTCTCTTCTGAATTTTAGGCGAGGTAGCCCGTAGGAATAGAGAGGTAGGCAGGCAGGCAGGCAGGCAGGCAGGCAGGCAGGTAGGTAGGTAGGTGCCGTGCCTCTTGCTTTGCGCCTGCGGCGGGCCTTTTATTTTTCCTAAGGTGGTAACGTGTTGGGCCTAGTGGATTTAGCGCGCCCCTCTACAGAAGATGCGCCAATCAGACCGCGTGATTTTAGCCGATCAGAACGTACATTGTCCCAATTTGGTAGGCCTCTACTCTTTACCCGAACTACGCTGCGATTTCCCAATGTAGTAGGCCTCCACTCCCCCCTTCACCTGAAGGTTTGGAGGTCATTCCGTGCCAACTAAAAGACCAGATTGATTAGTCCTCTGCTCCCCCTTTCCCTAACCTACGCTTCGCTTCGGAGGGTAAGGACGTCGTTCCGTACCAAAAATGTCCTACAGGCCTGCCCGTTAGTGGTACGGAATGTGTACTAATCTCGATTTTCGGGCGCGTATGTCATCTCTATCTCTATCTTCAACTTTAACTCTATCTCTATCTCTATCTACATCTCGATCTCCTCCTCCTTATTCTCCTTGTCCTCATTCTCCTTGTCCTTATCCTTGTACTTGTCCTTGTGCTTCTCTTCTTTTCTCCTCTCTTCTCTTCTGAATCTTAGGCAAGGTAGTCCGTAGGGATAGAGAGGTAGGCAGGCAGGCATGCAGGCAGGCAGGCAGGGAGGCAGGGAGGTAGGCAGGTAGGTAGGTAGGTGCCCGAAGCTAAGAAGCCCGAAGCTAAGAAGCCCGAAGCGAGAAAGGTTATTGGCACGAGGTATTGTAATCGTAGGAGGTAGAGAATAGGAGAGAACAGGAGAGAACAGTACGGCAGCTGGATTTACGCGCTAACGCGCGCGGTCACATAAGATGGAAAAAGTTTGGATCAATAGAAAAGGGGCTTGGCGGAGCTGAAAAGTTGGACGTTGTTTGGAGTAGTATTGCCTTAACAGGCAGAATAGGGCAAAAGCGCTTTTGCGGGGAACCTAGGACTGTAGCCCCTGATTTACTTACGTACACATTCTCTCTGACGAACATACCCTAGGGTGCTGTCGCCCCGGAGTAATGAAGCTGCGCTAATGCAGAACAGTGATCTGGTGACTAGTCGCGAAGGGTATCCTGATCACAATGGACACAGTCAACACTTGTATGCAAGCTTCCTCGAGCATGTTGACCCCATGTTGAAAGGGAAGTAGGCTAGTGTGCATAAGGCCTCACAGCCAACCTAGCAGCGTAACATCGACGAAGAGGGTCGGATGCGCTTGACAATCCATTCTCTAAGTATAAATTCCCAGAGAATTCGTTGTTTTGTTGAATCTATCATCCCCATCCAATTCCTACATCACAACACAAACGATCCAAGCCCTCGAAGTTCAACCCATCTCAACCTTCAATATGAAATTCCCAGCAACAACAACCCTCCTCCTCAGCCTCCTAGGAGCAAACATCATTTCCGCCGTAAGCCACTCCCCTCCTTCTCACAACCATCTCTAAAAAAAACAGGCTCCCCTCAAGGCAACCTCTCTCACCCCCCGCGATGCAGAACCTCAGTATTATCCGGGTTATTGTTCGATCCCTAACTGTGGACACGGACCCGAAAAACGCGCTGCACAAGCTGCCGATAAGGCGTGGAAACGTGCTCTAGAGGAGGTGGGGTTGGAGGAAGCGGAGTAAAGGGGGCGAAAGAATGTTTTTGGACTTGAAGGGACGGGAGGTATTTAAGTCCGGGGGGTAAAAGTCCGGGGACAGGGAGGAGAAGAGAGGATGTTTGATGTTGGATGTTTGATGTTTGTCTCTCTTTGTTCGTCTTCTCGCGTGAGAAGTTTGATCATTGATAAAAGTGGTGTTCAACCACCACTACTGCTACCACATGAAAACGCGCTGCGAGGGTGAGGAATGATGATGTTGTTGTTACAAGGTAGTTGCATTATTGTACCTCTCGCAAATACATGTAACCCTCGTGTACCTAGGGTGCACCACATCTACCCTATATCTACGGCCTTATTGTCGTAGTAGTAGACCCGTGCCTACCCCCGAGATACTGAGCGAGGGTTCCAAACCCGAAAACACCCTCAAATCAGTAATAGGAACGGGGATCTCGTCGCTCGCAATATACCTAGATTCCAGTATGCCGTTTGGTTTATTGGCACGGAACGACCTCCGACCTACCAAATTGGGAATAGTGTACACAGCTGTGAAGATCCCTCGAAAGCGCACGCTCTGATTGGCGCGATCTCTTGGGGTAGGGCACGCTAAATCAACTAAACCCAATACGTCATCACCTCAAAAAGAAAAAGCCCGTCGCATGTGCCTACCTGCCTACCTGCCTCCCTGCCTACCTGCCTGCCTACCTGCCTGCCTGCCTGCCTACCTACCTATCCGTCCCTACGGGCCACCTTGCCTAAAATTCAGAAGAGAAGGACAAGAAGAAGAGTAGCCCAAGGACAAGGACAAGGAGGAGGAGGAGGAGGATAAGGAGGAGGAGATGGAGATGGAGATGGAGATATAGGAAGTAGGAAGAAGAAGCCCGGGAAGAAGAAGCCCGGGAGCAAGAAAAAGAGAACGCCCGGGAGGAAGAAGAAGAAGAGAATGCCTAGGAAGAAGAAGAAGAAGAAGAGAATGCCCAGGAGGAAGAGGAGGAGAACGCCCGAGAAGAAGAAGACGCCCGAGAAGAAGAAGACGCCCGAGAAGAAGAAGACGCCCGAGAAGAGGAGAACGCCCGAGAAGAAGAAGACGCCCGAGAAGAAGAAGACGGCCGAGAAGAAGAAGACGCTCGAGCGTGTAAAAATTGAGATTGGCACTCTATACACGCACTCCGTACTACCTAACGGGCAGGCCCTTAGGACATATTATAGAGTATACCTACCTCCTAGCTATAGATAGAGGTAGTCGTATACAATATAATAGACAAGGCAGATAAGGCCCTGCTTATGTAATAGCGCGGGTTAGATAGCGTTACAAGTTATATAACGAACCGCGGCGGATAGCGACAGAACGAATCCTAACCTGCAAACTTAGTAGCATATTGAAGAGTAGACGGTAGGGGATCGATTGCGGGTTACTACGACTGATTTGGTACTATTTCAAGGGGTGCGCAGTATGCTTACATAAGTCGGGGGTAGGCACGGATTTATTACTAGCACAGTACCTCTAGGAGGTAAGAGCGAGTAGAAGAAGAATAGGAAGAAGGAAAAGAGGTAAAAAGTGGGGCAACTGTATAGCAGCCCTATGTAGCACTATTCTAGCCGCACCAAAGCATGTACAAGTGTGAAAGGAATTTCATGAATGCCCAAGACTAGCGATTCCGGTGTGTGGTAGTCCCGAGTATGATATAGAACGCTCATCGTATGCTGTGCTGATTATCCGATTCTATTCGGATGTCGCTCATGCCAAAAGTAAATATATAAATCTCTCAACGCACAAGGAAAAAAAGGGTTTGTCTTGTAGAGTGCTTAGCGAGCGCAGCGGACCAGACAGACTATGTCAGGAATCCTCTGCTCCTGACGAGGGTCTGTAAAAGGGGGTGCCAAAACCATATTGTGTTCTGGTCGGCCGCTGTGCTCAAGCTCGCACATGTACCAAAAGAAAAAGAAAAAGAAGTGTCGGGTGTGTGATATCGACCTCAGGCGGACAGAATGTGCTCACCCTTGCCCCGATAACGCTGGAGCTCCAGGCCCAGTTCCCTCATTCGTTCCGCTCCTTTGCCAGGCTTGACTTTGTACGCCTTTTCGCCTTTGGCAGCGGCCTTGGCACACATCTTTGCATGGAGCTTCTCTTTGCGGCGCTGTCGCCTCTTCTCGAGACCTTTGTAAATGTCAATGGCTCCGCGCTTATGATAATCGCTCGCACGGGTGTGGTGACCCGTCTCGGTTTCCTCGCCGTCGTCCATGCGATAGCCATTAAATTTGCCCAGAGTGTAGCCGCCGTTGCGAGGAAGGGAAGCAGTATGCGTCAGTTGCGGTCTACTGGCAAGGACGTTCGGTTGATTGCCAAAACCGAAAGATACGGGAGATGCACGCCGTGTATTGGGCGGAGAAGGCATATTGTGTCCCTGTGGCGCGGGGGACTGAGTCCTCTTCGGCGAATGGGCGAACAGCTTGCGTGGTGCAGGAGAGCGTGTCCGTCGGACCGTGGGCGGCGGTGACCGTGCAGCATTGCGTCGCCCCGGCGGAGGGGGCGAACGAGCTGTGGTCGCCGTGCGCTTCATACCAGCAGGAGCAGGCGATCGACGACGAGCAGGAGGCGGCGGCGATCGATGCAGTTGACTGGATCGGCGGCCACGATTGGCAGGCCGATGACGAAGAGTAGAGTCGCCGTGAAGATCCTCCAGCCCTCCATGCATCAAGTTTTCGTTCTCGCTCTCTTCCGCATCCTCCAGATCATCGTCGTCCTCTTCGTCCATTTCAGGATCCGAGGTCGGGAATGTGGGGTCAATATCTTGGGGACGTGCCTTGTGCTTGGCCGCTTCGCGTGCCTTCTTGTGGTTGAGAAAGGCTTGCTCCAAAGGACGATCCTCATCCAGGGTGCCGCAGACGAAGTCGGTGGAGTCCGGCAAGTCCATCGGCTCCGGTCGAAGTGAAATGGGCATGGCGTTGGCCAGTGTCTTCCGTGGTTTTCGTGACAGGTTCCTCGGCGACATGTGGCCGGAGCTCACAGAACCCAGGGAAGACGTCTGCAGGGTAGTATCGTTGAGCTTCATCTTGGCCAGCTGATCAAGGTGATCTGTCGAAGTGGCAGCGGTGGACAGGCCACCAGGTCTCCACCAGTCCCCGTCACTATCCTCGCCCTCCGAATCCGACTCTGCAAACCCATCCTCGTCGTCTGTGCGGAATCCGTCGTCCGACTCGGATTCGAGCTCGATGTCATCGTCTTGTTCCCCATCATCTTCGTCCATGTCATCATTCTCATCGTCTTCCGCGTCTTCCTCCTCCAGTGCTTCTTCCTCCACCTCTTCACAGGCTTTGCGGATGGTGATTTCCTTCTGCAGGGTGTCGTTCACCGTGAGTCGACTCTTGTAGCATGTCGACTCCTGTACCCACTCTTCTGGCTCGCCATCTTCCGAGGCGAATTCGTGGAAACGAAGAGCTTCCGTGCTGTTGTCGGAGCCGTGAGATGGTTTGCGTCTGTGTATAGGCACAGCAGCAGATGATGTGGTCGGGATGGGAGCAGCAGTCTCGGGTACGGCGGGAGTCTTGCGAACACTTTTTGGTGAAGCGTGTGTGACGGTGCTGTCGGAGCCACGATGTACTCGTGGTGATTCGATCTTGCTGCGTCGCTCGAGAGGAGGCGGGCTGGCGAGACGCCTGCCCGACGACCTCTTCTCCACCATGGGCATTCTGGGCTCCATTGCAGCCCGAGTGGGACAGACGAACTTGAGGGCGCATTTGCGTTTCGGTGGTGACGAAGGCGCGGCGGTCTGCACAGGAGGCGCAACAGGTGTAGGCTGAGAGGTGGGAGACTTCTTGTCCTTGCCGCCACCGCCACACGCGAAGCTGATGCATCTTTTCCGCCCCAGTCCTGCCTCCACCGACTGCTCTGAGCCCGTAGTGTCTGCCAACTTATTGTCGTGCTCCGCGATCTTCGGTTCCTTATTGGCAGGCTTTCCTATTGCCGGGACAGCAGTGCTGATGACCGTCGCGGGCAGAGGCGGTGAGTGGAAGGGACTCGCGACGCTATGGCCGTCGTCACTGGTCAACTCTGCAGTAGATGCGGTGCTGGGAATGCTCCATGTAGACTGCGTGCTCAAGGTACGAGGAGGTGCGCGAGAGGGTGGCTCGTCATCGGTTTGTTCGGCCTCGGAATGCAGTTGGCGCGTCAACAAAGATTCGCGGCGCAGGTACATTGCGGGATCGGCTTTGTTGTAGGGTGGGTAAGCAGCGAGCTTTGGTGGCGCCCACGTGGAGCGGCTCTTTCGTTCGTCTGGCGGCTCGTCTACGTCGGGGAGGATTTCCTCGGAATGGTCCATACCAGCAGTCGTGGCAGAGGGAGCCGATCGCTGCACGGTATTACGGTGGTCCATGATGTGACAGGGGATGCAGGTGTTGTTGGGTCAGGTGTAGGTAGATGGGAGGGTGGTCCACGGTGCTCGTGTTGTCGAGAGTAAGGCCTGGTCCAGCGCAGGCTCTGTATTGTAGTAGACTCGAGAGGGTTAACAACGTGCAGGTGTGGACGGGTGCGAACGTTGATTGATAATGACCCAACGGGCCGCTCGTGCTATAAGGTGACAGCGAGCATAGTGGTGAAGGCAGAGGTTTCACAGAGCGGTGGCAGTTCTATAGCGCAGCGATGCGCCGGTGTGAATTTGTGACGTCTGTAATGTCGGCGTGAAACGTGCTTTGGCCAGGGCAGGGTCAGCGTGGACAGAGGCGACAAGAAGGTGATGCAGGATGATCGATTACCGGGACGTGGCTGTGGGCTGAGGTGAGGTGAGGTGATGGTAAGGCGAGGCAGAGCAGACTACCTAACTCAGCTTCGTACCTCGCAACGAAGCACTGCGACTGCGTGCGAATGCTGAGGCCGGCGACGTCAGAGAAGGCGATCCAAGAATAGGGAGCCGTGGGGGTGCTGGTGTTGGCAGAGAATGAAGGTGAAAATGAAGAGGCTCACGTCGACAGCGGCAGCGGGTGGCGAATTACGTGTGGAGCCGGCGTTGGCGGAGTCGTGTTGTAGTGATAGTAGTAGTGGTAGTGGTAGTAGTGGTAGTGGTGGTAGTGGTGGTAGTGGTGAGAGGAGGTGGTAGTGGGAGAATTATTGTTATCAGCAGTCGAGTGCGTGTAGTGTAGCAGGGTGTGGTGTCATGTGGTTCAAATTGCGTTGCGCGGAGCGTGGGTGTTGAGAGCGGGAGAGAGGGAGAGAGAGAGAGAGAGAGGTGTGAGTGGACGAGGCGAGTAGGTAAGGCAGAAAGCAGAAAACAGAAAGAAAAAAAAAAGGGCTCGGCAGGTTCTCCAATGAGTGGAAGTGGAAGTGGGACTGGGACTGGAACGACCACGACTACGGTAGAGCGAGCTATACCTGCCTACGCTACGCTACGCGGCTACGGTTGATGTCAAATCTACCGACTTCCACCGGGCGCAAAGCCTAACACTGGCTGACAGACCTCACACATGCACCATCCACAGCAGTCGCAATTATTCCTATTTATCAAGTCAGCATCCGCAGCCGCAGCCGCAGCCGCAGCCGCATCCGTCTCAGTCTCAGTCTCACTGCCCGGCCATCGCATTCGCTTTCTTCGCTTCACAACGGCCTCGTACCTGACTGACTGCTATGTGAAACCTACCTCCACCTCCTACTGTTTTCCGTCACATCCCACGAACCTACGGATACTGACACAGCACCCAAAACGACCGACCGACGCCTAGAGGGAATGCCACGAGGGGAATGCAACGACGTCTTTCCATCTCTACCTCCTCCACTCCACTTGTCCTACTGACCAGTACATGTATACTTCCCACTGCTCTGCTGACCCTCTGAATTCTTGCCTGTCGCACGAATCAATTGCCGCCTTCTCCCCCCCTCAATCCCTCCCCCAGCTCGGTCTGCTGCAACATCCAATACGACGTGCATGGCAAGGACTTTTGAGGGATTTTTGATTGGTCCTAGTGCTCACCGCGGGCACTGATATACACAAAAGGCGCGTAAGAAGGGGCACTAGGACAACTGACTAGTCAACTACCGGAACGGCTCCACGAGCACTTGTCCTGTCACTTGTCGCTGTCGCTGTCACTGCTTTGCTGGCTATTTTATTTTTATTTATTTTTCACGGCCTCACCACGGCAGTAGTAGCATCCTCATCACACGCTCGCCGCAGACGTCGTCGTCGTCGACGGTGTTGACGTACGCACGCCGGTGTGAGTACGTGTACATGTCTAGGTAGCCATATCTGTACCTCCGCTGAGCTTCACCGATAGATGGATGTCATCATCACTCTACTCCTCTTCGGTGAGCGCACGCGCGCGGGCTCCATACATGGGAAATACAGTACCTACCTACCTTACCTTAGGTACCTACCTTATATACACAACATATACTTTCCAATCCTCCGTCCTCCTGCAAGGCGCGCAAAGTCGCACCCGATCGAGTGCATAAACACCGAACCGACAGTAGAAGTGTGTAGCTCTTACTTCTCCATTTTTTGTAATTAAGAGTGGATAGGTAGGATGCTCACAAATCACAGCTCACCGAATCCGCCACCCCCGAAAGGAAGCTGCCCACTACCTAACTCTCAATTGGCATCTGCGCCGTCGGTCATCATTAGCATTCAGCAGTCTGTCTATCCCCCACGGTTCCGTTCCTGTCGCGTCGCGATGATAAGGTTAGGTACCTAAAGTATGCATCGGCCCGGTGTGCTGGCTGCTAGTTGTACCGTTCCCTCTCTCTCCTAGAGGATAGTCTATAGAGCAAAACATCCCGAGAACAGGAAGAAGCCACATATACCTCCTATTGTTCTACTTAGCCTGTATACACTTTATGCTACCTACCTTATGTGTATACAGGCTATCTATATACATAAAACTACCAAATTGTATACTGTAGTCGCGTCGTAGATATGAATTAGCGATATAGGTAGCGGGGTATAAGTCGTTGCCGTCTCGCGATGCCTCTATAAGCACTATTGACTGTTCAACAGAGAAGAGGAGGAGAGATATAGAACATAGAAGAACGATCGAAAGCTCTATATGAAGGCGGTAAGTAAACAAACCGGTAGGCGACGCAAGGGCGACGAGAAGGTATTCATTAGTCGTAGCCGTCACATAGTTATTTGTTGGCATGTTCATCTCACGCTGGAAAGATTGGGCGTGAAATCGATGGGGCTCCTACAGTGTACCTACAATGTACGCGATCTTATCCGTGGCACTCTTTCGAGCACCCACCTAGCGCGGAAGAGATCGTTATCGAGAGTGATACAGTCGTCCTCATGAGGGGAGTCGTCGCGTGCCTGAAAGCAGTCCTCAGCAAGGTAACATCTGAGGTAGTAATGACCTTGCCTATGCCACGACTGGAGGGCAGCCACGTGAGATACTCCCAATTTCTTTTTGGGTGAGATGCTCCCAAAAACAGAGGTGAGATGAATTCACGATCCATGCCCAAACCTTTGCTTCGCGTGCGGCGAGGGCCATGGCGATGTACTCAGCCTTCGTGCTAGACTGCGTCACTAGTGGTTGAAGACCGCTCTTGAATGAGACTGGTCCTTCACCAAGTCTGAAGATGTAGCCGCATGTGGAGCGGCGGCTGTCTGGATCATCACCAAATAACGAGTCGACGAAGCCCTCAAGCACCAAGGATTGTGGACTGCCACCAAGGCAGATGCCATCGTTTGGGTGCTGTGTGAGGTAGGCCAGTGTGCGGACTACCTGTGCAAGGTGGCCTTCAGTTGGATTGCAGACGTACTTGGATAACAGGTGCGCTGGGAGAATGGCCTCGATGCGTGTCATCTGTGCTGGCCACATGATGCTGCCGACCAGTTGTTGATACTGGTTCTGGGGGTGTTTGCTAGCCTGATAACCTTCTGGGGCTTTCTCAAACTTGAAGTGAATATCTAGTGGCGTGTTGACAAGACGGTGTCCATCCATAGCGAACGACGTCGCCACTGGAGTCGATGCAGCCTGAACTGCCTCTGGCCACACGTGTCTCGGCAGTTTGCCTGAGATCATCATCTTTCGTGCCAGCAGCACAACGAGGTTGTTGGTGGACTCAGCCCTGCCATTCTGCTCACTGTCGTGAGGAGTGGTGGACAAAATCCGGATACCACGCCGAGTGCAGAAAGTGTGAAAAGCCCCGTTGTCAGTGAGGGCCTTGTCGTTATCGGCTCGGATATTTTTGACGTCGATATCGAGCTGAGTCTTGATGTAAGTAATGTGATCCATCAGATATACACCGGCGCCTCCGCGCGTGCGGTGCGATTTGCCGTGTCGATAAAGACACATGCCATCCGTCACAGTAGTAATGTACTGGACACTCCCATAACCAAGGCCTGCTGCTTTTGGTACAACGGTGTCGACAGAGATCTCGTCATATGGGGTTGTTGGACGCTTGCCAGGTACTCGAGAGATCTTGCGCTTGGCCGTAGCCAATTGGCAAGCCTCGCAGGAGAGTTTGTCGGGTATGTTTCCTTCAATCACTATGCCATTATGAGTCTGTACAGCCTGTTTCAGTGCTGAGGCTGACAGGTGACCAAGGCGGAGGTGCCAGTCCTGTGCTGTTGCAGAAGCTGGATAAATGACTTTGCTGCTGTTGATGTAGGCAGTCTGGGGTGGCAGGGGAGTGTGTGGATCACTCAGCCGTACCACGCGAGCGCTGGGCGCGTCGAGTTTGTGGCTCTGCGCCACATGAGGTAGACCATCGACGACTATGCAGTGGCCGATAACGATACCTCCTCGAAGAAAAAGGTGTTTTGTGTCAGAGCGGTAGTACAAGCCTTTGTCTGCTACTCTCTCACCACCAAGGTTAACTTGCATGTCTGGTACGTATAGGCAGTTGCTAACATCAATAGAGTGTTGACTGTCGTCCGGTGCTTGCAACACCAGTCGAATAGTGCCCTTTTGTGGGGCATGGAGCAAACGACCATCACCTACTGCTACAAGATTGTCGCACAGAGTCGTGTCGCCGGTGAACAGGTCGAGGTCGTTTATGAAGTGTGAAGAGGCGCCGGAGTCGTAGAGAACGTCGTTGCGGCGCGTTTGTGGACCAGCCTCAAATGAGGACTGGTGGACGGTTGTATGAAATCCTCCATGGTGAAAAACCTCATCAGAACCGTTGATTGACTTCTTGCTGTTGCCAGTGTCGGACTGTTGTCTACCGCCGGATCGCTGTTGCTGCTTCAGAGTCTTTGGTGATTCTTGGCGATGTCGGGGGTGTCCTTCTGAATAGCCATGCTTTGAGAAGCAGACGTCTGCCTTGTGACCTTTCTTGCCGCAGAAGTTACAGGTGGGTGTGTCACCCCCAGAAGTCCCAGAAGCAGCACATTTCTGCGGTCGGTGCTGTTGTTGCGATGTATGTCCTGGATTTCTCACACACAGTTGTTCAATATGTACGAGGCCGCAGCCGAGTCCGCCTTTTCCCGGTCAAGCATGTCCTTGCTGGTCTCAAACGCCTCTTCCTCAGCAGCCAACCGTGTCTGATATTGGATGAGGGTCTCTCCAGTACTCGTTTGTTGAGGCAGCACGGAGCATTTGAAGGTAGGGCTGGCGGCGCTCATAACCACTCGGAACAGAGATCGGGGCGAAAAGCAGTGTATAGGTAGTGGAGGTAACTAACTACGAGTGCTCTGGAAGATACCTACCTAGGTACCTTAGGTTGCTGTGCAAAGCTCTAACCCCAAAGCGGACTAGTGCGGAAGAGAGTCACATAGAATGCATGTGAGACCACACTTCATTCTAATATGTCCTGCGGGCCTGTCCGTTGGTGGTACGGAATGCGTGCCAATCTCAATTTTTTACGCGTGCGTATATACCTGTATTGTGTATTCTATCTCAATCTCTATTTCTATCGCTGTCTCTACTCACTAGGCTTCTTAGTAGGCTTGTTGGTAGGCTTCTTGGTGGGCTTCTTGGTAGGCTTCTTGGTGGGCTTGTTGGTGGGCTTGTTGGTAGGCTTGTTAGTGGGCTTCCTGGTAGGCTTGTTGGTGGGCTTGTTCTTCGTATTAGCAAAAAGCAAAAACCTAGGGGGCACCGACTAGATTACCCCCCCCCCCCCCCCTCCAAGGGGGGCTAAGGATCGCGAGGGTATCCTTCGGGGTGCAATGTAAAGTGAAGCTACTACCTCCTACCTCCTAGGTAATAGAGGCATTGGAAGGTAGGTAATATCGTAAGGGTACGGTAACAACTTGATAACTCATACCAGTAAAGAGAGTGGCTAGGCGAGGTTAGGGAGGCTGAGCCAGTCAAGGGTATTACGCCAGAGTGTGCCGTAACAACAGGTTATGGCGACTTCAGCAGCTCTGCTTCAGTTACAAGTTGGAATGGTAATTGGTCGCAGTAAGAAAAACGAGAGCCTAGGTATCTGACGTGTAGACCTTCGATTCTCGAATGCTAGTCGGTCGGAAGAATCGGCTGTAACAGGAGACATAAGAAGCCTTGATTACGACCTGTTATATGGACAGCCTTGACAGGCTACTGAGAATATTATTGGTCGCTCTAGAAATAACAATAGACTATTTCACGTATAGGCCTTCGAATGCTAGTTGGTCGGAAGAATCGGATGTAATATGAGGCATAAGAGACGCCCATCGGCAATTGTATTGCTTGTTTCCAACCCTCAGGGGCTCAGGATTTTACCTAGTAACGATCGAAGAACGATATCAGACTTAGGTAAGACGACGGTTCTAGAAGAGAATACTTGGAAACTATATAATGTTAGCGCTTTCGCCGTTGAGAAAATGCTGCTTGTACTCGAGTTATCGTCAACGAAGCCTTCTGCAGCAAGGCAAACGACCTTCAACTTTGACCTCCGACTCTGACCTCCAACTTTGACCTCCTTTACACCAGCTGCCTCTATTCGCTCAAACACCACAAGCAAAGAGAAACACAACAATCAGCAAAATCGGCCGAGGCAAAACAGCAGAAAATGGTCACATTATATCTAACTTGGCTTTGGTTGCTCAACCTGCTTCTCTTACAAGTTTTTGCAGCGAGGGACTGCTCCATCGGGGGTGTTCATTTCTACACTGAGCTGAACTGTAGACCCGCATCCCAAGCGTCGGCTATTGGTATCAGCGGACAATTCGACCCCGAATTAAAAAAATGCAGACTAGGCTCCGAATTTGGGTACATTGCGAGCATATCTAAAGATCCTCCCGACATGTGCGTCGACATACGAGTGTTCAACAATGAACACTGCAACGGTACACAAGTTGGTGGCATGTCGGTATCTCAAACTGGGTGCGTAACTCAGGATCTTGGTGTGCAAGATGGGCACTGGTACCAAATATGGGCCGCTCTTTCGCCGCCCTAAGATAGATCTGGATGTGACAACGAAGCCTGCGGATACTGGACTACACTTCTGGCACGGATTGTATACGGGCCGCAACCGATTCCTACGAAGAGACCAAGCGATTATTGACGATGGAGGATTGGATTTCTGGCCAAGTTTGGAGAGTTTGTATTGGTGATTGAGAGTAGAGGGGATGGAATGTCTGCAGTTGGAGAAGGCATATTGTCGGTAGGAGGTACAGCCTTTGGTGTACTGGGAGGGTGAGATGTTGGTGTTTCAGCAGGTGACGGGGGAAAGATTTTTCTTTTTCTTGTTTTGGACCATCGCAAAAGTAGGTAGTGAATCAATATATGGCTTATAATCTTCGACAGGTTATAAGCCCAGATAGATTAGTATAGCATTAACTGATTCGCGCGTACGTGAATTCTGTCTCTATCTCTCTATACTGTATTCTTCCTCCGCTTCTTCCTCCGCTTCTTCCTCCGCTTCTTCCTCCGCTTCTTCCTCCGCTTCTTCTTCTTTCTGGGCTTCCTCTTCTTCCTAGGCAACCTAAGTACCTCCTTACACGAATTGGTTGGCCTCCACTCCGCCCTACACCTGACCTACGCTGCGCTTCGGAAGGCTTGAGGTAACATTCCTTTGGCCCTGGAAATCGCCGAAAACGGCTTAGAGACACTGGACTGAACTGCACTGTCTTTGTTCGTTATTCTGATTCGATTCACAGTGAGATGAGCGAGCGGTATTCGACCGAATGAAGCTGTTATTGTTTGAGATGTTAGTAGAGGGGAATTCCTTTGCCTTTGCTCGGGCTGAATCCTATATGTAGGTACATTATGCTTGATCAAAATGCATCGCATCGTCAGAAGCACGATTATCATTCCCAGAATCATAAGTTGTCGAAAAGCGAAGAACTGCAAGCTCACAGCAGTCAGTCACAATAAGTTCCAAATCCGGCAAAATTTCCAAAGAATGAACAAAAGAAAAATAAAAAAGAAAAATACTTCTCCTTATTCTTTCATACGCCGAAAGCGTCCAGCACAGTAAAGTAGGTAGATATACATCTCATCTCGCCCCCCATATTGTCCCTTACCTCCTCTCAAGAAGAAGAAACCACCACAATTCTCGTCTAGACCTCATCAGCATCATACCCGCCAAAAAAACCAAATCTCACCAAAAAACCAAAACCAAAACCAAAAACCACCCCCTCCCAAAAGAAAGAGGTAAAAAAAAAAAAAAAAAAAAAAATCTCAACCATGCCCCCCAAACGCCCCCTCCCCAAACACCAACCCAACCCGGGCGAACGTCTCATCCTCAAAAATCTCCTTCCGACAGGCCACTTCACCTGGAACTATGCACCTCTCAGTCCCTGGCAACTCACGCGCACGGGAGACGCGGGAGCGCGACTCATCGAAATCCACATAACAAATTTCCGCGTGGCAAATCTCGCAGCGGCGATGGCGAATTTTCCTTGGGGAGATAGAAAATTTCCTATAGCGGTGTTTTTGGTCGTGGATGTGACAGAGGCGTTTTCGGGGGATATGGAGGAGGCGGTGGAGTTTGTTAGGACGGGGGGGATTGGGTCTTCTTCTTCTTCTTCTTCTTCTTCTGGGGGAAGAGGAGGGTTTGGGGAGGATGTGGGGTTTGTGGAGGGGAGAGGTTCGGGGAAATTTGGGATGAAAAAGGGGAAAGATTTGGGAGGGGAGGGGGCGAAGGAGGAGATGAGGAGATTTTTGTTTGCGTGTTTGTCGGTGACGTTGCCGAAGATGAAGACGACGAAAGGTGTTGGTAGTAGTAGTATTGGAGAGCGGGTGTTGGAGTTTTGGGAGGATGTGCGTGCTGTGAGAGAGGCGGTGTGGGATGACGGGGAGATGAAGAGGTGGGTGGCGTTCAAGTATGCGGTGAAGAGGAAGATGGTGGAGGATGCGGAATTGGAGAAGAAGAGCAATTTGATTTGGGGGGTGAAGAAGGGTTGGTGGATTGCTCTGGGGGTTTTGGTATTGTTTCTTGTTGTTGGTAACTTTGTGCAAGTTCCTGGTACGATGACTTCGCAGGAGGGTTTGTACAAATAGATCCGATGATGACAGATTCTTTCCTCATGAGATTGAATGTGGCAAAAGAGGATTAGGGCGGCGGCTGAGATTTGGATGTTGATGAGATTTACGAGTCGGGAATCTAGAATGAATCGTATTTGATTTGAATTGTCGACCGCTTTCTTCTTGTGTTCGTACTCCTGATTGTACTCGATCCGTATGTCTGCGCATAAAGTCAGTATCTCGTGCACTTATCCTCTTCTCCATGTTGACCAAGATAATATGAATGCTTATACACGTAAACATTCGGAATCATCTCTCTCTTTGACCCTTGTGTTTGCTGATAGCCGACACAGAGGGAGTCTGAATTCGACGAGAAGTTTTACTTGCTGCTACGCCCTGGGCTTGTAATCTGGAGAATCGCCCCCTATGCGGAGATGTACTTGCAACGTCTTGGCCGGTGTCTGATCTCGCAAAGTACACGAAGAAGCGCTCAGCGTGGCCAGCAATTGCAATTACACATCCACCGTATTGGATCATTTCGGATGATGGGCAGCATCATCCAGACCGACGAGTTCCCAATCTCCATCAATCCCATCTCACCTACAGTACCTCACGGGATCACAAACGGCAGCCCCGTCTTCCTCAAAATCCTAGCCAGGGACATACAACTCCCACACCTGGGCAAACCCAACTTCATGCAATCTTCACTATGGTCCAGGCCCTCGAGACGCTCCGTCTCATACTGATACACCTCTTGCCAATTCTTCGTCACCGCATCCTTAATCTTCCGGAAATGCAACTTGCCCACCTCGTCCACAGGGCCGGGAATTTCCCGAAGTGCGATTGATACAAATCGGAGCATTATGAGATCTGTGCAAGTTCCGACATAGCTGATTTCGAGTTCGGAAGCGCGTTTGTTTGCATTGCTGAAGCGGTTGAGCCAGCGTTGGAGAAAGGCGAAACCACGAATTGGTAGATCAGTAGGATTGGGAAAGGTGAGCTCGATTTTCAAAGTTGCTGCGTTAGGCTTTTTCTTCACCATGTCGCCGCCTTTCCTCGGCTTCAGTAATTTGATGTCTCTATCTGGTAGTCGATTCAGGAAAGTGATGACTCTCGGGAATTTGAATTCAGCAACCCGCACTGTAAGACAATACATGGCTTGGCCGAGCATTTCTCCGTGGATTTGTTTGCTGACGAGACTCCAGTTTGAGGGCATGGCGATGCGGAGGTCTAGGGTTAGATATGCGCCGCAGGTTTCCAGAACGGCCGAGTGCACATGGTTCTGAATTTCGCCGGGAAGGTCAAGAAAAGACACCTGGTCGTTGCGTTGGCGAATGGAGTTGGGATATTCGCCGTCTTGATCTATACCAGTGGTCTTGGGTCGGGGCTTGCGCGCTGGCATGATGCTAGTTACGTGGAGGTGTTTTGAAAATTTCAGGTCAGAAGAGAATGTGGCGGGCAGTGGACGCATATTGAGATATTGTCCTAGCAAACTGTTGTTCTGGTCTTCACGAGGGAGGAAGTGAAGGAAAGGCAGGCGTTATCCAGTTCGTTTCACTGCTGTTTCGCAGCACGGGACTTGATTTCGATGCCGACCGATAAGACACGCCAAACGCCCTCGCTGAAGAACGCACAATAGCTGAAGGGAACCTCCTCGGGCCGTCTCAATCGTCGAAACCGCCAAAATCGTCGTCTTCACCCACGACTTGACCATCTTCATCTTCCATCTCTTCGTCTTGAGCTTTCCTTCCATCCTCAACACTCCCATCCTCCGCAGTCCTCCACCTCTTCCCTCCCAGCAACCTCTCATCCTCCAAACTCTCCTTCGCCCTCATCCTCACACTCTTGACCAAGCTGTCTTTTTGTAGTTTCTGCACAGGCTTCATCACCTCCTCGACAGGACACCCTCCATCCTTCTGTTCCCCGTCAACCTTCTCCAATTCATCCACCCACACATCCAGAACGTGCAATTTCAACCCCACAGGCACTTTCACATCCCTCACACTCAGTGGCCCGCCGTCGGCTTCCAGCACCTCCAAATACCTGTTCCAACTTATCGCGCTCTTCTTTTTCTTCTTCTCACTGCTCGCAACTTCGAACCCCTTGTTCACATAACACCTGACCAGGTAGAGATACTTGTCCATTCGCAGACTATCGATACCACCCCATTCTCGCGCCATCGTCTTCCAAAACGCCTCTATCCAGGGCAAGACATTCTCCGACGCGAGGACGTCTGTGAGAGCAGCGAGGTCGCGCGCGAGGCGTTGTTGATTGCGCGGCTTGTCGGACATGAACATGCAGTAGTGAAGACCTTTCCATAGCTTCAATAGGTCGAGGGACGTGAAGGGTTTGGAGCGTGAGAGGTAGGTGCGGAGGGAAGAGAGGGCGCGGTCGCGGATTGTGCGGTCTGGGAGAAGGTTGGTTTAGTTTTTGTACAATGTTTTGAGAGTAGGGTTCTCATACCGCTTGAGGCGAGCTGTTTGACAAAGGGACTCAGGTCGGAACTCTTTTGCGCTTTCGTTGCTGCCATTGTGAGCGTTGTGTTGGAAAGATGCAAACTGGCGTACAGCTGCTGCGTTGCTGAGGGAACTTTTTCTTAGCGACTTCGAGATTGGATATCGATTAGCCGTGCACGGCGCATCAAGAGGCACGTGCACTGCTCTTTAGTCAGCACATCTCAAAATATTGGAAGTCTATAACCTGGCTATAAGAAAAGGATAGGGAAATAATTAGTTCTTCTACCTAAGTATATATAGGTATATAGAGACTATAGTAAGGAAGTATTTGACTCTATCTATATTTTCTAGATATATCTCAGATTGTACATATCTGACGCTATTTATAGGCAGCAATAACACGAAACCTTAAATTTAGTATATTTTTCACTTCTAACTTCTAAGTAACTACCTCTTCTAAACTTCTCTTACTTAGGTACAAACAAACAACAAATTGAGCGCAATTCGGCACCCTCTCGAACCATAAGTTACAAACCTTAATCAGGCCTAGTAACTTTAGTTCTACAAATGTCGACTTCTATGCCCTCTAAGAATGTTCTTAGAGGGAAGTACACCATCCGCGCTAAGGACATTATAGAGGTCCTCTCACACCGCAAAAGAGACGGAGTAAGCTTGATTTTTTCTCATTTCTACCTCCTTACATGTCAACCTCACTTACCTATATTCTAGATAGAGGAGTACCTAGTCCGATGGCGGACGCAGCCCGTATTTCCCTGCCCTCCACACGCCATTGCGTCCTGGCACGCGCTTCCTGAGCTTCGAAATGCGCTGCATCACGTACAAGCCTACATTGAGAGATATTCTCTCTCTGGCAATGGAATTGGCCCATCATCAACAGCGCCGCCATCCAAAAAGAGAAAGTCGCCATTGGATGACTCTCCTCTGTCACGTGCCAGGCTTGGCGTCAACGGTAGTGGTCTGCTCACGCCTGCAGACTCCGTGATCGATTTGTGCTCGCCAGAACCCGACGAACGAGACGGACCTCGAATCTATAATGGCTACCTTCAGTACAAGGAAGGCAGTATCATTGCCAAAAAGGACACGACAGGAGAGGCCGCCAAGATTAATGCGAGGGACCTCCCTACACCATCCATGGTCGAAGAGGCTGCCAGAACGCCGGTGAACCAAGCGGAAGCGGGCATCCGCGGTGCGTTTGATGACAAGCTGCGAAAAGTCCCCAAGGTGCGCCTGGAGAACCAGTTCGATTCCACGACGCCCAACCTCAATTTCGACTTCATCGACGAGTACGTTCTGCGAGAAGGAGTCTCCGGCAACGCACCGGAGACCTTTCAAGGTTGCCAGAAATGCAAGCCCGATGCGAGTGGCAACATCGATTGTGGACAGACGGCAAGATGCGACTGCCTGGAATTTGCCGCTGTGGACTTGGCCGCATTCAAGAGAAAGGATCCCGAGATGTTCCAAGTCTACCAAATCGCGACAGAAGCTGCGCAAGAGGAATCCAACGCTGCCGGTGAAGAGTATCTGGGTCGTGATGGAATCGATACAGCTGGCATGCCCAAACGAGCTCCCTACACAAAGCCTTCGCGTCCCGGCAAACCGCAGACCATGAACCCCTTTTATCTGGAGGCGCGTCGACCCATCTACGAGTGCAATGTGAATTGCAAGTGCGGACCTGGTTGCCATTCGAGGCTCGTACAAAAAGGAAGACGCGTGCCTCTCGTAATCTTCAAGACTGGAGCCGAGCGAGGTTGGGGTGTGTACTGCGAAGAAGACCTCTTCGCAGGAGAATTCATCGATGTGTACCTAGGCGAAGTCATCACCGACGAGGAAGCGGGGCGACGAGAAAGCTCGCAAGAGGGATCCAAAGACAAGTTATACTACCTCTACAGCCTGGACAAGTTTGTCGGAGATCGTGATCCGACCAACGCCAACGCCCCACTGAAACAAGAAGACTGCTACGTGGTCGATGGACAGTACATGGGAAATGTCACACGCTTCATGAACAATTCCTGCGAGCCGAATGTGCGACAGTATACGGTGTCGTACAATAAACACGACCTCAAACTCTACAGTCTTGCCTTTTTCGCCAATCAGAATATTCCTGCAGGGAGAGAATTGGTTTTCGATTATCTGGATTCGGATCCGCAGGAATTGGACGTGGCGATTCGAAGAAGAGAGGCTGCTCTCGTGGATCCGGACTATGTGGGAAAACAGAGATGTTTTTGCGGGAGTGCCAAGTGTAGAGGGTTTTTGTGGGATAAAGAGGTTGCGTAGGTCAGGTAAGGAAGAAGATTCGGAATTTCTTTTTTCCTACGAACGATATGAAATGATGGGAGGAGAGGGGGGGACACATCCAGCGCTTCTCAAAAAGAGAGTGAGTAAGTCGTATGAAGCAGTTACAGGCTGTACCTCAGGTAGTGACGATACTCAAGAGAGAGAGGACAAGCAGAAACGACGTCAAGTTTCTAGAAACCTCGCAAGGCTGAGGTAGTAGCAAACAGACACTTGAGACAATAAAGCAGCAATCCCTACCACAAGTTCCCTCGGTTCGCATTCGTATTCCATCACTCTCACGTGGCAAAACGTCCTCACATGGTTGTTTTAAGCCACCTTACCGAACGTATATCTCTTACTAATCACAACTAATCACAGCTAATCATAGCTAATAAAAGGTAAACATGGTAGTTCACACTGCCCGGGCAGAATCACGGGTAAAATGCTGCTCCCTCCCTTGCTTCTTGCCTAGCCCGCCGGCCGGCGGGCGAACTGGTTTGGTGTTGGTTTGGTTGGACATTCCGGATATATGGAAACCAACCCAGCCACATTTTTTTCTTTTTGGACAACTTGACAAGTTAGTTAGTGATTTTGTTTCGACGGAGATGTTGAATGGTTAAAGATTAATCACAGGTAGTTTCAGAATTGAATGTCTAGGGTCAGGTAGTTAGCTGGATGGATAGTGTTCATGACTTTTGATACTACTCCATGTTAGCATATAGGTAGTCCAAGAAAGAGGTCTTGGTTTTAGAGTAGGAGGAGGTAGATGGGTTACTCGGCATTCCGACCGATCGAAAGAGCTTCCCGCAAGTCGCTGTAAATGCTTGCTCGGATCGGTTACTGTATCTACCTACCTTTTCAAAAGATAATGACGCAAAGGAATATCAGGTAGAATTGGAGGCTAGGTAGAGGTATTTGCCTGTATGTATTCTTTGTTTGTTTGTTTGTTGCTCTCTGCTCTACTCTGTTTTTGTTTCCCCTCATTTTTGCCGAGCCTTTTTTTTGTTGCTGACTTTGTCTCTGTTTTGCCGAGTGGAACTAACTCTTACTCACTTTTTTCTAGCGCGGAAAAAAATGGATGATAATAATAGTGGAGGTGGTGGTGGTGGTGGGTTTTAACTGTGTATAGCGGTGTGTGTGTGGCGACTTTCTAGATCGGTAGATACCTAGGTATATTGTATACATTGGGTATCTCGCTCTGTTGTTCCCAATTGAATCTTCAATCATTCCAGGTCATCAATTGATTTTGTTTTACTGGGTTTCTTGTTGAATCTTTGCCTGATCCCTGCTAGAAGACAGACAACAAGTTCAGCAACAATTGAGGAGGTACAACAACAAGAACAAAGTCATCAATAGAATTTACGAGCAAAATTGTCTTTTTCACTTATCGGAGGCTTGGTTCGGGTTGGGCCGTGCGGGTCTGGGGGTGAGCGGCGAAAACTACATCTATACAGTACCTTCTTAAGGACCTAGGTACATATCTATCATCATACTCTCTTGGACTGGGAGAGCTGTCTCTTTCTCTCTATTTCAGAGTGAGTGAGAGAAGACGTTCGAGACTTGGTGCTTGGATTTGTTTTCTTTTTCTTTTTATACCTGCAGTTATACCTTGCCGGACTGGTGGATATTTGCTGTACCATTTGGGGGCGACACGAGTGAACCAACTCTGCATGAAGACGGCATATACCTACTACTACTACCTGCTTTGGTAATGCTGCATATGGGGACAAGAATACCTCTGCAGTGAAAAAGAAGAAGAAGAAGAAAAATAGCAGCGAAACTCCTCCAAACACCAAAAAGAACACGACAAAAAACGAAGACAAACCAAAAGAAAAAGCCAACCAAACCGCAAAAATGGCCACCACCACCACCACCACCCCCAACAACAACAACTTCTCCAACGACGCCTACACCTGGTCCAACCTCAGCGGCTGGAAAAGCTACCGCACGCTCCGCCCCTTCCGCGGAATCTACCACGACATCCGGCGCCGCCTTCCCTACTACTTAAGCGACCTCACCGACGGCCTCAACTACCGCACTCTCGCCGGCACCATCCGCATCTTCTTCGTCAACCTCCTCCCCGCCATCGCCTTCACCTTGGACATGCAACGCCGCACAGATCACTTCTACGGCATCAACGAAGGTCTCTTCGCATCCGCTCTCGCCGCCGCCGTATTTTCCGTTTTTGCCGCTCAACCTCTTACGGTCGTCGGTGTGACGGGTTTGATTTCGTTGTTTAATTATACGACGTATGATATTTGTCAGAGACAGGGCATTGGGGAGTTGTATCCGGAGTTTATGGCTTGGGTGGCGATTTGGGCGGCTGTGACGCATTGGATTACGGCCGTGTGTAATTGGTGTGATTATATGAGGTATATTACGGATTTTTCGACGAATTCTTTTGGGATGTATGTGTCGATTATTTATATGAGTGAGTGTTTTTGCCCTTTTTTTTTCTTCTTTTTTCTTTTTTCTTTCTTTTTCCTTTTCTTTTTCTCTAAGGGAAAAAGATGGCTGATACGTCTCTTCTCTTCATTCACAGTCAAGGGAGTGGAAGAACTCGTGGCCAACTTCGACGAAGATGGTGCCAATCCTGCTGCTGCAGGCTACCTAGGAATCATCATTGCCCTATGCTTCTGGGCGACAGTATGGTGGCTCGAAGGCATGGGCAATACCACTCTGGGTCGATCATATGCACGAAAGCTCCTCTCCGACTACGCCTACCCCATTGCAACAATTTTCTGGACCGGATTCTCTCACATCCCCGGACGGATCAAGGACGCAGATCTCCCTCGAGTGCCTCAGACTCGAGCCTTTTACCCCAGCACTGACCGGAGTTGGCTCATTGAGTTTTGGACTCTCGAAGCCCGATATGTCTTTGCGGCTCTCCCAATTGGAGTTCTCCTGACTCTGCTCTTCTACTACGATCACAACGTCAGCTCTCTCACCGCGCAAGCCCGACAATTCCCTCTCAAGAAACCCGCAGGTTTCCACTGGGATTTCTTCCTTCTCGGCATCACCTGTTTCGTCGGCGGCATCATCGGCATCCCTTTACCCAACGGCCTCATCCCCCAAGCACCCGTCCACACCGACTCTCTCACCGAGTACTCCGACACTCTCACCATCACCAAAGAAAAATCCTGCGATGACGACTCCGATTCCGACTCTTCCCTTTCCCCATCCTCCTCCTCCTCCTCTTCCTCCTGGCAAATCCACCACCGCAAAAAAATTATCCCCCTCCAAGTCCGCGAACAACGCCTCTCCCACATCCTCATGACCCTCGGCCTCATCGGCGTCATGACCGGCCCCCTCCTCACAGTCCTGCACACGATGCCCCTGGGCCTCTTCGGCGGCGTCTTCTTCGTAGTCGGCTTCGCCGGAATCCCCACATTCAACATCACCCAAAATCTCCTCTACTGCCTCTCCGAATCGCGTTTCACATCCCCCACCTCCGACCCCCGCCACAAACTCTCCAAACGCCGAATTTTATATTACACATCTTTCCAAATCGTGGGCGTCGCGATTAGTATTGCGATTAGTCAAACTATTGCCGCGATTGGATTTCCTGTGATTATTACGGCGTTGATTCCTTTGCGGTGGATTGTTCTGCCGAGGATTTTTACGGAACAAGAATTGTTGGTGCTGGATGGCCCGACGGCGGATGCGGATGTTGTGTTGTGTTCTATGGGCGGGCAGCCTGAGAGGCCTGAGGTGAGGTTGGCGAGGGAGAAGAGGGGAAATCAGGGAGTGGAGGGGGGACGGCAGGAAGGTGCTGGTGGTGGTGCTGGTGGTGGTGATGAAGAGGATGGGACGGGGACGAGTAGTGGGTTTATTAGTGAAAAGGGGAATCAGACCGGTGGAGCGAATTCGGGGAGTGGTGGGGGGATGAGGTCGAGAGATCGGTTTGGAAAGGATGAGGAGGAGGTGGAGGAGGAAGAGAGAGAGAAGAGGAGGGAGGCAGAAGGTATTCATCCTACTGCGGAAACGGGTCATGCTTAGAAGAAAATGTCACTTACCCATCCATCCATCCATCCCAACTTCGCAGCCAAGTAAGCTCTGATTAGACATGTCCATAGGTACGTTGAGTGATGACCAGAGTATAGTCTTTCAATTCCACTGTCTCCTTATTTACATCCAATTCACCTTCCCCTGTCCCCCCGCCTGTGACAAGACAAAAGTAACTTCAACTCCACGCTCGAACGCGTGATGAGACATCCCATTTCCCAATCCAAAAAAGAGGAAACAAAGAAGACCCAAGGACGACGACGACGACACCACCAGATGGTGGGTGTGTTTGTGTGTGTATCTTTGAACAAAAGAAAAACAGCGCCAATGCCATGTTCTGTTCATTCTCCATGAATTTTTCCGGGACACATCCATCTATCCCCATCCTGAACATGCTGCTGTCTGTCATGTTGTGTGTGCATGCATGCATGCATCGGTCCCGTCCCGTCCCGTTCAGTCCAGTCCAGCTCAGGCCAGGGCAACGATACGAAAAGCAAAAACATTCCAATGATGGCGATTCAACCACCATCACCACCACACAAAGAATTTCTTCTTTCTTTTTCTTTCCGCGTAAGCCGCCGCGCTCAGGACGAACATTTTACATCCAGCAAATGCTTGGACTTTTTTATAATGCTTTTATGATCATCATCATCGTTCGTCGTCATCACACCATCTTCACCTCCTCTTCACAAAAGGAGACGGCATCATATCCTCCAAAATGGCCGGGTTGCCAATCCACTTGGCAGGACTCTGCAAAGCAGAAGCAGATTTGGCACTACTGAGCTCCACCAAAGTGCGGCCTCGCACCGCAGAGGTTGTAGAGGTCGGAGGTCTCATATTCTCCTTTTCGGCAATTGCTGCTGCTGCACTGAAGATGTTGCGCTTGAGTGGGAGTTCACGACCGCCTTTTCTCGGTGAGACGAACCCTCTCATGTGTATGGCGGGATGATGGGCTGGGGAAGGGTCGGCCATGTGGACGTCCATTGGACTGTCTCGGTGGGCGGCGACAGCGTTGCAGTTGGCAAACGTCTTGGCTCGGACAAAAGGTTTGCGTTCACGCTTCTTGGGCGGGAGTTTGGTGGTGCGATTGGCAAGAGGAGACACCATTTCGTCTGGTGTTTCGAGACCATTGTCCCCTAATGAAAGCGAGGTGAGGTCTTGTTCGATGATGGATTCGTCGAGGTCCGGCAGGGATGAAGCATCGGTGTCGGGGACCTTGTTGGAAAAGCCGCTGAAGTTGGAGATGTCTCGACGAGCGGGAGGCGGTGTCGACGAGCGAATGTGGGTGGAGGCGAGCGACTCATTCGTCGTCGTGGGGATGCTGGCCAAATGGAGAGCGAGCTTTTCTTCGGCGCGCTTCTCGACTGCCGAGTCGAACTGGATGAGTAAATCCGCCTTGTTCTTTTCATGTGCCTCGTGCACTTTCTGATCGATCGCGAGCGTTGCACGGGCATGCCACTCCATTTCGACCTTCTTATTAGCCTCACGAAGCTTTGCAACTTCGCTCTGCAACTCCTGAATTTGCTTTTGTGCCGCAGCGAGCTTGGCAAATGCAGAGTCGCGGTCGGTCTGCAGTTTGCCCAGCTGCCCCAGTGCTGATGCTTGTTCGAGGCGAGTGCGGGCCACCTTGATATTGGCCACTCCCAGGAGCTGAGCACAGTCGGGTCGTTGGCGCGGGTCTGTCTTCAAGCACCACGAGATAACATCTGTGAGGTCCTGACTATACTGTGCAGGTAGAGGCTTGATGTAACCTTTCTTGATCTTCAAAACGAGCTCCATATGGCTGCGAGCCTCAAAAGGCACCTGTCGTGATGCCAGCTCGTAGATGATGCAGCCCATGGACCAGATATCCGAGTGATGCGAATATCGCTCTGCAGCACATATCTCTGGGCTCATGTAGAATGGTGTGCCGACGTAGGTGCTGGCGAAGTCGTGGGAAGCGATGATCTTGGAGAGACCAAAGTCGCCAAGCTTGACACTGTTATTGTCGCCGAGAAACACTGCAATACATTAATAGGTGCATCCCACGCGTGCTTGTGACGCTGGTGGTGAGAGGCATACCATTCTCCGGCTTGAGGTCACGATGCAGGATGACGGTGTGGCCTTGCTTGCTGACCAGCGCCTTGCCCTTTCGCACGTTGCCTTCCTTGCCAGCAGGCGGCGGGTCCTCGCCATAATGGCATCGGTATAGGGCTCCCACGAGCTGAGCAAAGATGGACCAGATAAAGTCCTCGTCGGCCATTTTGTTCCGGTCCTTCAGTTTGCGAATGTAGCCACCCAAATCGCCATTGCCGCAATACTCCATGTACAAATGAAGGTCGTGAGAAGACTTGAGGTGCTGTCGGTGGTAGTACTGCACAATATTGGGGTGGCGCAGCGATTCGAGAATGCGCAGCTCGGCGTGCAGTTGTTCCTTTTCGCGGTCTGACATTCTCGTGTATGAGATCTCTTTGCGGCAGATGACCTCGCCGTCCGTCTTTCTGCGCACTTTGCGAATCACCCCAAACGAGCCCTGCCCAATCTTCTCCAAGACATCGTAGTCATTGTCGGTCGCCATGGCTCCTGTAAGAGACTGACTGCCCCAAGGTTATGGGGTGTATGGTGTGTATGGTGAGTAAGCGGGAGTCGTTCGTTTCCTACAGTTATCGTCTGGTAAGGAAAGGCTGTTGGGTTAGTATGAGCATTAACGAGGCGCGCTCCGACGTCAAGTCATTCAAGCGAGTTGTGCACGAGAAGTACAGGAACAGAGGTTGAAGGCGGGAGGAAGAGAGAGTAAGTCAGGTCAGCGGGTGTGAGTGAAGAAGCTGGAGGTGCTCGTTGGCTGTCAACAGTCGCTTGACAACCGTTGTCATGGCCGCTGTCGGCTCTTGGGTTTCGCCGGAATCCGACTGCCCCTTCTGTCCATGCTTACGTGAGGGACATATCGGGCCGGACTTTCAATCTTCCATTGTGCAGTGACGTCTTGCCACCAGAAACCTCGAAGAAAGTGAGAATGAGATGCTTTCACATCTTCCATCCCTCTTCCCATCCCTTTCCCACGTGTTTCTCAATCATCACATGACTCTGTCCAAAGTGAAGTATTGAAATGGCCGACGTCCTCAAAAAACACCAGCTCGAATCCGCTCTCTACGCGGAGAAGAAGGAAATCTCTTCTGGCCGACTCAAGGATGAGAACCCTCTCGATACCAGCCCCGAGTTCAGGAAGTTCTGTGAGGCATGTCGTCGAGGCCATCTCCGCGTCTGTCAAGAGCAAATTGGAACGGGAAAGATCAATATTAATGCCCGAGACGAGTATGACTATACGCCACTGATTCTTGTAAGTAGGGGGAGAGATAAATCAATATTTTATCCTCAAAAACTATGACCCGGGGGCTGATGGCTGATGAGGGGGGTTGAGGCGTCACTATGTGGGCACTACGAAGTCGTCCAAATGCTGCTGGAGCAAGGTGCTCTATGCGAACGAGACACGTTTCAGGGGGAACGGTGTCTGTACAATGCATTGAATGATCGCATTAGAAATCTGCTACTGCAGTACGACTACAGCAAGTCCACGAACCCTTTGCAGCCATTGGCAGCGCATGTCACTAGTCTCCTCACTCGTGACACTCCCAAGACGGCAGACATTACCGTCCAGGCGGGCCATGATACTTTTGATCTCCATAAATTCGTGCTTAGCGCGAGAAGTCCATACTTTGCTCAGAAGCTTGCTGCTGCGCCCGAGACCAAGTTCTGGAAACTTGCGAGTTCGATTGCACCACGATCATTCGAAACGTGCATCAGGTATCTATACATGGCAGAGGTTGGCGTTGATCTTGGCGAAGACGACGAGGCACGAGCCACTCTGGCTGGAATCGATACATTGAGTCGACAAATGGAAATACAGCAGCTCTATCAGGACTTACTTTCATCTGGAGACCGACGTCAAGCGAGACAAAGAAGGACCGAAGAGGTGTCGCGAAGTCGAGACCAGTTGGCTACTTGGTTCTCTGATAACATCCTCAAACACAAGACCACCGTGGCGACAGAAAAGGTCGATGGCGTAAAGTGGGATCGCAACAACACCATCTTCGCAGACGTACTTCTCCGTGCCGATGAAGATGAGGGCGGAGGAGAAGAATCTGGGCCACCGCTAACCACAACACGACAAACGGAAGGACCACTCAACGGCATCCCCATTGGGCGCTTCAACAACAATAATGACAACCAACATCCTTCACAAAAACCTCGCCAGTCCGTCCTCTTCCCCTGTCATCGAGCCATGCTCCTCCGATCCGAAGTCTTCGCCACCATGTTCGCCTCTTCCTTTCGCGAAGCGCAAGAATCTCCCCACCTCCAAATTATCCCCGTAGACTGCTCTCCCGAAGTCCTCGAAATCATTCTCACCTTCATGTACACGGAAAAAGCCGATTTCCCACTCTCCATCGCTTTGGACGTACTCCATGCCGCCGACATGCTCTTCATCGAACGCCTCAAACAACGAGCTGCCCTTTTAATCAGTACCCTAGGAGCCGGATCTGTATTTGCACAAAAAGACACCTCGACTACTACCACCACCAAAAACAACAAACGCATCACCACCAACCTCGAAGAAGACGACGACGACAACGACGACGAAGAAGAAGAAGAAGAAGACCTCCTCCCCTCCTCCCTCGACATCTACGACGTCGTCCGCGCCGGCTGGGACACCCGCGTGCACCGCCTCGAAGAATTCGGCGCGCGATACATTGCCTACCAATTAGAAAAATACATCGATGAGCCCGACTTCCGCCTTTTGGTCCGCGAATCCGCGAATCGCATTTCTCAGAGAGAAGAAACTGATACGGTCGAATTGATTGATGATGTTAGATATTATCTTTCGGAACGCTTTCGTTTGAGGTTTGAGGATACCGGGTTTGATGAGACTTTTGATGAGGGTGGGGGTGGTGATGTAGAGGGGGAGGGGGAGGGTGATGGTGGTGGGGTGGATAAGGATGCTACTATACTACAGGATCAACAACAGCAACAGCTTCAAGAAATTGAAGGTCAAGTAGTGATTCGTACACTTGATGGAGAAATTGCAGGAGATGAATTTGCCCAAGATGCGTTGAATTATCAGATTTTGTTGGGCAAAATTGATACGTTGATGGAGAATTTGGGGTTGGATGGGTAAAAGGTGGACTTGGACTATCTCTGTATGTACCTGAGGTAGAAGTAGTAGGTGGGTAGATGTAGATGATTATGAAATAGAAAAAGAAAAAGAAAATTTAATAACAGCGACGACGATAACGAAAAGGATATAACCGTGTGAAATGTGAACCAGAACAAGGTTTGTATATTGATTCTTGAACAAGAGAATAACATCTCTCGCTACCCTACTTTCTCTAAGTAGGTACTACTACTACTACTACATTTATATGCATGAGAAAAAGAAAAAAGAACTCCTTCTCCAACAAACCAGGACACTTCTCCACCTACATGTTGCCCTACAAATCCTTCGTCCTCCCCTCCGACTCCGCAATCCAGCGATCCAACATCTCGCGATTCCTCGGCCTGAGGCCAATTTTAAACGGCTTGGGATCCATTGTCAATCCATTCGGCAATTTATTACAACCCATACAATCCAACACGGGACGATCTTTCGGATCTCTCGCCTCGACGACTTCAAACGCCGTGATGAGTTTTAAGAATGCCGTGTACAATTCGCGGTTGGCGAGATGGCTGCCGATGCACATGCGACTGCCGGCTCCGTAGCCATAATGTGGTGTGCCTCGCGTGGCGCTCGCGTCGTCGAGGGTGTTGTCGGAGAGGTAGCGGTCGGGGTTGAAGGTGTAAGGGTCTTTGAAATGGGTGTCGTCGTAGTGGGCGGCGAAGGCGTTCATGTAGAAATCGGTTCCTGCGGGGATGGTGGCGTTGTTCCATGTGATGGGTTTGACCGAGCGCCGGGGTAGACAAATGGGGATGACGGACCAGAAGCGGAGCGTTTCTTTGACGAGAGCAGTGATGTAGGCGCATTTTTCTTCGTGGAGGCAGCGTTCCCAGGCGTCGTTGTTGGGGTATTGCGCGATGATTTCCTCGTAGGCGCGTTTTTGGATGTCTTGGCCGTGAGGGGAGGAGAGGTATGCGACGCCCTGTTTTTGAGAGACAGTGTTAGTTGGGGTTCAAGTTACTTCAGGTTTGATTGATGTTATGCTTACCATGATCAAGTTTCCTGGTACTGTATCGAGACCGGCAGATACCATGGACAGGCCAATAGACATGACTTCTGCTTCATTCAGCTTGGCTTCAGGATCCTTGAGAACGTTTCCAGAAATGCAAGGCTTGTCTTTTCCCTCGGCCATGCGTTCCTTGAGGCCGTTCAGAAGTTTCCACATGTACTTCGCTCTGCGAGCTTTGTATTGCAAGGGCTTATCATTCCCACCGGGAAGTAGACGCATCAAAGGGATATAATCTGCCCAGTTCGTTGCTGTACTGCGGAACTTGCTGATTTCTCGCTCGACATGAACAATCTCCTTCAGCAGCTCGTCGTCGATGTTACCTTCGATCTTGTAGCCATAGTTGAGAGTCAAAGACGTGGACAGAGCGAATCGGGAGAAGTAGAGATTGATGTCGACATCGTGTTGGCCGTAGTTCGAATCTGTGGTCATTTCCTTAATCGACTTGGTAGATTCGTACTCCAGAATAGGCATGTAGCTGGCCACAGCTGGTCTGTTTAGTGCTGTTGCAGCAGCCTTCCTCCTCGCTTTGCAGCTCTCGTCCCATGGGCTGGTTCCGATCGTGAAACCTTCGCTCGAACTGACGACCGTATGGAAGGTATGCAGTGTCGGTCTGCTGATCAATGCGGATTGATTCGTGATCCATAAGTGTTTGACGCTGTCGAAAGTGTTGGCAAACACGACTCTGCGGTTACCCAAGCGGACTTGGAAGACTGCGCCGTATTTCTTGGCCATTTTCATGGCATTGAGGGCATGATTGTCGCCCAACTGCCGCAAGTTTCCCAGGATCGGCACTCCAGGGACTTCGGGAAGGCCTTTGATCTTGGGAACATTTGTTTTGTCGATGATCTTGATGGTGGTGTAAAATAAGGCAATGAGGAAGAACGGCAGTACGTGTGGTTGCAGCAAGATCGCAATCACGCCCTGTGGCGCTGCTGCTGAAGCCATGATGGCTTGTCGAGAAGAGATTTCGCTGTTGTTCCTGCCGAAGTGAAGCCTCTATTTCTGCTCCTGGTTGTTCCTGGCAAGATGGTTCTACTGCAAGTCAGACTGCTCACAAGAAGAGGCGAAGGAGATGTAGTCTGGACGGGGAGGGATGGAAGAGAGGAAAGAGATGGTCATATACTAATGATGATGGTAAACGACGGAATGTTCGTGAAGAGGTGAGCTTTTGCATCGACGAGGCCGAAACAAAACGCGGTTGGTACCGTGCAAGGCGCTGGTCACGCACCTGGTGTACAGGTGCGGAGCGGAGTAAAAGCTCTGCTGCCATTGGTCGTCTTCGAGCGGTACAATGGAGTAAGTGAAGTACCACCGACGGCCCCAGAGCGAAGAGTGGGAACGTGGCTTCGGGCCTGCATCTGGGGGCGGAACTACTGCCGCACGTGCGGAATCAATCGAGGTCTCATCCCTGTACCATCACTATATTACTAGGTATAGGCACATGTATTCTACATGTACCTAGCTAGCATGACAATGCTACCAGAGGGCGACGAGGCCTAGAATGTCAAGAAAGACTCAATCAAGACGCCGATGTGGTGTTCGTGAAGTCCATTTTTCTACTCTGACATCAATACTTGCTATAGCGTACATATGATCAGGATTTCATGTCTATGGCAGGTTCTATGCGTCCAATGCAGTCGCCAAAGCCAACAATGCCATAGCTCTCCGAACCACAGTGACCTGTCATTGATACAGTATCGCCGTCTTCGAGGAATGTGCGAGTCACTCCATCGGCAAGCTCCACTACTTCCTTGCCATTCTCACTTTGCTCCAATAATGCTCCCTTCTCTTCTTTCGTCTTGCCGCTGATGGTTCCAGATCCCATGAGGTCACCGACGTTGAAAGGACAGCCTCCAACGGTGTGGTGAGTAAGCATTTGAGGAAAGGAGAAAAGCAGCTGCGTTGCCGAAGTCTGCGCCACGCTGGTTGTATAGCCTCCGTTGGGCGTAATCGCGAACGAGAGGTCAATCTTGTAGTGCGATTGTCTGCCTTTCTCATCCAGGTAGGGCAGTAATGGTGTATCGTTCGCTAATCCGGTCGTTTTGAAGGGCTCGAGAGCGTCCATCAAGACTACCCATGCAGAGATGGTGGTCGCAAAGTTCTTCGAATTAAAAGGACCGAGGGGCACGTACTCCCAGGCCTGAATGTCTCGTGCAGACCAGTCGTTCATGAGCACGACGCCAAACAGATGATCAGGCGCATCATCAACGCTAATCGGCTGACCCATTGTATTCGGCTTGCACACGAAGCAGCCGAGCTCAAGTTCAATATCAAGCTTCTTGCAGGGACTCAGAATGGGCACTTTCTTCTCCGCAGTCGGATTGGCAAGTATCTGGCCATTCGGTCTCCTGATGGGCGTTCCCGAGACGACTACAGAGCTGGCACGTCCATGATAACCAACCGGCAAGTGTTTGTAGTTTGGTTGTAGGGCATTCGTGGGACCGCGAAAGAGCACACCGACATTATAGGCGTGATTCAATCCCGCGTAGAAGTCCTATCAAAAGAGTCAGCTGGCAGCCTCGCAAGTTCGTGGCTACCTCGCATACGCACCGTATAGTCACCAATCTGCATGGGCAAATGGGTCTTGACCTGATCAAGAGGGAGAAGCGCCTCCTTCTGCAGTGCTTCGTTCTGCTGGAGGACGTCTGGAAAGGGGCCATCACGAACGAGGACGCTCTGCAGATACTCACGCACTACCTTATGGATGGGTCGTCCGAGGGCGGCGAAAGCATTCAAAGTGGGTTGCGAGAAGACTGCTTGGTGAGGCTGAATTGCAGAAAGCTTGGAGAAGCCATTGCCCTGCGCGAAGGCATGCAGATCCAAGGCATAGCTCCCAATGGCAATAGCAGTTCGTGGCTGTGGCGAGGATGGTGTCGATATGATGCCAAAGGGGATATTGTGCATCGAGAAGTGACTGATAGGGTCAATCTGGAGCCAACTCCTGAGGCGTGGCATTGTGGGTGTGTGAAGATCTGTCCGGTTTCGGGCTACGTTGGTAGGGAGATGAAGTTAATCAACAAGGTAGGTACATGTAGTAATGGAAGATAGAACTATGCTTGTCAGGGTGGTGGCCTTCTAGCAGTGGTAGTCGGGAGGGTGCACGAGGCGGAAAAGCCGGTAGTACCTGTGTAAGTTAGTTCTACCTCCTTCCACTACTGATGATGTGCATGCTGGCAGGACTAGCTCTGATACGGGAGGTAGCTAAGATCAGGTAGATTGGGCCCTGCCCTGCCGTGGCCGTTGACGGAATCCCATACACTCGGACTGGGACGGGGTACTCCAGGTCCCAGGAGCTAGGAGGTACTGTGGTTGACGGTCGATGGAAGAAACTGTTCCAGCTTGTCGGAAAGAATGCCGTCCCACCTTCTCCACAACTCACTAAATCGCGCCCGCGCCTTGGCATCGACGACCATATCACCAACACGACGCATCACACACTGCGGAACGGTGTCACGGAACTGATGACTGCAAGATTCATGTGCTTTGCGTACCCTTTGCCATAGCTACCTACCTGACCTTACAGGTACATGCACGGCTTTTAATAAGGTCCCCTAACAGTACACCTAGATCTACCCACGGCAAGTCGTAGCTGCTGCTCTCTCTCTCTCCCCTCACCCTTCCCTCGTACAACTCACCACCAAGATGCCCGTCACCCAGTTCAGCCTGCCTGAAAAGTACAAATATCAGAACGGATTCGGCTGCTATCATGAAACTGAAGCCGTAGAGGGCGCTCTGCCTGTTGGCGCCAATAACCCGCAGAAACCTCCATATGGCCTCTACAACGAGAAGCTCTCCGGCACCGCCTTCACGGCGCCTCGCCACGAGAACAAGCAGACCTGGCTCTACCGCATCTTGCCTGCTAGCGCACACTCCAACTTCGAACCACGAGAGAGCTCCTCGTACGACCTCAACCCTGGCGGCTTACGAGACGCAAAGTGGCACCAGATTCCGAATCAACTTCGATGGGATCCCTTTGATCTAGACGAGACGGTGGACTGGGTGCACAGCTTGAAACTGGTTGCTGGAGCAGGTGACCCGACGATGAAGAGCGGCCTAGGCATACTCATATACGCCGCTGGAAAGGACATGGACGAGAAGCACGCTTTCTACACTGCGGATGGCGATCTCTTGATCGTACCGCAACACGGAGCACTAGATATACAGACTGAGCTCGGTAGACTCCTCGTCAGACCGAACGAGATTGCCGTGATACCTCGAGGCATTCGACATCGCATAACCCTGCCAGAAGGCCCGGTTCGAGGCTATGTTCTGGAGCTATATCAGGGACATTTCGAGCTGCCTGAGCTTGGGCCCATTGGATCTAACGGTCTGGCTAATGCACGAGACTTCCAAGCCCCTGTGGCAGCCTTCGATGAAGATACCGAGAGCGAATACACGCTGTTTGCGAAGTTTTCCGGCACGCTTTTCGCGGCCAAGCAGAATCACACTCCATTTGATGTTGTTGCATGGCATGGCAATTACTATCCTTACAAGTACGACCTCGGACGATTCAACACGATCGGGTCCATTTCATACGACCACCCCGACCCGAGCATCTTCACAGTTCTGACCGCCCAGTCCGATCATGCCGGCACTGCGATCGCGGACTTTGTGATCTTCCCCCCACGATGGCTTGTAGCAGAAGATACGTTCAGACCACCGTGGTATCACCGTAACACCATGTCTGAGTTCATGGGCCTCATCCATGGACAGTACGATGCGAAGACCGGTGGCGGCTTTCAGCCTGCAGGTGCTTCTCTGCACAATGTCATGAGTGCTCACGGACCAGATGCATCGACGCATGAGAAGGCCAGTAACCTTGAGCTCAAGCCAGCCAAGGTTGGTGACAACAGTATGGCTTTCATGTTTGAATCGTGCCTGATGGTTGGTGTGACGGAGTGGGGTTTAAAGCAATGTCAAAAAGTGCAGGACAATTACAATGCTGAGTCGTGGGAGCCTTTGAAAGCTCACTTCAATAGGAAGGCGAGCGTACCCAAGCCTGACGCCAATGGATCCCAGGAGGCAAACCAGCAAGCTTTACCACACTATTCGTAGCGTGATATATGATAACTCTAAGGGACATGTTCTAGAAAGTGCGGATACTGCCAAAGCGTTTTTGCGTTTTTGTACACTTACACGCGCCATCCACGGCTGTATATATACCATATTCTTATTCTCCTCTTTCGTACGAAAGATGTCGCCAAGAATGTTGTTGTGTGTGAGCTGTTGTTGTTTGTGGGGTCCGCTCGTATCAGATCCGAGCTTGAGCGTACCCAAATTCCACCAATGTTATGTCGAAACACTTGACGCGACTTCATCTTCGCTGCAATGAACACTACATCTATTAGACAGAAACCCTCTTTTCGAAGTTGACACTCTCCCACGAACTGCAGATAGATATATCAGAGCAGTGGGAAGCACGCAGATCTATTTTCTCATATGCTGCTCGCATTGAGCGAGAACGCGCCAAACATACGCGTTTGCAAACCACCAAGGGCGCCTGCAGATATGGATAGCCAAGGACCAAAAACGACAATCCCAACTCTGCAACCTCCTCCTACTCGTCGCATCCTCGGCGATGTCTCTCCCAATCTTCGCACTACTATGGCTGGTTCTGCGGACAGTGCTGCAACCGACAATTTTTCGCTGAAACGCAGTGTGTCCGCGACGCTCGATAACGGTCCGGGCTTCACATATCTGAAGAAGAGGAAACTGTCAAGTGATGGAACGCTCTCTGGTGCGAGGAAACCGAGCCTCGAGATGACTCCAGTACAGAAGACCACCACCACCACTCATGCTACTCTGATTGCGCCAAGTCGAGAGCAGGTACGCGATACCTGTTCATCAGTGTGCGATGGAGGACTGACCTTCCCCAGACCAGTCAATCCCTCAAGCCGGCGGGCTTGTATGCTCCAACCAGGCCTGGCGACGATGATGAGGGCAGCGAGACATCAGCAGAACGCAAATCCTTTTCTTCACTGATCAACTACGACCCATCTTCCCAGACTGCTGCTGGCTCGCAAGATCAGCAAAAACTACTGTTTAGCAGTCCTTCATATGCCGAGCAGTTGAAGTTACGACTGCGATTGGCTACGTATAAAATTCGAACGTGAGTGTGTTGAGCGTGTACCGCACTTACCTGGTCTGACATTGGGCGCGCACAGGAACCAGGTCCATGTGGCTTTCAAAGACCTGCGAGGATCCGATCCGAACCAGAATATTCCCAATTGCTCCGAGGCGGAAGAAGCAGTAGCAGCGTTGCGTGCTGAAGCACAGCTGAGAATGGCACCAGACAACCGGTACTACCCTGCTCGTCCTCCTCCACGGTTGGCACTGTTCCCAGCACCGATGCTTCGCCCGACGGAGTACAGTAGCCGGCTGGTTTATGAACGAGAACGACGCATGCGCAGCTCACCTCCGGCAGATGCTTCTCCTCGGCCGGCGCCCACAGGACTGGCCACTCCGGCAGCTGGTCCACGCGGAGATGTTGCAGAGGAAGAATTGACGAGTAGCATGATCAAAGGTCGCGTCGCTGCAGGACTGTTAGATCTCAGACATGCCGTTTGAACTTGAAAAGAAGTGTGTTCAAGAGCTCATACAGGTACATGTACTTTTATATTTACAGCATGCTGGAGAAGCATGACAGGCATTGTGATGACGTAAGCGCGGCAGCATTCACATCTACAATGAGGCTCTGTTGGGATCGTTGCATTTCTGCAAAACACATCATCATACCTTAACATCATATTCACTACCTTATCAATGCCATCCGGTACCTGTACTCTGGAGCTCACCGCCGTCGCAGATGATCTGCTTGCAGGTCAAGGTCTCAAGCTTCTAACCTGTGATGTTCTCCAAAAACTATGGCAAGGATATGGTTACGTTTGCCGGATCAGCGCCATGGACAAAGCTCAGAACAAGCAATCTTTAATCCTCAAGTATGTCAAACCGCCATTGACTGGGCAAGTCGAATCCGAAGGTCACATCAGGAAGATTATCAGCTACGAGGTAGAACAGCATTTTTATTCCGACCTGGCTCCACAACTTCCCCGAGATGCGGTCGTTGCGCAATGTCTTGCCAGCATCAACAACAATGGCAAAGTCGCACTCTTACTCGAAGACCTACAAAGAAACTTCCCCGTAGCTGGCGAGAAGCGAGGAACTCTGAACAAGACCCAAGTCCATGCTGCAATCAAGTGGTTAGCTACCTTCCACGGCTTCTGGTGGGACAAAACGCCTGATTTGAGAAATCACGGCTTCTCCAGACTACCTCCACTCGAAGAAGTGTTGTCGCAGCAAGACAAGGGAAGAAGCAAAAGGGGCGTCTGGCTCAATGGGGGTTATACGTATCTTGCTACTCGCATGTCCGAATATACCTCTTTGTGTCACGATGGCGAGCAATCTGAATGGTCCACTTCACTCTGTGTTCCTCTTCTACCCAGATCAAATTACAGTATTGCTCAACTCGTCGCTCGGATTCTCTCTCCTGCGAACGGCATTCTTCGTGATTATGAAACTCTTATCCACGGAGACGTCAAGGTCAGTACAAGTACAAGTACAGGAACTTTCCCCCCCCCCCAAATATCTCGTCTACAAACAAACACCCATAGCAGAAAACCGAGCTTTTTTTTCTCTTTTTTATCTCTCCTTTCTTTTGCTTATATATTTACTTTTTTTTTCTTTTTCTAGTCGGAAAATCTCTTCACGAACAAACCTGGAGATGCTGTGGCATTTTTTGATTTTCAATATGTGGGTTTTGGTTGTGGATTGAGTGATGTTGCGAAACTTTTTACTTGCTCTGTGGAGAGGGATTTGTTGTTGTTTGATGAAGAAGAAGAAGAAGAAGAAGAAGGCGAAAATGAAGAGGAGAGGATGGGGATGGCGATGGGGATGGGAAAGGGAGAAGAACGTTTGCTGAAGCACTATCAACACATTTTGGAGAATGTGTCGGGCAAGAAGTTTTCGTGGGAGGTTTTGGTTATGCATTGGTATGTTCTTTTTCATTTCATTTTTTTTTCTCTCTTTCTTCTTTTTTTTTTGTTTTTCTTTTTTCTTTTTTCTTTTTTTTTTCGTTGTGCAACAACCCTACTTTTCATATAATAACCAGGTACCTTTTGTTTATTGCAACTAACACATCCATCCATCACAGGCAAACTGCACTTATCGACTGGTTACGTTTTCAAGCTTCTTGGGGTAAGTTGTTTCTGTACCTTCATATATAAGGTTACATTCCAAACTCGCAGGCGGATTTCTAACATTCATTACAGGTTTCTGGGGAAATACGGAATGGCTGGAAGCTCGCGCAAGGGCAATTCTCAGTAATCAGGACTGGTTGGATTGGATATTAGATGTTACTTCTACTTCTACTGCTGCTGCTGCTGCTGCTACTACTACGGCCTCGTAGATTGTAATACGGTATAGGTACCTTATTGTAATCTATCGCAATTGGACCTTTTTACTTTTAGGTACCTATCCTAGGGTAAGAGGAGCGTCTATAAACGCTTCGTAGGGTATGCGCGTATTCTTTTACGGCTACGCGTACTCTTTATTTGTCTTGTATATATTAGATGTTAGCTAACGTTCCATCTTCGTAGTCTTAGGCCCGTGGGTAGGTAGTACTACTGCTACCTTTAACCGATTTCCAACACTTCAGTACTATTCGATTACCTCTGGTACCTATCAGTATGGAAACCGTCTACTAGTTAAGCGACTACAAGGCGTACCAAGTAAGAGCGAGTGGTTCGGCATTCTGAAGAACATTTGCTCATATGTACAAGACCGCTGCCGCTAACAAGCGGTTTCCATCCTAGCCACATTTCGAGATTATAAGATACATTGGACAAACATAGTATCAAAAACCTTTTGCTTAATGTGTATAGTGCGATGGCGGCTATATAGTGTACCCGGGCGAGTACGTCTGCCGGATTCCTTCCGGCAGTGACATTTGCGGTTGTAAGTCATCGTCTTAGACACAAAAACGTTTGTTTGAACGTTTTCTAGATGTTGGATGGACGTTGTTTAGGTTATTATGTCGGGCGTATCGGCTACGCCTAACCTCCTCCGCTCGCATGTCAAGGACGGTGGTGAGGGAGTTGTAGGTGTTTTGCTACCTACATACATACCTGATTACGGAACGCTAATCGTTTCGTTTTATACGTTTGGCTGATCGTTCGCAGTGCTGCAAGGTTCTATGTGGCACGCCTAGTGTCAATTGGCTAGAGGAAGTGCGCAGTATGTCCAAGAGTTCGCCGGCCTACCTAGGAGGTAAAGGTAGTGTTTGAGAAACGTTTAATGAACAGTAGGTATCATCAGAATTCTAGGAGGTACGTTAGCTTCGTTGCTACTATTACCGCTCCAAACGATGCCGACGCCCGGAACGGCGTTAACAATAACCCTCCTGTCCTCCTACGGTAATTGAGCTTTCGACGTCTGCCGAATTGTCAATAATAAACTGGTCCGCAGCGCCCCAGCCCGCCAACTCTCTCACACGAAGGCTACGCCTTCTTCTGGCAAGAACCTATCGAAGGGTGACAAGGCGACGTCTCGCAAGCGACGATGCATCTCAGACGTAGCGACGAATCCTGACGCATTGCACCCTGATACATCGCTCTCTATGCCCGCGATCAGCAATCGTAACCCAAGGAATTCCTCTCCACCCATTACAATCAGTTCCGCATCTTCTTCAGATTTGCAGCCTGAATCGCATCCTCGTAGAGTGCGGGAGCGAAAGCGGAAGCGAGATACGGATGAGAAGGTGATGGAATTGGAAATTGTATTGGCTGCAATGAGACAGGACGTCGACGAGTTGGGCTTGAAGTTGACGAGGGCGGAGGCTGTGCTGAGGAGTATGATTGCTTTGTCTAAGACGTAGAGGAGCAGGATCTTTAGCTGGTTGTCTCGCTCACCGACAATACCACCGTACCCTCTCTGACGAAACCTAAGGGGCTCTTTTGAAAAATAGTGCGGGTCTGGAGAAGCAATATAGCCGAAGCCGAATAAATGAATGCATTTGACTCGCGGCTCTCGGCGGGAAAGGGTCGGTCGAGGTCGTCATTGACGCCATTTGTCTCTGCGCTTGAGAGACATGCCTCCGTGTACCAAGTAAGGGTCATGAAGTAATTGACGTGAAAAAGACGACGCTCCTTCAAGTGGAACAAGTCGGTGAGGAGATGAAGGAGGTCAGGTATAGAATATAACGTCTTATTATGCAGGAAGTGTTGATTCATCAGTATGCATAAAGGTAGTTCTGTGATCACAAGGGAGTGCCACCACCACCCTCGACTCGCCACACAGTGGCGTAGACTCATGGCAGGCCTTTCCGAGAAATATTCGTGACGATGGCCACGGTGTGTTTATGTCTCTTTGGTCCACGCTGGTCTAGAATTGGTGAGTACGTCTACAGGAATTGAACGGTAATTGGTTGCTGGAGTGGAAAACAGTGGATAGCTCTGCTCGGAGTCTCCCTCATTCAGATATCTTCCAACTGGAATGGGTTCGTGCTGACGCCAAACTGTCTATTTTGGTTATCAGCATTCCAGACGAAGGCATATCCGTGGTGGACTGAGTAGTAAACACTCGCGGGAATACCCATTACGCCGTGGATGAACGTCCCTAAGCCGTCCGTCATCATGCGCGTTGTGATTGGGCGTCGTCAAGAGAGCACTTTTGAGGCCCTCTCCCGAGCTTCCTTCTTTTTTCCTTCTGCTCATCATCATCATCCATTCACCACAACCCACCGCCCGACCAGTCCTTCTTACGATCTATTCCTCCCCGTCATCCTACGAGCAGATCACCCATCACTCCACACACACAAACACACACTCGCACATCAGACACAATGGGAAAGGAGGAGTTCAAGGACGGTATGTTTACTTCCTCCCGCGTGATGCGGACATCTACAGAGAGAGCACGGTGGCGATGCGCGTGAAGTGATAGCATGCTCGAATGGGAGACAACATGCAACTCTTCCACGACCTCTCTTCACATCCTCACTCGCTAGCTCGATCGCTCGCTCGCCCGCCCGCCACGTCCGCGATTCGCCGCTTCAGCAGACGCTCCCTCCGAGATCCCATCACTGACGAGCCACACAGGTGACAGCAAGAAGGGCGCCAACCTCTTCAAGACACGATGCGCGCAATGCCATAACCTGAAGGAGGGCGAGCCCAACAAGATCGGACCCAACCTTCACGGCCTCTTTGGCCGCCACACCGGCCAGGTCGAGGGCTTCGCATACTCGGACGCCAACAAGCAAAAGGGTATTGAATGGAATGAGGGCACACTGGTACGGCGATGATGATAATGATGACGCGCGCAATGCTTTGCTGCACCAGGACTAACGCATCGGCACAGTTCGAGTACCTCGAGAACCCGAAGAAGTACATTCCCGGCACCAAGATGGCTTTTGGTGGTTTGAAGAAGGGCAAGGACAGGAACGACCTGATCACTTACCTGCGCGAAGAGACGAAGTAGAGCAGAGGACGGCGATGATCACACAACAGTAGCCACCCACCACGAGGTGGCAAGAAAGGAGTTAGCATCACACCATTCGACCTGTATCAGTACATACAACAACTTAGACGCCCGCTCTGATGGTTGCCGTGGTGTGCGACAGGAAGGGGCGGGTCGGTGGCCGATGAGCATGGTTTAGATTTTTGCTTTTCTTTTTTTGTGCTATAACTATCTGCATCATCGGGTGGTGGTAAAAAGGAGGTCGACATTTTAAAGAAGACCTCCGGAATATCAAATTCTTCTCTCCTCAATTTCTTTCCCGCAGGTCCCGCCGTTGGTCACTGATGATGACCTTAAAGATGTTCTGATAGCAATAGGTACTTGTACCGTTCCGCCCGGCGAGTTTTGGTGTTGCAGTACAGTAAGAAAGGGCCAGGTGTCCGGCATTTGATGGATATCAAGGATGAGCGAGTTCCGCAGCACCTCCGCGCGGAGAACACTCGGACATTTCCAAATGCACTTTGAGACTTTCCTCTCTCAGCTCATATCCATGACCACCTCCTCACACACGTTCCAAGTGGTATTGACTTCACAAGCTAGAAATCACGTATACATATTGCCTACTCCATTCCTCCCACACATAATCCCCATCCCTTCTAAGATCTTCGTACAACATATACGACCACGACGTAGAAACAGGCCCCCTCATACTTCATTCGTTATACTTTACGCTTCATCATTCTTCTTTCACTCGACCTTCTTCGTGCCCCTTCTTCGATCTTGATCCAAATGCACACGAATATACACAAATGGATACACGACTTCCGGCAACATAGTCAAGGCAATACAAGCAATACTCCAAAAGGATCCCACATAGGACCAATTCTCAGGAACGTTCCAATATCTCCAGAAGAAGGTGAGATAGGCGGTTATACAGCCGAGGAAGCGTGTGACCCTGGTGTGATTTTTATCAAAACGTCAGGGGTTAATATTAAAAAAAAAAATCGCTGCTGGGGATGGCGTATGCTCCTTTTGAGTGACAAAGAGAGAGTAGAAGGGTGAGAAAAAAAAAGGTTCTTTTCTTACCAAATCTCTAACGAATGCCCTTTTGTTCCATTATCCCTCTTTAATAAATGAATCAAGGACCCCCATCCGATCGGTAGTTGGAGCAGTAAGCCCGTCCAATAGGCTGTGACTTGTTCTCTTTCATCGGGGAATTTTCGACAGAGGAAATGGAGAAAAGTGAGTCCGAGAAGGGTTCCGAGAAAGAGTCTGCTTCCGACGAGTTTTCGGCGTGAGGATGGATAGGCGGTGAAGAGGGCGACGAGGGCGAAGGTCAGGTCGAGGAGAAACCAGATGAGGAAACTGAGGCGTTCGAAGGGCGTCGAGGTGGTGGTGAAGGCGTAGTAGATTTCGTAGGAGAGGGTGCCACATCTAGATTTTCGATTGGGGAGGGATTTTTTTTTAACGATTCAAGCAAAACATAAAGCAAAAGCAACTGGAAGCAGAGAGAGAGAGAGAGATTCTTCAAAGGTCAGGTGTAGGTATGTGACATACCTAGGAGGTAGGTACATGTATATAAGAACTTGAAAAGAACTTACAGATACTCCACAAAACCCGACAACGTCTTATCCTTGTACGTGCGAGCCATATAAAAGAGATAACATAACGCGTACAATACGCCGCACGAAATAATCAATCCATCTTGAATGAAGAGATAGCTCTCGGGAGGTTCGAGGCGCGCATCGGCGGGTTGAACGATTAAATGTGCGTTGGAATAGCTGTAGGCGAGCTCGAAAGGCATGATTTCTTTTTTTTTTCCTTTTTCTTTTTTTCGTTTTTTTTTTGTTTTCACAAACTCTCACGGTGGTGGGTAGGTTTACGGTAGGAGGTACGGTAGTTGGTAGGGTACGGCAAGGTGCGGGAAGGTAGGAATATGAATAGTGGTACCGTACAGTTTATATGTCTGGTGGAAACTGCTCACGTCACTGTACACGAGGGCGATTGGTCATGATTGAGAAGGGCTACTGCCTACTGCTAAGAGTGAGATGGTGACGCGGATCTTGATTGGCATAAAGGTGTATACATGTACTGCATATCGTGTTTCCCAGGTCCGTAGCTTCCGATGCGAGCAATTTTGTACAGGTACAGTCCCTTATTTTTTGATGGCTGTGCAAGCCGTGCATTGCGTAAGCTTGGAGATCGGTACTGTAGGTACTGTACCTGTGCTGCCTCAGGTACAGATTTATGTACCTACGTAGGTACCTGTATAGCTACCTGTACCTGTAACTACTACTACTACTAAGGTATGTTCCTGACTGTGTTCCACCGCACAAGGCGCGTTGCTAGGCTAAGTAGGGTAGTACCTCACTCTACCAACAGAAAGAATGACAGGAATACCAGTACACAGGGACAGGTGCGGATCATTGGCTTCTGTGTCAAAGGCAAGAAAGAAAAGTAGGTCCTAGAGAAGAAGGGAGGTGGAACACGGCAATGCGCCTGACCATCGAAGAGGTACCGTAGAGTACACTATAGCGTAAGGTACCTTTTACCGTCCGTACCTTACGCTGATAAATGACAATACGGCACCACTGCACGCTTCTGCCTTCCGGACGGGAAGCCAACACTGCTCCACCACTATGCCTCACTCAGAGACCGATTTCCTGGTTGGGAAAGATTCCGTCAACAACAACACGCTTGGCGCAGGTTGTAAGAGCAACATACCTACCGTACCTCCTACGACTCCCTCGTATCGAGATGAGGTTTGAGGCGAGTGGAGCTCTTGCCATACATACCTGATCTCCTACGAGGTATGTCGCTCCTACTCTTCCTCGGGAGGGCAGAACTTGCTCAGAATAACCAGATTCACTTCCTTATAGCAGGTGCTTTACGATGTTGTGATGTAAGGCCTACCGCATCATGCTCTGGGACCGAGTATTTCTTCACACTCTTTCGTCTTCGTCTTCTTCTTCTTCTCTTCATCAACATCAACATCTTCATCATCATCATCCATCTTCTTCCAGCTTCTTCAACAAGAAGAAGGACAACAACAACTTCATCCATCCATACACCACCACCACGAAGAGCAGTAATGTAAACATACCTACTCCTGCAATCCCCTCTCATCTCCCATGCGGCCATCACTGACAATATTCTGCAGACCGAATATATCATAGCCTTGACCGCGATACCCAGATCAACATGAGGACCACGATCCTCGTTACTGCTGCTGCAGCTGCCACTTCAGCCTCTGTGATAGCCAGACCAAACAAGGCAGCTCGGGCCGCAGGTTGCTGTTTCCATGCAACAGCAAGCGGAGGACCTGGTGGAATGGTCGGACAGCTGGGCGATGGACAGAACCGCATCGGACAGTCTTCTCTTCCGACTGGACAGTATTGCCTTGATGACCAAGGAGGTTTGTCGGCCCTGCTCTGTTCTAACTTGCAGTCATTTGCTCAACTGACATGAGTAGGTCTCATGGACGGAAATGGCAAAGGATGCATCCTGACACCTCCAACCTCCCAATGGCAGTGCGATGCCGGAGCCCAGCCCACTCCGGGCTTCAGTGTTGGATCCGATGGCACCATCTCGCACAATTCAAGCAGCCAATTCTTCACGTGTCCAACTGGTGATAATGGCGCATGGAACTTGTACAAGGACACCCTCCCAGGCGAGCCGAAATGTGAAGCCGCCACGCTTGTCGCCGATAATTGCATGGCCAGCCCACCTGCATCGTCAGCCAACTCTGCACCACCGCCGGCCGGTACTGCTCATCCACCAGCTGGCACTGGTAATGCTCCTCCACCAGCGGGCACTGGCAGTGCTCCTCCACCAGCTGGCACTGCACCACCCCCAGCCGGCAATGCTCCTCCACCAGCGGGCACTGGCAGTGCTCCTCCGCCAGCTGGCACTGCACCACCCCCAGCCGGTAATGCTCCTCCACCAGCGGGCACTGGCAGTGCTCCTCCGCCAGCTAGTACCGGCAACGCTCCACCACCAGCCGGAACTGCACCACCACCAGCCGGTACTGCTCCACCACCACCAGCCGGAAATGCACCACCGCCAGCCAAGTCTGCACCACCGCCAGCCGGAACTGCACCACCGCCAGCCAAGTCTGCACCACCGCCAGCTGGCACCGGTAATGCTCCACCACCACCACCAGCCGGAAACGCACCACCGCCAGCCAACTCTGCACCACCTGCTGGCAGTGGATCACCACCCGCTGGTCCTCCTGCACCACCTGCTGGCAATGGATCACCACCTGCTGGTCCTCCTGCACCACCTGCTGGCAATGGATCACCACCTGCTGGCAGTGGATCGCCACCTGCTGGACCTCCTTCACCACCTGTTGGCAGTGGATCACCACCAGCCGGAACTGCACCACCACCATCTGGAACTGCACCACCAGCGGCCGGCACCCCACCAGGAGGAGCATCATCATCCGAGTGCCCAGCAAATCTGCCCGAGTCTTATGAGGTATCATGCAACCATTGTTCTTTCATGCCATGCACGTACTGATCCAGTATCCAGTTTCCACACTACATCAAGCCAGTCTCCTCACTGCAGCCGATGCAATCGTATGGCAATTCGTTCAATGGTTCAGCAGGCGCCGGCATCTCGTCAATCTTCAACTTCGATATCCCTGCCTCGTACGAAGGCCGTCTCTGCAACATCAAGTTCTTGTTCCCGGAGCAACAACAGCTGCAGACGTCTGCATACTCGTTTAGCAAGGGTGATGGCTTCAAGTTTGCAACACTCGAAGGTCCTGCAACAGAGTAAGTCATTCGCGGCATGATCGTTGATGGCATGGACTGATGCACTAGTGTACAGGGACACCACATTTGCCAATGCTCCCAAAGAGACGACCGATTGCGGCACATTCGACATGACCCCAGGGAACGCGTACGATATCGCGTCCATGGAATGCCCTGCAGGGGACAAACTCGCAGTGTCAATGGAAGCCATGGGGTCTTCCCACCTGGACTACTTTCAAGAGTAAGTTCATCCTCTCCGGACATCCTGCACGTTGACCTCCGCTGACGCATGTGTACAGTTACAACCCGTGCCGTAAGTTTCTCTTCTTGTCGTGACGGTGCCGCAATGATCTTGGAACTAACTTGACGCAGCTATCGGCATGTACATCATGGCACACTAATGTTTGGGCGGAACGTGTGTAAGCACTTGAAGGCGTACCCTAATGGTCCTGATTGACCGCGTTGCGGCGATGGAGTGCCTTAACCCTGGAAGATATCTCTGTTCTTGTTCGATACATAATGCTGTAGCATAATGCATATTCACATACGAGCACGTTTCCGCGGAGTTCCACTTGGATTGGTTCTTGTGACAGGATGGCAGTATAGCATATTGACTGCAAACGATGGACATTGGCACAGTCTGGGGCGAGAAGGCAATAACCATGGATGCGGTGGTTTGGTTGTTCATGCGGCTTTCCTTGATGGTCACGGGTTACCGCTTGTGGTAATGCCGGTGAGGGGTCCCGCCAAAGCTATTTGCCGCAAAGGAGAGCTCCATATGGGGAGAGAGAGAGGGAAAGAGAGAGCTTCGTGGAATTTCGGCCATTATAGCAAGGCCGCCTACTTGGACCAGCATCTACTGGCAGGGTAGTCGGGATTTGATGAAGCTCGCCTTGCCTTGCTCGTGGATTGGATCAAAACCGTGGTCAAACCCCCATTACCCGCAACATTCCTGACCGCATTATTTGTTCTCTCTCTCACTCTCTCCCTCTGTCTCCCAAGCGCAACCACGTTTGCCCACGCGAAATCCAGCCGAGTTGTCATTTCACTACCACAGATCTGGTACCAATTTCGCAGCAGCCTCGGCCGCCATCATGATGTCTGTGTCGCGAGTCACTTCGAGAGCACTGTTTCGCGCCACAGCCACCACCACCACCACCACCACCACCACCAGATTGACAGTATCCGCAAAACCAGTACCTTCGTCTCTTCTGGTGCAGCATCGACGCCACAAGCATGATGTCTACCACCCACCCCAGGGCAACGCGCCCGTCATTGGACGCAACCCACCTCCTGCGCCGCAAGAGGAGGCCGCTGCATTGAAGGATAATCACCAATCGGGTGCGTTTTTGGGCACGACGAAGCGTTTACCGGAATTCTCGTTGGCGGATAAAGTGGTGCTGGTGACGGGTGCTGCGAGAGGGTTGGGGCTCGTGCAAGCTGAAGGGTTGCTCGAGGCAGGCGCGACGGTGTATGCGTTGGATCGATTGGCGGAGCCGAGTCCGGATTTCTATCGTGTGCAGAAACGGGCTGCGGAAGAGCTTGGTAAGAAGAAGAAGAAGAAGAAGAGAATTGTGGCTGGTGTTGATGTGGTTTGGGGAGAGAGAGAGAGAGAGAGAGAGAGATGAAGAGTTCTGGCTGACAATGGTGAAAGGAACTACGCTTCATTACCGACAAATCGATGTCCGGGATGTTCCACAGCTCAATGAGATTGTGAGGAGTATTTCGGAAGCGCATGGGAAACTCGATGGGTTGATTGCTGCGGCGGGCATTCAGCAGGAGACGCCGGCGTTGGAGTATACTGCCAAGGATGCAAACACGATGTTTGAGGTGAATGTATGAGCTCAATGGATTTCTCCCCTCGAGATCTTTGGATACCTTGTTGCTGATTTTTCTTTTTTTTTGCTGATCGCGAGGAACAGATTACCGGAGTGTTCATGACCGCTCAGGCTGTTGCGAAGGAAATGATCAGGCATGGCAGGGGAGGTTCCATTGCCATGATTGCCTCGATGAGTGGTTCGGTAGCCAACAGAGTAAGTGCTGAAATCATTAATCGCCAAAGTACAGTGTGACTTTCGCTGACATGTGCTCCCAAGGGTTTACTATGTCCTGGTAAGAGGTTCCCGGTTGTACAGTCTATACGATGACATCGCGCTGACCTATCGTCCGAAAGCATACAACGCGTCCAAAGCCGGTGTACTCCAGTTGGGGAGAAACCTGGCGAGCGAATGGGGCCAGTACGGGATCCGAGTCAACACCATATCCCCTGGGTATATCGTCACAGCTATGGTGGAAGCTCTCTTCGAGCAGTATCCCGAAAGAAGACGCGATTGGCCGACACAGGTAGGTGCTCCTGTACCTCTACAGCCGCTCGGAGAAGTTCGATGAAACTAATCCACACCACCACCATTTAGAATATGCTGGGCAAGCTGAGTAAACCAGAAGAATACCGCGGCGCGGCAGTATTCTTGCTCAGCGACGCCTCGAGCTTCATGACTGGCGCCGATCTGAAGATTGATGGTATGTGTGATCCGTCACCTGTGTCACCCGAATTATGCTGACCTTGGATTTCCAGGTGGCCACACCGCGTGGTAATGTGCGATCCCAGCTGTCTCTCTTTTTTTTGTGGCGCCTCCTCTCCCGCAGTACTCGGTATACCGTTGTGTGTGCGTGCGTGTGCGTGTGTGGATATGTATGGTCCCGTATAGCATAATGTGATGTAGGCAAGGTAGGAGGGACCTACATGGGGCTTAGATAGTCCATCAAATTATGCCTTCCAAGTGTCAAATGAGTTATTTCTTTTTCACCTCACTTCACTTCACTTTCCCCCCATCTCCATCTCCATCTCCATCTCTGTCAACCACTCTCCCTCTCTGCAATTTCCCCCGAAATCGTCTCTGAAACAACTCATAAGAAGTATAAATCGCAATCGGCAACGCACACATGACCAGCGTAAAATTCTTCGCGGCGCGTGAATATCGAGCATCTAATACCCCTTCTCTCACCACTCTTCGCGCAGCTTCAATTCCCCGTTGAGGATCTGGTGAAGAAGGGTAGATTGGTTCTGGTTGTGCTGTTGTTGATTTTGATGTTGATTTTGTTGTTGTTGTTGATAATGTTGATGTTGTTGTTGATGATGCATAGCGCCAGAGACGAGAGAATATTTCTTTGGCTCCTCCTCCTCCTCCTCCCTTTCCTTTCTTCTCGGTAGAGGTCGCGGAATCTTCGAGTGCGTGGTCGGGATAGCGCGTGATGCGCTCGTGGGCGGGGAGGGGTTTGAATGGTCGTGGAGGAGGAGGTGCAGCAGCTGCAGCAGCAGTAGGATGATGATTGTTTTTGGGTCCAGTTACTGGATGGGTGGTGGTGGTGGTTGCGTAGCCTCTTATTCCTATTCGGAACCCTGATGGGAAGCGCAAATTGGAGAGGATGCTTCGACTACTCTTAGTTCTCATGGCTGTGGATATTGGGATTGGGATGGGGGGATGGATTATCACCAAAGTTGAAAGGGTTCTCGCGTCCCTATACCACTTTAGCAAGTGAGTTTAGTTCTAGAATTGCTTGGCGGTGAGGAATAAGCTTTGCTTTTTTTTGGAAAGGTTCGGTGATGGCTCCGGTCTCTCTCTGCTACATTGTCTGCTGTGTGGAATACATGTACTTACATCCTGATGCTGCCGATTTGGGAGGGAGAAGTGTTGGTCACGCTAGTTGTCGCTGCATATTAGTGCGTAATGTACAAGTTTCCTAGTCTTGTTTGGTGTTGAACAGATTTATCTATACCAGTTTATAACCTACTACTAAAGCGAGCCTCGACGGATAATAAACAACCCTTTATAACATTTTGTCTTTAGTCTTAGAGAGATTCGAGGGCACTGCTCGAATACAAGTAGGTACTCGACTAAGTTATATACCTACCTAAGCTTTAATACTTTTTCCTAAGATACCTTTAGGTATATACCTGATATTTATACTTCTCTTAACATAAGAGCGTGTGATACAGCCTGCTGACACGCTTGTGTGGAGTGTGATATCTTCAACATGACTCGCGCTTGCAGATTTTTCGTAGCTACTGGCCATGGCAGCAATGGAAACGGCACTAACGTCTGAGTTCTCCAACGCATGCATACATAGTGAACCATAAGTTGGAGCAGGAGATTTTTCTCCGGGGAAATTGATCAATGATCGAATTATGATGATGGTGATGATGATGATGATGATGATGATGATGGCATCAAGAAGGTAGCGACAAGGAGAGTGTCTGTCGGCACAAGGACGGGCGGATAGGGGTAGCAGGTGAGAATGACGGTATGGTTATACAATACTCAAGGTTGGAGGGTTGGAGGTGTGGCAGGTGAGCAGGGTTATATCTCCTAAGTTACAGTAGCCGCAACTCTGATTTTGGGAGCTCTTTTCATTCATTCATTCATTCAATCATTCATTCATGCGACGCTCCTGTGGGACTGTGACTGGTCATTTCATCAACTGTGCTGGGTCGGTGAGTTCGTAGGCGGTTGCAGAGAGAATGTGAAGCACTCCGCACCCTCATCGCCCTCCCGAAACAGTCTCCTTCAATCTTCAGTCATACGAGTCGACAGCCACACAGCTCGCGCCACAAGCGCAACAGATGGCGGTTGGCGGCTTCGCTTCGAAAAGACACGGACGGGTGGAGCATTTAATTTAGCGGCGTTCGTATGCAACACACTTCACCTCGTTTTTTACTTTCAACACTGTGATGGAGTCTAACGTCCGACAGAGAAATGGTGTTTCGCCATTCCCTTTATTCTTGCCGGCCAGACGCCGGTAGACCCGCGGAAGAAAGTAGCCATGGCCATTTGTGTGAGCGATGATAATCATAATTACCTTGGCTACGGTAGGGAAGGTAAGGACCAAGGTTGGTATAATCATACGTCGTCGTTGCACAAGTACCTAGGTACCTTTTTGATGAAATTCACACATGACAGGTTCCACACTTTCCTGCGCAAGGAGGAAAAGTTGGCAGGTCCCGACTCCCCAAGCGCACATACACTTACCTACACGTACACATGCAGCTTATGACGCGCGACCGCCATCGTGTCAATAAACAACGGAACTGCCACTTTCCACTTTTCTTCTCTCTCCTTGCTTCGTTACCGTTACCTACCTTACTTACTTGACCTGACCTGAACAACAACATCAACAACAACTACTACTACTACTGGTATCCCACGCGCAGACCTTTCTTCTCCATCAGACCAACCACCACTCTCAAACAAACCACCTCAATTCACCGCAACCATGGGCGCCGTCGCATCCTGCTTCAACTCCTTGGTACGAAAAACACCATTTCCCCCAACGCCTCCTCCCTCTCCTTCAAACAAATCACTAACTCTTCTTCTTTCAAAAGGTCTCGGCCATAACTAGCTGCTTCATGGCCGTCGTCAACGCCATCGTCGCCGTCATCAAAGCCATCGTAAGCTCTCATATCCTCCATAACCACACTCACACTTTTGCGCAAAAATTCTGGTGGCTAATTTGAAAAAAAAAAAATTTACTATAGGTCAATGGAGTCGTCTCACTCTTCTGGGCCATTGCTTCGTGCCTGACTTGCGGAAAAGCTGGAGGTCGAAGGAGAGCGACGACGAGTCATGTTTGATGTTTGAGGCCTTTTTGGGAGGTGGAAATGATTCCGTTTCATCTGTCGACATGAGATGATGGCGGTGAATCGCTGGACGAAAAGAGATCCTACTATGTTGGTGGCTCGCATGTGATGGGGTGAACGGATGGATGGAGTGGTAATGCGGGACGGGAGGTATGGGGTGGGTCATCATCACAGCAGGACCTTTTGTTTCTTTCTACATGTTTTGTTTTTTTGGTGCGTTTACTGAGACGAGACGAGAGAGTGATGATGAGTAGTAGCAGTGATACCCAATGCAAGTTGCGTACTGTTTTGTAAAAAGATGAAAAAAAAGTTGTTTTTCCAAAGTCATGGTTGCTGTTGCTGTGTTGTTGTTGTGCACTTTTTGACGTTGTTGTTCTCGTCTTCCTTCCGTTACAAGGACAAAACACCCCATGAAACCATGACATGTCAGGTATATATCATGGAATGAGAAACAAGTAATAGGTACAGGTAAGGTAATTACAGTGCAAAAGCATTTGAAAAAAAAGTTTCATTCCAGAAATAGGTAGGTATCGTACGGTACGGTTACTGATCGCTCCAATCCATCCATCTATACGCCTAATTACACCGCGGGTGATTTGATTCAGGTTGCCATGTGTTGTCATGAATCTTCTCCCTCAAAGGGGAAAAATAACAACAACAACAACAACAGCAAAAACAACAACAAAAATACACAGCATACAGCATACCTAGCATACACACAAAAGTTTTATCTCATCGAGTGTTTGTGTGTGTGGATGTGTGTATGTATGGGAATACATAGGCAGAGGCAACCTTTCTCTCTCTCTCTCTCTCTCTCCATCTCTCTTTCTGCAATTCCCAATTCCCATTGTCATTCCCATGCTATTGCAAACACACACATACACGTCTCACTTTTTTTTGTTTTTTTGTTGTTTGTTTTGTTTCCCGTCTGGTTCCAGCGTTCGTTGTTTCGTTTGAGTGACCTCTCTCTCTCTCTCTTACTCTCTGTCACTCTCTCTCTCTCATTCATCCGTTCTCATTCAGTGTGCCATTGCCCTTGTGTGTTCCTCTTGCGCGCGCACCACTCGTTTAGTGCTTGCTGCCGTAAATAGCTATTGTGGTTTCATGTCAGTATTCCAACCTTCTTCTTTTTGTTCTCAAATCCGAAAAGTGCCAGGCGAGTTAGGAGGGTAGGTGGGTATCTTACCACTGGGCACGATAATGATGACGAGCAAGAGGATGATGCCGATAATGATGCACATTCGCATCTTCATGTCCTTCCACCACATTTGCTTGCGTACTCGATTCGCTCCGCGGCGGAAGCTGTTGGCCTGGGTCGAGAGATGGTCGGTCTTGTCCTGCAGATTGTCCAACCGCTCGCCACGTTCCGAGATCTTGTGAATGTTGTTTTGCATCGTGTGAACTGCACTGTCGATTTCCTGTTACACCGCCGTGAATGTCAGCCTTCCCTTCTTTCTCTATTGTTGTTGTTGTTGTTTTCTCCTGGCTCCTCGTCTCCTCCTGGCTCCTCGTCGCTCCTCCTCCTCTTCGCTCCTCCGCAGTTCGAGCGGAGTGCGCCTATTGCGCTCCTTGTCGCCATGTCGAGAGTGGGAAACTTACGCGCTGCAGGCCTTGTGTGCGCGCATTGCCGACGTCGCTCTCTGCTCCGCGCTTCACATAGGGGTCGTAGAGACCTTCGCCGCCGTTGTTGGCCATGATGACAGGGTTGGTGGTGGTGGTTGGTTGCGTCGGAGGTCAGTTGGTCGTGATAGCGTATCGGCAGGAAATCGAGGCGTTGCGAGGCTGATGTCGGAGGCGTGCGAAGTGATGGTGCGGGTGGTGAGAGGGATGCGACGGTGGTGAAGTTGCAGGTGGCAGGTAGATGATGTGGTGTGAGAGATGGTTGTCGCAAGCTACGAATGATGGAGGCTGAGCCTTGGCTTGTTTTCGGTCCGGCGCCACCCATCCACAGAACTTCACTGCCTAAAGGTACCAGGTACCATGGATGATAGGTGGATACCTTTTCATTGTGATCCGGCATTTGCACACAGCTCCCGAGTCCGCTATCGAGGGTATCTTGTGCTTGCAATTATAGACAAAGAAACGAGCGCAAGCAGACACATCCTCACCCGCTCTTCGTCAGACTTTGACGTATGATTGAGGCGAGAGACTCTATTTGCATTCACCTAGAGCAGCGGGAACAGCAAGGGTTACGCTGCCACTCCACGGCGAGCTATTATTGTACATGCGAGTCTTGGCGGGCATGGAGTGAGTGGCACAAACAGATGGAGTCCACTTTCACTTCTGCGTACCGCCACTCGATGCAGCTCAGGGCAGAGACATTGACTACCTACCTCCTGAACACCCAGAAGCAGAGACTTTATGGTTGTTGGCTCAACGGATGTGGAGGTCATTAGATTGAGAACTACTCGCTGCAGATTCATTCTCCCGCTCCCACATGGACGGCCTGATCCATCACCCTGAGCTGTCCAGCCACTGATGCTGCCTATACTGTTTCGATATATCGCTTCACCTCCCTGTGAAATGTCAGTTAGTATCGCAGTTGCCGAGGGAAGAGATGTAAAAGAGATTCGAAACATACCAATCAGTCACCGCTTCGTCCCACAGCCGGACTTCATGCTCGCGAGTGCCAGCATAATGGTCGACGAATGCGTCACCCAGGACCTCACGCGCGATACTTCCTGGGCGAGCAAAGGTGGCAGTTGCTTCCTTGAGACTCTTTGCAAGCCTCTGTCCCTTATCTGCCTCTCCTCCTACATCCTGACCTTTCCCCAGTGGCGGTACAGGAATTGCCAACTTCTTTTCGACACCACGCCATCCCAGCGCCAGGATTGCTGCCAGGACGAGATAGGCGTTGGTGTCAGCACCTGGCACGCGAATCTCCAGTCGTGTGCCCTTTGGCGGGCATGTCGGTGGTGCAATCAGACGGACAGAGGCAGCGCGGTGTTCTAAGCCCCATGATACCGTCACTGGCGCCCAGAAATTCTCGACCAGACGCTTGTAACTGTTGACAGTAGGAGCCACGAGTGGCATGATATCCGGTAGCCCTTCCAAGACGCCTGCGAGGAATGAGCGGCCAATGTCGGACACATGTGCCACATCTGCGTATGGAGGGTTCTCGTCCTTCTCCTCGCGATGGAAGAGATTCTTGCCCGTTTTGTGGTCCACAAGTGACACGTGCATATGGCCGCTGTTACCGGGCAAGCCTTCTCTCGGCTTGGCCATGAAGCACGGTGTGATGCCGTATTTGGAGCTCGTGTTCTTCACCACCAGTTTGAACAGTGCAGCCCGGTCTGCCATCTGCCTGATCTCTCCATATTCCAGTGCCGCCTCGTATACACCCGGCCCACTCTCCGTATGCCATCCTTCGATATTACACCGGAACTTTTTGCACGTCTCAAATATATCATAGTACCACTTCTGGTTATGTGTCGGTCGCGTGAGAGAGTACCCAAACATGCCCTCTTCGAGACTAGGCAGGGAGTTCACCGGATTGTTCTTCAAGAAGGTTACCGTCGCGCTCGAGTTCCGTTCATTCGCGCTAGGATCGGATGGTGCTCTGAAAGTGAAGAACTCGTACTCCGCTAGAGTGAGTGGGGAAGTTAGTGGCAGGTCCTGATGTCTCCAGCGAGAGCTCGCTCGCGCAACGCTTCAAAAGACATGATACGCACCGCCGGCTAGAGCCCCAATGCCGCTGGCTTCAATCTTCTCGACCGCTGTTTCCAGCAAGCTACGAGGGCATGCGATCAACTTTTCCCCTTCGGGCTCTCTGAAGCTCACCAGGAAGAACGGCACATTGTTCTCCCATGGTATTCTTCGAAAGCTGCTCACGTCCACTTCCGCAGTGATATCCCTGTAGCCATTGGCGGCATTGCTGATGGCCAGCTCTTTGAAATATGTCTGATCGTGCATATCCCAGCCAAAGATGACGGAGCAGAAGCCGAATCCGCTCGCGACAATGGACATGAATTTCTTCTTCGACATCAACTTTCCTCGTACTTGGCCGTCGATATCCACTCCGCCGACCTTGATGGCGTCGTCATCCTTCAGCAGCTCTTCGAGGTCCTCATGCTTCAGCTCCGAGGGTTCTTTGGCATTGGCCATGACGCTGATCCGGTCGCTCGGTGATGGTACTACGGTGGGTGTGAGAAGGGTATGTTTCGGTATATACCAGACTGTTCAGTGTTGTATCGTTGAGTACAACTCCACAGTGGTAATGTTGAATAATAGCGTGTGACGATATCTGGGAAATGTGTTTTCGGCGGGAACTCTTATCGGGTAGTTCATGTAGTGTTAACTAGAGATAGTGGAGCAGTAGCAGTGTGCAGATCACAAGGCTAAGGTAGCTCATCAGTCGCGTGGCAGTGGCTGGGCTGGACAGATGACAGGGCCAGCGCGTCCACCTTCACCCGTCCGTCTGACGCCGTATGGACCTCGCCGTCACTTGGCCCCGATAGTGCCAGGCGAGCAGCCCGATACCGATGTCTTACCGGAGGGCAATGATGGCATTGCACGGTAACATCGGCAGGACTTCATTCTTGTTAGGTACTCCATACAGGTTATCCCCGCGGGAAGCACAGCAGAGGCAGCGAGACCGGATCATCCTCTTCAAGAATGTCAGATGAAGTTAATCGTTATCGCGTTGGTTGCAACAACAACGACGTCAACATCACTAGTGATCAATACGAAGTGACATGGAATGTACATAAGAGGCATATATCAGGCCATCTACAAAGATCTTCACTTTCACCCGGCAGAGTCTTTTGCAATCTTCACTTTTGCACAATCCTCCAAAGGAAGTGAGGAGGTAACTTAGCCGTTTCATCCCCCTCTAAATTAAACAATAACCCTTTCAACATCACCGTTATCGGCGCTCCCTCAGAGCAGCTAGGAGGTACAAGTTCACCTGGATTGGTTTGCCCAATTAGGAAAGCGCCACACAAATATCACTCCAACAACAGGTGAGTCGAAAACATTCAGTACATCCTACAAGTACCTCAAGACCAACAATAAAAAAAGAAAAATTGACATCTTCATCAGCATGGCCAGCAATACCACAGGACGCCTCGCAGGCAAGAATGCCGTCATCACAGGAGCTGCTGGGTGAGTGTGTTGCATTGATTGACAGCAAACGTCACGAGAAAGGCAAGTCACTCAGCTAACAAACATCTCTCCAGAGGCATTGGACTCGAGACCAGCATTCTGTTCCTCCGCGAAGGCGCCAATGTCTTGATGACCGACATCTCCGTCCCGGCACTCGAGAAAGCCCTCGCGAAGGCAAAGGAGTGCGCTCCTTCAGCAGGGGGCAAAGTCGAGATCGCCAAGGTTGATGTTTCCAAGGAGGCAGACATTGAAAGCGCCGTTGCGAAAGTCGATGCGTGGGGTGGCGTGGACATTATGTTCAACAATGCTGGTATCATGCACGCCGACGATGCAGGTGAGTCAATTATCATCACTTTCGAGCTACTAAAGTGCAAGCAAAATCAGAAGAAAACTGACATGATTCTTCTACATAGATGCCGTCGACACACCCGAGAAAATCTGGGATTTGACACAAAACATCAACGTCAAAGGCGTATGGTAAGTCTTGATCAAAAGTCCATCATCACACGACATCAAAAAAAAAGAACGAGTCACTAATCTATCCAAATAAAAAACACACAGGTTCGGCAGCAAACACGCCGTCCTCTCACTCCGCAAACACCAGAAAACCAAAGGCAGCATAATCAACACCGCCTCAGTCGTCGCGCTCGTCGGCTCCGCCACACCCCAACTAGCCTACACAGCGTCCAAAGGCGCGGTAGCAGCCATGACGCGCGAACTAGCCATTGTGCACGCCCGCGAAGGCTACCGCTTCAATTCCTTGTGTCCGGCACCTCTCAACACACCACTCTTGCAAGATTGGCTTGGCGACGACCAGGCGAAACGGCATCGTCGCGAAGTCCATTTTCCTTCGGGACGCTTTGGAGAGGCTGTGGAGCAGGCTCAGGCTGTCTTGTTTTTGGCGAGTGATGAGGCGAGTTTTGTGAATGGACATGATATGGTTGTGGATGGGGGTATGACTAAGGCGTATGTGACTCCGGAAGGTCCGCCGACTCAGCCGCCTGTGAATGCTGCTCGGTAGAATTTTTGTGGGCTGTTGCGGGAAAAGTAGTCTGGAGGTGGGGAGGATAGATGCATGGTAAAGCTGGTTTTGTAGAGACGGTTATGAATTCATCCTCTCTGCTTTTGCGTCTTGTTCACGATAAAGCAGCGGTAGGTACCTAGATTGCAATTTCTCGAGGCCATAGCTCGAGGGCTGGAGCTGAAGCAACGTAGTAGTGACAAGACAAAAGATCATGAGACGAACCAGGTGAGATGGAAATGTGACGAACCAATATCCTCATCTACCTTATGGGTCGAAGAATTACATAGGCCAGCATTGACTCCTCTCCCAGCAAAAAAACATAGGAGATACTGTCATAGCTCAACTGCAGCTTGAGTCTCATACCACCGACTGTACACACCGCAGTATACATCCAGGCCACCCTATCGATCTCCTCCGCGCCCCACAGATTCCCTTTTTCCCAAAGGCAATCCCTTCCTCCCCAAATGACCTACCAACTCGTTCCCTCCCCCTTGCAACTTACTTCCCACTAACAATCTTTCCCTCCACCTTCTTCGCCGCCTTTTCCAAATCGCCCAAACCCTCCTTGGCATCCTTCTTAATCTCCTCTCCCAACGTAGTAGCCGTGTTTCCTTCCAAGCTCCTCTGGTATAACAACACGCGAGTCGTCTGCGTAGCTCCCACGCAAAACAGCAAGAAATTCACACTCGCCAGAAACATATTCTGCGGTCGAATCACAAAGCACCAGCGCGTCCAGATGAGTCCTGTGGCCATGAGAGCCGAGTTTTGGGAGAGAGAGAGATCTTTGGCGGGACGAGCGAAATCTGCGGCGCCGGCGAGAACGAGACCCCACTATGTTTTAATAGAATTAGCCCAACACTCTGTGTGAAGTGAAGTGGAGAATAGAGTATGAGAGAAAGGCTTATCTTTCTTACCTTCATGATGGGAGCCCAGAAGTGTACTGTCTTGGGACCGACGGGGGAGTTGAAGAATTTGCTGAAGCCGGTCGCTTCGGCTTTGGTTGCTTCGGCGGCATTGGTGGCGGTGGATTGCGCTCGTCGTTGCGAGATGGTGTTGATCTGTTGGCGGAGAACGGGCTGGCGGAAGCTGTTTTGCACAGCACGGAGGCCGAAGCGCGCAGACATGATGGTAGAGGTGGACGGGAAGGAGGAAGTCGAGGCGTGGATAGTACTCGACTCTCTTTGTCGGCTATGTCGAGTCGGGAGAGGTTGAATGGAAGGGGGAGACTGCGGTGGTAGGTAGGTAGGTTGTTCAAGGTCAATGTCCCTCATCGGAGAGAGTGGAGGTCGAATGCTTGGCAGGGCCGGCTGCGGGCTGACATTCACCTCGAGCCGGAACTACAGGTATGTACCTACATACTGTACCTACACAACCTGCTTGTCTTGTCCTGCCTCATCCACCTTCCAACCCCGTCTCGTCCAATCCCAGCACTCTCGACATGTCGACCAAATACGCCTTTTCCAAGGCACTCAAGGAGCTGCGATTCCACCACTGTCAGACCTCCGAACACTCCAATGCCGTCCGGTACATCTCGACACCTGAGTACAGCACCATCTCCATGGCACGCACGTCGCTCACCTTCTCACCAGTTCCTTCCTCACGCGCGCCTATCCCACCATGAAGCACCACAATCCATATACGCCCATTTTGATTCGAGAAGCCATGGGGTTTGAGCCTAGAGTGATTGCGCGATATGAGTTTGGACGGGAGCAGGCAGAGGATCTCAAGGGTAAGAAGAAATCCAACACCAAGAAGCTCTCTGCGAATGCTCTGGAGTACTTATGCTTGTGGAACAGGACTGGATGATAAGGGCATCGAGGACAAAATCACTGCATTGGTCAAAGGGCAATAGTGGGGAGGGAGGGATGCAAGTGAAGGGAAGTGACTTATGCAGCGGAAAAGTAGGAGTGAAAGCTGCTTCTGATTGTGTGCATATTGTACAGTATGAAAGGCGCTGCGAACGAGACACATGATACCCCCGATATCTGTTGACAAAGGCTGTGTCCAATGCTCCACATTTGACAGATCACTTGGACCCACCGCGCCGCAGAGGCATTGAGGGGAGGAGAGAGCAGGCTTGGTGGATGGTTGCAGATACTTCGGATTGCATAGTTGGTCTGTTATCCGCAAGGCTTGCACCTAGGCACTACTGATAGAAGCAGAACACCAAACGAGAATACTTAACGCATGTTGACACAGTACAAGGACATTTTTTAATTCACTATTCAAGCTCCAACTTCTCCAAATCGATACTGCGCCCAACTCATACTTCCCTCCGGCAAAGTCCATAACTGCTTCCCAGACTCCTCACTCGCCGCCCCAGCACCCACATAAATCGGCAACAAATGCTCAAACGTCGGATGTGCCTTTCTCGCATCCGACCGCTTCAACAATTCCGCCATCGCAGCCTGCCTCTCCTCCGGTTTCCTCTCCACCGCCTCCTTCAAAGCCTTATCAAACGAATACACATAATCCAACGCGCCCGGTCTTCCCCACGCCCGCGCCATATCCCGCAAATTGTGCACCGCCATACCCGACACAATAATCTGCACCCCTTCATCTCGCAACGATGCGACGGCGCGACCGAGTTGGTAGTGCCGATCCGGATCATGGTTGTCGGAAATGGAAACTTGCACAATCGGCACATTTAACGGGTTTTTGTCGGGTGAGAAGGCGCACATGAAGGATGCCCAGACTCCGTGATCGAGACCGCGACGGACTCCTTCGACGGGGATTCCTGCCGAACGGATTTTCTCGATGACGTGGGCGGCGAGTTGGGGAGAGCCTGTGTGTGGGTATTTCATGTCGTAGTAATGGGCCTGTACGTAGGCGAGAAGAAAGTGATGTTCAGTCAAGGGTTCTCTTCATATACCTAGTATGTTGGAAAGAAAGAGGGGAAAAAAAAACTTACGGGAAATCCATAAAAATCATAAATCAAACCCATATTCTCTGCCGTATTCACTTCAATCGTATCTCGATATCCTTCCCAATGTGCACTAAACACCACCACAGCTTTCGGCTGAACCTGTTGCGTGATTTCTCGGCCGATTTCTTGTAATTTGGCATAGGCTTTGTGGTTTGTATCTTCCATGATATTGGGACCTCCATGGGAGAGGAAGTAGACGGGGGTTCGTTGGCCTGGCATTATTGTTGTTGTGTTGATGTTGTTGTTATTAAGAGAGAGGAAATTCCTTGTAATGGTGTTGGTGTTGTTGGAGGTAAAGGAGGAGTTGTGGTTGTTTCTACCGGTCCAAAAGGGTAGAATGAGGGACCTCTTTGTACGGTTCAAGAGCTGGGCGAGCGTGGTGGATTGCGAAGCGAGGAGAGGAATTGTGGCGGCGATGAGGAGTCCTATGAGTAGAATTCGAAACCAGGAGGATGAGGAGGGATACATCAGTAGGTACCTGTAGCTAGCGGGAATTGGAAATCATGGATGATGGATCGTTCTGGTTGGGTCTTGTACTTTTTATTTCGTTTCTTTTGTTCGAGTCGTTTCTAAGCTATTCAGGCGATGGCTAGCATACCACCCTGCTTACTTAAAGCGTGGCTTAGAATATCCCGAGTCTCGGGTACGGACTGTAGGAGGTATAGGTAAGTCGTCCGGTAGTGCTTGGGGCGGAGAGATACCGCAGAAGGTATTCTTAGTTATTGCTGCTTACATCATTAGGAGGTCCAGGCCGCCAGGTGAATAAAATTCCGAGATGACGTCCGAGGGCGCGTCCCCTTCTGGTTCTCTTACCAACCACAGCTCAGGATCAGGCAACAGAACGAAAAGAGCAATAAGCGCTGCAGATCACCACTTTTTGTTGTCTTCCATCTCCCTCTACCATTCTACTTTACCTTGTACTCAACATCTCAGTATAACAGAACAACTTCACAATACACCACATCACACCACAATGGCTACTGCAGGAGCGGCAGCAATCGTCGTGCCGGCTGTGAAGCGACACACGTCCACTGTCATCGTAGCTCATGGTCTCGGCGGTACAGTCTACACCTCATTGGCAGTACATTTCTTAGCGAACAGGAGTAGCTGACCACTGGAACAGATAGCGGTGCAGGATGGTAAGCCCCCCTTCTCTCTCTCAGAGTCTCACAATGAGTGCCAGATCGACTTCATCGGTCATACTGGCAACTCGGTGGGCTAATCATTCTGCTTGTTCTTTGTAGGGCCTTCCTCGCAGGAGAATACCGACGCGAATCCCTCTTCCCCGAAACGAAATTCATCTTCCCCAACGCTCCGAGTATCCCCATCACGGTCAATGGAGGCATGAAGATGCCAGGATGGTACGTGGTCTAGGGCAAACACTGCATGCACCAGGCAGAGGCTAAGAGGGTGACAGGTTCGACATTGCCAACTTTGGTGATATCGCCAACAGGAGCCAAGACGAGGAAGGTTTATTGCGCTCGCGAAAGGTGTTCCACAACATGATCGAAGAGGAGATCAAAGCGGGCGTCCCCAGTGATCGCATCGTATTGGGTGGGTTCAGTCAAGGCGGTGCCATGGCTCTGTTGGCAGGCATCAGTAATCCCACGAAGCTGGGCGGCATCTTTGGACTCTCGTGCTATTTGCCCTTGCACCAAAAGACAACGGAGCTGGTGCCCACGGACGCCCCCAACAAGGAAACACCAATCTTCATGGGCCACGGCGACGCAGATCCCGTGGTGAAGTACTCGTGGGGTCAATTCTCGGCAGAACATTTGAAGGGGTTAGGATACTCGGTGGACTTGAAGACCTACAAAGGCTTGCCGCATAGTGCTTCGCCGCAAGAACTGCTGGATTTGAAGGCATATCTCCAGAGCAGAATTCCCGAGATGGGGGACAAGGCTGCATCAGGTGCCAGCGGCAGCTTATGACTACCTGACTGGGCACGCGGCGCATTAGCCCGGGAACCGTATGATGCTGGGGAAACAAAGATGGCGTTAGCGGTCGTGGGCATGTTGCTGTTGTGGGTATTGACGGTTGCAGTATGGAAGCGATTGAAGAACTGGTTTTAGCGCTCAATCCTATGACAATCACGAAATGATATAATATTACAAATGCTGCGCGAACTAGCGTTTGCGGGACCCATCAGATTCAATATTATCCACGCACTGCTCTCGAGTGAAAATGAGCAACTAAGATGGGTACTAAGGTATATGGCATCACAAGTTGATAACCACTCTATGATCTCAGCCGAAACATCCGATAAATTTTTGATTATAACCAAAAGTAGAACTTCCGAACAGCCGATCTCCCCTCCTATGTTATACTAACCTCCGCTCTCTTTTCTCTCTTCTCTTCTCTCTCTCACTTTCTCTCTCACATACACATTGATCCCTTTATTCCCACACAAAATCTCCCACAGACGAAGAAGAAGAAGAAGAAGAAGCCCCTCTTCTCATCATGACCAGCCAATACATTGCCTCGGTCCCCTCCGACGGCAGCATCCCGTCGGAAATCGTCGAATACTTTTCCAAATTCTACGAAATTTCCGATTCTCCTGCCAATCACGAAAAATATGCGGATATGTTTACGGCGGATGGGACGATTATTATGGCTTCGAATCGGGTACAGGGTCGGGAGGGTAAGGTTTTTTTTCTTTCTCTTTTTTTTTGATTCTTCTTCTTTTTTTCTAATCATCATACAGCAATTATTAAACTCCGACATGGCATGTGGGAAAAAGTGGCAAAGCGATCACATGTTCCGAAGCAGTTGTTTGGATTGGGAAAGGGGTCGGAGGAGGAAGTCATGTTGTATGGGACAGTGGATTATACGTTGAAGGATGGGAGGGGTACGACGGTGGATTGGTCTGCGAGAGCACATTTTGTGAAGAAAGAAGGGGAAGAGTTGAAGATGGATTTTTATCAGGTTTATTTGGTGAGTTTTTTTTTTCTTTTTTTTTTCTTCTTCGTCCGGGAAAGTGAAAGCTGACTTTTTGTTCGTAGGATACTGCGGCCATGGCGAATGCTAAGTAAAAAATTCCTATCTCACCTGTATGACAATCTCGAAACGAATTGAAATGGGTCGATGGTTTATGAAATGAAAATCAGCAAAACATCTTGTCCTTGCACACCACACATCTCACACATACCCACCTCCCCTCAACATGCGCCTCCATTCATAATCATCCACCCTTCCCCCTCCTCTCCTCATCCATGCCTCTCCTACTGCACCTTTATAATCCTAATAATATCCCTCAAAATATACAACCCCTTCTCCCCGTCTCCCGTCTTCTCATCATCCCCTTTCAAATGAAACGCCTCGGAAAAGTACAACGGCTCCTGACTTCCTTCACCGACCTAGATGCGGGGAAATAAAAAAAGTTAACCTCGTTGATGATGATGATGATCGTCACTTTTTATAATCATATTCACTTTGGTTTCTCTGAGGAAAAGGAAAAAAATGAAAGAAAATGAAAGCCAAGTAAAAAGAAAGCTATATCTGAGAGAATAGAGCATCTGACTTGGAAAGAAAGAAAGAAAAAAGGGAGGGGAGGGGCAACTTACGAAAACTTTGCCTGTGACCAAAACTATCATGTCGTCTGTAGTGTCTCCTTGAATGTCGATTGAGGCGATTTCGTGTTTGGTGGGAGCGTGGGAGATTAAGTTCTAGATGTGAGAGATTAGGAGATGTAGGAAGAAGAAGGAGGAGGGGAAGAGAAGGGGAAAATGGAGAAGAAGGGAGGATGAGAGAAGAAGATGGAGAAGGGAAAGATGAGTTGAATCTCTCTCTCTCTCTCTCTCTCTCCCACATCATTCAACGGAGAAACAAGAAACAAAAAACATAACAAAAAAAAGAAAGAACAAGAAGATAAAAACTCACAAAAACCCCCTCATAAATCTCCTTTCCACCCCGAAAATTCGACCTCTCCGAAGAATCAAACGAAAGCAAAGATTCTTCTTTATAAAAAATTTGCAATTCCGATCGACGAGACGACGTATCCCAGAGGAGATAGTTTTTTGTGATGAAAGATTCTAGTATAGGATGTTAAAACATTGCATGTCATTTGGGGGGAAGGAGGGGGAACATAAACATACCGCCGAGTTGGTAGATGTTATTATTCGCTGTTTTTTTTTGGGAAAAGGTCGGGTTGGGTTAGTTGAGGGATTTAGATATGTAGCTTATGTATGTATATATATGGTATGTGACTTACCCATTGTTGATTTTCGAAGGGATGATGATGAATGATGATGATATTGTTGTTGATGATTACATGTAGGATATGTATGTAGGTATGTTGGTAGGGAGGGAGGGAGCCCAACACTCCAAGACATATATCTATACCTAGGTACCTACCTATCTACCTCACCTACCTTTGACATACCCACCCCCTCTTCCCCTTGCCCCTTGACTACATCCTCGTGTCGTTGACTACCGTAGTTATTACAAACTTGTGAAAAAAACCACGATTGCCGTAGGCGACGAGTTAAGCTCACTCACTACAGCTTACAGATAGGCACCTACAGGTAAGTAAGCTCTTCTACCTTACCTGCCCTTATCCATGTTCTTTTAACTCTGATAAATACGAATTTTTAGCCCCGCCGTCGCTCTGGCGGCGCGCCTACGCCTACGGGCGCCCTGTGGTGGGAAAGAAAAAAGCTTCTTTTTTTTCTTCTCCATTGGAGAGTTTCTGGAAGGAGGAGGTGGTTGCGGTTCCTTGTTAGCGAGTTTATGTATAATGTACGTTTTATGGTAGGTTATTGTGTAGGTATGTTGGGGAAGATGGATTTGCTGAGGTGAGGTGTGGATGGGGTTGGTGGGAGGGGGTTGGTTTTTTTCTTCTCGTTCTTCTTCTTCTTCTCTTGTTCGTGGTATTGTCGTTGCTGTTGTTATGAATGGTTTGGAAAAAAGAATAGAAAAAACACACAATTATATATTACGAATTAATCTACTACTACTTCACTCCCTCCGTCCTGCATCAACGTCAACTTTTTGTCAACAATAGGAAACAAAATCACCCTCTTCCAACAACTATATATACCTACACACTCAGCGTCTGATTCCATATACTCTCCACCGTCACGCCATCCACCCACGTCCCCTTGGTCTCATCCTTTTGCACCGTATAACCCACCTGCCTCGTCTCGCCCCGAGCCAACCAAAACCCATTGCTCTCGAAATGGACGACGGCACCCGCAGGATAGTCCAACCACACCCAGGCCGCGACACCAGAGGTCGCGGTGACGCTAAAGACGTTCGAGTACGCATCGTAGCGGAGTTGTAAGCCGGGATCGACGAGTGCGGCGTCTTTGAGAGGGCGAGGATGGAACCAGTTCTCGGATTGGAACGTTTGGACGACGGCGCTGTTGGGCAGTCTGCCTTGGACGGAGATTTGCATGCGTAGCAGAGCGTTGGTGTCATCGTGGGAGAGAGTTTGCAGAGTGGAGGTGGTGTTGGTTTGTAGGATTTTGGTGCTGTTGAGAGCTCCGATCGTGACGGGTACGGCTCCTGCTCCATCTGCGGCGGGGACGTTTTCTAATTTTGCACCAGACCAGTCGTACCATTCGAAGGTCGCAGTGCCGCTGACAGATTCCCACAGATCGGAAGTGGCCCAGATGCTCAAGTTGCCCGTGGCGCTATCAAAGTACGGAGCGATGATGACGGGTTCGTAGGCTGCTTTGGCAATGTAGTGGAGCACTTTCCAGCGTCCGTCGTATTCGACTCCGGCCCATGTGGGTGCGGACCAGATGTCTTCGAGTTGCCAGTATAAGCTCCCCATGCAGCGGTTGGGGAGGCCGCTGCCACGGCGATAGAACTCGATTTGCGAGCGGTAGAACTCTGCTTGGAAGATTTGCGTGGCGTGACACCATGCGGAGAAGTTTCCAATGGGGTCGATCTTGCTCGGAGTCGGGTACCATCGTTCTACGGCGGTGGTCATTTGGGCCTGTCCGACGAGCGATTTCGTGAGGTTGCTGGTGTCGAGGTTGCCCGGAGGGTTGTGTTGGTTCCGGAGGAGGATGGTGGTGCTGTTGAAATGGAGATCCGACTCGGCGATTTGTTGGCGCCAGGATTGTAGAGATGGCATGCTGTGGTAGCCGAACTCGTTCGAAAAGCGGCCGATGGGGTACGAAGTGGTATTGCCGAGGAATTCGGATTTGTAGTTGTAGTAGTCTGTCTCTCCGTACACATGGCCGTCGGTCTTATTGTTGTAGCGTTGGATCATGATTTCTTCCACAGGAGCGCTGTGGTTGAGCGACAGCCAGCCATTCGAGGTGGAGCTGGGCTGGTAGCTGATACTCTTGCTGTTCTCATACACTGCAGGGAGGATGGTGTGGAGGAACAAGGTCTCATACTCGGCCTGGTATCGTGGGTAATCTTGTGGTGCTGATTTGTTGGCGTTCGGCAGCTCCAGATTTTCCATTTCGTTGGCTCCTGCCCAGAATGCGAGTGATGGGTGATGGTTGATTCTTCGCACTTGGTACTCTGCCTCTGCTCGGACATTGGCGAGGAACTCTGGGAATACCGGGTAGAGTGCACAGCCGAATTCGAATTCGGACCACAGGAGCAATCCTTTCTCGTCGGCCAGATCGTACATGAAGTCCGGCGAGTATGCACCACTGGACCACACGCGCAGCATGTTCTGGTTACCAGCAATGGCGGTATCGAACAGATTCGAGATGCGCTGGGGAGTGACGGTCGGCCAGAAGACATCGGGGGGGATGAAGTTGGATCCTTTGGCGAAGAACTGTTTCCCGTTGATCTCAAAGTGCCAGTTATTGCCGGGAGCAATTCCCAACGCCAGCTCCTCACTGCTCACGGGGTTGCCATTCAGCACAATCGTTCGGAAACCCACACGCTTCGTCACGGATGCCAACGTCTTGCCACTGGCAGACATGAGGTCGATGGTCATGTAGTACAGCGGTTGTGCACCCATCTTGACTGGCCACCACAGCTCCACGCTTCCGTCCGGGATGGTGGTCAAGCCGGTCACTGCCGTTGCACTGATGGTGATATTGCACAGCTCGCCCTGGGCAATGAGAGTAGTGTTGGCCCTGTCTGTGAGTCGGTATTGCACAGTTGCGCCCGACGGGATCGATCCAAAGTAGTCCAGACTTGCGTTGACCACCCATGGCTGATTCTGATCCGGAGGCAAGTTGTTGAGTTGGCCTTGTCGATAGATGTCGACCAGACTGTTGCGGATCTGTACTTCTTCCTGCTGCAGCTGGACCACCCATGCTGGTTGCCATGGACCGGCGGGAACAAAGGCAGGGCCCCAGTCCCAACCGAAGTCACTCTGTTCCTTTCGGACAAACCATCGATTCGGATACTGATACAGCTGCATCACCCCGTCCGGCCACGTCTCCTGGCCCGGCTCGTTGGCAATGTCGTCGGCAATCTTGGCAGCGGATCCAAAGTTGATTTCGACCATCTGATCTTCCGGCTTGCAATTGGCGAGGAAGGCGGACACGTCGAACCAGTATTGACGAAACTGGTTATTCGTGCTCGCGACATGGTGGCCACAGAAGGAGATACTGGTGAAGGTGTCGAGGCCATTGAACAGCAGCCAGGTGCTACTGGCGTCGTCGGAGGACAGGCCGGAGATGGGGGCGGAGGTGTAGGTCCAGTTCTCGGCGACAATGAAGCGCAGATCGAAGCTGTTCTGGCCAAAGAGCGGATCTCCGATGACCTGGTTGTCGTGGAGGTCCAGCTGGACATAGCTGGGGAGTTTGGCGGGCAAAGAGACGTTCAGCGAAGGATTCGAAATGGTCCAGCCGTTGCCAGCGAGGCTAATGACGCGCTGTGCGTCGACATGTCCGTGCAGCAAGTGTAGCCATGCCCAGGCATGGTACAGCAGACGCATGACTACGGTAGAACTAAGGGAACAAACTGAATGTGCAAACGAGTGAATGAATGGCACGACCAGACTACGAATGATTGCAGGTAGTTCCAGTCTACATATACCTGAGGGCGAGATGAGGAGGTGGTGTAGTACGGTAGTAGTAGCGCGAGGTTGCAATTCAGCCAATTCACTGCTCGGCCCCCAGGAGGAATAATCTCCAATTCTGCTCGCACAGTCGCACTCGTGTTGTTTTTGCGGGGACCCTGGTGGTGGTTGCAGCGATCAGGGACGGAGCAGACACGATCGCGGGGAAAGACTGGCCCTTGCCGGCGTGTAGCCTTCTATAATGATGTTCTATATGCATGTCGTTGCAATTCCAGAGCCGGCGGCTGTATACTGCCGGAAAGGGTGGTCATCTCCCCGTCCGACGGCGGCGGGGCAGGCTGGTATAGAACTCGCGGTAATGAGCAGCGAGCAGGGAGAGGTATTGACTACAGTAGACTGTCTGTGAACAATAATAACAATAATACCAAGACGCGTGTGTTAATGTTTCCCAGTCCCGGATGTGTCCCTGATATCTCCCTCGTGTCTCCCGCGTGTCTCCCTCGTGCATCCTCATGGCTCCTTCGTGTCTCTCTCCTCCATGTCTCTCTCTCGCTCTCGAGATGATAGCCTTTGCAGGACCGAGCAGCGGAAGCACAAAAAGGGCGCGCGGTGATGAGAATGGGAAGCATGAAATGCATGAATGATTCGAAGCCGCGGCGGTGAAGTGCATGATTCAGCGGCAGTGCGACTAGGTATCGACACGTCCTAGTGCTTCAGTAGTGCGGCCGCCCAACTGGTATCAAGTATAGTTCTCGTTCTATGGAGATGATTCTACCCTCGAACGTTTCGACTGTCGAAGGTGCCGACGCACAGACGTCGTCCACAACGCGCGCACAGGTAGAAAGTAAAAAGTACTAGTACCTCCTAAGGTCGAACTACTCTCTCGCAATCATCCGGGGGGCACGCGTCGCACTCGCAGCACCGAACCGTCCTTCTGTTATGTGGATATTTGGGGAATCTGGTGCAGCCTCTCATTCTTAGATCATCATCATTACCTAGGAGGTAGTACTCACTGTTGGCCACCTCCACTGGAAGCGATCGTTGCCAGCAGTACCTGTCCCTCGCGGTGAGAGCAGTGGGCACTCCTGGCCCCGAATACAACCAACTGTGCTCTCCGTCTGGACGCGATGCGCTTGCAGCCACGTGCTGCCCACCTTCATTCATCGGACTTCACTTGGGAGCAATGCCGTGGAGGCCCCTTCCCTCAGGTGTGTCTCGCTCTCTTACCACTGCAATGCCTACCCGACATTGTTGCGCGCCTCCTGCGCGTGCACTGGGGGAATGGAATGTACGTATGCTAATTAGGTACATCCAGTCGCTTTCGCCATTGCCACCGCTCCCTTCACCGCCACCCAACAATTCGACCTCCCTCTGCAGATTGGCGACCACATCTACATTATCGAACAAGGCGGCAGCAGGAAAGAATGGTACCGTGGATACTTGGTCGCTCCGCCTGCCCTGCTCGCAGGTCTCACCAGTGATCGGGGCCAGCAGTTGGAGCATCGAGTCTTTTCCGGCATCTTTCCTGCAAACTGCGTCGAGATACGCGAGTTCCTGGGAGATGGCCAACTACAGACCGAGCCTGATGGAGAGGACGGCACCAGCAATGGAGTTCCTCCTGTCGTGGAGGACACTGCCGACCCCCGACAGCGCAGGAAGAGCGAGGCATTGGCAGCACGGCGAAAGAGCAAGCGATTGAGTCGGAGACAGAGCACGCGCGCCCCGGTGAAGGCGAGAAAGTCCATCCTCTTGTCCTCGGATGAGCCCTTGCCCAAGGATCCCAATGCCCCCAAGCCCCTTGCTCCCGTGCCACTCCTCCGTGTGGGCGATGAATCGGGCTTGTCTGCCATAGAACCTCTGGTCGACGAGATTGCCTCGTGTCTGCGAGAGTGGCACGATGCGCGCCTGCACGAGATGCTCCTGGCCCGCCGCTACACCCAGCTCGCACAGGTGGAAGAGCTCGTGAAAAGGGTCGATGTGGCGCGGAATCAGCTCATGCACGATGTCTTGACCCAGAAAGAGCTGCTGGCACTACGAGAGGACACTGTGTGGGATCTGGTGGCGGGGAACAAGATGCTGAGCGACGAAGTCATTGTGCGCAGTCCCACCGAAAAGGGTCGCATCTTGACTGCCGACGACTCGGTCGTGGAGATGACCAAGTTACAGGCGAACATGAGCATCCTCGATCGGCCTCCCAAACCTCCCTCAGACCAACACATGCTGCATCATCTGTTGGTCGACGCACGCAACCTGGTCAGCGAGGCCGACCAACCGGGCATGCTCTACGTGAGCCTGTTCACCAAGGAGCATGGCGAGAAACCAGTGCCGGTCAGTGAGAGCTTTGCCATATCTCTTCCCATGCCGGAAACCACACCCACAGCCTCTGAGGATCAGCCTCAAACATTGTTCGTCAACTTGAGTAACACAGACATCGGCACCGGTGCCGAGACGCGCTCGTTGTATGTCGTGTTCAAGCTATTGCGGGATGAGCCTGTCCGGCAGACCGTCTATGGGCAAGCATTCACGCATACACCAGCGAAGCCATCTCTGCTGCACAGTGGTGCCCATGGGAACTCGCAAACCAGCACCAAGGGCCGACTGAGCGTGTTCGGGAGCACGAGGAAGAAGAGCGACCACGGCCGCAATATCTCTACCGCGAATGGCTCACGACCGGACACGGCGCACTCACAGCGATCAGATCGATCGAGGACATCGAGCAGAACACCTTCCGATACCCGAGCCCCGAGCGAGACGAAGTTGGTGCGACGCTGTGTCGGTCTGGGTGCAATCGACGTGACAGAGCTCGCCCAGGGCCAGAGCAGCGCCGAAACTACAGTTACGCTCTGGACACCCACCTCATCTGCGGGCAACGATAAGAACGACGAAAGCGAAGGCTGGGCTGAGATTGTCCGCGAGCTTGCACGCAGCGCCACAGGTGGCTATGCCCGCGTGGGCATCATGAAACGTTTGGATGTGTTTGTCAAATCTTTTGCTACTGCTGACTTGGAAAGTCTCATTCGAAATACCCCAACGTTGCTACATAAGGTCTTCTTGACCCCCAAGCTTGGCTTCTCCGGTGTGCCTACCCAAAAGCGAAGTGACATCTACCTCACTCTGAGTGAGCCACGGATGCCACGCAATGCGACCTTGGCGCATTCGAAATTTGGCGCGGTGCCGGTGAATCAACGGTGTCAGACGAGTCTGTCGAACTTGCAGCTGACGTTGGAGGTCCGACGTGCGTCGGGAGAACGCTTCGAAGACTGCATCTTTACATCTGCAAACCACCAAGGACATACGGCGTGGCGGACCACGGGAATTGAACCGGGCGAGGGCTGGAACCAGACCATCAGGCTCGCAATTCCTGCCGAGGAAGTCCCCGGAAGCCATGTGGTTATGAGCATTGCTGACTCGCCCAACTTTCCCTTTGCTCTGGCGTGGGTACCTTTGTGGGAATTCGACGCCTTCGTTCGTGATGGCGACCATCAAGTGTCACTCTACGTGTACGACGAATATTCGAGCAGCATCGTTGGCGGCAAAGGCGCATATCTGGCTCTTCCTCCGTGGCACGACAGGAACGACGCTCTCCAAGCCAACGCGGCAACAGTGTCATTGCGCACATTTCTGAGCAGCACCGAGTATTCGCAGGACCCCACCTTGCTCGGTGTCCTGCACTGGAGAAACTACCACGGCGATGGCCTCCAGGAGCTCCTCGAGCGGTTTCCATATGTTCCCGAGATTGAAATCGTGAAGATGCTGCATGGTGTCTTTGCCGTCATGTTCGAGATCTTGCACGAATACGAAGATATTGCGGACTACGAAGACCTTATATTCCACAATTTCGTCGTCATCCTGGGAATTGGACGCGATAAGCGCTTCGAACTGGGGAGCATTATCGAGGACTATGCTACCACGCGACATGACTGGCCGAGGGCAAGCAAGTCGCTCGCACGAGCCTTTCACCGACTGGTGTCTCGCAACATGGATCCAGATGCTTCTCGCAAGCTTCGAGCGGCCTTCAAGGTGGGCGACCAGATGTTGAAGCTGATTGTCGATTCGATGAAGCCGACTCCCGAGACCAATCGTGAAAAAGAGCTCAATGGTGACTTCCCACCAGACCGTCGGGGCGAGCTGAAGGAGGAGCTGCAGAGACTATTTGTGGCAGTCATGGCACTCCTGCGCAATCCCATGCCTGTCCTGCTGGGCACACAAACGCTCCTCGTGCAACGCTTCCACACGTGGCTGCCGGAGCTGACACCACTCATGACTCCCGTGGAGATTCTCGAGGTTGCCACGGACTTGCTGGATTCTTGTGCTCATGCCCGAGGTAAGATGACGCTGTACCGGCTGATTCTCATCGTCAACTACAGCCAGCTCGATGTGTTCAAAGCGCCCGAGACGCGCGCGAATCTGACGGCGAGCACCTTTGGCTGGCTGGAGCCCTACTGGGGTTGGGTGCCGGAACCGGATCAGCAGTGGCGCGACTCGGTGCGATTGTGTTGCGCCGTGGTTGCAACTCAAATGGAACATTTGGGCGAGGAAAGCTGCCAGTATGTGCCCAAACTTGCCGAGTCATATGGCGTGCTGCAGGAACTGCCGCGTCGCCCCAAACGGGTCTTTAGCATGCTCTTTCCGACCAGCTATCCATTCCCGACCAAACGTACGGACAAAGACATCGATGTGGACGAGGCTATGCTCGAGATTGCAGCCCTCATATCGGCAGCACTCACATCGGATCGCAAGTTGTACTTTGATGCCAATACCGTGGACATTCCCGGTGTGCTCGCGCAATCACTTGAAGTTAGCCAAAGCATTCTCTCGTGTCAGGCGTTCCCGTGTAGCTGGCTGAGTCTGCTGGTCAGTCATCACCGGTACAGCATCACTGCGCTGGAGCGCATCGAAGAGGTCCTGATTGAAGGTTTGCCTGATATTTATGCTCCCAATGCTGCCGAGGCTTTTGAATTTGACACGTCCATATGGCGCATCTTCTTCAACACCCTCTTCGCCGCTCTCGGCAGTCCCGCACTCGCCATGGAAACCTTTCCTGAACAAAAACGACGAGCAGTCTGGAAGATTGCGGGCGACGTTCGCGAACTGGGTGCCAACCTGCTCAAGCGCAGTTGGGAGGCGATTGGCTGGGAGACGGATGACCTTGAAAAGCGACTCTATGGATTCGACCGCATGGGCGGTTACCAAGTACAGTTTGTGCCGGAGCTCGTTGCACCGATCGTGGAGCTGTGCCTCAGCGTGCATGGAAGTCTTCGTGGTGTGGCCATTGAAGTGCTGCGCTCCATGATCATTAGTGCGTGGCAGATTGATCAAGACCTGTCGTTGATTCAGACTGCAATGATTGATTGTCTCGACAAGCTGTGCAAAGACAAGACGGTTACGGATACCATGCTGCAGAAGACGTTTGTGCCCGAGATGCTCGAACAGTTCAAGCCGCTGCAGAACACCGTCGAGGACAGTCTGTATAATGCCGTGGTTGACATGTTTAGCAGGATCCAGGAACTGCTAGAGATGCTGGCAAGCGTGCATTCGGGCAAATCGGTCGTCAACGACGCAAGCCGACTGGTGGATACGCTGCGTCTCATGGAGTTTTTGAAGGATGTGCAGTCCGAAGATGCGTATACTCGCTACGTGCACCAGCTCGCCAATATGCAGATTGCCGCTGGGAACATGACCGAAGCCGGTCTGGCCATCCAGATGCACGCTGATCGCCACGAATGGGACCCCAACACCCATGTTCCCGCCCTCAAAGAATCCGAGCTGCCGGCCCAATCGGCCTTTGATCGCAAAGAGGCCTTGTACTTTCGCATGTGCCAACACTACGAAAAGGGCCAGTCGTGGAAACGGGCATTGGCCGCATATCGCGAACTCGCGCACCAGTACGAGCTGAACTCGTTTGACTATTTCAAATTGGCTCGGACACAGCGCGCGATTGCTGGTATTCAAGAGCGCATCGCTCGTGGCGATCGCACGAGCCCACGCTACTTTAGAGTGGTCTACCGCGGGTTGGGCTTTCCAGCCACACTCCGAGACAAGCAATTCATCTTCGAAGGCTATCCGACAGATCGACTATCGATGTTTGAAGAGCGCATGCAGCAGCTTCATCCATCGGCTCAGATTGTACGCGGTGGCGCCGAACCGGGCGTGGAAGGACAATTCTTGCAAATCTATGCGGTGAGTCCCAACAAGGACATTGAGCACATGGTGTTTCAGCGCACCAAAGTGTCACAAGCAGTGCGAGAATACAATTTGATCGCCAATCCACGGAAATTCGCCATGACTTCGAGACACCCTGCGCGTGATCTTCCCATTACCGAACAGGTGGTCGAGAAGGTCATTTATACCGCAGCAGAGGAATTTCCTACCATACTTCGACGCAGCGAGATTGTCAAGATTGAGACGGTCACTCTTCTGCCTATCGAAGCTGCGATTGAGCGCACGACGCGCAAGACTCAAGAATTACTGGCGATGGAGAAGCGCATTGCCAAGGGCATCGACCATGAAGGCACCATGTCGAGGCTCACGGAAGACTTGATGAGCTCTGTGGATCAAGACTCCGACTCCAGCGTCGCACGCTACCGTGGCCTTCTTCCCACTTCCGAGGCCGCAGCAGACACGCTCTCTCTCGACCCTTCAGTCTATTCACGATCCATGGACCCCCCGCTCGAACCGGTGCAAAACGCATTGAAAGTGGCTCTCCTGGATCATGCAGTGGCCATCAGACGTTGTCTGGCCTTGTACAAGAGGCCGCAATACCTGCCGATCCGAGCCGAGCTTCTCCCACGCTTTGAAGCCACTTTCCAGCACGAGCTGGAGGTTCTCTTTCCACAGCGAGAACTGCGACTGGATGAAGAGGACATTACACCGCGAAACTCCATCGAGGATGCGCACATTGCATTGACCGCTGCTGCGAATGAGCAGCAGCAGCAAGCACAAGCGGGAGCTCAACAAGACGATCAGCATGAACCGGAAAAGCGATTTGGACGTCGTCGATCCATCCCCTTCTTGCGGTCTGGTTCGAGAAGAGGTCGCGGATATTCGGAAAGTAATGGCGATGGGGGCGATGGGAGGCAGTCTCGTGGGGGAAGCCGGCATGGGGCAACACAGCGAAGTAACAGTCGGCTGAGCATGTTCCGGGTTCGCAGCAGCGAGCAGTCGCAGCAGCAGCAGCAGCCTGGCGACGATGAGCGGAAATTGGGGGACACGTGGAAGATGGAGAGAAGAGGTTCACTGAGGAAGAGGTTGAGTTTCTTTGGCCCGAAAGGTGATGAGGATTAGGAATCTTCTTCGTCGTGGGAGACTTTGGACAAGCTTGAGTCTTTGGTGGTGGAAGAAGTGGACGTGTGATGATTGTATTATTCTCGTGATACCCCTTAGAGCAATGGCCACCACAGTAGCAGTAGTAACTAATGGTAGATTTTTCTTTTTCACATTCGAGCGAGCGCATAGACAAGACATGACATGACCCTGTTGCACGTGACCCGAACCCTGTCCATCACCTCCACTACATGTAGGTACCACCCACGATCTTCTGGAGTACTCACTCTAGCTTTCCCAATGACACAACTACAACAACGACAATAACATACCCACCCTTTCACCACCACTGCCTCCTCGTCGCCATCGCCATCGCCGTCGCCAACAGATCGATCGACCCACTTGCCGCTCTGCCTCTGCACCCTCGCCTTTCCTCTCCTCGCCTTCGCTCGCTCCACGCCAAAACATGTTATTCTTCAGCTTCTTCAAAACGCTGGTGAATCACGAAATCACCGTGGAATTGAAAAACGACATTTCGATCCGAGGCACGTTGAAGAGTGTGGATCAGTATTTGAATATTAAATTGGATGACATCTCGGTCGTGGAGGAGTTGAAGTATCCGCATTTGGTAGGTTTGGATGATTTTGGGGAGGATGGAAAGATGGGAGGGAAGAAGAGCAAGAGAAAGCTAATGGAATCAATTATAGAGCTCGGTCAAGAATGTCTTCATTCGAGGCAGTGTGGTGCGATATGTGCATCTGCCTGCTGCGGCGGTAGATACGCCTTTGTTAGAGGATGCGACGAGGAGAGGTACGTTCTCATCATCTCATCAAAAACATGATACCTGCGGGGGAGAAAAGAGCTTGGGAAGAGATCGGATACTGATCTACTTTTGGTGTACACAGAAGCTTCACAGACTGCTGCAAAGGCCAAGGCAGGCTGAGCGAGGCAATTCCCGACGATTCGAGGATACAACCATTCATCGAAGAACCTCTTGAGGAGATTAAGAGAAAGAGAGAAATCAAGAGAGAGAGAGAGACTGAAAGTGCTACTGCTACTGCTGCTGGGACCTTAGATGTCCACAAGACAGCGGCAGTGTTGTGACCCGACTTGAGGTCAAAGAAGAATCCTGCCTTTGAGACAGCCAAGGCAAGGCAAAAAGGCGAGACATGATGGCTACGCAGACGCGCACAGTGTGGCTCCTCACGTGCGAGACCCGACGGGGTTGTGATGTGCCACGACGAGGTGGTCTCATAGCATGTTTTTACGAACAGTTCTGGTTTCCTTTTCCATGCTGTTCGTTTGTTCTCACCATTCTTGGATATTCATTTGTGCCCCTCTGACACTGGATATTAAAGATCACAGGTCCCCGTGTCTCTGTTTCAGCTACCAGTGTTCTGCACGACAGTCGCACTTTTTTTTGTTAGAAACAGGCAAAAAAAAGCAATACCTGGTTACTCACTCAACTCCAACTTCCACCACAACACCGGGGCCCACAGTCAAATGACGGCGGGACGCTGCACATCCCCACCCCCTCCCCTCCTCTCCTGACTTGCTTCGGGAGTGTAGTGTCTACACATGTGTGTTTCTCAGAGGTACCTTACTGTCGTAGTACCATGAATGGTTACCCTCCCACAACATAATAAATTTGCACCAAAACGAAACGGGAAGCGACATGCGTGTCAACAAGAAAGAAAATCAAGGCATATATGGGAGGGGTGGATACATGTTGTATACATGAAGTAGGTATAAGAGAGGGAGGATACGGTATATGGTGAGTATCATTTTCATTTTCATCTTCTTCACTATCTTCGTCATCAATAACGACCTCACACCCACTCCAAAAGAAGAAGAAAAAGGAAAAAAAAGAACTTCGATCCAACTCTCTCCAGACTCCTCTCCTCCCTCAAATCCACACATCTACATCATGCTGCTGCTCCTCCTCTTCCTCCACTCTTTCCGCAATATCCCTTTTTTCAAATTTTTCCTATTGTTTGCGATGACAACAACAGCAACAGAAGCAGCAACAATAGCAGCAGAAGCTGAAGCAGAAGCAGAAGCAACTTCTGTAGTACAAGTGAACAATTTCTGTCGCAAATCATATTGGGTCACGGTCATGAATGGCACATTTGGTGTGGAAGGGAATGGAACGTGGGAGTTGCCGAGTGCTTGGTGAGTTTGAGTATTTTCTTTTTTCTTCGGTCCTTATGGGTTGTTGTTGGGAGACAGAGAGAGGGAGGGGGAAAGTGGAAGTGGTAGGGAAGTGGTAGGGAAGTGGTAGGGAAGTGGTATAGAAGGGGAGAGCCTGAGAGCTGAGAGCTGAGAGCCGAAAAGATCAACTAACCTCCCCTCCTCCAGGGCCTACGAAACCCCCATTCATGGAAAAGGAAGTCAGTCATCCTTTTCCCAACTCTACCCCCCTCCCCGCTCAATATAACCTACCCACCTACCTACCTATCTCACCCACAAACAAACAAAAAGTAACCTACTCAATCACATATTACCCTCTTCTTCTTGTTCTTCTGACTCTTCTCCATACTCCATACTCCAACTAAAAAAAATCAATTATAAAAAAATAATTATAAAAATTCCAGATACCCTCGGAATCACCTCTTCACCAAACTATTGGACGACAGAAACTCCCAAACTCATTCTGGGATATACAACGTCTGCAAACCAACTCTGGTGGTCGATTTATTCTTTGGATGGAGAAGTTGGAGATTTGGGGTTTAATGTATGTTTCTCTTGACTCTACATTTTTTTCTATGCATATATGTATATGTATATGTGTACTTGGAATAAAGTATTAATGTTGATTGAGAGAAAACAAATTTTCTTTTATAGGTGACATCTCCCGCTCGAAAAACGACTTCTTCTTCGACGACTCCAGATATTTGTGGAAATGCAGTTTGGTATGAAGTGTTGAATCATAATTGTACGGATGATGGCGAGGTGAGGTTGATGTTGAATTTGTGTGTGTAGGGGTTTGGAAAAAAAGATGGGAATGGGGATTAAGAGTGGATGGGGATGGATTAGACTGGGTGGATAAGTGGAAATATGAGTGAGTGAGTGAGTGAGTGAGTGAGTGAGTGAGTGAGTGAACAAGTAAGTTGGAGCTGGACTGAACCGTTTGTTTGAATTTATAAAAATAATTTGTTTTTGTGATTTTCTTGTGAAAAGAAATTGGGGGGTTTTATGGGGTGGATGTAATGGATTGTCATACGGACTTATGATTGCGCTACAAGATATGGAGAGGATCAGCTTTCCCCCCTCTCCCAAAAAGGAAGGATACTGTCCTCCATAACGTGGATATGCTCGTCTTATATTAGCTGTCTGCTGCTACTACCTCCTAGGTACTACTCTACTCATCTGACGATGTGTAATAACTGTCTTCTTCTGTCTTCTTCTGTAATATGCTTGAAAACCAACATTTTTTCCATTGTATCTCTCATGATGATCTAACATCTCTCTCACACTGTTTTCTTTCTGTCTTTCTTCTCGAAATCACCCAACCCGAGTGATGTTGTCTAGAGCACCTGACGCCTCGCTAATTTTCCACACATACAGCTAATTGAACTCCAAGAATCGATACTGTGGATGTTGTTGAACTTCTTCTTCTTCTTCTTCTTCTTCTTCTTCTTCTTCTTCTTCTTCTTCCTCCTCCTCAGACACGATTCACCACATCAAGCTAGAGAAGAACAGTATCAGTCCACGCCAACTAGACACAAACTCATGTCGTAAATTAAAAAAAAGATGAGCGAAAAAAAAACAAGAAAGCCATCAACTTACATCCCCCTGCCCACTCTTCGAACTCCGCCAGCCCTCATGACCAACATACCCACCCGTCCCGACGCCAATCGCAAACGAGCGATCCTTTGACCGCGCGCCCCAGGCCCAGCCCTGCCCTCTCGAAATAGGAAGATGATACCAACGAAAAGCGAGCCAAGAAGTCGCAATCCCGATAAAACTCCCAAACAAGAGATCAAAGCCAAAATGGTAAAATTCCGCATACCGCGTGCTGGTGATGTAGATGGCGACGCCGACGGGGAAGAGAGCGAGGATGATGAGGTAATTGGGTGGTGCTGCTGCGGCGTTGCGGACGGCTAGAGGGTTGGTGGTGGTGGTGGTGAGGTCGTGTGGAGTGTGAGAGTTTTCGTAGTCGGAGGATTCGAATTTGCCTTCCATGGAGGACGATGCACCGCCGCCGGCTTGGTCGCGGTGGTGGAGAGGGAGTAATTCGTGTTGCGAGGAATTTCGGCGGTGGCTTTGCTGGGGCGTGAATACCGCTGGGAGATGGGGTAGGCCGATGGCGAATTTGCTGCAGATGTAGAGAGTGAGGTAGAGCCTGGAAAAGAGGTCTGTCAGTTGATGTCTGAGGTGGAAAACAGATTATATAGCTTCTCGCTGGTGATTTGCTTACAGTCCGGACCATGACCACGATGCATGTCCACTTGGAAAGCTGCGGAAGCCGTCTTGCAGCAAGTCATCGTCGTCTTGATTGCAAATCGAAGAATCGACTAATGTCCATCGCACGCTGAGATCTTGTCCATAGCCACCACGGTACGCAGCAGTAATATCTTCGAGATCAGGATTGCACCTTGCAAGAAGATTGGGGCGAGGTTTTCCAAACAGATTCTTCATCCCTTGCGCTATAGCGAAGACATGTGTTAGTGAAGAGTATTGCGACTGTCGCAAGATGAGAATCATCAAAAAGAGAAGAAAAAAAAAGAAAAAAAAATCACATACTGACAAAAAAGGCGACAGCAAGAGACAAAGCCAGTCCCGCAAGCCCTTTCTCCAACTCCCAAAGTTTGAGGCGCAAGACCTGTGACCTCGTCGAAATGCGACGAACCTCAGCGCCAGGCACCAAAATGAGGGTGATGAGAGTGATGATAGCAGCGGGAGCCACCAAAGCAATGACGACCAGCATCCATGTGGTAATCGTTTCTTCCACGTACGGAAACGAGATTTCCTGGTTGAGAAGTGAAAATGGGCGATGGTGAGGCTTGACGAGGGACAGAGCTCCGCCTGCTGCGGCGAAGGCGATGATGATGATCCAGTCGAAGATGTAGGATGCAATCAGTTTCTTCGAACCCATTTCGTGCGCGGCATTCCTGAGGACGTCTTTGTTGGCGGTTGGTCTCATTATGGCTGTGATCATTCTCTTGAAACTCTCTCCTTTTCTCTCTCTCCGTTTTCTTCTCTTTCTCTTCCTTTTTCTCTCTCTCTCTCTCCCTTCTGGCGTGATACCTGGTATGTATCTGATCCGTATCTCCCAAAGAGAAGACTCAAAATAACAAAAGACGAAGAGAATCAACGTAAAACTAAGGCAACTAGGGTAAGTCGTAGAGTAAGTAAGTAGTAGCTCCCCCTAAGGTAACTCGTGTGGCAAGCCAAGCATGCGCCGTTTCTGCTGAGCCACGCGGTCGGCGTCAAAACACACTTCGCTTCCTCTGCATTCTAATCGTGTCTGTGTCACAAGTCGGAGAAAAAACAGTTGTTTTTCCATGTTTCGTTTGGGGATATGTGAAACCAGCGACATTCTTTTGTTCACCTCCACCTCCTTTTCCCTACCTCCATATGATCTGGACCTACTCAAAAACACATCACCCCTCATCACTCCCTTCAGCTCTGTGTGACATTTTTTTTTTCCCTTTCTTCTGGACATAAAATTCTCTAAGCGAAAATCGAGCAGGTCGGGTGGGGACACACAGCGCAAACATAAGTGACACTAGGAGGTAAGAGTAAAACTAGAAGGAAGCTGGTGAGACGAGAGCAGAACCAATCGTGAAACGGCACAAACCCCCCTTTCAAGAGAGAATCCCCGAGAGAGATTGGCTTGGGATGCTTGGCCACTTTTGACCTTTCGTCATTGACACCTACTAAGATTCTTACTAGAGGTCCTGATATTCCTATACCCAACACGTACATGAACTTAATGCGCAGGCGGCAGCACGGAAAGCGCATTATCCTTTTTATTAATATTATGCTCTACCTGACATACATGTAGCCGCCACTCGCGGGATTGGTCTCAGAATACTGCCAATAGAAGAGCTACGAGTGACATCTACGTTATTTAACTACATGTACCAAGTTTGATGGACGCGTATCGCACGTAGTCGCGCGCTATGCCATTGTTCGGTGTACATATCGTTCCGCTATCCGTATTAGTGCTCGAATATCTCATATGTACATACAGTACTCGCAGAACAAACCCCCCCGCCATTGCGATCGAGTAGATGAGGCGGCGATACTCTTGGCGCGGGCATGTACAAGTAGCCGGACCATGCGGCGGCACTCTGTCTGCCGTCGAGAGCTACGAGTCCACATCATGGCTGCGTTCGAGGTGGTATATATCCGCTGTGCTGCCATGGACACTTACTCCAACAGACATTCAGGCATGGCATCTACGCTGAGACTCTGGACGACTCTCAAGGCAGCAGCATGTATGCGATCGCGGTCGACTGCCCACTTCAATAAGCAGACGCGGCGAGCATGTCGCATTAAGTAGACATTTCACCCGATTGCAGGGCGAATGCAGGTCCTTCCTCCGGCATCCGAACAGTGGTCGAGTGGCGACACATCAGATGGGGTCACCACGGCGCGGCTATATGAGACATCTCACTCCAGGACTCTGCTGCACGTCCTCTTTGGCTGCCTTGATGGCTCTGTATCGCATAATGGATGTAAACGATGAAATGCTGAACGCTTCATCGCTCACCGGGTCGCGCGCATTTCTTGCTGCCCATCAGTCCCTGCAATGTGTCCAGGCTCGCGGAAGACAGCAGTCATTGCATCCTCGAGTATCTGCATCCCTTCATCAATCTCCGCATCGGAAATGATGAGTGGTGGGACGAATCGCAGAGTGTTCGTGCCGCAGGTAATGACCAGGAGACCTCTCTCACGCGCAGCTGTAATGACTGGCGTGGGGTCGGCGCTCAACTGCAGACCCAGGATGAGCCCACGACCGCGGACTTCTTGCACAACATCTGGGAAAGCTTCGTGGATTCGAGTGAAATGCTGACGGAAGCGTGCTTCCTTCTTCAGCACATCTTGCTGTAGCTCCGGGTCTGCAAGTCGAGTGACAATGTAATGCGCCAATCGGCATCCCAGTGGGTTGCCACCATACGTAGTACCGTGATCGCCAGTCACAATCTTGCTGGATACGTCTTCTGTCACCATCGTCGCACCAATGGGGAAACCATTGCCAAGAGCCTTTGCGGTAGTGACCACGTCCGGGTGTGCTTCTTTGGGAAGTGCGGCGTGAGCCCACAGCTTACCAGTGCGTGCAAGACCACATTGAATCTCGTCGTGGATCAGCACGGCGCCCACTTCTGTGCAGCGCTTGCGGAGCGCGAGCAGGAATTCATGAGATGCGACATTGACTCCACCCTCTCCTTGTATAGGCTCAACAATCACACCACATGTCTTATCAGTTACGAGCTCGTTGATTCCAGCGATGTCGTTGTATGTGCCGTACTTGAATCCTGGGATCATAGGCGAAAAGGGCTTCTGATATTTGGGGTTTGGCGTGGCCGACAGTGATCCCATCGTACGTCCATGGAACGCACCTTGGAAGCTCACCAACTCATACTTACTGCCATCTGGCTGCATGCTGCGTCCGTACTTTCGGGCAAACTTGATCGCAGCCTCATTGGCCTCGCTCCCAGAATTGCAGACGAAAACACGTGCAGCATCGAAGCCACCAGCCTCCCTGGTCTTCTCAACCATGAGCTGGCTGAGAGCACCCGTCCATGGGTTGTAGTACAGATTCGAGCTGTGTACCAAGGTCTGCGACTGCTCATATAGGATCCTGCTCATCTGGGCGTCACAGTGTCCCAAAGCATTGACAGCAATGCCCGCGGTGAAGTCCAAGTATCGTCGATTCTCAATATCCCAGATGTAGCAGCCCTCGCCTTTGTGAAACACCGGAGGTGGCCGGACATAGGTAGGAACCATGAATGGCGCATATGAGTCGACGAGGCGTGCGGTCTGTGAGTCGGACGACGGGTCTGGTGTACGAAGGGATGCTTCTTTCTGCACTGTGGTCAGCGATATCCTGCTCTCGGTGACTCCTCACGCAGTCTTACCTCAATGGCATGCTTCTGCCCTGCTGGCAGACTCGACTGCGCCGTCGCTACAGAAGCGTAGCATCTGCGAGGCGCGACAGTGGTATTCCCTGCGTGCGAGCGCAAAAGCGCGCCGACACGCTTGCTGCATGTGCGAATTGACATGTTGGCTTGCAATGTATGTCAATGTATCTTGAACAAGCAAAGCACAGCGAAGAGGAGTAAGGAAAGGAGTCGTATGGTGACTCTCTTTGCGAGATTTTTTTGAGTTGCATCACGACCCCGGGTAGATGGCAGCAGTAGCGACTTCGGCGACAGCCCGCAACGTGGATCAAGGGTCTCACTATGATGAAAAGATCAACCGTTTCATCTTGTCGTCTAAGTTCTACCTCCTGCACCCTCGTCTCACACAACCTCATCTCTCAACAGCCTCCTCTCGAACAACACCTAAACTACCTCTCTGCACATACTATTCAGCGCTCCCGCGCGTAAATCTGTATTGATGTCTCAGCTGCCGCCGTTGAGTACCTAGGCGGGCTGTATGATCAACACCATTATCCTCACAATCATAGCTCAATACTCATAGTCCATAAAAAGATATCATCAAGCTACAAGTTTTCTACAGAATCTACTAACCTCTGATATACAACCTCGTTATATCCAAAATCGACTGCCATCGCTACAGCGACGTGCCTATACAAGCTCGTTACGTCCCGCTATTCTACAATGCCGTAATATTACGGCCGCTAGTCTCGCCGACTAGAGCTTTCAGCAACGTTAGCAGTCCTTTGTCCTTCGAAGGTGCCTTCGGTAGTGCCGACCTTCTCGCTACTAATAGAGGCAGTAAAAGCTAAGATATCTAGTACTGAAGTTTCGCTTATACGTTTCCTATTCCTGCCTAAGCTTGCTGGAAGGTCTATACGTATGCTAGGACAACGTAGGTAGTATAAGGTAGGTAGGCTTGCTTAAAGGTCACTACAAACCACTGGATGAATAGCCTGTCGATGTAAGTAGATCCACTATTACTACCTGGATATATAAGGCGAGGTCAACCAATTGTAGAGCACTAATAGATATACTACCTACCTAGCATCAACAAGCAGCTCCTTCAAACTTAACGAGGGCTATTGTCAAGATGGCAAACGGATATAGCAGAACCGTTGCGCCTCCGAGCATTGGTATACGGTTTGCTAGGAAGTTATACTCTATGCCGTGCTAGCACCAGAATTGTATCGTCGGTTGACGGGAAGGGTTACTATCGGGAAGAGAGGTTGCGGGCATATAGCATATAACGGGTAGCTGGATACCTGTAAGGTAATGGAAGAGGTGTGCACTGCCAACGAAGTACCTATGCCGAATGATGAGAAAGAGAACAGCATTGGCGACGTCGTGTAAAATCGAGCGCTGACATGGCGCTCGCTAAGGACTTCCCGTTTGGCACAGTGCTCCTCCATGGATACTTGCGGGACGACGGCCCGACAGGAGGACTGTAGAAAAAGGTCATTGTTGCCGGTGTCCCATCTCCTACCTCCGCACATCTCCAAGGAGCCATCGTAACAAGTTACAACAGAGCCGCGGTTAATATAGTACAGATACAAAGCGGCCTCGAGCCCGAAAATACTAACCGAAGTGCACTGCATGCAGCAACTTCGTCCCGATCGTGTAATACACCAATCAACCACAAGCAGAGACACTCTGTGGCGGCAAATGTCCCAATTTCCTCTCGCCCTGGGCCAGCGCAACACATTCTCGCAGCCAGTGTCCGTATACCGTTTTCAGCATTCCGAGGAGGAGCCCAAGGAATTTGCGCTTGGCGCCACGCTGGTGGCTTGCAGCCCATGCGGATGCAGCGTAGTACCAGTGCGGAGGTTTGCCCTTCAACAGAGAGAGCGCTGGACCAGTCAAGCCAACCTCCCCATCATTCGTGCGGGTGACAAGTTCATGTACTGTGTGAAAGCGCCCGCATGAGCTGCTATTAAGATGATGAAAAGAGCACTATCGAAAATTGGCTGGCTATGACAAACAGATGTAGCTTTTATTACCTACGGCTTGGACCAGCTTCGACATCGCGGAGAGGTGTGGTTTGTGCATGTCCGTTCTCACATTGAATACAACTAAATAATAAAAAGGTACAGCGTCGCAATCTGTAGAATGCCGTTCTACTTGGCGCCTTATCCGGGACACAAGATTCTCCAAGTTTCCATAGAAGCGTTCGCCCAGAGAGTGATGAGGGTCTTGGTCTTGCCCATGTTAGCCTCGACGTGCTGCTCGCGTGCAGCTTACCTTAGAGGCTGTTCAATAGCCTCCAACCGCAGTTGCCGCGGTTCAAATTCGTAGTGTTTATAGTCTATTGAACGTACTAATACAGTAATACGGTAGTTAATGAAGCTATTGAACGTAAATCGTACTTACCACAGTCTATATAGTTGCCTATAGTCTATAAATATACGGTTGAACTGTAATCAACTTAATCGTAGTAGCTATATTACCTCTTAGCGTATCGGTTTTCCTAATAGGGTAATCTATCTATATTTTCGCACTACGACTATCAATACAGCTGTTAAGGTATATTCTTTATCGTATTGCCTATAGTCTATAGTCGCTAACGTCTAAATGTAGTAATTTTGCGAACGATCGATATCGTCCGATAGCGAGGAGGAAAGGCAGTCTACTACTAACCTCGCCGCCGCCGCCGCCTACTACAACGAATTCCTCTTACGCGAGCCCTAGAAAGAGAGCGACTATAGTACTCTATAGACAGCGTACTTTATTAACTATAAAGACGAATTGTATAGCCTAATACGTATAAATAGACGTACGTTTAAGGCGTTACTAGCAAGATTGATAGTCTATAGGTTAGAGTTAGAGTATACCCTTACCGCTATAGAGAGACTTATACATTTCCTATATATCGTTAGGCAAGGTAGTAGCTTCTACGTAGTAAAGAGTCAGTTTAGACGGCCGCTAGGTACTATAAGCGATAGTTTCTACTATATTATTACCGTAAAGCCCTCTCTCCTACTACCGTCCTCGAGTAGACGATCGGATAGGCCCGGCTTACGGTAGGTCGCGGCGTAGCTCCGCGGTAAAAGAGGTAGGATAGGTAGAGGTCCGGAAGGACGTAGAGATGCCCGTAGGTAGTAGGAACGGTAATATTAGAAGACAAAGCGTACTATAGGGTAACGACATCAATTATAGTAGAGTAGGTATCCGTACGTCTACGTCCTAATTATATCCGTCCTCTCCTCTATCCTAAAAAGAAGAAAACTACCCTATATAGCTACCCGCCGGGAGTAGTACGGCCCTCCCGGACCGTCCGGCTCTCGGCTCTACCCTAACGCCCTACGTAAAAGAAACACGCCTAGCCGCTTAATATACCCTCCCCTACCTATATGTCTATCCTATAGACATAGGTATAACTAAACCCCCCCCCCCTATCTAACGATTACGTATAGAAAAGCAGACCTAAACGACCCGTCGAAAACAAGGTACCTAATCGTAAAAACCTAAACCCTCCCTATACTCGGAAGCTCCCGGTTAGGCTCTAGGGGCCTAACTAACGTACTACCTATTCTATCTAGGATATATCGCCCTTAAGTATAGTACCGGAGCCTTCCTCTATATACTTAGAGTCGAGAGTAGAAAAATCAGGCTATAGTCGAAACTTAAAGTTACCCTTATAGCGGAAGTAACTAGCGTTCCCGAAGAGTAGTATTTTAGAATTACGAATATAGTCGAAAACCTTCTTATACCTCTTAATAGCGTTCGCCTACTATTTGAGCTTATACGCCTCCTACTAAGCAAGAGATTCTATATAAGCAATATAGTTCAACTCGTTAATAACTTCTATATCGGCCTAAGATTTACGACTAACTAGAGCGTCTAAGATTAGGCTAAAGCTATCTAACTAGGCTATAGTAGGAAATCGGTACGGAATTAGACTATATATATTAGAGTAGCCCGACGGGCTAGATAGTAGGGCAGTTATTGTTCGGTATACCTCCGCGATCTACTAAAGGGTCCCTATTTTCGGGTTCTCTATCTCTCCGGTTTCTATATTAGTAATAGCTATAAACTAAGGGAGGATCGTACGTCGTACGCCCTACGAAGGTAGTACGCTATAAGGAATACGGAGGTCGGTAATACGGACGCTATATCGCTAGACCGGAGTTAGCTACTAATCTAGACCTATCTTCTTTCTTAGTTTAGGCCTAAGCTCCTTATTGTAACACGCTAGGGCAGAGAAGCCCTAGCGAACCCCCGGCGAGGCGGGCGGGGCGTGCCGCGCGGGACGGGAAGCCCTCGCGGACCCCCGGCGATCCGGTTAGGCCTTATCATAGGTACAACCCACCCTGGTAGGTATGTAGGGTAGGTTAGGTATTGGCAATACCCAATAGGTATAGGTATTTAGCTGGGTAAACCCAACCTATCGGGTTGGGTACAAACCTAGTAGGTATTACGATACCTAGTAGGTATTGCGTACCTATTAGGTATTGATTTTTCGTAAACAGAAAGAAAAAGCCTAGAAACCGAGTGCCCTAAGAGCAAGTTATTTGAACTAGGTATTAGAAAAGAAACTGTATATAAGCCCGATATAGATAAGAGGAGAAAGAGAGTAGTCAGATCGAATAAATAAATATAGAAGAATATATACGCTAGATTACAGCTTGTGATATTTTGAAACTTGAGCACTATAGTCGGTAAATATGGTCGGTAGGTAAACTTTATACAAGCTCAAACCAAGCTCGCTATAATCGTCTCGTAGTATCCCGGAGGCACTCTTGCGCAAGCTTGAAGCTTAGGCGTACCGATCGCCTTAGCTCCTCTACCCTATCTCCCTTATTATCGCTGATTGTATCTAAGTCACTAATCCGTTCTATAAGATCTTTTGTCTGCTCTCGGTCTTTACTTAGGATCTCCTATGAAGTTAGAGTACTAAGAAGCGCTTAAGCAGCCTCTATAGCCTCGTAGGCGATAAGAACTCTAGTATCGTACTTATCGTCGCGGTAGCGGAAACGGGATACTATTAGTTCAGAGAATGTTGATACGGAGTATTAGCGATTGAAACGACTTTGGTGTCGAGCGATACTAAAATCGCGCTCATACCTAACTCCGGCCGTAGGAATACAGAGAATATCCCGCGCTATTAGTACGAGAGTAGGGTACTTAGGCTCAAGCGAAGACTATATCTTCAGTACCTCGAATAGATCCCCTTCATCTATATTAGCGTCTAGATAGTCGGCAAGCTCGTTACCCTTACGAGTGCTACGTCGTTGAGTTTAAGAAGACTCTGCACTCCTACCAAGAGTAAAGTCGATCTAGCCCTTATGCCGACCACTTCTACTACGTAACTCGTAGGTAGAAGTGCTCGATAATGGACGATAGCTCTTCTCCTACTCTGTTCTTAGCTTACCCTCGTAATACTCGCAGTAGCTTTCATCCCCGAAGTTATCGCGTACCTAGAACTTCCGCTTAAGGCAGGGGGTAAGGAGGATACTAATGCCGTAGTAATCGCCAAATCGATCCTAGGTATCTCGATAATATTTCTTAAGCTTAGCCTAAGTAGCCTCGTATACCTAATATACATCCTTCTTCCAAGGTATCCTCTTATTCTTAAGTCGCTTCATCGCCTCCTCTAGAATGTCGAAAAGCTGGTTATAGTATACGAGGACAAGGTAGATAGTCGGACCTTTCGTTGTTCCGATCGTTGCTGTCGCCGCTGCGAATGGTTTCGTAAGGTCGATAAGGTACTTAACCCTTTACTACTCTTCGGAATCGATACCTATATCTTTACTTAGGTCGAGTCGATCGATATAAGATTCGATAACTCTTTACAGTCTGCTGAAGCGATCGAGTATTAATGTTGTTGAGGACTACCTTGTCTTTACGTCTTAAACGACCCTTAGGATCCGATCTTGAACGCTATTCTACCGACGGTGCTTTGCAAATAGCTCCTTCTTTTGAAGCATCTCTTTCTGTAGGTCGATAAACTGCTCGAACCTTTGAGAGCTCGAGTTAATAAAGACGCAAAGTTTCCGGATCTAGGGATCGAAATCAGCGAAGGGAATCTCGAGTGCCGACTATAATTGCCGACTACGAGAGCCGACTACACTTTGAAAATAGGAAGGTTAATAGGCGATAGGCCGCAGAGACTAATCTTACCTTCAGAAGGAGGTAAGGTATACTATTAGCTTGAGGGCGGCTGATCTGCTTACTCTGTTTTCTCCTCCTCTGTAATATCTGCCGATCTTTCTCGTAATCCCAGTATTCGGAAAGGTCGTTAGTCGGATAGAGCCCTAGGCGGTCGAAAAAGGCCTTTAAGGGAAGCTAGGCAGTATATACAAAGCAGGGAAATCGCTCGGGACGGCTAGCTCGATTATACTCCGCGATTGCCTCCTCCTTATCCTCTCCTATCTCCGAGTCGGGACTGCTCTCTATACCTTCCTCTAAGCTCGTTGCTAGCCTCCTAGCCGTTATACCGTACCTCTCTTGATAAGTATCAATCGCTGAAACACTATAGAATATTAGAAGGAAGTAGGAAGAGTAAAGCAAGTAGTCTTATATCGCATTGTATAGGGTCTTATTGTTCGAGGCATTGTCGTACGTAATTGCAGTCAATCGGCACTCAATCTCGAACTCTTGTAAGATTTCGAATAGTATCTCCGCAAGGTAATTACTAGTATAACGGCTAGTAATATATAGAAAGCTAAGCATCCCTTTGTACTAGACCTAGTAGTCGTTAATCTAGTAGACCCGGATAGTAAGGAATAAGGTTTTTATACCTCTGGATTGCTAGCTATTATACGCGATAGCTATCTTGAATCTACTAGTAAGATAGGTCTTAAGGGATTCAGTAGACTCTTGAACCTTAGTACCGAGTATCCTACGGTATATCGAGGCGGATTTGAACTGAATTGTCTCGACCTGTCCCGGGAGTAGGGCTATATAAGTCTGTTTTACTGACGGTCGTTCAAAGAACTGGAATAGCAGACTATTGTCGATAATTATCTCGAAGGATAAGCGCGGGAAATCGTCCGGTATATAGCCTAGGTCCCTCGTCTATCGCG